TGAGAATAAAGAAAAGTATTAATTAGGGGATTATTGGTTGATCCAATAACAAATTCTCAAAACTAACATCATAGGAATTTTAGGGTAGAAAGTAAGGAGAATTACTAATGAGATCTTGGGAGTGTAATGGTTGAAAGAATCTGCTCTTTGACTCAATCAACTCTCATTGTATTTCAAAAGCATATGACAAAGGAAATATTTCAGCTTCAGACAAGTTAAAGAATCCTTCATATAAACACTCACGCACTTTGAGGAGAAATATAACCCCCAATTATTCTATGACAAAGCCAAAGTCCTAAAAGTTAGATAAGTGACAATGTATGATGAACACCCTGATCATCATCATCATCAAATTTGAAGTACATAAGACAAAGGAAATGTCTCAGGTCAAGGAGATTTAAAGAATCCTTTAGATGAACAGTCAAACACTTAAAGGAAAGATTTCCCTATAACCCCATACTTTAAAGATGTAGTCCTAAAATCAGTGCACTGTTTATGCCAATGTTTCTATGTTCTTATAACTGTGTGTATAATGATCTATGGGTTACACAGAAATCTTGCCTACTCTGACACAGAGCAACACATGTACAGATGACTGGCCTCAATTCAAATCATTTCAAACCTCATAATTGTTTAGCCATGTGAGACCTTGAGATGTCAAGGTTACATATATATCACATGTAAGTTATCCCTGCCAAATTGGACTAGTTTTACCCTGTAACTCCCATGAGTGACCAAGACAGAATTTCTCCTTACAATATCAGTACAATATCAAGCAGACAAGTGATGAGAACAAAAAAAAATATTCATATAGGAATTACTAGTTGATCCAATACCAAATTCTCCAAACTTTCATCACAAGAACTATAAGGCTGACAGTAAAGAGAATTACTAATGAGATCTTAGGAGTTAAAGGGTTAAGGTGATTCCTCAGTAATTAGCCCTGCACATCATGTACTGTTTAAAATATCACATAATCAAGCCAATAAGCATATATGTATTCCAAGAACATTGTATTGTTTATCAATCAATGGACCAGGTAAAGAGGTGCTATGGACTTTACCTCTTAAATGAGCAAAGTGACCAATACATGTTTTATTTCCCATAGTTTCAAATTATGACCCTGAAAGGAATGACTCTAAGAACATTTTGAGTCGATATCGTTTAAATTTGCGTGATATTCCCTAAAATTATATATTAAATTGTTCCATACACTCGAGACTTACTACCTATCAAGCTTTTTTCCAGCAGCAGCAAAATGTACAGTGAACCGATGAAATGACGGGCATGATTAGTGCCAGTACAGGCATAAATGGGGTAAGTTTGGTGCATATATCTCCTAAACAAGCGAGATGACCTATCTCTCTTTTTGTATTTTTCGAAACAGACATTGATAAGGAACATTTAAGTAAAGTTTACCAAAAGTTGTCCCATAACTTCTTTTCTGAAGAATCACCTTGAAGGTAGTTAAATAATTAAATCAAGTGAAATCAATTTCAGAAGTCGTACGTTGTCACTCCAGTCATTTGTAATAGACCATCTTATTATTCATCCACGACATTAGGTCATCGACTGAAAAAATTAAGCAAGAAAGTACAAAGCGTACCTAGATTGAAACACTATGACTTTTAATATTCAGAGCTGTACACAGAAACTTTCTTTCTTACCTCATTCTGGAACAATTCTGTTAGAAAGGGAATGTGCCTGAAAAAGTGTTTAGCGAAAAGTGTTCACCAGATGACATCATACAGAAGATTATTCTGAATTAAGCCGTTTTGAAAATTCGAGTTAATAGTGGTTACAATGAGATTGCTGCGTTAGTAAACAAGAAATGGCTTCATTTTAGAATCCAGTTTCCTCACGGCATGTTTCAGGACAGGGTTGCTCTAGACTGGATCCAGATCTGTTCAGATATGTCTTCTAAGGCCCGTGAGAGGAACATTTTTAATATAAAGATTGCCAGTACTCTGAAATACCATAAAATTACATGAATGTAGGTTTTGGTTGAAATTTTAACTTTCTGTTTTGATAGCAGGTAGAAAGTATTCATTTCAAGGTATCACGGAAGTTAAATGCGCTGTGAGAGATTATTCAGCGTTAGTTGATTTCCGGTTGATTTTTTCCGATAAGTGACAGATGATTGAACAATAGGATCATATAATATATTTAAAATGAGAGAGACCAGAGACAAAAAAACAGTGAGAGATAGGTAGAAATAGGCAGAAACCTTGCGATTCACTCAAGTACTCTTTGGTTTGGCACCATCTCCATTCCTCTTGGCCGCAGTTATCAAAGAACATCTACAGCGATACAAAATGATGAACCCGGAACTAGTGGAGGAGATAGAGCGCAGTATGTACGTAGATGATTTAATCAGTGGCGGGGAGACAACAAAACAAGCGTTAGAAATCAAGATGACAGCCACAACAATCTTTGGTGAGGCGACTTTCAAGCTGCACAAGCGGCATTCCAACAATTGGGAGTTAGAAGTTGAAACTGCGACTTCAGATGAAGAAAGTCAGGGTTTCGTCAAACAACAACTGGGAACCAGAAAGGGCGAATCAAAACTGCTGGGAGTCCCCTGGGACAAAGAAAAGGACGAAATTCAAGTCAGCTTCCCGATTTTGTTAAACGATAAAAATACAACTTTATTTAATCTGAAATATCGCAAGAGTTTCCTTATATTGGTGTCGAGGAAAGGACTGGAAATATTGTATTACTTTAAACCATTCCTGCAAAAAAATTATAAAAAGGCAGGTTGATTACTTTTTATTCCTTTTGGAAGCCTTATCTTAAAGGTAGAGTTTGGTCACGTTTTCCTCGTTATGGTAGTGAAGTTGACATAGAAACAGTTGTTCAGTTTCTATGGTAATTAGAACTCGTGATAGTGTCTTGGGAAAGCTATGTTATTAATTAAGTTAATTTGTTAGTCCAGGAAGAGTGAATCTCTCTGGTAAAAGGTCACGTTCGACACCTCTCGTTCTTAAAGGTGTAAACGTGTGATACCTTCACGTTTTGCAATTAGATAGTTATTATGACTAGCACGTAGCAACTTGAGGGCGGTACTTGTGAATGCCTCTTCTTCTCCAACTTTTGTAATCATGATGTTGTTATGTAACGGTCTTCTAAGGCAATTTTCTCTTAAGATACCCCTTTAGATGTGAATAATATTCCGTCAATAGGATAGTTATGATTTTTATGTTACCAATCTCGTTTCTGTTCTGGCCTATCTCGAATGTAAGAATAAGAAATTTAAGGTGGAAAATGATTTTGTACCTGCGCAAATAACTCGAAGGCGCATACCTAGTGGACAGGAACTGTCATGCGTAATCTAATGTGATTCGGCTGAGATGGAACGATGACGATACAAGAAGATTGACAGCTTGGTAGTCTCTGCAGTGTCACTCTTATAACAAACGACGTGTGTCAGAGATTTTACTTCTAACAATTTCAACCGCTGAGCCGACAAAAAGGGGTATCCTGGGAAAAGTCACAAAAATCTACGATCCACTCGGTCTGGCTTCACCAGTGACCCTCTCTGGAAAAATGCTCTTCAGAGATGCCTGCGACACGAAGTTCGCGTGGGATAGCCCCCTACCAAGTGACTTACAAGCCAAATGGAAGAAATGGGAGCAAGGACTTCCAGAGCACGTGAACGCGCCAAGAAATGTCGTGAAGCATGTAGGGACGGGGCGGGGAAAGGAACACTCGAACGGGCAGTACAACACCTTTACCCACTGGAGCTGTCCTACGATCGGGAAAATGTAAAGGCTCCTCCGCAACTCAACCCCGAGGCCCTGAAATTCAAGCCCAGGAGGGATGCAGCGGTAGCTGCTCGTTATCGCATTCAAGACGCGAACATTGATGCTGATTAGAGATATTTAGGAACACTGAACTGATATACTGGACTAACTTTCCGTTTCGTTCATTGAATTTCAAATTTTATCGAGTGTGCCATTCTAGTGTTTTTCCCCTGTTGAAAAAAAACAGGGGAGTGTGTGAGAGATTCAGCGTTAATTGATTTACGGTTGATTTTTTGCGATAAGCGACAGATGATTAAACAGTAGGATCATATTATATATTAAAAATGAGAGAGATCAGAGCGTAAGACAAAAAAAACAGTGAGAGAGAGAGGGGGAGATCAAGTCGATTTTATAAATGAAACGTGAAGTTTCGGAACATAGCAAATTCTTTTGTCTCATTTCCGACAGCGCGTCTTCATGCAAACTGAAATAGCATGCAAATTACTCACCCTATCCTTATAATAACATACATTTTCTAACGCTTAATAAACAGTGATTTCAGTCATTTTAATATGGTGTTAAGTGCAAAGGGGTTAATGATCGAATAGCTCTTGTCGATGCCAAAACTATGAAAAAGGGAGGACTTAGTTGGGACAAAGTTTGTTCATTGGTCAATTGACAGGTCGGGGACTGGGCAGGAAATTCATAGAATAGGTACATGCATTACACGTGCATCAAATGTATTTTTTATACAAAACCAATCATCTTACTTGTGACGTCAAACTCTCCGACTGTTGTTCCGTTACTAACTCGCGCACTCTAAGGAATCTGTTTCGATCGATTGTAAAGTCAGTATAACTTGCATTAATAGGAATCTCTTTCAGTTGATTGTTACGTCGGTATCACTCGCACTCTAAGGGTAACCGGTCAAGTCGCCCGAAAGTCATCTCGCCCGAAGTCATGTCGCCCGGAACCAGAGTCATGTTGCCCGAAATTCATAGTCATGTCGCCCGAAATTTTATCGAGTGTTTAATCTTGAAGAAAAGTAACAATCGCAAGGAATAAACTCGTAAAATGTTGACTCGTAAAATGTTTTCGTCCGCTAACCTATGCAAATATGAAGTAAAACAAAGACTCAAATATCGCTGTTCATTTCAGCGTTAATCGTTGCTATGAACTAAACTGCTCATTCTACAGTACATACAATACACTTTTTGACTTTAAAAATTACTTTCAGTGCGATGGAAACCAAAAATATACCAGATGGGAAGCTTAATTAAAACAGAAACAAGGATGGTTGAAGTTGGAGAAGATTAAGACGGATTTAGCTTAATTTTCCATGATGGAAAACTGGTGACGTTGGTCCTTCAGAAGGTCCGTCAATATTTGCTTACGTTGTAACTCAACTTTTTGTCCATGAAAATATATCGCAGCCAATATGCAACTTCACCAGAGAAAGATCTTCACTTTGTGAATCCACCTAACTCGTCACATATATAATTAATCACAGTATTTCTTATGGACGTATTTGGCTCGAAGTCTTATTTCTATAACTCTGTTAAAGTATGCGGTGCATTCCTTTGCATCCAGAGTTTAAGCGAGTCAGAAGCTCTACTGAACTGCCGCCTACAAGTCTGTGTACAGGCGTTGAAGAGAAATGGAAGATTTTTAACGCCAAAGATGGAGGACGGGGCTTTGATTACCCTTACTCCGCGACCAAACATTGGACCGTCACAACAGTCACAGCGAGTATAACTGGAAAAAAAAATCAATCAATCAATAAACTAGAAAAAAAAAAAACGTGGTGATGCGCCACCAGCAAGCGCGCGCGCTCTGAGACTTGAATTTGAAAACATATCGAGGAAATTTGTTACGTGTACGATTTTCGCATGTGCGAGTTTTTTTTAACGTTTTTCTGCCAAACAAAAACTGGTTCTACAAGAGCTAGTATCAACATCACCAAGGACAGTCTTACCTTTCTAGAATATTTTTAATCACCGGCGGTAAATCGCGTTTCTTAATATGTAGTCCTTGTCCAAACACAGCTAAAGCAGCCAAGTCTCCCAGCCGCTACAACGAAAAACAAACCAAACTCAGATTCAGAATGTATAGTCCATCACTACTGAAGCGGAATTGGCTTCTTGTAAATAAATGTAAACTTCCATGGTCCAAACTCAATTCTGGTTCAATTCGGCCTCTTAAAATTTCGAATAGCCTGCAGAATGGACGTAATTTTTTTAGATTTTTCAGTCGAACGGAGGCAAGCGCGAGGCGAACTGGAACTGAGAGTCACGAGCGAGAGAAGGAGCACAAAACTCCCCTTACGCGTGACTCGCACTTCGCGCTCGCCTCAGTTCAACTGAAATTGCACCCGTGAGGTTAGGGAAGATAGTGAAAGATAACAGACCTGGGACAAAGAAAAAACATCTATCTTCAATACAGGTTAAACAACCTTTTCGCCTGGTTTTTCTTCAATATTTTTGAAAAATTATTCATTTAGCTCGTGCCTTCATCTCAAAACTTTCCTTATGTACTTCTCGTCTTACCTGAGGCTGATTTTTAGCTGTCTCTCGCCACATTAGTGGATGTGTGAAGTTATTTTGTATTCTGACATACTTCAAGTTCAGATGCAGTGCTCCAACTGGCAAGGCTCCAAGTTGATTTCCTTCCAGATTCAATTCCCTTAGAGAACTATATATGTAAACAAGGGAAGGGTATAAAAAAGAATATTTTAACCCTTTACATCATAACATCAGTATGCATATTCTCCATACTGCTCTCTGTACATTTTCTATGGAGCTGACAAGGAGAATTTGTATAACAATCAAGAGCTTATTCAGCTAGTAATCATTTCCTTTATTCTCATGACCTTAATGTGTGATACAGGGGAGGTAACATTGGGAGAATTTAGATGCTGGTCACTCTCAGGGGTCAGTTTTAGTTGTAAGACTATGATGTGGAAACAGCAAACATACCTTAGGTTTCCAATGTCTGAAGGAATAAATGAGAGCAGGTTGTAGGCCAGGTCCAGAAGCTCAAGATGTTTCAGCTGGAAGAGACTACAGAAATAACACAGCTATTAGTGCTTATCTGGAGACAGTTCAAGACCTGGCCAGGCCATTGTGTTGTGTTCATACTCACAGTGCCTCTCTCCACCCAGGGGTATAGAGGAAAACCTGATAGAATCCTGGGGGGGGGAAGGGGCTGGTAACCTGCAAAGCTCTGACATCCTATCCTATCCACCATCCTATCCTAAGAGGCCCATGCAACCTGAGCCTATTCCGGTTTCCCTCACTTCATGCTACAGAAACTGGAATAAGCTCTGGCTGCGTGGGCTTCTTAGGTAAAGAGCAACTTTCCTTTAAACCTATCTGAACTCAAACTGATACGACTTTTTTAAGTAGAAAGTACATAAGAAAAGACAAGAAAGTAAGGGCATGCTGTAGTGACAAACATGCCAAAAAAGCTGATAAACCAATATTAATGCACTTGACATTTTGCTTCCACATCATGCACCTTCAGAAATGACTTTTGAACAAAATCACAATTAAATCTAAGTTTAGGAGTTCAAAAGTAAATGTACAAACAGAAAAGATATGAAATTTGTTGACAATAAAGGTAAATATTGCTGGAAAGGAGTAGTATTGACAAATATTAAAACAAAAGTGAAAGAAGTCAAAACCTGGATTCCAGGAGTTTCAGTGACAGAGAGAGAATTTAATTAAATGTTGCAAGAAAAGAGTAGCATTGAAAAATATTACAACAGAAGTAAGGGAAGCCAAAACCTGAAGTTTAAGTGATAGAGAGAGAATTTACTCTTTGCAACAAAAGCATACCTTGATGGTAAAGATGTAAGAAGGTTGAAGGACATTTCAAACACAACGAGCCTCTTCAGCTTTTTTATACCTAAAAATGGTTACATCACAATCTCAGATTAACAAAGTAGCACACAGATTCATCTTTAGTGTATTCACCACCTAAATGTAATGTGTGAGACAAATTCATAGTTGGATTTGGTGATACAGAATGAATTATATACTGCTCTTACTTATTTCCTCTTTCACAATCTTATGAAAAGTTTAATTTTTTAAATTTCATCTTTGTATAAGCTGCAAGTATCTTATTTATTTGGAGCAGTTTCAGAAAACCCTAAACATACTGCTTCAAAGCAGGAAAGTACAAAATAAATTACTCTTATGAGGAAAAAATTAGCAGGAAGGTAAAAAAATTACTATTGGATAAAGATCAATAGTGTGGAAGGAGTTATCCACCTTTCAGACGACCATACTGACCAACAAAAATAAAATGGGCCAAAAATTGAAGCATTTGACAAATTGTCCTGTAGGGTACATAATCTAGAGCAATGTAACCATCCCCTCTTTAAGTGTATCCCTACTTTATCCTAAAATCTCATGCATCTAGTATCCTAAATAACTTTTGGTAATTCCAAAGAGGTTTGAGATCAGTAAATTAATCACACAGTACATTTTTTAATGACAAAAAAAGTCACAAAACTGTATACTCCCAGAGGTAGTAATGGACAGTAAAGAGACTGCCATTTTCCTACATACCATGGGGAATTTCTTTGATGGGATTGTTCCTTAGTTTTAGTGAAACCAAGTTGACCAGCTGCAGAATCTCTGGAGGGAAAACCTAAAAGAATTTTGAGGATAGAAAATTGATAAAAAGCATTAGGAATATTATATAGATCTGAGTCTGAGACTAGTTCACCTGTCAAATTTTTTTTATTCAAAGGTTGGAGATTTTTTGTAGAGGGCTCAATCATATCCAAAGATGTCCAAAGATTTCTGAAAATGTGGCAAAATGTCTCAAAGGCTTTCAACCCAATCTCTGGTCCCCAACCCCCCCCCCCTTCCCCCATTTTTTGTTAGGCCTGAGAATTTTTTCAGTGCAAGGCACAAACTGGTAAAGGATAAATATTTCTGGGTTATTGCCAGGTATGGTCCTGGTGAGGTCATTAATTTGTCTTTAAGAGTTCCCATACAGTTCTTCTAATGTAAAAAACAAAAGACAGCTTAAGATCAGTGCTCACCCAAAGATCATTAAAGGACAGATTCAAATGTGTTAGCATCCCTGCCAGTGGGCTCATATCAGGAAGTTGATTCAAGAAGTGTGCCCTGAAATTAAGAATTGATGAGCCTGTCATCATGGCATTTAATACCACAGCTTCCAGTGGAGACATTTGCGCATCATAAACATCAGCACTCACTAAGAAGGAAAATAAAAGAACAAATTTAGGATTTGCAGTGTATATGACCACACTAATTAATTTATTACTGGAGCTTTCCCTATGATGCATGCACCCTAAATCCCAGTAAGATAGTGTTGTGAAATACCATTATATATTTCATGTAAGGGGCATCTATTGAGGAAAATACTGTCCTTGGAAAAGTGCTGAAAACCATCTAAAAGGATCATATTGCCAGCTAAGGGTAAAAAGAAAGGTGAGTGAATCCTGTCCCAGGAGAGAAGGCATCTTGTGGTAAGTGCCCTGTGCAACACCAACCAGTGAAACAGGCCCACAGTACAAGGAGCTGTGTTCCATACAATCTGTTTACATGTAAGTGTGTGACAGGTTTTATTATGTCCCCCAATAGCGATGGAGATGTTGGAGAGAGAGGACCCTCACTGACAGTTATCAGTAAAGAGTGCAGTCACAAATTAAAACCTTAGGGTTTTAATCGGTGAATGGACTTTTTACTGATAAGTCCACTCTGAGGCTTGAACTTTACACCTCCTTGGGGGCAGTTAAACCATCTACACTTACGTCCAAAAATGCACACAATAACAAAAGTAGCAGATTTGATAAAGTTTTGTCACACCAAGTGAATGTTCATGGTCAAATTTGTCAAAGCAAAATCAGCATGGTGCAATTGATGATTTTGATGAATTTTAGGTTGGTCAGATCACTTAACATAGCTGAACCCATATAGAGTCCTTCTTGTAGAAATTCCTGGTTGAGCCCCTCTGAAATAGTTGACAAAGGCTACATTTGCAGGTCAAAGTAACGTGAATTTACAATTCTTAGGAAGGAATTAGGGGTTCTTCAAATATGGGTGTCAATTAATTTTTAACCCTGATATGACCCAAAATTTATGGACTTTACTCAACAACAATAATGTTTATCAGCCACTTAATAAAAAATCAGAGTAGGTATTCTAAATTCAGTTTGGTCTTGACTGAATGACAAGTTTGTCAGACTTGTCGTTAGCACAGAAGAAGGCAAATAAAGTCTTTCTAATGTTTTCCTTCATAGCATAATACAAACCAAATGGAGATGATGTTCTTGGCAGCTCCTCTCCTTGGAAATATGCTGGCTGTGAACTTGGAAGTATTACCTCCACACTCTGATATTCTGGTGCTGGTTCACTGAGCAAAAACAAGTAAAAAATTAAATAATGAAAAGTACTATGGGCTGGTTATTAAAACAAAGTTTAGCCATAGAGTAAGAGAACCACATTCTAAACTATCTTCAATTTGGCTGAATCTTTTACTTTTGCGAGCATGCAGTGTCTAGAGTGCCAAAGGCTAACAGAGGAAGGACACTTATTTAATTAAATCAATCCCCTTAGAGAAGATAATTGAGACCTACTTCTGGCAAAAACACAGTCTGGTTTCACAGTTCAGCCATTTTCCCAAGTTTAACCATTTTACCAAGTTGAAAAATAATAGTGAGCCTTGTATGAGGCCATCAAGGACCAAATGTGAGTTGATATTATTCCTCAGCTCAAAAGAATCCTGTGAACAGTATACATTTCTTGGATTGAAAACCAATAATTGAACTAGAAACTAATGCGAGCTTTCAGTGGTTTGTATAGTTTGTACTGCAGCACCATCTCAGTCAAACAAGTAATTATTAAAATTTGGTTTGTCTTGGAGATTTGGATCTCAAGAGGTTAGGGGGGAGGGGGAGGGGGGGTTGGGGGTTATCAGAAACTTTTAAGGTTCCAAGCAGAAGAAGAGTAGGAGAGGCGGGGGGAGGGAGGGGGGGTTATAAAAGCAATCACTGTAAAAAAGGAATTAATCTTTGAATCAGATCACAGCTCAAACACACAACACAATCATGCTACTTACATTTCTAGCCTTAATGTTCTTTCTTTTACAGCTGTTTTTGGTTTGTCTGACTCATGATCAACTTTTCCATCTCCTTCAATTACATCGTGATCTACATCATGTTTTAAAAAAGAATCTTGACTCAAAGCAAATCGAGTTTTTAGTTCTCTGGTTCCATATCCCTCTTCAGTTTCCATGGCCTCTTTCTTTACACCCCTTTCCCGAGGAGATGACACCATTTCAGCCATTGTCACTTCACCAATAGTTTGAACTGGAATGCTCGCCATTTTCTTCCGATGATCATCTCTTCCGGAGGATACTTGAGTATCCTTGTCAATGTCAGTAACACATTCTGTTTCTATTGGTGGTAGCAGTGCATATCTAGAAGCTGGTATTGTCAGTTTAGAAGCTGCTGGAGTGACAGGAAATACAGTGGATGCTCTTTCTGGAATCAAAGTCAATTCTTGATCTGGTGTCTGGAAAATTTCCATTCCTTGGAATTGCATCTCTGTGGGAAAAAAATAAGAAAAAATTATGGCCCTGGCCCTTTAACTCCCAAGATCTCATTAGTAATTCTCCTCACTCTCTGCAATACAGTTCTTCTGATGTTACTTCTGAGAATTAGGTATTAGATCAACCAATAAGCCCCTAATTGATACTTTTCTTGGTTCTCATTATTTACCTTCTGGATTTTGTATTGATATGGTAAGGAGAAACTCTGTCTTGGTCACTCATGGGAATTAAAGAGTTAAAAAATTATACAATTCCACCATTCAGTGGCTGTAAATGTACTTAAAACAGATTCCTTATATGATCATGCTATTGCTAAAGAGAAAATCACAATTAGAGCAAGATCTCATTGTTGATTCTCCTCACTGTCTGTCATACAATTTTTATGATGTTAGTTTGGAGATTTTTATACTGGATCAACTAATTATTCCCCTAATTCATATTTTTCTTTATTCTCATCACTTGTCTGCTTGATAATGTATTGATATTGTAAGGAGATATTCTATCTTGGTCACTAGTAAGGGGGTAAAGGGGGGCCTAAGGTCTAAATGAAGCACTCTTTGTTTTTAAAAGTGATAATAAAGCATGATGTACCTGTGCTTGTCAAGGAAAAGGCAACCTCTGAAAAATTCATGCTTCTTACTTTTAGTCTAATTTCACATAGACACATTTATCATTGAATCTTTCTGTAATAATTGTTTATTTTACCAGCCAATCAGCCTGTGCATATTGGCCAAAGTGGTCCCTCCTTTTTTAGGAGGAGGGGTGACTGCACACTGAGTACAAGCCAATCAGTTGTCAAGGGAAAATCTTAGGTGCAACAAAAGCCAGACTAACATCTGTTCCCATGCAAAAGGAAAACTAGGGTCTCTAAAATAAGATTAACATTACCCTCAGCTCTTAATTTTCTAATGGTTAAATCTTGGCTGGTTGCTGTTTTTTGTCAGACTGCAATTTTTCTAAAGAATACTTGGCTAACTTTCCCAAACAGAGTCCAGAAATTAACCCAGTAACTGACCCACAAGTGACTAACATGTAACTTCTCCACATAATAACCATACATCATCCAATAAACAGGTGATGAGAATACTCAAATTTATCAGTTAGAGGTTGAAATCTTGGTCTAACGCCAAATTCTCATAAATCATTCGCAAGGAGATGTGTAGCAGCTTTAGAAGAGAATTAACAATCATAACTTGAACTACAGTTACTGTAGTTATTGTCAGATTTTCTCACCTATAAACAACTGTCTCGCTGGAACTCTTGGAGTAACATCTGGTACATCAATAACACCTGTATAAAGAACATTTGATCAATCTCTTTGTGATTCACAGCAAAAAGTACTAGGAAACAGCTGTCGCTTCATTAACGCGTTACACCATGGTTCACAAAGATACGACGAATTCATTGATCGATAGACTAAAAATTTGAATTATTAATACATACTGTCTATATCGAGATTATGAATGGAAGACTGATGAGGTCTGTTGGCAGCAAACCAGCTTGTCAATTTCTCGTAGTTTTGATCAGAAATCATTGGTTCTCCATCTTCATTGACTGCAGAGCGGGATGGTAGTCTTTTCAAGAAGTCCCTCAGAGTAAATTCAGGAGGTGGTCTCGAGTACGAGTCTTTCACAAAAGCTTCCAAAGGCAGTTCTCTTAGTTTTCTTGGAGGTCGAAGAGGGAGAGGATCGGGTCCTTTTGTCCTGAAAGGCTTCACTAAAGACGCGATCGGCAGAGGCACATCGCCATGAAATCTCACTTCTCTGCCCGCTGAATCTGCGACTTTTGACTTAACAAGTCGCTTTGTGCTTGACACCTCGGGTGATTTTGACCACACTTTGTGATCTCTCTCCTCCGTCGAGGATTTATCTTCTGATCTTGAACGCAGAGAGGGCGGTGGTTGTGATTTTTTAGGTGGTAAAGGCCTGCGTAAGAGAGGTATCGGTCTTGGCGAGCTAGCAGCCGCCATTATTTTGCTCTTTTCCTTTTGCCCGCTTCGCTCATTTCCATGACAACCATTATTGACGAAACTGACGAGATTTCCGTAAGTACTCGTAGTAAGTCGGAATATTGCTCGGAAGAACTCGTATATCATACCCAGTCTCCTAAGCAATTTAGCTCTTCGACCGGCTTTCTAAAGACGTAGTATGCTTTCAAAGTGACAGCATCTGTGTAACGATGTCTTCCCCAAAGAGTTCTTCAGGTGAAGCTAGGAAACAGAATGGTTCGCGGAAAAGAAAACGCCCTGATCCACAAGATTCGGATTTAAACGGAAGAGCTAAAAGCAAGGCTGTCCGCGTGGTGAGAAATGAAAGTTATTTTTCTAAATACAGCTGAGACGCTGTAGTTTAGATCCTAGGAGGGGGAGATTTAACGGTTTAATTTTCCTCCACAGCAAGATTGCAGCTGTTAGATTTAATATTTTTTTGCAGTTCTCTTAACAATTAGCCAAGACACATCGAGCAGTTCCGTCCGCTGCTAATGGCGGCTCGCCAATTGAACAACTTACGACAACAAAAGCTTGAACGGAAATAGACAACTTTTGTTCTTTTTGAAATTGACCACTGTACACCTTTTAAGCTTGATATTTCACTTTGTTTACAATCCATTATACATGCGCATATCGTAAGTACAGCTACATTACGCAACTAAGGTGATAAAGATTAGAGCTTTAACAGAATGGCTTTGTTGTATTGTTTTCATGCGCTTTTTATTTTTCCTCGATTCAGTCACCGCGTGAACCCGCTTTCTTGTTTGAACCAGACTTGACAATTTCGTCTCCCGAGGAGCAAGTTTCCGACAATCTAGAGCCGATTACTTTACAGGACGCAAAAGATGGAAAAGGTATTTGTGTCTTTGTTTGGGACAGACGCTTTACAATGCAAATGGTAATTTAATTTCATCTTAAACTTTCGCTTAAACAAATGCTTCCTACGTACCCGCACTTCTTCGACCAGCTGGTTTTTGAAATAACCAATTTTATACCCTACCTAATTATTGCAGTGAAAGCTTTTACTATCGATCTTTTAGTAATTCTTTAAAAATTCACTTCCTCCTTGCAGCAACAAGGCCAATTCGTGTCTATGCTGACGGTGTTTACGATGTGTATCATTTTGGACACGCGAGGGCACTGATGCAGGCGAAACAAGCTTTTCCGACAGAAGTATATCTGATGGTGGGAGGTATGAATTTTCTTAATTTATTATTAATGGAAATATAAAAATCGCCTATCTTTTATAAACCCCTTCATTTACCAATCAACCGTGGAAAATTGTAAGAAAGGTCGTAAAAACTCTTCGATAGAAAACGAGTTTGACCTTGAAATGTAACGCAATGCCTCGGAAGACATCAGCTGATATCAAAGTTCAGAACAATTCCCGCCTGATTTTGAGTTCAAGTCTAAAGTTCAATTATTTGGAGTTCCCACCAAATGCAGTCACTTTATCGGCCATAAAATAGACTTGAACAAATACACTTTACTAAGAAGTTGGAAAATTGGGCATAAAGAAAACGATTCTTCCATTGTGTATCGTTTGCCTATGTTTGATTCCCTTAAGAAAAAAATTTAACATAAATTTTTCTGCAGCACTGAATCTTCCCCACCCTTTGTCCCAAAACTCTTGTGATCTACCTTTCCATCTTGAAGGTCAGGCCTCAAATGGATGTCTTCTTGAACACTTTAACTCTAATGAGTGACCAAGACAGAATTTCTCCTTATAATTTTGATACAATATCAAGCTGACAAGCAATGAGAATAAAGAAAAATGTCAATCAGGGGATTATTGGTTGGTCTAGAACCAAACTCTCCAAACTAGCATCATAAGAAATGTGTGACAGGAAGTAAAAGGAATTACTAGTAAGATCTTGAAAGAGAAAGGGATAATAATTTGATGCCTTCGGCAGGTAGTAGTCCTGTTTTCAAGTCGCAAGAATCATTGCAAAATTCAATTTCCCCCACAACAGGAAAATATGAATTCTGCAGAACTGTGTCCAACACATACTTTGTCTCATTATGTTTGTTTCCTGTAAAAAAACTTTTTGAAAATAAATTTCCTTGCTGCAGTGTCTAATGACGAATTGACGCACAAGTACAAAGGATTCACAGTCATGACAGAGGATGAAAGATATGAATCCCTGAGGCATTGCCGTTATGTTGATGAGGTTATCTGTGATGCTCCTTGGGCAGTAACTCCTGATTTTATTGAACTCCATAAGGTATGTAGAGTAGCTGTTATTACTAACTTGTAATAAGTAAACAAAAAGGAGCTGAAGGTGATTCCTCAAAAAAGAAGGTTATTTTACAATGTTTTAAAAATTTCCTTAAATGTTTCCAACCAATTTCTGCTTTGAAAAATACCATTAAAAAGATAAATCACCGTGCTTGTTTAAGAGATATGATGGACCAAACTTATCTCATTTATACTTGTACTGGCACTAATCACACATCTTATAACCCTTTAACTCCCAGATCAAATTTGTACTTCTCCTTACTGTCAACCATACAATTCTTATGATGTTAGTTCAGAGAATTTAGTATTGGATCAACCAATTATCCCCAAATTTATATTTTTCTTTATTCTCATCATTCATCTCATTAATATTATATGATATTGTAATAAGAAACTCTATCTTGGTCACTCATGGGAGTTGAAGGGTTAATCAGTTCACAGTACATTTTGCGGGAGCTGGAAGCAAGGGTTTCTATCATAACACTTGAAAAAAACCTGATGGGTGGAAAGTCTCGAGGATATGGAACAATTTGATGTACATGATTTGTGGGAAAATCATGCAAGTTTTAACAACATTGACTCAAAACATTTCTCTAGTTGTTGCTGATCGATAAAAAAAAAGTAATGCATATTTTTAGTTTCATGAAAAGGGTTAACTCCCATTATATTATATCTGAGATTTATTGTAAAAAATCTGATTGGTCGAGAGCATTCAATCAATATACAATAGTGTGTAAAGTTGAAATGATAAAAGCCGTATCTGTGGCAGATATTGTATTTATCATATCTTGTATACTCAGTTCATATCTCACAGTGTGGACCTCGTGCTTGGTTAGTAAGAGGTATATATTTTCATATGGCTCCAAAACTATTGTTTATTGGATTTATTTTTTCAGATTGATTTTGTCGCACATGATGACTTACCTTACAAGAGTGCTGGTGCTGATGACATTTACAAGGAGGTCAAAGCCATGGGGAAGTTTGTGGCCACTCAAAGAACAGAAGGAATTTCTACATCAGACCTGATTGCAAGGGTGGTCAAAGATTATGATGTTTATGTCAGGAGAAATCTTGCAAGAGGTTACACTGCGAAAGAACTGAATGTCAGCTTTATTAAGGTAAGTGTCACTGGAAAGGTTCAGTACATTTTGCTATCCTTTGCTAGTTTTATAATTATTGTTATTTTTTTGAAATTGAAGAAAAAAGTTAGTTGAATCAGCTGCAGTCTGTAAGAGATTAACAGCTAACTTCTCTCCACAATATTCATACATTGTCCTGCAAAAAGGTTGTGAGAAAAGAAAAGACAAGCCTATCAGCTTAAGGAAATTATTGTAATGAGAGACCAAATTCTCTTACCTCATTGACAAAAGATGTAGAACACCCAGAGAAGAGAATTGCTTAACCATTCACTCCCAGAAGTGATTAACACATAACTTCTCCCCATAATATCCATACATTATCCTGCAAAAAGGTAATGAGATTACTCAGACTTATCAGGAAGAGCTTGTCATTTTGATCTAACACCACATTCTTGTAACTAATTTACAAGGAAATGTGTCACAGCTATAGAGGAGAATTAACAATCAGATCTTAGGAATGAAAGGGTTAATTATATCTTGCACTTGACTTACAGGAAAAAGAAGTTCAGGTCAGGCAGAAAATGGATGAGATCAAAGGGAAACTAACAGACAAGTCCCAGGAGGTGCTTCAAAAGTGGGAAGAAAAGTCCCGGGATTTTATAGGCAGCTTTATCGACATGTTTGGAAGGGATGGTCGATTGGTAAGCCTGGTGAAATCTTTCTCTAAAACAAACATTTTTCATGAGGATGAGAACAACAATGGTGCCTCTAAAAGTGGTTAACAATGTGATTACTCTTAAACAGTGATCTCCCTGGTTTTAAGCACAACTGGTTAAAGAAATCTTCATACTCATAGAGCAATCCTTTTACCTCTTGAATTGTTAATCATTCCAATCGATTTTAGGGAGTAACAAGAGAAACTACATTCAGTAAATTTTACTGGTTACCAATTGAAAACGCTGGTTAGGATAATTTGGTTTTATCAACTGAATTGTTAACCCTTTAACTCCCATGAGTGACCAAGACAGAATTTCTCCTTACAATATCAATACAGTATCAACCAGATAAGTCATGAGAATAAAGAAAAATATTATTTGGGGATAATTAGTTGATCCAATACTAAATTCTCTGAACTAACACACAAGAAGTGTATGCTTGGAGAATTACAAATTCAATCTGGGAGTTAAAGGGTTAATGCAAATTGGCAATCGTGAAGAGTTTCAAAGCAGATGTTTTGCAAGCCCTTTGTCTTTTGCTCTGAGAAAGGGCTAACACTTGCATCTAAATTCTCCTTACAGTTTTACCACTGAATCACACATTAATGTCATGAGAATGAAGGAAATGATCACCAACTAAAGAAAACTCTTGATTGTTAGACAAATTCTCCATATGTGCTCCTTAGTAAATGTACACATAACAGTATGGAGAATATGAATACTGATGTTAGGGTGTAAAGGGTTAATTGCTAAGGATAGAGGGCTGATCCCCAAAAATGCAATCTCCGGAGACCAAATTTTTCTTTTATTCTTTGTGTTTGTCTGGTTGCCTTCTATAATTGCTTTAATAACTAAACATTTGAGCAGTGAAATACTTTGCTGGTAAAATTCAGGAATGTCAGTTTTAAAATATTCTTATATTAGCATAATTAATTGTTAAAATATTGTTAGAATGATTTATAAATTATGAAACAAGTGTTTAAATTAATAAATATGTAGCATTTTGTAGTTTTTAGCTTTTTGGTGAATTTATTTAATCCAATGGTGAAATTTCACCTTGCTTTCTACTTTTTAATTCCATCCAAGTAAATGTTTTTGAAATTATGATATTTTTGACCACTTTGTCACGTCTGGTAACCCCCTCGCCAAGAAATTGATTAAAATTCATTTTGTTGTTTTTATGCTTTTTTTTTGCTTTTTTTAAACTTGGTTTGCTTTGAACTATTGATGATAAAACCTAATCTAAACTACCTGAAAGTTTGTAAATTATTGTAGTAGTTTCAAGACATATGGTTAAACCTCTAGGTATTTGACAAACTTTAAAAACTAGACACTTTTTTTATTTTAATACCTTTAAAACTCTGATGTTAAAGTTGCAAGGAGCTTGAATGTTGACCTTAACAAGATATGTTTTCTTAAATTGATATTTCTTATAAGTAATTTATATCTATGATTAAAAAACAAAAATTCATGGATGATTACCTAAAAAGAAAAACCAAGCCTTACTTGAATTTAATGATAATTTTTGTGGTAAAGTTGATGTAAAGTTAAACAATAAAATTAACCTTTTTTGAACGAGGTGCTGAATTTGAATTGTTAGTGAATGGATTCTTTACCAATCCTTTTTAGAAATAACATTTAACCCAAATAATATTACTATAACAGTTAAACTTTTCATTCCTTGAGTGCTTCTGTGAGAAGAGGTGGGTTTACAACAGTCAAGTCGTTTCTTCTGTTAAAAGGTACTTTTGACTTAAAATACAAACAAATATTTAATTTTGTTTGTTTGTTATAAAGATTAAAATTTGTTTTTTAAATTATCTGTAATCAGTAATGAAGTGAACAAAATTGAAGTAACTAATATTTTGATATCCATGTTTACTGAGGGAGATGACAATAGTTTTTTTTGTGCAAGCATAATTATAATATGTTTTAGTTTCTTGCTGGCTAAAGTGACTGCTTTTTTAAATTCTTGTTGCAAGCAATTTTCTGTCTGTGCTTAATTCTATATTACTACTATTAGTCATATTTATACCCATGTACGATTATTTCAGTATCATGAATTTTATATTTTTCTTGTGTTTGACAGAACCAGTTGTTTGGCAAAGGCAAAGACACTATATTTGATGCAGGGGCACGTATCAAGGGGGCTGGAGTCAGAATAAAGAGGGCGCTGTCACCAGGACGGAACATAGACCCTGTGCTGGATGTGTCTCCATCTTGTTCTCCTTCGTCATCACCCAAATTTCCCCGCCTGTCTCTTCAGCCGGAAATTAGTGACGATGAGGATGATGGCATTGATGATGGTAGTAATATGCCAATTTGATTGGTTAAAATAAGAACACAGTCATTCAATTAACTAAACCTTGTGATATATTGCTGCTTTTCAAATCAAATTACTTTGTTATCATGCACGATAGATACTGGTCACTATCACAACAAGGTCCCCCTAGGCCTCACTCCAAATCAAAGGCTTGGCAATAAAATTGTAAAATTATTAAATAGTCATTGTTAATAATGATAAAATTGAATTATTAAATAGCTATAATGTATTAATTATGATGAGGATGATGGCATTGATGATGGTAGTAATGTGCCTATTTGATTGATTTAAATAGGAACACAGTCATCCTATTGACAAATGTTACTTGTCATCGTTAATGGCAATTTATCAACAAAATTGATGAATTAAATATATCATTTTTTTATCATTCTTTTCATGGTGATGAAGAAGAAAAGTTGATTTCCTCTCCAGATGTTTTTGTTTTTTTGGGTGATAAATGGCCAATTGAGGCTGGTATGGATTTACCACAAAACATGAAAAGTGTATTGGGAGAAAGGAAAACAGAAGAATGTAACAGTTAGCCCTTTAACTCCCAAGATCTGATTGTTAATTCTCCCCTCCAGCTGCTACACATTTCTTTGATAATAATTTAGGAGAATTTGGTGTCAGATCAAGATAACAATATCAAACTGATAAATTTGAATATTCTCATCAACTGATTGCTGGATAATGTGTGATAATTTAGGGAGAAGTTACATGTTAATTACTTCTGGGAGTTAGAGGGTCAGAAGATAGCAAGGGTTCTATTTTAGTTTTATCATTTTTGCTTATTTATGCCAACATCGTGAAAAACAAACAAATTTGATCTTTTGTGCTATTTTCTAAGCTGTAAAAGTCCTCTGAAATGTGAGGCCAAATGCAAAATGTTTCATTTGAAGTTGAGTTCCATTTGGATGAGATTATAAAACTATTTTTCCATTGAAATCTCCGTCATTAGCCTCAATCTAAACCAAAGGCTTCAAGAATCTTAGAAATGGCTGACTGGCCTTAGCTCTGTTCATCATTTTGGTCTCAGATAGGCCTGGGAACAAAATTAATCTGTAGTTAATTGAAACTGACATATTTGAAAAAAAAAACAAATTGAGGACTTAATCATTTAATATGTATTTGCAAAAGAATGAGATATCTACAAAATTTGAAATACACAAAACAATTTTTTAAAGATATGTTTGGACATGGCTTGTGTCATCTTGAGTGTAATGAAAGCTTGAATTTGTCATGGTGATGCAAAGATATCCAAACTCCAAATATGAAAATGAACTTGGATATGTTGTGGTTATAATTGTAGTATTTCTTGCTATTTAGAGAATTTTCCAAAGCAGCTTATGTTTTTTTTTCTTCTGTCTCTTCTTTAACCAAAATTAAAGAAATGACAAATGACATGAGTTAATTAACCTAGTTTTGAACAATTTTGACCAAAGGAAAATTGGAATAAAAGCAGATGTATCTTAAGAGTTACAATAATAAAACTCAACAAAATATATCCGCGAACTGTGTTACTAGACTTTCACATTGTATTGGTTTGTTTTTTATTTGTAGCTTGTGTATGTACGTATTGGTACATTATAAAATTAATTCTTTGCTAAAACAAAAGATGGCATAGGAGACACATCTTTAAGAAGAGATTTCTTGTTTTTTAGATGTCTTTTTATTATTTCGCTTGTAGATGTGTACACTTTTGTGCATAGGATGATCACTAGTATCATTATCATCATTTTTGTTATTATTATTATTATTATTATTATTATTATTATTGTTGTTGTTGTTGTTAATGATTTCACAAACTGGCTCTTTACAACATGTGTAGTTACTATTTGAAGCCCAGAAAAAAATCAAAGGCTATCTTTCATACAGATGATTTAGGATTTTCCAATTCTCATACAAAGTCAATACAAGTAACCACTAATGAGTGTAGTTTGCTTTTACAAACAGCACAATAAGTATATTGTAACTTGCATGATCTATGAAGTAATTCTCTTTCTTGATTGGTGGATGATGTACTGATGTCTTAAGGAGAAGTTAAATGTCAATCTTATCTAGGAGCCAGAGGGTTTATTGGCTAAATTAAAACACATTATGGAATCTTTTTATTGTAACTGTGTGGAACTAAGTTCACAAAAAATTATTGATAATTGTTTGAAACTCCATTAAACTTATTTTCTATATACTCTCTTTGTCAAACTGACAGAAAATTAAAAAATAGACAGGATTGACAACGTGTCATAAATATTTCATTTCTGTTCCCCAAAATTCTCAAATTCACATCTTTTCTTTTCCTTCTGGTTTTTAAAACATCAGGATATTAAATAGCAATTCTTAAGGTGTGTCGTAAAGATTTAATTTCTTTATTTAGGGGAAATTTGACGCAGTACACTAGATCTCTCAAAAGATTATGTGCTTTTCCTAGATATCAGTCGCTTATAATCCTTTTTAGCACCTGTTAGCGGCATGAAGAGCTTTGCCGGGCGGAAAAGTCCTAACTCTCATTTAGAGGTCACAAGAAATGAGAAATCAACATGGGAAATTTAAAACTGTGAAATTGATCTTTTGAAGATCAACTGTTTATAGCGCGGAATATAGTTTCTAGCGGCCATTATCGATACCCCATTCCCCGTTTTAGTAACTTCCTGAAACGGAATGTGTTTCTGGTACTTGCCCAAAAATTAAGCGTAGGAGCGAATATCAGGCCGTTGAAGCTACTGCATTTCGTTCATTCCAGTTGCGGATCAGTCCTTGTTTCCTGAGATGGAAAATTTCCAGGAAAACCCGACGAAGCTGCCTGCTTCGCCAGCAGTAAATTACAGAGTTAACAAGGGAAGCTAACAAAACCACACACATTTCAATATACTGAGACTGCTCAAAAAATACTTCTCCATGATCATGGGTTCAAAAACAGCAGTTCGTTTACTCACAATAGATTTCCTTAATTTCTAAATTAAGTGTTACAAATGATTTATCGTCAATTATTTCAATATACTGAGACTGCTCAAAAAGAACTTCTCTATGTTAAGGAATTAAAAAACAGTCGATCATTTTCTCGCAATAAATTTGTTATTATTATGAAAACTTAAGCGCGGACAACTGTCAAGTCGTAAATGTTGAGCAAAAATCATTTTTCTGGCTTCGAATCGAAACTAAAGCACTCCATTACTCCTCATCCGATTCTAACTTTAATGTCTCTGGAACATCACGAGTATAATTTGACATTTTCCCCGTTGTGTAATCCAATATTTTAATAACGTTGTTCGGTTTAGTTTAATATTCCCGTTGGTAAGCTTCTTTATTTTCGCAATTGGCTCAATTCTCGGTTGTTTATTTTCTTGTTACGAGTTTCACTTCAAGAAAAAAAGGAAAACCAACGAAAGCAAGAGAGCAAATACTATCATAGTTAACCCTTTTTCCCCCAAGAGTGACTCACATCTAATTTCTCCTTACAAAATCACCCCTGAATCACACATTAAGGTCACAAGATTAAAGGACATGATCACCACCTAAAGAAGCTCCTGATCATTAAACGAATTCTCCTCGTCAGCACCTTAGGGAATGTATAGAGAACAGTATGGAGAATATACATACTGATATTAAGGGTGTAAAGAGTTAATTTTCTGGATTAGCAAAATTTAAGAAGAATAAAAGTTACAATGATTGTTATCAACACAAGCAGAGTGATGGTCCCATAATGCATTAGGGGAGTGATGGGAACAGAACGCACAACTTCTTTAGCCTTGTTCCACTTGTGCGGACCTTGTAGTCGCCATTGCGCTGCCCCACAAGAACCTACGATTAAATTCCAAGCCAAGGATGGGTGTCTCCACAACTGCGGCTTTGCACCGAAATAAGACGCAATCTCGTCAATGTAAGGAATGGGGTCTTGTTGAATGGTGTGCCTTGCTGAGGCATAGTAAGTGCTCTCACTTCTCTGCTGGTCTTGTTTCATGTTGTGGAACATTTTCTCTGCCGATGGAAGTTTGGTTTTTCCTTTGCACAGCTCTGAAAACCATCGAGCTTGGATTTCAGAAACTGACAGTAAACCACCAGAAGCTGGCTGCGTGAAACCTATGAAAGCCAACGAAGCTCCAATTTCTGGAGCGAAAACATTTTTGAAAAGCTTAATTCTGTTACTGCTCTCCTCTAAAACTTGATCTTTAATTTTGTTATCTAAAAATGGCAAATAAATATGATACCCAGTGCAACAGACTATTACATCTGATGCTGTTTTAGTTCCATCAGTAAAAACAACATCGTTTCTTTCTAATGCTGCAATATTAGGCTTAACTTCAATGTTCCTTCGCTGGATGTGATGAATCAACGTTGGGCTCACGGTGGGCTGGGTTTGACGAGCTTTCATTTTGGGGTTTAAATTCCAGCGCCAAGGGCTTCCCACTACACTTTGAATGATCAACTGAAAGACAAAATTTGACAAGCTCCATGGAAGCCAGAAGAAAAGACGACATGCGTAATGATCAGTAGGGTAGCCATGAACGTAGTTGGGTACTACCCAAGCACCAGATCTTGTGGAAATACAGACGGGTTTTTTCCTTCCCAATTCTGCTACATTTACTGCAACATCTACAGCACTATTACCAATACCTACAACCACAACTTTCTTTTCCATGAGCTCATTACTGATTGCATCTTTATAGTCTATACTATGCAGAATTTGGCCACTGAATCTTTCCTGACCATCAAAATGAGGAATGTTTGGTTTGGCATGATGCCCAGTTGCTATGGCAACAAACTTAACAAATGTTTCCTGGTAACCGCCTTGATGCGTTCCTGCATTGTCAACTTTCACCGATTTTATTTTCCATCCTTCAGGGAGTTGTTCAATTAGAACCACCTTGGTTTTGAAACTGATGTGATCTCGGATACCAAAATGTTCAGCATAGCTGTTGATATATTCTGCCATGTGCGAGTGATGAGGATAATCAGGAATGTCATCAGGAAATGGGAAGTCAGAGAAGCAGTAGTTGTGTTTTGAGACATTTCTGTAAAACAAAAATTCTGAGTTGAGAATTTAGTGAATCACGCAAGTAAGAGATATGCCAGTAATCAAACTTTTAACTGAAGGGGTGCACAGAAATAAATGTCCCAAGTAACTTAACCCTTTAGCTCCCAAGATCTGATTGTTAATTCTCCCCTCCAGCAGCTACTCATTTACTTATAAATTAGTTACAAGAATTTGGTGTTAGATCAAGACAACAACTTCTTCCTGATGAGTTTGTGTATTCTCATCACCTGTTTGTTGGATAATACATGGATAATATTGGGAGAAGTTACATATTAATCACTTCTGGGTGTTAGAGGGTTAAGATAGACTGCTGGATTCTCCTTCTAAACTGGTTTGTAATCCCTTATGAAACAGAAGGAGAATTAGATGGTGCATCTTAAGTCAGTTTACCCTTTAACTCCCAAGATCTGATTGTTAATTCTCCCCTCTATCTGCTATACATTTTCTTGTACATCAGTAGCAAGAATTTGGTTTTAGATCAAGATAGCAACTTTGAGCATTCTCATTGCCTGTTTGCTGGATAAGGAATGGATATCATACAAAGATGTTACAGGTGAATCACTTCTGGGGGTGAAAGAGTCAAGGCTTTTTTTTTCTGCAGACCCCTGCTATCTAGTACAGAAAATAATCTGGATTTGGATAGTTTCACTTCATTCAGTGAGTTAAGAAAATTTGTGCAACCTTCTTGACCAATCAGAAGCAAACTGAAGCCCACTGCCATTTGGTCACTTGCAGGGGTGGAGAGGGAGAGGGAGGGTTTGTCAACCAAATAAAAAAATTATCAGTTTTTGGATGTTGACATTGTTATTTATCTTCAAAGATAAATACTCTCACTAACTGAGTTTGAGGTTGATACTATAGGTGATGGATCAAGTTTTTCTGCATGGATTTATGGCCTAAGAGCAAAGTATGCATGACATAAGTTTCAATACAATTAGCAAATGTGAATTTAGTGTGCTGTAAAGTGAAATATGGCCCAGTTAAGAGATACAATAAATAAGAGAAAAATGCATGAGTGCATGAAGATGTGGAAATTCTCTGCTCATGTTCAACTTGATATCTCCCAAATGACATATTAAGAGGAACTATGGAAGAGAAATTACATTTCTTCAAGCAACCATGTATTCTTTTGTTTATAACATAAACACCATAGGCCTTTACCGTAAAGAGAAGTTGACCTCAACAATAAATGAACTGGCACAAAAGGTGAGTGATGCATTAGCAGCTTATTGTGGTTTTACATGTGTGCAGTAATAGCATTTCTCAGGAATAGAAATCCTTATAAAACACTGCAGTTCATAAAATAAATCATGTTATTTTTCCAACATACATATGTGTGAATCGCATTACTCCATATCCATGCTCTGTGAAGTGCCACAGACCTCCAATATGGTCAGTCTGTTCAAAAACAATGATCTTGAACTTGTCATCCAACAGGCATTTTGCTGTAGCTATCCCAGAAATCCCTGCACCAATGACTGCAACATCATAGCCTGAATGACTGCTCATTTTTCTATCCTTAAAAGTTACATAAAAATGCAGTGTTTAATTGATTAATGACTAAAAGTGATCAGGGAAGAAAAATAGGTTCACTGTATTTCCTCCAAGAAGATACATGAAAAAATTACTCAGTTCTGATTGGTTAGGACAAATGCAGTTTTCAGGTAATTCAATGCAGAAGAGGGTTAATTCAGTGCAAAGAAGTAACAAACCAGACTGAACTGTTTAGCCAGACTTTGATTTTTTTTTCATCTTTAAGATGTGAAAATATCATTGTATATTATTGTTTTGATCGTAAGCAGTTGTTTTGACTGAATGCTCAACTTCACTTGCAGGGTTTGAATAAATCATTTTTGCGCTTGATGCGCATGCTTTGCTTCTGCATAATTATGATAAGCTATCTTGTATTTTTCATGTATATTATTAATACGTAATTACATGATTTTTCCTGTGCAATTTTGAATAAATAGACACTTGTAAATTTTTGCAAAGACCACTCACCCTATGGACTTGTGGAATTTAATAGTCTTTGAAAAAATTTACTTGTGCTTATTTATCCCAAATTGCACTCAAAATCATGTGATTACCAATAAAAACATGAGCCCAAACTTTAATAAGCACCTACCCTGAATAAGCATCCATCCCCTTAAACAAGATAATTTTGGTATTATCAACAGAGTTGATAATTAATGTAATGTAATTAATGTAAATTGGCCAGCATGAAGAGTTTCAAAGCTGACAGTTCGAGTGTTTGCCCTTCATCACAGTGAAGCATTAGCCTTTTGTCTTTGGTTCTGACAAATGGCTAATGCTTTAAACATTAGCTTTGAAACACTTTATGGTGGTCAATTCACATTACCAACCTAGCTGATAAAAACAAAATTGTCTTGTTGAAGGGGTTCGGTGCTTATTCATAATATTGAACGAGTGCCCCTCTAGACAAGCACCCACCTCCCTCCCCTCCTAGGGATACAAGAAAAACTTGTTTCTATTTGTCCTGTTATTTTTAAATTTTTAAGCTTCAACTACAAGCACTGGAGAATCATAAGCACCCCCTTGATTCCTTCCAATGAGTGTCCCTCCTATAAGCCGAAATTTTAAATAAGTGCCTGGGTGCTCATTCCAGGAAGTATGGAATAAGCACCCATACTATTTCGATTTCACATGCATCATATTAGGAGATGGGATACTGCCAATTTCGCAAACCCTGATCGTGAAGACTCTCAAAAAATGAACACCAGCTTCATCAGATATTAAACTTTAAAACAAAGGACGATAAAGAATAATTTTGGATATAGAATACACATAAATGTCTGATTGAGTACTTTCTCATAGAAGGCATGAATGAGTTCAAGTTTTAGTGGCCCTGCCCTCGTACTCTCCTCTGGTAATACATGGGAAATAGAACCTGTATCTGAGAAATAACTACGAAGGTCTATCTGTAAATTTGTCCCCACTGGATCAATAGTCGTAATCGATCGTAACGACTATGGAAACTAAGCCAATTTTGTCATTCACGACTCAGCTGAGAGCGAAACTCAATCGAGTCGAACTGTTGGTTGGCCATGGAACGTCCTGATAATCTAACTAATTGGGGTAATCGGGACGATTTGGACGATCGAAAAACCCTCACCTTATGCGTGGGCGAAAGCCAAATGCACTAAATCGACGTTCAAACAGATAAAGAGGAGATGGACTGCAAAGAAACTGTGATCACCTATCTTTGAGACTCGTGACCAACTTTCCCTACCCTACTTGGTACAAATTTGACGTACCCTCACCGTATTTGGAAGTCATCAATTCATCTTGAAACTTTCGCGCCATTTACAAGCTATTTCAAGATGGCGCCAACTTCAACTGGAGAGAGCACCACAACCACAAACCAAGATGGTAAAGTTCTACCGTATATATTTATCTATGTTTGGTCCGGCAACATTAATTATTCACATTTCTGTCGCTTGATTTAGCAGATTCTCAATCGACACGGCGATCTACTCGAACTGTCAAGCGCAATGCTGGAAAAACCTCGGCGCTTGATAAAATAAGGTGAGAGATTTCGCGATCAAAAATTCTTCTCATGTTTACTGGTTTTTGCCATTTGTCTCGGGTGCAAAATGTATCAACTTTATTCTGAATTCTTCACCAGAAAATTTCGTGAGACTGGAGAGAGATCAACGTTTGAGGTACAGAGTTAACTGCACGTATAGTCCGGCCATGTAATTATCGATAATTCTAAACAGTTGTTGATTTCTTTCATCGATGTTGTACGTTTCTACGGTTTATCGTGATTTTGAACTAGCTGTAAAATACAGGCCATTGAGATATTTGACATCGTTTTCTCTGATTTGATCGAAGACTGGATCGGATGAAAGCTGGGAGACAGTCAATTTATATTTCGTCTTGAAAATAATTGATAAAATTTCCGCACAGCCCCATACTACCTTATGTATTCAGTTCTTGAATAGAGAAAACAATGACAAAAATAATACATTTCCATTGGGAAAACAGATTGATTTTACAATAGTATGGGGCTGTGTGGAAACTTTACCTTAACTTCCAAGATTTGATTGTTAATTCTCTCTTCTAGCTGCTATACATTTCTTTGTAAAGTTGTGACAAGAATTTAGTGTTAGATCAAGATAACAATTTCTACCTAATAAGTTTGAGCATTTTCATTACCTGTTTGCTGGCCAATGTATGGATATTTTAGGGAAAAATTACTTCTTAATCACCTCTGGGAGTTTAAGAGTTAAAGAAAGAGAAACTAAAATTTATTTCTGATTCAGTTCTTATCACATCTAAGGGATGTTACTTTAACCCTTTACATCCTAACATCAGTATGCATATTCTCCACACTGTTCTCTATACATTTTCTAAGATGCCGACATGGAGAATTTGTCTAACAATCAAGAGCTTCTTTGGTCGGTGATCAGCTCCTTTATTCTCCTGACCTTAAAGTTTGATTCAGGGGTGATATGGTAAAGAGAAAATAGATGCTGGTCACTTTAGATGTTAAAGGGTTAAGAGGACTTCCCTCTCCCTCCCCTCTCATCCTATCCTCCAAGGAATGATATATTTAAAAAGAAATGGACACGCGATCGTTTGTTTGTTTGTTTTTGTAAGTGCCAGGTGCTACCTCCCATGTGGGGACAGGAACGAATAATAAAGCTTTGAGTTGAGAGCACATGGAAAATGTCTGAAGTGTGTTTTAAACCAGGACCCTAATAGAATTTCCCATGCCTAGGAATCTCTAAGAAATCTTCCAAACTTTTCCATATATTTCTTTTGATTAAGGTCACAAGAAATATTGTGGCTAATTTCCTTTTCTGTGACTATCTGTGCAATTTTAACATAAACCATTGTCTTAGAGAAGACTATACTGCCGTGGATTTAATACATGCATTTCCAGAATTGAGACTCATGTTTTCCTCACTAGGTTGGAAACCTTGATGATGTTTATCAGGTAGTGAATGAAGATGAATACTCTGACATTGTTAGAAAACGACAGGAGGATGACTGGGTGGTTGATGATGGTAAGAGCTGTGTCCATGATTGTGAGGAATAGTTGTCTTTAAGGGTTCTTGTTGAATTATATGGTAAACACCGAACTTCAAGTAGGGTCATGCATTGCAAAACCTTTTAACAGACCAATTCATGTTTCAAAATTTTTTGGACCCTTCTAGCCAAAGACAAGGGTATAAAATAATCTTTTTTCTTTATCTCTGCTTCTTAAGACACCATTGTGGAGTAAATGCAAGGGATCTTTATCATACACTATGAGCAATGTCTTTTCTGCTTTGGGGTTGTCTGTGTACATGATGGTTAAATGTGCTTTTGTTTCAGATGGGACAGGATATGTGGATGATGGACGAGAAATATTTGATGATGATCTCGATGATGAGCCACCAACTGGTCAGTTGATAAATAATTAATAATTGGTCATTGATATTAAATATATTTTTAATTTGTTTATAATAACTTCCAGTAGTCATTTACTGAAAGCTGTTTCATTTTTTTCAGGAAAGAATGTCCCCAAATTCAAGCCAAAGAGGCCGGTATGGTGGAACTTGTTGATTTGTTGTTGTTAATATTTTTCTAATCCTATTGGGATGGGGTGGGAAAGGGGGCCAGTGAGGGGAGGGGAGGGGGGCACTTGGCTGTGTGATTCTCAGACCATCGCAATCTGACCCCAGTTAACCCAAAATTTTTTCATTTTGTCACACTGTCCAAGACAGCCAATCAGGTATAGATTTTGGTGATTGCCCTCAGAAGCCACATTCAGCTTATTGAGACAGCCTGAATATTTTCAATTTTCATTGTGGTTTGGTCAGATCAGGTTGTCGGGCGCTCAACTGTTGTGCAGAAGGTGAAGGGCTCATGTCCCAGACTGTGCCAACACTCAGGGTCTTAAAATAACTATGGAGAATGTGCTGCTTTTTCTATGACATCTGGTTAATCATAATCATTACAATTTCCTCACTAATCATTCTGTAATTGTAATCGGAAAGTTGGCAGTAATAATGGAAAGTTGGCTGTAATTGGACACCTATCATTGGACAGTTGAAGCAGCCAATCATACAAAGTCCACTCAGCCAAATCCACCAATCACAGAATTAATCACAATAACCATAGCAATAACCACTTATTATAAAACTGAGGAATTTCCAAAATGGATAAATTTCTTTTTCTTTAGGCATTTGTCTCTAAATGAAATTATTGTTTTTGGGAATTGTAACGGTTATGATTGATTGGTAACAGGACTTCTTGTTGTCCAATTCTGTCTGTAATCGTACTCATGATTGACAAATTGGACTCCCATTTTGCAATCCAATTTTGTTAATCACTGGTATGATTATAGATGGAATTGGACTCCACTCTGTCCTATTACCATTATTAATCATCCTAGTGTTCATGGATAGGGATGAGAAATCGTTTCTTTCTCCTGCATATTCTCTGTACTGGTTAGCAGGTGACATTACAGAACCACTCACTTTTCACAAAGAGTACAGAACCTAGCTCCTGGTTTCACAGTCTGGTATTGTTTCCCAAATTGGAGGCATCTGCAAATTTTTTTTAAAAGAATTGTGAACTGTGCAATGCAGTCTGGTCTAAGTACCCTGGAAAATATTTTAAAGTGCATTAGAACATTAGTAAGGGTTATGGGCTATAGAAATGTCTCATCATTATAATTGTGATATTGTTTGATAGTAACTCCAACAAGTTACTTTTTATCTGATTATTTAAAGAATGTGAAAAAGCCAACAGTGAAACCAAAGACAATTAACAAGATGTTGCTGGCTGCAAGTGCCAAAGCAAAGAAAGTCAAAGTTAGTGTGGTGAACATAGTTTTTTTTGCTTATGACTTTGACCTTTGGTAGTAATATTAATATGTAATTGTGTAGTCTGGCTGTACTAGCAAGAGGAGTTGTTCTGGGAAGGACTGTCGTCAATAGTAGTGACTGAGGTTTTAACAACCTAAGCAGAAGTCATCATTGGAGTCAAGTGTTGAGTTGTTGTCACTGGAGTGGAATGTGTGTTTGTGTGAACTGATTAGTCAGGTTCGAGTGATGTTATTGGCTGTTAGACTGTTGTAGTGTAAGTCAGTCCTGATTGGTTAGATTTAATCCATTGGTAATGTTCATTTACTTGTTTTGGTTCTTTTGTTATGTAAATGTCATAAATTTGTTGTTTATATGGTGTTGGCAATTGTTGACATCTACTAACAGGAGTCTGCTCTAACTTAGTGAACCAGCTACTGTAATGAGATTAACTGTTGTTTAGATGGAGGGAATACCACACTGAGAATGGCATCCTCAAGCTCTAACTGTATAAATTTACGAACAACTATTTTGCAGACCGAAGTAACATCCATTGGTGAAGATGATTTGTTGAATGATCTCCTCAAGGAAGTGGAAGTATGTATAAGAAATGGAAGCATGCCTTTCATATTTTAATGGACCCTTTTAACTCTTTAACTCTTTAACTCCCATGAGTGACCAAGACAGAATTTCTCCTTACATTATATCAATACAATATCCACCAGATAAGTGATGAGAATAAAGAAAAATATCAATTTGGGAATAATAAGTTGATCCAGTACTAAATTCTTTGAACTAACATTATAATAGTTGTATGGTTGACAGTAAGGAGAATTACAAATTTGATCTGGGAGTTAAAAGGTTAAGTGAGTACTTCATGGGGGAAAGTGTTTATTGTTGTTGAAGTTAAAGAAAAATAGAGCAAAAGTGAGGTTCACTTCTGACTCCAAGTTCTTCCTATCCTTAATTGAACCCAGGTGGCTGATGCCAATCAGGCCTCCTTTGACAAAATGAATTTTTTTTTTTTTTGTCGAGACCTTACTTATACATTCTTCTTCACTGCTAACCAGTTCCTCAGTGTGTAAGACTTTTGAAATAATGTTATCATTAATTGTTTAATATTTGATAAGTAGATTTTGAGCTGAAGATGTCTTTTGTGCAATAGTGGATTAGAGCAGTCAGTTGCAAATCATTTTGCACTAGTTGGGAAAGAAGATTTATTATAAATGATCTTATTCTACATATCCAGCAACCAAGACCAGCTCCAGTGAAATATTCAAAGGGAACACCACAAGTTTTAAGGTATTTCTTGCGGTATTGAAATGTTTCTCTGAAAGATTCTTGCATTATTGCAGTCAGACTGATGATGTTAATGGTCTTTATATTATTCATATCTATCTAGAACTCCAACATCAGCTTTGCCAACTGGTAGCACTCCAAGACGACTTCAGGTGTGACTTCTTGTTGTGTTTAGCAAGGGAGAATTAAATGATAAGTCAGTATAAGATTCTTGATTACCAAGGACACAGACTGCCAGGAAAAATCCACTGGCCCAAGAATAAACACCTTTACCTGTGGGAGTGACTTAAGAGGAATTTCCTCTTTCAATATCATAATACACTCTCTGATACTTAACAGCAATCATCTGGGCCACGGCAGAATATTTTTAAAGTTGAACCAAGATCACCGCCCAAATCCAGCCATGCCAAAAATCTGCCAGCCAAGAGGAAAACTGTTGTTAAGGTTGAACCAACTGAGAGAGGGGAGGGGAGGTACAGTGGGATGGTCGGAGACCCATCGAGAGGAGAGAAGGATGAGAGTTGTGAGACAGCAATGGATATGGATACAGGTAAGCATGGAAAAATTGTTGGTAATAGATGGTCACAAAAGATGTGTGACATTTAGCTTATCTTATGTCATGACTTATCACTAGTTCATATCCAGCATGCAGAACAGGTTTAATTTTGGCAAGGGAGTACTTAGTATTTTCTTAACAAAAATTATGGCTGCCATCATTGATTTTAATAGCAGTGGAAGGCTGGGGAGAGAAATAAATTTGTACCAAGGGGGTGGGGGAAGGGGAGGGAATAATACTGCTTTCCATTCCCCTGCCCATGCCCCCACCATCCACTCTGACTCCAAATCAAACATGGTCAGTCTGATAAACAATCATGAGCTTATAGACTGTCAGCTCACCCTAATAAGATGCCTGCACCGCAGGCTAGTTGATATCTGATGATTTTTGTTCCAGATGATCCTATTGTGGGTTGTGATGACTTTGGAGATGATGATCTAGGTGATGCAGAAGCAATCCAGGCATTGACAAATATTGAGACAAATCCTGATGAAAAACCCACTACAAAAGTGAAGGTAGTACAAATGCTGCAATAAGTGCCTCCTCCTTAACCCCCCCTCCCTACTGAAGTTTCTAGTTACAACCCTCCCCCCCTTCCTGGAAAATTTATTTTCCACCTCCCCCGGATCATGTGTACTATAGGTGGCCTTGGTCGACATATAGGCCGACAATCGACTGATATATCGGTCAACAATCAGTCGACAGTCGACTGATAGTCGACCAACAGTCAACTGATAGTCGACCGATAGTCAACCACCCATCTCCCATGGTAAAATTCACCCTAGTCTTGTTATTTGTTTGAGCTTGGCAGGTCCTACATTCAGAATATTCTGACTTGTATGTAAAGGCTTCAAACAGTTTGAGCAAACCTTTTAAAAAAGGCACAAATTGCATTTTGATTGTAGGTTGAAACAATTGAGAAGAAGACTGACAGGAAATGTGCGCTCCCTCAAAAGTATGTAAAGTTATTTTAAGACCAGCCTTCTGGATAAAAATCACATGGCCATTTAAAAAAAAAATTATGTTTTCCTTATGATTCTTGAAATTTATCTTTTGTTTTTGATATTGTGGTATTTTTTATTTGGATTTTTTAAACATCATATTTCTTATTTCCAGATCAACAGAAATTTCTGGTGATTCAGCCTGGGAGACAATTCTAGAGAATGAAGAATCACATCAAGAGGTAATAGATACCAAATTTTTTTACAAAATTTTTTACAAAATTTATATTCTATTTGATTCCCTATGCACAGCCATATTAGTACTGACTATGGTAATAATAACAAGTATTATCATTGGAAAGTAAATTTGAGTCTTTACTTTTGTTTTAATACCAGGTTCTATCGGATGTCAATGTAGATTCCTCCTCCCTCCCTCTTCAGGAATTTGAGGGTAAGTCTAGAATTAGACTGATTTGTTACCAACTCTTCCACTCTGACATGATGAAACATTTCACTCTATAAAATCATGTAATTTATCTCATTTTGAACATGCAATTTCAGGAGAAAAAGTCCTCAAGTTCTTCTGGTTTGATGCCTATGAAGATAGATTTAAACTGCCAGGTAAATAGATACAGTGGTTTCAATATCACCAAGTGAACTCTACGCTCTTTTCAGTTGCTCACAATTTAAATCATTCTCTCAGGTACTGTTTACTTGTTTGGAAAAGTCTGGATTGAATCTGCAAAAACTTATGTCAGGTGAGGTATCTAATTTTAACCATAATTTTGGTTCATTCTCAATCTAAGAACCTGTTACACTGAATGCTCACAAGAGAGAAAACAAGGAAGTCAGAGCAAGAGAGAAATTAAATGCGTGGACAGAGAAAAAAGCTATATACATTTTTACACTGAGGCAAACTCCCATTTTTTTAACCCTTTCACTTCCAAGATCTTATTAGTAATTCTCCTTGCTGTCTGCTATACAGTTCTTATGATGAAAGTTTGGAGAATTTGGCATTAGGTCAACTAATTATCCCCTAATTGATATTTTCTTCTCATCAATTGTCTGCTTGACATTTTATTGATATTGTAAGAAGGAATTCTCTCTTGGTCACTCATGGAAGTTAGAGGTTAAAATGTAGTATTTGTAATTGGTATAGTCAATGTACTTGAAAGGAGTAAAAAACATTAAAATTTTGTTTGTGTTCAATTCTAATTTTACTGTTATTGTTGCAGTTGTTCTGTGGCAGTCAAGAACATAGAGCGCCAGATCTTTATTCTTCCACGAGAAAAGGTTTGATAAAGAAGGCTTCTGCAGTGCGTATTTAACAACTCCTCAATGAGGGCAAAGTTAAAAATGCTGAATAATCCCCCAGACTCAGTAATATTCACTGTGCCTTGGGAAATAATTGGTATAATAGCTTAGGTGCTCTCAAATTCTGCAGCAAATTCCTTTTGTTGTCAAAACCATTTATTGACAACTGTTTTGATTCCTTGTATTGAGATATCTTAATTGGTTACCTTTACGGTGGCCAATTTATGTTATCATCTCACTTGATAATACTAAATTACCCCTTTTATACTCTCTCACCAATGCAACACCACAAATTGTTTAGAAACGTTCCCTCTTTATCCCTGTAAGGTGTACTGATTTCAGCAGCTTTCAATGTTTTATGTTTTGGGTATTTATCTGCTTCTTTTTTTAACCTAACAGAAACATGAAGTTGATGGCACTGTGACAAATGAAACAGTCAGTTTTATTGATGTGTATCAGGTAAAAGACAAGAGAGGAAATTATTGACTCACTTTTTTTGATTGCATCTTTCTAAAAGCAGTATGTAAAGTATTCAATTTCTTTTCTTTTGCAATTGTATTTTCCAGTGACTTAAAAAGTAAGCTTCTATATTCTCTCTTTGCCAGGAATTCAATGAGAAGATTGCAACAAAACACAAAATTATGAAGTTCATATCCAGGGTAAACTTAGATTTTGAATAGCGTATATTAGATACTAGAATCTGTTTAGATACTAATGGGTGTATTGCGAATTTTTTAATTGTTTTTTTTCCTTAAAAGTATTTTTATTTGTTTGTGTAGAAAGTTCAAAAAGCTTATGCTTTTGAAATTGAAGATGTCCCTGTCACATCTGAGTACCTGGAGGTCAGATATTCAGTAAGTCAGAAACTTGTTTACTGGTGTCATAAACTTCAAGCAACATTATCTCATTATGTAACTGTTAGTTACTAAGTTGCTTAAATTTCAGAGAAAGGCTAGAAAGTTATCGATTACATTAAGTAATGTGCTGATTGCTGATACACTGGGTTAATTCAAAGTTAAACTCTAAGGTTACCATTCAATCTTAATTGTTTCACTCCCAGGAGAGAATGAAAAGGAATTTACCCCAAAAATATCACTATATTCTTGAGCAGAAGAGTAATGTGAAGAAGGAAAAATATCTACTTAACCCTTTAACTCCCAAGATCTGATTGTTAATTCTCCCCTCTAGCTGCTACACATTTCCTTTTAAATTAGTTAAGAGAATTTGGTGTTAGATCAAGATAACAACTTCTACCTGATAAGTTTCAGTATTCTCATTACCTGTTTGCTCAATATTGTAAGGATATTATAGGGAGAAGTTACCTCTAAATCACTTCTCAGAGTTTAAGGGTTAATGGATATTTGATATCAAATTCTTAGCACTAAAATGATAGGGAATGTGTAGCTGGCAGTACAGAGAAACAAAACTTAAATATTTGAGCTAGCAGTGGAGACAGCAGTATCAAATTTCTCTTCCATGCAGAGAGTGCAACCCTGTCTTAGAGAGAAGATTACCTAAAAATTGTCTTCATTTGGTTCTCAACAGGCAGATGGCCCTCAGCTACCATGTGACTTGTCTGGACAAACATTCAGTCATGTATTTGGTACTAATACCTCCAGGTAAGGTTCACTGTGGCGTATACCTGGCTGATCTTAAGGGTGGGGTGTTTGTGGTTAAGGGAGGGGTGGGAAGACAATTGAGTGTGGAGGGAGGGGGCAGGTGTGTAGAGGCTTAACCCTCCCCTCCCACACACACTTTGTCCAGTTAGTTTTAACCCAAGGGACAACATCATAGAGAGTGGAGAAGGTGTTACCTCGAATTTCTCAAATTCAGAAATCAAAGTATTATAGTGTAGGAAAATTTAAAAATTAGTCAGTCTTGCAGCAATGATTGATAACTTTGCAGTTTTTTCTCTTTGCGGATATTTCATGTGGTTGTTTAACTTGGCTGATAATTGTTTTTTTTTAAGTGTTCTTTAAAGGAGATTTTAAAGTCAAGTTCATTTTTATTGCAGTCTTGAGCTCCTTTTACTGAACCGCAAGATGAAAGGACCGTGTTGGCTCAATGTCAAGTTACCTCGTGAGTACTTACAGTGATTAAAAACTAAACTCTCTTAGCTGATTCTCGTACATTTCTTTTATTGTCAGTTGTGAGATTTTTGCGATACCGCAGGACTATATTTGTAAGAATCTATTTTCCTGTTTTTTTTTTTTCTTTTTAATTTTTTTAGAGCTTCCTCAACAGCCGGTCAGCTGGTGCAAAGTAGAGGTTGGTATTCTCACTGATAGAGTGCTTGCAAAAAGTATCTAAGGCAGTTATCATGGTCATTATTGGCGCTTTCCTTGCCCGCGGGAAAATACGAAGCTTTCAGTAACGCGAGCCTGCGAAACGTCTGCAAACGGGTCTAGCACTGATGAGTCCCAGGCCCTTGGCAAACCTCTCCCAGCTTGTCTCAAATCTTCCCGCGGACGGAGAAACGCGCGTCCTGCAGCAGTAAAATTATTTTTGGGTCTTTTAGGCAGTGATCCCAAAACCGGACCTTCTTGAAGTAGCAAGTCAACAAGATCCTCCACCACCTATGGTAAGAACAGAGATAACGCAGAGTTTGTTTTTTTAAATGCCGATGTCAGGGTTTTCATCATGAAACGTGGTTACAGGGAACTAGTGTAAAGGAACAGGGCTCAGTTATTCAAAGGAAGGATAACGCTGTCCAACGGATCAATGCGGATAAGAATAACAAAACGCATTCCGCCATCTGCTGGATATAGATTTGTCCAAAGGATAGCATTATCCACCTTTTGAATAACCGCGGCCAGGCGAGTGTCCTCCACGTCTGCATGAAAAATAACGGCTGAGCTATTAGAATTTAGCCAGAGTGTTTTCTGATCTTTTTTTGTGTACTAAATGTGTTAGATTGTGTTTCAGTAGCTTCATAAGATGCTGTTTACATGAAAAATTTTTATGCTGTTTTTCTTTCTTTCTGTAGGTTGTCATGAGCCTCAGTTTTCGGACAATGTTGAACACCAAGACTCACACACACGAGGTTAGCTTCAATAGTTCATTGAAATATTGAAATAGCATTGAAATGGTCTTCCTTACAGTTGAGTCACTGTGTTTCAGTGATAGAACATCGGAGTATGGCTCGATTCCTCATACAGACTCAGAACTTTTTCTTTGTCCCACGGTCGTGATATGGCTTTAAACATCATTATTTAAGTTTTTTCATGTTTTGATCTAGATCTTAGCTGTGTCAGCTCTGGTACACCATGAAGTTTCATTAGACAAAGCTGCACCTAAACAGAAGTTTCAGTATCATTTCTGTGGTGAGTTGAGCAACCATACTTGCTTGTAACGTTTAATGTTAACCTTGTTGAAAATGAAACGCCTGTGACTACTTTTTAAAATAGGCACAACCTCGATAACTCGTAGATAAGGAAAATAACTTGAAAAGAGGCTGAAATTACGAAGTGTGAAAATTTTACGTGATATACATAAGAGGTAAATTTATTTTGCAGAATAAGGGTTTAAATCCACAATCCGTTCAATTTTCACATTTATCAGTTTAGGGTAACTTTTCGGGTCTGCCCGATTCAAGACGGCGTCATCAGATTTTTGACGCTTCCGTCCGATTTTGGGCGTCTTTGTCTGATTTTTGACGTCTCCGTCCGATCTAGGTCTTTATTCTATGGCTCCGTCTCATGGTTCCATGCCAGGTTTTCACGATTTCTTTTCATCCTTTACACCCTAACATCAGTATGCATATTCTCCATACTGTTCTCTATACATGTCCTAATGTGCTGAAAGGGAGAATTTGTTTAACAATCAAGAGGTTCTTCAGTTGATTATCATTTCCCAAATTCTCACAACCTTAATGTTTGATTCAGGGGTGATATTGAAAGGGGAAATTAGATGCTGGTCACTCTCGGGGATTAAAGGTTTAATGCATCATTCAGAAACAATCACATCTGTATATATTCTACTTTTCTGCTTTAGCTGTAAGTAAACCCAACGATCAGATGTATCCTTACGACTTCAGGGATGCTGTCAAAAAGAAGGTAAAAGTAAACACATGCAATAGGTTTGACTGTAAGACAGTAGATGTGGGGGATATTTTCTGTCGGGGGATGGTATAGTGTGGATGAACGTTTCCTCAGGGGGTCGTTCGGTAATTGGCAGGATTTGAGATGTATGTAAACACGACAAACAATCTACAGGCAATTTGCATTGAATTTAGTGATTCTCTTTGATTTCTCATCTTTACCTCGTTAGCAAATAAACATGGAGATTACGACGTCAGAGAGGGCTCTTTTAGGACTGTTTATGGCCAAGATTCACAGAATTGACCCAGATGTAATTGTGGTATGCGACTTTTCCGTTTGAAGTATTTTCAGTGATGTTATACCAGCATGCAAAAAGGGAATGTATTACTGATATTATAGCTTGGAAGTTTCAGATTTTACTAGATATTCAGCTCTAGCGCACACAAATTCCAAATTCAAATGAATATGGTCGCACCCATTTGGAATTATCAATGTCAAAGTGACTTTAACAACTCAGAGTATTGATTGAATTTCAGCAAACTGTAACAGTGTAAGGTCAGAACGATGGCGTCTGAACATATAAATTGATGCTTGTCGTTGTAGCTTGTCGTTTAGATTGAGGAAATGTCCTCATCACTAATTCTCCCCTAATATTTTCTGTTTGTTTTTTGTCTTTTTTTCTTAAGGGTCATGATATCTACGGGTTTGATCTTGATCTTCTGATGCATAGAATCAGTGCTTGTAAGGTGAATACTACAGCTTAGACAATCTGCTTCCGAACAATGCGTTAGCGAAAAAAATGATGATTCATCCCATAACTACCCTGGGGAAGAGCACTGCGTCTTATTTTTAGATAGTTGGATCTGCAAGCAGCCAAGTTGAAAGGAATTCTTTTTTCTTGTTGGGTCACAGAATCCATCTCGCTCGCGTCTGCCTATTGCCTCTGCAAAAGCGAAGCTCTTCTGCCACATTTCCAATTTCGTTCGTTTAGGTTGGCCAGATTTTGTTGTCTCTAATATCCTTGCGTATTATAGAAATATACCAAAAAAAAGACTCAGTATCTTGTCATCTTGATCTCACGTTTGGTCAATAACGCATATATATAAGGTTTATTTGACTTAAACAAAAGGCCAGAACTAAACTATCGTATGAAATCTTTAGTTACGCCACGAGTTTAAACGTGATGTCTGAGTCGAATAAGATTTTTTAAAATTTAAACTGAATTCAGCTAATGTATGATTTTTCTCTAGATTCCCCATTGGTCTCGCATTGGACGGCTGAAGAGAAGCATTATGCCGAAGCTTTCTGTAAGTGTCTAGTTCTCAACTTTATGTTCAGAGCGCACAAAAAACTACTAACTTTTCTCCTTTAAATTCAAGTGATTTTCGCGCAGGTGGCGACCAAGGGATTGATGTTTGAATTAGTGGGTGTGGAATGGCAATAATTTGCTGTTGCTTAGCGGAAATCCCGACAAACTTCGTTTTGGGAAAGATCTCCAAAAGTCCTCGACAAATTTATTTCTGGATTTTGTCTTTTGGGGTAACGCCTTCCAGTTGAGCGAATTACGACCAATTGAATATAGCCGTTTCAAAATTATGATACCGCTAAGTTTGTTGTTGATTTATCAGCCGCGGCAATACTGTTTATGGAAAGAACTCAAAATTAAGTTCTTAGATTCCTTTTGTATATCGTTACTCGACTTAATCTCCAACGTTTGTGACAGAATGGCGGGCCAGGCAGAGGCAACAGTCTTCTTGATCGTTCCATAACTTCTGGACGAATGGTGTGTGATGTGAAGATTTCATCAAAAGAACTCATACGATGCAAGAGTTATGATTTGACAGGTTTGCCGCCATGACATACCAACCTCTCTATGTTAACTTTCCTATTACTAACAAAGTCGAAATTATAAAGGTTTGATTTAGGTTTTACGATAAACCAAAGAAAAGTTGCCAAATGAAAGTGCGTGGGCTTTGATGTCCTCATTTACGTGGTTGCACACCAGAGTTTTATCCAAGGACTTTAAGTTAAAACCCCTGTGCACAGCTTGATAAACTGAAACACATGAACTAAAGAACTGCTCGATAGCTTTCATTTGAATCGTTTCACCGTCGAGTTTTTATCAATTTTTTCTTTGTCCCATTCTCGTGACAAGACGAAAAACATCTTTTTCAACATTCTGCTTTGTTATCATATAAAATAAATAGATGCATATTGCCGTGGGTCTGACCAGTGATAGATCACAGTTGACGTCATAATGTGGTAAGAACATCAGTGACACACTTAGCTGTGCCTCATGTGACGTCATTTTGATGTCTTCTGTGATCTGTTACTGGAATTTATTTGTTAATTAGAACAACCTCGTACAGCAGAACAAACGGTACCACATAAAAGTACTGCTTAGGAGCTTTCTTTTCATTGGTTGCACGCTAAGGTTTATACATACGTACAAGGTTGATTCAAATATTTAAATACAACGTAAAATTGGCGCTTGTTTATTTTTCATTTTCCAGCATTATCGTGGGCTGTTCTTCAATCAAGAAGAGAAGAGATTGATCAAGATGAAATACCAAACAAATACAAGTGAGCCCCCTTCCCCCCCCCTCCCTTTGCGCCTCTTTTGCTTAAACATACGTCACTGTTAACTTTGATTTTATAAAACTTTTGGGCCTAGTCTTTTGCGCGCTGAACTCCAGATCAGGAGGTCTGGGTTCAAGCTCTGGCCCGGTTATTGAGGTGTGTTCTGAGGCAAGGTTCTTTAGTGTCACAGTGTCTCTCTTCACCCAGGAGTATAAATGGGGACCAGCAGATAACACTGGGAGGTAACCTGAGAGAGATAGACTAACTTTCCATTCAGCGGGAGTAACCATAATTTTTTTTATGCTTTATGCTTCCGAAACCGGGATTAGGTTCAATAGTTTGGGCCGCATAGCTCGTGGGCAGGTTTTACCTTTCATGTTTCAACTCCACATTTGATATCCTGTAAATTGAGAATTTATAAAGTTAAATTTTTTGTCTCTTTTTTTCCTTTTTTTTTAAATTTTTTTATTTTCAGCTCCACGCAGGAATTGCTTCATATGTTTGAACTCACTTCGGTAGGTAACCTCCATCATTTTTGTTGCATTTAGCAGTTTTCGAGAATCTTTGCTCAAATCTCCTCGTTCGAAGTGAAAACAAATTTGAAAATATACTGATCTACTCTTTTTCTGTCTACAGATGGATGCACTCTTAACTCTAAGGATCATGTATGATCTAAACGTAAGTATTTTCTACACTTTTTTGTTACACTTCGTAAAAACGTTGTTCCCTTCAATGTTGCAAGGTTAATTTTACGTAGGTTTGTAATTCTAATTTTTTAAAATTTTTCAAGGTTTTGCCCCTGGCTTTGCAGATAACAAACATTGCTGGAAATGTTATGGTTAGTATGTTCAGCAATCTTTGCTTCGAAAAATGATCTTTTAGATTTCGCGTTTGAATGTTTCAAATGTCATTCTTTCAAATTCAATTCTTTGGAAAATCACTGCTTTTCTCTCATCACCAGATCATCTTCAATCAAATTTCTGGGCTTTTCACGTATTTTTTAATGGAAATTACCAAAAAAGTTAACTAAGATATTCTTGTATGATGCTTCTACAGATTAGTTTACGGAAGGTTTTTGTATTTGTAAATTGTTTCGTTCGTGAAACCATGTGCAACGGAGAGAGACCAGTGTGCCTCTGTAGCGCGCGCAACTTGAAATCGAGGCTTGCCTCACTAGAAACGTTATTATGACGTTTTTTGACTGTTTTTTTTAGATTTCGTTGCGGCGTTTTCCAACCACCTCATGCGCAAAGAAGCCTGAGCTAAGATTTTGACGCTCAACTTTCATTTCTTTTGTGTTTAAACGCCTCAATTGACGTATGGTATTTCTAAAAACAGATGCTAAATATTTTGTTCTTCATTTTTCAGACTCGAACACTTCTTGGTGGCCGATCAGAGAGAAATGAATTTCTTTTGCTTCACGCCTTCAACGAAAAGTAAGACTTGTGAATTCTTTTTGTCGTTGCTTTCCGCAAAGGATGGAAAGAGTTGTGGTGGTGGTGGGGGGAGAGAGAGTTCGTCTCAACCGAGATTTCACCCGTCAGTTTTTTTTTTCCTTTGTTCGCTGTTTTTCAGCTGCGCGTAGGTTGGAAAACTCAACGCGTCGATAGTTATTTCTAAATAACTGTTTCGCTGCTTTGGCGGGCAAGTGAAACTCTTTGTTGGTTATCAACCATAAATTTATCAAAGCAAGAAAACCGTTGCTAATTTTAATGTAGGTGTTTGCTTCCGCAAGAGCAAAGTAAGAGCGAAGAGCTATAGTTTGAACTATCAGCTTTCCAGGAAAAAATAGCAGACGATTTCTTGTTTCTACACCTGCTTTGTCCTTCTTTGAACAGAAATATATTTCTTTTTATTACCAAATTGTCATTATTTTTAACAGTGACTATAATATTTTATTTTATTCAGGAATTTTATCTGTCCAGATAAAAGTTATGGCAAGAAACAAGTGGTATAAATATTTTTGTTCTAACTTGCTTGCTCGAGATTCCTCATTTCCTCTCTAGATATTTCTTTCCTTCACCTATTTTTCCTCAATTCATCTCAATACATTTGAGTTTCCTACGGAAATTACACTTGTTGATAATGTGATGTGTTTTGAACAATTTTTTTTAAAGAAATTTTCAATTGAAAGTCGAAAGTAACCCGGGACTGCATTGATTTTGCTTTACTTTGCTTTGTGATTGGTCCTTACTCTAATCTCTCAACCAATCACGTGTAAAACCTAAACCAATCACGATTTGGTCGCGTGGGTTTTCCCGCGCTTTCGGTGGTTTTCTTGGTTTTACTTTGAGGTCTCATTGGCTCTACGAGGCAATTTCCTTTTCTTCTCATTCGGCTTTATAATTGATTGGTTTTGTTTTTACGGCCCTTAATCGAAAAGCACTCTCAAGTGACTAGGTTTCCAGGCAAGTTTCCAGAGTACAGTCTCTGGAGCTCGCTGGGAGGAACTTTTTTTCCCTGTCTTGTGTTTCTGTCAAAGGTTTAACTTCTTAAAAGTTTCTTCTTATCCTCGTTCTCAGGTCGAGGCAGACCACGATGAAGACGAACAACCTTCGACTTCCAAGAAAGGACGAAGAAAACCAGCGTATGCTGGGGGACTGGTGTTGGAGCCTAAGAAAGGTATCTAATCTTTTTTTACTCTGCACTGTGTTTGGTCTAGGATGCAAAACCAAACCGATGGCGCCGTAGTCACTCAGGTTTTCCCGCGCTTCGGGCCGTTTGCTCGTTTTTACATCGAGTTCTCATTGGCTATTTTTACAGCTTTCTTCACTTTGATTGGCTGTTGTGATAACTATAGTTTTGATTATACGGCACTTTACGAAACATACTTTATTTCGACTTTTCTCTTAGGTTTCTACGACAAACATATCTTGCTGCTGGATTTCAACAGTTTATACCCGTCCATTATACAGGAATACAACATTTGCTTTACTACAATCAACAGAACAAGCTTCAACTCTAAGGGGGTAAGTTGCATTTAATATAATCGCGTCATCTTCATTTATAGAATTATGCTTACAAAAAAAAGCTCACTAACAAGGAAGACGATAATCTTTTTGAATTTTTGCTCAATCAAGTGTTTCGGTGAACTCTCTATCTTTCAGTCAATTATTTTTCTTGTTATTTTTCAGAATTACCTTTATCCAGACCATAGCACTTTACTTACAATAAAATTTATTCATTCATTACTCATTCTTATTTTATCAGCTAGCCGAGGAAGAGGAAATGGTTGAGTTACCTGATCCTGAATTAGAACCTGGCATTCTGCCTACGGAGATCAGGAAATTGGTGGAACGAAGAAAACAGGTTTGTTCCTGTCTTAGGCTGGTTGGTGACGACTGTAAGAGCATGCGCATGCCACGTTTTACACAAAGTATTTTAATTGCTTACCAAAAGTATTCACTTTTCTTACTAGGTGAAGGGAATGATGAAAAACTGCGCTCGTGATTCAGATCAGTACCTGCAGGTTAGTAATGTATATTAAGAGAAATTTTCGAAAGTAATCCGAGGTTCGCATGGATGTCACATTACTTCTTTCCTTTTCTGAAATTCTTTGTGATTGGCCCATAATCCCTCAAGGAAATGTACTTTAATTTAGCCGCTTCGCCCGGCAGTTGGGCCCTTATCGCATCACGGACAAAAACCTTTAGAATTTCAACCAATTTTTTTTAAATACCCTTTTTAAGCCCATGATGTGGGGATTTAAATGTTTTTTCTTTTCAGTATGATATAAGACAAAAGGCCTTAAAGCTTACTGCAAACAGGTAGGTTTATCATACTCGTCTTCCGTAGTCGCTTCACTCAGGGAAACTCAGCAGACAAAAACGATAGGCATGCGCAAGTGAATAAATTTTATCCAGCAGTGCGTCAATTTCCCGCCCAAAATTTCATAAGTAAACATAAGAGACAACCACTTCCACGCCAAAGATACGAAACGATGGAATTGTTCGTAGAAATCTGCAGAATGAAGCAAATGTAGGATAAAGGATAACTGGGTACTTTACGAACACAAAGTTTATTTAATTACGGGTATTCTGTCAGTTGATTTCCATTTTGTTTTGAGCTTAGAAAAAAAGTTATTCGCTTTTAATTAAGAAAGCTTTACTAGTTTGGTAATGTTATTTAGCCTGAGATGACTTTGTCGGGCCGCCTATGAAGACACTTCGAGAAGAAATATGGCAAGCTCTTTAGTCACGTTACAGTCACGCATTGCTTTCACATCTGGAGTTGTGTTGGCTTGTTCAGAGCATCTCGGCACTAATTTGGGGCTTGTTGGTTTTCTTTCTATTGTAGCATGTATGGCTGCTTAGGATTCTCCCATTCAAGATTTTATGCCAAGCCACTGGCTGCCCTGGTTACGAGCAAAGGCCGAGAGGTATGTACTATGATATTATGACAGCGTGACAGTGCGATAGCATGACGGCATGACGACAGCGTGACGACAAGATGATTATGACAACACGGCGCTAAAGCGTCACAGCGTGACAGCATGATAGCGTCACAGCGCGATAACATGGCAGCTTGTCAATGCGATAACATGGCAGTTTTCCACCTGTTTCGATTTTAAACATTCCGTTTCCCGGAAATATTTCTGGAAGACCTCATCGAAACCTTATCGCCAGTTTTCCAAAGCTATAGCATTTAGTGGTAGTAATCTTTTCGGCTGCAAACCACAAGCGTAGGAGTGTTTTTGACTGAGACTTCTTATCTCTCTAAAGTTACTCTCTTTCTCGTCATGGAAAGAAATATCTGGTCGCATTTCCGACACCAGGCGGTACACTTCAGATTTAACCAACTGTTAAAGAATTCACAGCATTTGCCGAACCATAACGCTGCGTCCAAATCTCCAGATGGAAAAATCACACTCAGTGGAATTGCATGCAAATAAATTGGTTTTATTTTCACGTCTTTTTTTGTAGAATATTAAAAGGGAATGATAAAGATAGTGATGTGCATTCGAGATAGCCATAATTCAGCAAAAAAAAATTGGAAAAGCCTTTGATTGCAGTTTTATTTCCCAATAAACCCACAATGACAAATTTTTGCTTCAATTTGTTTGTTTGTCAAAAGAAAACCCATGAGATGCTTATCGTTATTTATTTATGAGGTTCGTATGGCCATTTCTGTGGAAATCTCAACAGATGTTTTAAGTTCATCAACTAAACGTTGTGGTTGACAATTAAATTCCAAAAATAATTTTTACTCGCTACGGGTGAATTTCGGAATTACTTTGCGCCTCCGCCAGACAGACGTTTATAAGACAAAACGAATTCGAAATTGCTTCAACTCTAAACTTACTAATTTTGAGATGACTTTTATTAGTTAGGCACTTGACACTGAAGTAACGACATGTTTTGTAGTTTTTATTGAAAGTTCCTGCTGACATTCAGGATACTTTTTAATTATAATAATTTTTAAGTCTGTCAGCGAATTTGATGAATTGGTCGTTCGTCAATAAAGTAAATTTTTTATGGTAGACATTTACCTATCATGCAGTTTCTTGCAAATATTGATGCTCCGTCGCTGTTATTAATGTTTAATTCATCGTCGTAATATCTCTATTTCTATCAGGACCCGTTCGGACTAATTGTTAGGTTTAGTAGAACTATGGAACACTTGAAAAGTTTAACAAGTTGTTTGAATAAACTTTTTTACCGTATTAAAATTACGTTCTTTATCAATATATGACAAGTTTTATGACCATTTCAAGTTTCTACAAGAGAACTTGCCTCGTTGTAGCCGAATTTCTAAATAAAATCCGACTCGCCAAAAATTTGAATAAACTCGTCGAAATCCACTCTCTCGTCTCCCTTCGTGTCGGCCATTTTGATCATTAGATCTATGTCAGACTCGGTATGATCAATGTTGAGCCTGCGTAAAACTCTTTTTATTCCTTGTGCTTCGATGTAGCCTTTCTTCTCCACGTCAAATTCTTGAAATACTCTTTTTAAACGCCGCTCACGCTTTGTCTCGCGGAAAATCTGTTTGGAGAGTCGCTGGAAGCTGTCATAAGAAACCGTCGTGTTTGGTCGGTTATTTATACCTGTAGAATGAGTCAGATATCACCTTGAAATGGAGAGTAGACAACAAACTGTCCTAGAGTCGTTCACACATTGGCACTAATATTCACAGCGTTTCTTTATACATGAAGTTTCGTTGAAACCTGACACCAATTTCCATATTATTCATCTATTTCTCTAAAGACACACGCTTTTTTTTCGTTCCTGTGTTTTCACTTCTCGTCTAAAATTGAAAAATTTCTAGAAGAAAACCTGAAAAAAAATGTAATTTCCAAAGAAATACTGTCATATTTATTCATCGTCATTTTCTTAGTCAACGGGGCTTCTTATGAGTCGTTCAGACCGTGCAGTACGGTAATTTTTGCCATTGTTTTTATAAGATTTGCAATGGACGCTGCAAGTTAATATCATGAGTCTTAACTTTGAGAATTTTTCAGTCGCGTATTAATTTGAACATGAATATTTAATTTACCTGTGATTCGAAGATGTTCTTTCAGTTCTTCATCGCCTATTTCTTCGCCCAAGTCCTTGAAGACGTGAACAAGGTCTTTCACACTTATAAATCCGTCCGAATCTTTGTCGTAATTGCGAAAGATAACCCTCATATTAACTTGTTTTTGATGGGGAATGCCCGCCATTTTGAAATTCCCAAACTGGATCGCAAGCCAAGGAATTTTCGTGGAAGCGATGACTCGTCGTCGCTCATATAACCAAAGATTTCTTCTTCCACGAGGCTGGTTTAGCTCGCAAAGCAATACACTTTCAACGAGCTGGACATTGTGTTGACGACCTATACTATTGTTAGGAAGACAAAGACTGGCTTCGATCAACTTATTTACATGTAGTCTTATAAAAGAAGATAATTACTCCCCGCTCTAAGGAGGGCTAACTGCGATGATTTCGTCTTTGATCATTAAGTTCCTTTTGTTAAAGAGCTCATAAAAATTAAATCAAGGCTTTGAGCTAGAAAGAGTTTGTGGTAAAACAAAAGATAATTAGTCGAAACAGAGTCACGTAGACTGACATCAGATATCCCAAAATTCGCGCAAATTGCACTAACTTTGCTCAAATGTGTCTACAAAATAAATTACATTTCTATCAACTCCAACCATGATATTTTCTTTGTGTACAAAATTTCCGCCTTTTATTTCCTTTGACAAGTGATGGCTATATTTTTTGTCTAAACGTCATAACCACCGTTTATCTCTTTATTCGCATTTTAAACCTGAAAATCCACCCACTTCATAATTCTATAATGTGATATGGTCGGTCATGTGTGGAAAAACCAGTCAATTTAAAAAAAAAAAAAGCCTCAAAATAAAGTTTCTTAGCCCATGAAAGTATTTGGCTCCGGTTGTCTGAGTTAAGACCTGCATTTTAAAAATACGAAAAAATCAGAAATGTTTTTCCGTTTAGTGGAGACCCGAATTTTTTAGCTCTTGAAACGCTTACAAATGCAACTGCAAATTTTGGTATGTTTTGTCGACTTAATAATTATAGTTGTCTGACACTTCAAACCACGTTTTCCATATAAGGTGTTTTCTTGTAGTGACAGCAATTTTAATGAAAGATTGACGCGCAAATTGTTCTGAAAACTGTTCCAAACCTGTCACAGGCCAACTACAGGTAAAGTGATAAAAAAGATAAAAAAAAACTGACTTTTAGGTATTAAAAAGCAGTTTAGAAGCTGGTCTGTTCTCTTTATGAGCCAATTTTTAAGTGAGATGTCTCTTTTTTGTCCACATCTCAACATTTAGGCTGATGTGTGAAAATTAGAAGGAAAATTGAAAGTTGGTTAACCAAAAAACAGCTTGTTGTCTTTGTTGATAAGCCAGCGGGGTTTTGATCGTTTGGTGAAGAAAACTCCGCACCGTGCTCGCTAAAACTTCCGAATTCTCACTGGCTCCTAGCGGTCTTGATGAGTGAGACCTTGTTTGTATTTAGTTGACGTATAAGTCTTTTCAACAGCTGTTTCTTTGACGGCGCAACACGCGGAAGTTTTTGCCTTTTAGCACTGGCTGAACAGAAAGTTAGATTAAAATAATTAAAAAAAAAAAATACGTTTCAACATTTAGGGCCTAAAATAACAAAACAAAAAACTCTTTTTGTCATCCTGTACATAAAAATGAAATTCGCGCTTGTGCCAGCCTTTTTAAGCAATTATCAGTTTGTTGTCAAAAGTATTCGGGATTGCTCAGTTTTGGGCTGCTTCGCTCTGTGATTGGTTGATAAAACTCGCGCCATTCTCGGAACCAATCAGATTCAAAACTAAACCAATCACGAATTGGTCATCCGCGTTTTCCCGCGCTTCAAGAACGTTTCTTGAGTTCTCTTAGTTCTCATTGGCTCCTTGTGATATTTCCTTTCATCTGATTGGCTGTTGTGAATACTTTGGTTTGGCTTTACGACACTCAATAAAAAAGCGCACCAGGTTCTTTCGCTGCCATTTAATGGGATCGTTGCGTGTTATCCTAAAGAATGGCTGCAAAGGTGACCACTCCTATGTTACTGATCTTTAGCTTTTCTAGTTTTTCTTTTGGAAGAGATTTTAGTGTCTTACTTCAACTTTCTACGAGTTTTGCATCTTACACACGACGTTAAATTTAAAAATTTGGGGCGAGTTCCATCCAAGATGTCAAAGATGATTGTTTTTGTCAGTATCCCCACTCGCTTTCTTGGCAATCTACTACATTTCTTGGGAGAAATTGTCTCTGATCACACGAAACTAAGAACCCTTCATTCAGACATTCATCATCGTCATAAAATCGTCGTAGCCCACGAGCCCATCACCATCGGCGTCAGCGGCTTTTACCATAGCCTCGATTTCGTAATCTTTAAAGTCCTGACCGAGGAGCTTGAAGACTCGGTCGAGTTCAGCGACTCCAATAAAACCGCTGCCATCTCGGTCGAAAACCTTGAAGGACTCGCGTAGAATGTCTTCAGGATCGCAATCATCTAGGTTTTTCGACATAAGCGCGAGGAATTCGGGGAAGTCGATAGCACCATTTCCGTCTGCATCTAAATAACAGAGAGAAACTGAACTTACTTTTGGTCACTAAGTGATTGGCTTTTTGTATTGTAAAGCCAAATATTTCTTCCCAGCCTCCTCGTTCAACCTTTCTGCCAGGCAAATTCTTTCCCCCCCCCACTACCCCTGGGTAATGCTATTCTCACCTATTTGGTTCATCATATCCATGAGTTCCGCCTCTGTTATGTTGTACCCGAGGGAAGTTACCAATTTCTTCAGCTCTGTTGCTGTGATACAACCATCACCATTGGTGTCAAACACATGAAAAGCTTCTTTGACTTCACGAATTTGATCAGGAGTCAGTTTTGAGGATTTCAAGGCCTCCTCTTCCCTTTTAGATACATTTTTGACATCATTATTGTTTTTTTTAGCTGACAAATGCTTGTCTTTGTCCAGAGGTTTGTTTAAGTCCGGGTTATCTTCGTCATCGGCGAAGATGTATTCGTCGTCGGAAATCGAATACCGATCACTTCCCGATTCGTCCTCGCTCAAAGCCGAAGTCGAAGATTTAGTAGGTTTAAGCGACAGAAATCGTCTCAACAACTCGCCGTTCTCTGTGCTACTGCTTGGACTTTTTTCCTCGCTCGTCTTTGCGTCAACTGAAAGTGCAGCATTCTCTTAAAAAAAACAAAATTAAGAGATCTAATAAACGTTTATGTACTTTTTGTGGCTTCTCACCTTAGAACTGAAGCGCGCATTGTGAAATCTTGTTTAATCTTTTACTGTTAGATAGTGTTGAAATCTTGTCTTAATAATACAAATTGTACCAAAACCAAATATCTTCGCACTTGGAACAAACGAAGTTTCCATCTCCATTGAGTACATAGTAACAAACTTCACAACTGAACGATAGTATAGCAATTAATTGTGTTAGGTTTAGAGAAATGATATCACTAAATACCTTGCGCTGCAAATGGTCTGAAAATTCTTATTTATGTGAAATACACTGCTTGTCAGTTCTCAATTATTTGATTGACTGAAAAAGACAGGAAACGCCAATATTTTTCGCGTTTAACGAACTTAAAAGTTTGTTTCTAAATACATAGATCTTGAAATTTGTCCAACCGTAACTGATGGCACGTTGATCAGTGTTTAGAGTTTAGCTATTACATAGCACGTTTGGTTCTCTATTTAATTGTTTTGTTTTCTTTCGCGTTTGTCATCGGCTTGAGGATTTAGAAATTCCACTGTTGATACCCAATAGTAATTAAAAAAAGAAACTAAAACTTCCTTAAAAGATAAGGGCTTTCTGTTCATAAAGCGTGAAGTTAACTTGACTAACTCCCAATGAGGATTTGAAATGATACATTTAGGACACAATAAATATCCCTCCCCGAATAGAAACAAAACAGTACAGCTTGGCAATCTTTTGATGTTAGCGTAGCTCGGATTTTAGCATGTGAAAATCGTACCCTCTGGGCAGATTTAAGTTGTTTCCAAGATTCGTTATTCTTTGTTCATGGCGAATTAAGCTCGTGTTTGTTTATTTTAAACGTATGTTGTGATCTAAAGTGGCTTACCGGCACTTTCCACTCCTCTCGCTGAGTTCTTCTCGACTTCTGGTTCTTCCGCGATCGAGGTACAACGGCGACGTAACATTATAGCTTGGAAGTGTTAAAAAAACCGAAATCTTTCTCTTTCCGCAAACTATTCAGTTGACTTCTGCTCGTTCTCAAGTATTTTGTTTATCTCTTTGTCATCTTTGCATGTCTTTGCTGCCTGGTTTCAAAGGTGCGGTGTACGCTAAATAATCCTGGTTCACGATTTCTCTCGTTCACGTTTGGTTACTGAAATTTAGTAATTTGCGTGTCGCGTTAATATTTAATCCCCGTGTCATTAACCGTCAAAGTGCCGCCAATATATGCGTGTACGGCGCAATTACAGTGTAATTATCAGTGAAAAGACTTTCCTAAATTCCACTATTGTCACGTTTGACTTTCGCTGCATATTGCTTTGATTCGATTACGCTAAAAAGGTTGAAAACATCCTAATATCGAAGTGTTCAAGCATCTTGCTGTCGCATTAATGGATTATCTTTTAGTAATCAGTGAATTTAGAATATTTCATGGTTTAATCGATCTTAGATGTTTCATGGTCTTTTCAGATGCAAATTTAAAAGGGGCAGTCGGTCTTTGTTTTCAATTATCGCACAATCTTAGATCTTGGCATGATCTCTCAAAGTAGAGGTGGCATGAAGTTTAATCCAGTCATAACGTCTGGCTTTCTGTTTTGTTCTTTTTTTTTTTTTTTTTTAAGTTGCTAGGCATGTAATTACATGAATGAAGGGGGTAACTGTGGTGCTGCGTCGGTGGGAGAGTTTAACAGGGTAATTTAGTGTTATCAACTGATTTTGATAACGTAAATTGGCCACCGTAGAGAGTTTAAAGGCTGACGTTTCGAGCGTTAACTTTTCGTCAATCGCTCTGACGAAGGGCTAACACTCGAAACGTCAGACCATGTAATTACCATGTAATTACATGGTCTGGTTCAACTTCTAAACTCTTTTGCGTGATATGTCTGCGGAAGGGCGGGAAGCAGCTTTTTTTAGAACGCGAAAATTGAACCCCGACAACACGTTATCGAACCTTCACCGAGTGATTTTCGATTTTGGTCATCCAATCACATCGGAGGAAACAGCTCGAGAAGTCGTCGGGACGACGACAGTTTTGTCCGATCGAAGTTACGTCATAATGTTGTGCACTTCGCTGACCCAAATCGAACTCGCAAGCTCGTTGGATGTCAGGGAAAGTCTTTCCTATATGCTCTTACTCCTTTAATCAAGATATCAATTCTCTGCGCTGTTTTCCATGCATCTCTTATAATTTTAGTTATGAGAAATTAATGCTCAATCAAACAATATCCGCTAGTCGATATTTATCCTTCTCGCCACCTGTTTTGCTTGAAAATTAAAAGGGTTAAGGATTAATCTTCGGCTTTTGTTAAATTTTCATTTCTTTCGTTCCTATTACAGATTTTGCTTAAAACAAAGGACCTGGTTCAAAATGTAAGTAATCTTAGTGTAGAAACGTGTTGTGTGTTTCTTGCGACAGCAATTCAAACTTTATTTTGAGCTGTTATTGTTGTATGTTTGTTAGAAAGTGATATGAGTAATTTGACCATGAGTAATCGCGCCTGCTGCTGGTAAAGTGAAGGAAAATTGTTCCTATAGAAAATCGAGAAAGAGCAGAGCAATTCATTATCGGTAAAAATTCGTGGTCAGTGTAAGCCACCAACGCACTCATGTAAGCAAATAAGATCCAAAATTTCGCACAACGTACGGACTTTTAACATGCGAATGATGCAAATATGATAAATGCGATTTTGCAATGAATTTAAGAGGCCGCTGGAAAAGATCTGCGTGTTACTCTATTGTAAGAAACTTCGTATGTTTAGAGTGTCACAGACACTTAGAAGAGGAGAAAATTTAATATTTACCCTTTTTTTTTTTTTTAATTCTGTCAGTTGGGTCTTGATGTGATTTACGGAGACACAGACTCTATCATGATCAACACAAATACCACAGACCTGGTAGAAGTACGCAAGATCGGAAACAAGGTATGCAATTAACATGTAACTCTCTTTGCCATACTAACCATTGTCTTTATTATCATTTACACACTTAACAACTTGCAGAGGGGAATGAGTTACGTGGTTTTTAGGGATGTTACGAAGGAAGAAGGCAACACAGTGCTTTTTACAGTCGGAATCAGTTTGTTTTGAAAACTTTAATCAACTGATACCGGTTTTATTGGTTAACTTTCGTTTTCCTTTAAGGTGAAAAATGAGGTCAACAAGCTTTATCGGTTATTGGAGATCGACATTGATGGTATATTTAAGTCCATGCTGTTACTGAAGAAGAAAAAGTGAGTAGTCTGTCTTTACATCAGTTTGTCTGTCCTTCTGTCTGTCTGTTCGTCTGTCTATACATCAGTCAGTCTGTCCGTCTGTCTGCCCGTTCGTCTGTCCGTTCGTTCCTCAATTTGAACTTTCGTCTGCCTGTCCATCTTTCTGTCTGTCCGTCTGTCTACCCGCCCGTTCGTCTGTCAGTCTGTTCGTCTGTCCCGCGTTCGTTCCTCAATTTGAACTTTCGTCTTTTCCCTACATCAGTTTGTCTATTCGTCTGTTCGTTTGTCCCTCTATTTGTACCTCCGTCTGTCCGTCTATCTGTCTGTCTGTCTCTGCCTTGGACGTGCCACTGAAGTGTAGAATGATGTATCCAAGTGTGTAAGTGCATTATTGTATGCTCTAATTCCTTTATTCTTTCTCTCAAGGTACGCTGCCATCAGTATTTCAGAGAATGAGGATGGTAAGACGGTTTTCAATGATAAGATTTTATTTAGATCCCAGACGTCAAAAAACAAACAAGACGACAAAAAAATGTGTTTGGTGCGGATGGTCAAGCGTCCGACTTAAAATTGGTAATTTTGGACGAGCCTTGACACCCTGTTTAAATAATTCATCCCATTGATATTTGAAAAAGGTCATCTCACAAGTCTGTGTGATCTCTAAGAGAGTTTCTCAATGAATAATGTCATCAAAAATCTCGCAAGATAAAAAGAGTCTCAAAAGAGTGGGCCAACGAATTGTGGCGATGCCAATATCACATGAAATTTCCATTCAAACGACACGAGTTCGCAAAATTTATCTTTTAGGAACATTAAACGAAGTCAAAGAGATGAAAGGTTTGGATATTGTGCGGAGAGACTGGTGTGATCTCGCGAAGGATTCTGGGAAGTAAGTAACTCCATGGTCGGCAAATTAAGAAGCTAACAATGAGATAATAGAATGATAACAGTAACGAAATGTTTCTTTGTCATTTGTTTATAGCTACGTTCTGGCTCAGATCTTGTCATCACAACCTCGTGAAACGATTGTGGAGAATATTCACGACTATCTTATATCAGGTACTGTATGGCCGCTGGTCAAGAAAACTCTCATTGAATGTTCAGGTCAAGAATGTAAATAATTTGGATTATATTTTACTATTGTTATAAAGCTGTTGCCGTGAGGTATTTTTTTTTCTTTCTTTTTCAGTTGGAGAGAATGTTGCCGAAGGCAAAGTGGACATTCAGAAGTATATCATAAACAAGGTTTGAAACTTGTTTGTTTAACAGTTTCTCTTCAGACACTAAATATCAACGGGCAAGGAAGTAGAGGAATGAGTTAATCAGAACCTGATGTGTAAACAATGTTAAGTGGGGGAACAGTGCTTACCGTGAGGGCGGGAAAATATGGAATCCGCGTCATGTGCCCGCGAAAATAGATACGGTGAAATGGCGGGAAACACGCGAGCAATTTCAGTCGCATGAAACTTATCCCCATCCACATCGAGGAAAACGGTCTGTAATCACTGAAAAATAAATGTTTCCAATAATCATTAGTAGAGTCCTTCACTTTGAACTTATCAATATTTCTTTTTACAGCAATTGACTAAATCTCCCCATGACTACCCTGACAAGAAGTCGCTCGCTCATGTCAATGTGGCCTTGCGGATGCTTAGTAAGGGAAGAAAAGTCAACGCTGGCGATACCATACCCTATGTCATTTGTGAAGTAAGTAAATCAATTATTTCTCATCAGTCTGGGAAAACAGACTCCCACCAAGATTTTTGTTACAGGAGCGCTTTTTCTTAATGTGTCATAAGGGCAAAGCCAAAGTAACGGTCCAAGCCAATCAGAGAAAAGCTGAACATCACAGAGAACCAATCAGGACTTGAAGTAAACGTAAGCGCGGGAAAATGTCGGTTAGCATCTGATTGGTTGAGAGGGTGATGCGAGTTTTCTAAACCAATTACAAAGCAAAGCGAAACAAAACCGATCCGACTGTGGTTTGCCTTCGATATTCAATTGAACTTGTCTTATTTAGTACATGGGTATTTGAGAGTTCTTTTTATTTGTTTTATTTACAAATTTTTCGTTTTTTCATAGGATGGCTCGTCGCTGGCTGCCACTCAACGTGCCTACCATCCTGATGAATTCTGCAAGTCTGATACACTGAAAATCGGTATCCTTTGAAATACAAACATCAAAGAAGTGCCAAAATTTTATTGCTGAACATTTGTTGGCCCTTTTTTTATGCTATCAAAATATTCATTTTAGAACATCAGAACTACAGTTCACTAAAATTCACTGATTGCAAAAGGCGTTGTGGGATGTGGGACAGTTTGTGTCACTCTTTTTCAGTCACCTTTTCAGTCATCTTCTTTGCTAGCCGTTTTCAACTGAACGTGCGTCGTTCGCCACCATCATGGGATTTAGTTGTCTGATTATTTTATATATTTTACTCATATCTTTTATCATGGGCCCTTTTCCTTTAACGACTTTAAACTGCAGACGTGAAGTATTATCTGGCAAATCAGGTTCACCCTGTTGTGTCTCGTTTGTGTGATCCTATCGACGGCACGGACGCCGCTCACATCGCACAGTGTCTAGGTAAGTCGGTAATCGGTTCAAAGTAGTATAATTATCATTGATACGGACTATATCCTAAGGTCGTTCCCAGGGTCCTCTCTCTCCCTCCCTCGAGGAAGTATGAAAAAATAACCTGGGAACTAAGGCTAACTTTCTCACGGTATTGTTTTGGTCCATATTTTAAGCACTGCTTCGGAAATATGTGGCACACGAATAGCGCTTATTTTCCTATTGGCTTGGAGATGCAGTCGGGAAAGTGTATATGACACTTTTTTTCTAATTTCTGACAGGTTTAGATCCGTCTGGTTACCGTGGTAACACTGGGCTGCATGATGACGAAAATGACGCCTTGCTTGGTGGCCAGGCCATGATGACAGACGAGGAGAGATTTAAGGTACTGGAAAACACTAAGATTTAAGCTTACAAAAGGAGTCTTACAGGGAGAGTTTGGAAACTGAAGGCGATATTTTATAATGAAAACCCAAAAATCTAAAACATGGTTGGAATATTCGAAGGGAAAAAATAACCACAATTAACATAATTGTTCCGGTTTATTATAAAGATGCGCGCGCTCTGATTGGTCAGGTTTGATTCACATCTCGATACAATCATCTCGCGCGAGCTGATTATAACTGGAGCGCAACATTTCAAAATGGCTGCCTTGCATCTAGTCAATAACTCCGTGAAAATAATAAACGCGATAGAGGAAAATTCAGTTGCGAAGGGCCCAAAATATGTTACTGAGCTTGGCGGAACACCCTGTAAAAGAGATATATGAAGTTTTTGCTGAGTTATCAGCTCAATTGCAACAAAAAAATCGCAATCCTTTTTTTAAGTTAACAGAGTTTACGACAAAACTCGAAAGCTGATGAGTAATTCTATTAACACAATTAATCGCCGAACGCGAGGTGAAAATTGTTGAATAATTCCCCTCGGCCTCCTTCTTAAAGATTATTCAATAACCTTCACTTCGCCTTCGGAGAATAGTTTTTTTTTAGTAGAATTGCTCATCAGCTTTCAAACTATAGAAATAGTTTTGACAGTAGTAGTGATAATCATAATCTTAATAATCAAAAGCTTTTGTTAAAGCGTAAATAATACTTGTGACGCGCGGCGTGTTTGCATCCAGGACAGTTTAACGCGAAAGGAGCGTTGGAGAAACGTACAAAAATATAACAGAGATCTTTGTGGCAGTTTTGGTGCTTCCTGGGTTTGGTAGGTAGTTTGGGCGCGGGTTACACTTGTTCACGCTTGTCAGAGCAAAATTCCACAATGTGCCATTTATAACCAGAAAAGATGTGTCAACTAACTTCCAAAACACAAAGTTTGTATTTATATACACCTGAATCTCCGAATCGTCCTCATCTTTTACTACTTCCTCTATGCAGGACTGTGAACGGTTTATTGTGAAATGCAAGCGTCCAGGCTGTGGTAAAGAAACAACTCTTGAGGTGCTGTTTAAAAATACTGTAAGTACACACAGATAATCGCTAGTGATAAATTCGCGGGTGTCACCAGGATTTTTCAAAAGGGGGTCACACTGTGTCAAACAGAGGGTGCTAAACAGTTTTGGCCACCCGAATACTGTAGGTTGTTTGCTTAAAAGAAGGGCTTGCAAAGAGGGGGGGAGAGGTGGGGGTTGTCACGGGCACCCCAGGACCTCCCTCTCGCCACGCTCTCGAAATTTATGGAGCTGCAACCAGTACTCTCCCCTCCACTTATCTCTGTTTTCATACATCTGGCACTCATTTAGTGTACTGCATGTTACAACCATTTTTTTGTTCTGACACGATTTGAGTCGTTTCTGTTTACTTACGTCATGCGATGCTCTTTATTTTACAGTCCGACCCATTTGGCCTCAGTGATACATGCCCCGGGTGTAGAACCGAGTATAGCGCGGGCGCTGTTTCAAACCAACTCACAATTGCCATGCGCAAACATATTAAGGAGTACTACATGGTAAGACGATGGATTCTTGATTCCAATCTAAAAAAAAGTATTCGAGGGAGATATTCTTTTATTCTAAAGTACTTCAAGGTAAAGAAAATAACTGAACTTGCTTCACTCTTTAAACACAGTTTTAAAATTTTTAATGTCACAGGGATGGCAAAAATGCGACGACCCTTCCTGTGGTTACACCACACGCCAGGTGCCCCTGACACTTCAGCGGGGCGCCCCCATGTGCACGTCCTGTTTCAGGGCTCATTTACATCCAGCGGTAAGTAGAGTAACCGATTTTTGTTTTTTAATCAAACAGTTCCCTCTACTTAATCACTGCGTGGTTCATTTATCGAAAGCCATGAATGGTACTTTAAATTTGAAGAAAGGCTTTTACATAATAGCAGACACACTCATCAGCCAGCAATTATATGCAGAACTGATGTTCAGATCTTGTTGGTCAAAGAGTCATCTTTATCTTTTTTGTTTATATCCTGTTTAACAGTATTCAGACACGGCGCTGTACACACAGCTCTTGTATTACTCGCGCTTGTTCGACTATGAGTACGCCCTCAAGAATTCCAAGGAAGAAATAAAGAAACGTAAGTTAAAAAACTAAACTCATTAAGTGGCTCGCCTTGAACAGAATCCGAAGGAGATCGCTTATGAACGCATGTGATCTTTGAGTGTGGATATATTAAAACCTTTCGCTCATTCACTCTGACGAAGGGCTAACGCTCGAAACGTCAGCTTTGAATCTCTTTGCGGTGGCTAATTTACGTTATCAACTCAGTTGATAATACTGAAGTGCCCCGTTATATTCTCCCACCGACGCAGCACCACAGTTTCTTTAGAAACTTACCCTCTTCATTCATATGAAAATCATATATGTGAACTGCGAGTTAAGAAATATTAAAGCGATCTTCACAGTAAGACCATTAAAGCAGTAGTGAAAATAAGGTTTAAGGATTTGAACCTATGACCTCTGTGATACCGGTGCAGTGCTCTACCAACTGAGCTAACAAGCCAGTTGGGAGCTGGTCATTATGTTAATTCGTAATAAACCCTTGAATCGTTAACGAATGAACTACGAATCAATCATTGCTGCGAATATGGCTTTTATATAAATTTCTTAAGCCGCGGTTCACATATATGATGTTCATGTAAGTACAGTCATTGAGTAATCACTTCACGGATTTATTACGAACCAACATAATGACCAGCTCTCAGTTGGCTTGTGAGCTCAGTTGGTAGAGTACTGCACCGGTATCGCAGAAGTCATGAGTTCAAATCCCGTACAGGCCTGATTTTTTGTCAGGCCATATTTTCACTACTGCTTAAGTAGTGTTCATTACTGCGAACATCGCTTTCATATTCAGTGCTTATGATCTTCCGACTACCTTTCTGGTCATGGAAGCCTGGGCACGGGTTTAGGACGCCTTATGCTCTATTTTAATGGTGAAGATGGTGAATGTTCAAGTTTTTTTTTTTTTTTTTTTTTAAACTATTTGGCTTAGCAGAACCTCCCCCTGTTAAATCCAAAAATCTATTGCAGTTTTACTGTACAACAAAATAAGACAGTGACACGAGCAAAGCTCTGCCTGTGTTATCCATTTGCGTCATACCTCAGTGTTTTCTTTGCATTGCGTGGCTTGTCGCGTTTGTGACATGTCACGTTTGTTTCGATAAACAACTTCGCGTTTTTGGTTTGGTTGCACTAGCATAGCGATAGTCATTTCTTTTTTTTGCTTACAAGGAAGGAAATGATACCTGTGAAGTTCAATTTTAAAGAAGTTTTATTTTAAGAACTAAAACCTTTCTTTTGTTCTACTTTCAGTACCACTCGACAAGCGCACTGCTACGCCATTTTACACCGCTGTTCACTCAACAGTTTCCAGAGTTCTGAACGCCAACGGTTATTCTGAAGTGAACCTTTCCAAACTGTTTAGTGCTTTCTTCGCAGTGGATAAATAGATAATTCTGTAAAGCTGGAAAATAATTATTTCGTTCAGAGCAGCTTTCAAATGGCGTGAAGTCGTTTTGGGTTTTCCTGCGAATTTGCCGAGTTGTATTATTGGTTGAAAGAAAACAACGCGCGCATCGTGTTGTAGCCAATCGGGTTCAAGATGTGTAACTAATCAGTTGCAATCAAGACAGCACACGCGAAATTTCCCGCGCTTTCCCATCGCAAGTGGGTGATATGTTTTGTTGCCTTTATCACAATTAACCCATAAATACGAGACGACGTAATTGTCTTAATAAGTTTTGTAGTTATGTAGTGTATTTTTCTTCTCGAGGTAAATCGTTTGAATAAGTTTCTACCATCCAAAAAATCCTATGCATTGAAAATCTCACCAACTTATTGTCTTTTTTGACGTACAATTCTAGAATTTTCTTCATAAAATGATGGCCATGTTATCTCAGTTTACGCTGGTGATCGAGTGTGAAAAATACTGAGTTGTTTTACCATAAACATTTACGATATTGTAACTTCATATTGAAAGGTGAAATAAATGAAATGTTCCTTAGTGATATACTTTGAGTTCGAGTCTATGATTGTCCTTTAAATTACCAATAGTACAAAAAACACTTTCAATGAAAATAGGCAACGGTTAAACCCCCTTATATTACTGAATAAAGGTATCCAACAAGCGTTCCCAAATTACTTTTACAGTATATTTCATGCTTCCAAGATTTGTTTCCAAAATTGGTGCACCAAATACGTTTCTCAAACAAAGTTCTCTAGGTAAGTTCCTCGTCTTCATTTCTAGAATGTGTGTCTGAATCATATTCCTGAACTGTTGCTTTAAAATCCATCTCAGAATGAAGTTTGGGAATCACTGACGTTTACCAAACCAAATTTACAGTAACGGTTTATAGTAGCTTTTCCTAAGTACGTTAATAAAAGAAATTTGCGCTCTTCACATCTATCATACATACATTCTCAAAATGCAAATTCGATTGGTTCTTCTCAAATGACCTTCCCTTCTCTGCCGTTTCCAATCCAATTCTGAAAAGACGTTCGTTTAAGGACTTTTACAAAATGCGTTTCAAGAAATGCGTTCCCAGAGTTATGTCATAGAGGACAGATAGCTATCGGTCGCTCGCGGTAACTTGAACATGGGCGAGATCGGAGACATTCGTTAGTCGTCGTGGCCACTTACGGACAAAGTTACGTCATGTTCGTGCATTCGGCGGGTTAGGACTGATGCGTGATCATTATACGGGTTATTCATTAAAACCTATCCGCCATATTTTAATAATTTGTATCACGCGAGGTAGCATCGGAGGCTAGGGCTTTCAACCACCGATTCAGTAGTTTGAAAAATGTCAGGTATTTTCGATGGTGATTCCGAAGATTTAGACTGGAGTGGTGATTTAGGGGTAAGCTGTAACTTATCGCATGATTTCTATAATACTTGCTAATCACACAGTGAAGTGAAACGGTAATGCCCGCCATTTTGAAAGGTACCTTGTGCTTTGCCGGAAAAGAAACTCGAGTAAACGAACGTTTGATTATCAATAGAAAGATAAAAAGCGCTTTGATAGCAACAATATCAGCTTCCAGTGATTTTCATGCTTTCTCATCGTGCCGAATTGTTCGTTTACAAACGACAGGAGTACGATGGGGAAAGAAACGACCTTGGCGAGAGACATGGCGAAGGAAAAGCTGTCCTACCCAATGGTGATGTTTACGAAGGGACTTATTTTCATGGAAAGAGGCACGGGAAGGTATGGGTTTTGAAGAAGCCTTCTTCCTATTTGTTATACGTGAGAGAAAAGAAATTTAAGATCGTTAGAAAGGGGACCGAATTTCCGTCAATTTTACGCCTCGGGATGTTTCGCCCTAATTTTGTAGGAGTTTATTTAAGCACATGCAATATTAAAGTAGCTTACATTCATGCACTTTTTACACTATTTTTAATTTGGAGAATTACTTTGGAAACGTTTCCAAAGCGTCTTGATTTTTTCTTTTTCGGAAGGGTGTATACATTTTTCGAAATGGAGCGAAGTACACAGGATATTATGATCAAGGCCTGAAAAACGGCGATGGCTTGCTTGAGTATCCTGATGGCTCTAAATACGAAGGTAAGATTGCCTTTATAAAATTGGATTGGTACAAATCCTTTTTGCAAGCTAAAGTTAGAAAAGTTTTAAGTTTCTCTCTTTGACAAGGATAAAATAAACCCAATTCACAATCTCAAAAAAATTGAAAACTTCTCAACTGATGGTTTTTTTCCAAAGCATTAAATGTTCAGAATGTATTGGATATAAAATAGATCAATTAATTTTCTAAATCATTTTATGTTTCATTGTGCCAGGTCATTAAGGGCTGGTTATTTATACTAAGTTTAGCTGTTTTTTTTTCTAGCAAAACCGCGTTCAAAACTTACTTGTCTTAAGCTAAATATTTCATCTGAACATTTAATTTTGTGAACAGTGTCAAGAGGGCCGAAAGGTGGCAAAGGAAGGAAATTTATTTGATGAAAACAACCCTCTTCATTTTTTTCTCTCAATATCAAAAATTAACCTCCCCTCACTGTCTGCCATATATTTCCTATAATTTAAGCTGTGAGAATTTAGTGTTCAACTAAACAGTAACTGGCAGTTGATATTTTCCTTCTCCATTCAAAAACATTAATATATATATATTCTCCACACTGCTCTCTTTACATTTCCTATACAACTGACAGAGAATTTGTTTAACGATCAGGAGCCTCTTAAACTGGTGATCATTTCCTATATTCTCATGACCTTTAAGTTTGATTCAAGGGTGATTCTGTAAGGAGAAATTACAAGTCAGTCACTCTCAGGGTTAAAAAGTTTAATAAATGTCAAAATTGTGGGGAGAAATTAATTAATTGTCACTCCAGGAAAAGGAAGGATTAAGTGAAGGATATTTTAATCCTTTAACTCCCAAAAATGATTAAATTGTAACTTCTCCTTACAACATTCATACAGTATCTTGCAAACAGGTACTGAGAGTACTAAAACTGATAGAAGTTGATATCTTGATCTAAAACCAAATTCTCACAACAAATTTACAAGGAAATGTGTAACAGCTGGAGAAGAGAATTAATAATCAGATCTTGGGAGTTAAAAGGTTAAAGTTATAAAATTCTACCCAGGAAAATGGAAAAAGAATGAGCGCAATGGACAAGGAGTTTACCACTATGCTAATGGGGATATTTATGATGGAGAATGGCAAAACAACTGGAGGGAAGGAAAAGGAGTGTATACTTGTGCAGCGACTAAACTCAAAGTAAGTTATTACACATAAAGTTGACAGTTTTACAACCAAAGAATGGGTGTGGCTCATAGAAGTTAACCCTTTTACACCTTGATATCAGTATGTCAGTTCTCCCTGCTGTTCTCTTTACATTTCTTGTGGTAGTTACATGGAGAATTTTTATATTGATCAAGGGCTCCTTGAGTAGGCAATTAATTCATTTGTTCTCGTGACCTTAATATTTGATTTGGGATTGATACTGTTGGGAGAAATTAGATGCTTATCACTCTCAAGGATGAAATGGTTAAAGAGGCAGGTTGCAGTGAAAGAGTTGAAAAGAAAAGAAAAACCATTTACTATATGGGCTTGTTCACTAAACCAATCTCAAATAGTTTTATTTTATTTCCTTGCATAAACACCCGTGTGCCTTATTTCACATTTCAGCTTAAAGTTAGCACAGCTATAGAAAAAAAATCAAAAGAACCAATAACACAAAAAGGAACTCTAAAAGAATGTGGAGATAGAAATTACTGGAACAGAAAAGAAACTTATTCTCTTGTGCTGATTCTGCTGTAGTTGAAGCTTAAAAAGTTATAGAAAAATCGGCAATAGAAACAGGTTTTCTTTTTATTTCCGCTATTATAGAAAGTGAAGGAGGAGGCAGGCAGTTATTTGAGGGGGGTGCTTACAAGTTTGAAATTATTGCTTAGGGTTAGGTGCTTATTCAGGTGCTTATAAGATCATGACTACTTATTCAAGGAAATATGGTAAGGTGATACAAATTATGCTGAAATTATGCTTGGGAGCTCAACAAAAGGGTACTCTGGTCCTGTTTACAGTCCTTATTTGGGACTATGATGTAAAGCTGTACTTATTGAGGTTGGTGTGGGAAGTTTCAATATGGATCTCTGTCATTTTAAATGTCCAGAAAACTAAAGTAAAATAGATAAACATAACCAGATAAATGTGTGGTGATGAAATGACGCAGTGTCACTCTAGAAGACACACCTTTAGTTTTCTTGACATCATGAAAAAAGGCTTAGTTTATAACCATAATATTTACTGGGAAACTTTGTAATTTTGTAATTTTATATGAACATTTGTAACACCCATAATAAAACAGGAATGTCCAAAATGTGCTCTGGAGACAAAAATGTTCACTTTTGATTATTGTTGTAATTATTATAGAAAAAAAAATTTGAGAAAAAGTCATATTGTCTTTATTTTTCAAGTATGACGGACACTGGGTAAATGGAAAACTGCATGGACCAGTCAATATGATTCTTGCCAATCATGTCTACCTTGGACATTTTTTGGAAAATAGGGTTAGTTATCTTTTAAAACACAGCATCTTAAGTGTCAATTAATTCAGGCACTTAAACTTTTGAAGGTTGGTTTGCTCAAATACCTGCCCCCTTCCCCCCATCGACATTTTGAGTTCAAATTCCCCACCCCACTCCACCTAGGCAAGGTTTAAATTCCCCACTCCCTGCACACTGATAACAGTTAAATGCCCATCTGTTGCCTGGGAGGGGTGGGATATTGTAGCTTTGAATTGAGTGGAGCATTACAATAACATCTGACACACAATTTTACAAGAGCATAAGTTGTAATTGGTTCTAGTTCTCTATGTGATTGATGGTAAGGGTGATGTACAATTTCTACACAAATTATAGGGAGGGAAAGCAGCAGCCAATCAAATTAACAATTATGTTTGACCCTCACCTTAAACTGAACTGGCACCAGTTGTTTGCAGGGTAGATAATGCTATCCACTGGATAAGTCTCCATATAAGGGATTAACCCTTTAACTCCCAGGATCAAATTGTTAATTCTCCCCTCAAGCTGCTACACATTTACATCCTTATAAATTAGTAATGAGAATTTGGTGTTAGATCAAGATAACAACTTCTAACTGATAAGTTTGAATATTCTCATTACCTATTTGCTGGATAATGTAAGAATATTATAGGGAGAAGTTTCATGTTGATCACTTCTGGGAGTTAAAAGGGTTAATAGTGCTATACCTTTTAGTAACACTCATCCACTGGATAGCAATTTATTTGTTGGATAGTGTTATGCATCCTTTGAACAACTGAGCCCTCACGTTGTAAAAATGAGTTGTAATTCTTTATTGGTAGCCCTGTGGACCTGGTCGATATGTCTTTGACTTTGGTGTGGAGCAACATGGGAAGTACATCTTCCCTAAGGTAATAAACATATGTTTGATGGTATTTCATTGTTCAGATATAATAAATATTCTTCTGTCAGCAGTTACACATTCCTCAATGAAATCCTTGTTAAGTGTTTACCAAAATGTATTTCTACTCCTGGGTGGAGAGTAGCACTGTGAGAGTGAAGTGTCTTACTCAAGAACGCAACACAATGTCCTGCTCCCATCAATGTGTGGACAAAGGCTCAACTCCCCATGGGAACTCTGAATAAATTTTACCAGGATCTTTCTTATTCTGGTCACACTCAATGCCTCCAACACTGAATGCAGAATGCACGTCTCATGTAGACCTTGTCATTGGCTAGCTCAATGCAGAGTCTCCGTAGCTTAGTGATAGAGCATGGGAGTGCAGAATTTAAAGATCTGCAGTTTGACTCCTCATGAGGACAAGATTAAAAGACATCTTTCTCACATATTTATTTTGTCTTGTTTCAGAAGGTAAACTCTCATGGGGAGATGCATGTAGACCCTCATGGGGAGATGCCAGTCAGAGAGCATCCAGTTTGGCAATGTGAGCCAGACCTTCATCCTCTTGGTTCCTAACTGAATGGAAAAAAACCTGGCCCAAGACTCAACTACTCCTTGTAGTATGCATATTTTAAGGCAAAAGCTTTCATTCAGTGATTGATTTAACAAGTTATTAATAACATGAAAAATAGTTTTTAGCATGCAAGCTTTTTAGTACTTCATCAAGCTGAGAGTTTTAAAAAAATTGTTTGTTTTAATTCTAGTAATTCATCAAGACCTTGTTATGACCTTGCTGCTTTTGAAATGCAAATTAATTTTTTATCATGCTAAAATTCTGGTCTCTAACACAACAAGGTCACCTTGCCTCACTCCAAATTTGTTTTAATTCGTAATCTTCTGTGAAAGATTAGAAAGGGAAAAATTAAAAAGATCTTTTGGTGACATGATTTTGAATTTAGTTGACTGTGTAGAAAGTCTCTTTTCCTTGAGGAGACAGAAAAGGTTGAGGGAGGGGGGGGAGACAGAATATTCTCCTTACATATAGCAGAAGCTACAAAAAAACCATACACAAGAATCAAAGTTTTATACTCAAGAGTATAAAATATTTAATAGTAAAAGATATTTATACCTATTCAGCTATGGAGAAAATAGGGAAAATTTTTTGTTTGAATTGTGCAGAAAGAAAGCAGGCATTGTCCATAATTCTGAACTCCCCTCTTCATCTTGCTGTGACATTAATTTTTATTGCAAACTTATGGGAAAAAATACCATTTGTGCAACATAAAATTATAAACAATTCAAATGATTAGTTCAATAGATTTTTAAAGATTGTATATTTTGAGCTTGGTTGTCTTGTACAAATGTCATTTAAAGCTAAATTTTATGTTGCAGACTAACAGTGGTAAACCTGTTTATAAAAATGGACACCAATTTCCTAGTGCTATAAAGCAAGTAATAAATAATGCAGAACTTGTCTCTCTGTTAATGTCATCTTTCCAACTTAATGGATCTGTTAGTCTTACATAAAACTTTTCTAAAATCGAAGAGGAGCCTTGTAAAAGAGCATTATATATTGTCTCTATTTTGACATTTAAAAAAATATGTTCTATTTCTTGTGACCTTTACCAAAAAATCTTTTCTTAGCAAATCTTATGATAAAAAATACCCAAACCCAGCTAATTAAATACATTCCTATTCCTCCCAGCTTGACAAAAAGTTTTGGTTTTGTAGATGACACAGTACGATAACAGAGTAATGTTCCTGGACCAAAGCGCCAACAAATGAACATCACCATGAAGATAACATCATTCACTTTTGCCAGTAATGTTTGATATCGACCAGTTTCTCGCATAAACCACCTCATCTGTAAGAACGGATTTGAAATTTCTGTTCCGAGTATTGTAGCAGCAAGTTCTGGACCAGAATAACCATCAAACAGGACAAAAACTATTCCACAGGTAGAGATGATGTGATGTAAAAGCATATCAATCCCTTCAGTGCCCATGTAAAAACACCACAAAAAATCAAACATGAAGTAACCCAGAGTGAAGGTGGCAATGAATGTATGTAATGGGGTGTTTGCATCACCCATGGCAACCAAGGGCCATGGACCAGTGATGAACGCGCTCCAGAATGACAACAGTGATGTCAAAGCTCCATGACACACTGTAACAAGTCGGCAGTTCCATTCATGGCTTCGATGAGGATTGATGATGCACAAGAAGAAATATAAACTGGTCCAGATAAAGAACATTGACATCAGAGGTATTGCAAGGGGGATGAAGCTCATGGTTGTACCTGATCCAAGATGAAGACTACATTATGGATTAACAAACAAAAAGATATTTTACTTAAAAAGAAAAATTAAGAGATACAAATTCCTTCTTCAATGACAGAAGTGCCTCAGAGGTGGCTCACACTTCTTGTAGGTAATTGCTGTAATCGAATTTGCAATTTTCCCCTCACGACTCTACCACTTTTCAAGAACAAATCCCCACGAGAAAAGCCACGTTTGATCTTAATTACACGACGGCTCATTGATGCAACGCACCCTGAAAGGTAAGCAAGCTCATCCCGATAGTAACTCTGATAGGTAAGGGATAATTATGTGTGTGACACAAATTAATGAGAATTGATCAAATTGTCAAAATCAAATAGATCCGCAATGAACTTGTAAAAGTGCAGTGATTGCAGTTGTAACGTAACACGGCTCACGCAATACACCTGGCAGCTTATCTTTGAGGGAAAAAAAAGATCTTTTGACAAAAAATCGGGAGAAAAGTTTGCTTTTCAATCCAAATGAGCGACTTGAAGAGGAGCGACCATTTTCATGTAAATTTCAAAACAAACATCACCAGAAAAATTCTTTCGACGCCGTTCAGTTACGGTACATGATCGCAGGTTGAAACTTACCTCGCCTTTATAATAGGTTCAAGAGCAAACCAATATTTGATTTTCCGTTTTTTATCTCTGCTCAAGCGAGCCTTGTATCTAAAAGTATGCTACGTTCTCTTAGATTCCGTGCATAAAGCATTTTTTCTGACCGCAAGTTACATCACTTACCCAAATACCACGATATGTTTGAGAAATATTTCCTTATTGGTTAGCGCTTTTTCCACGGAAAAATATCTTCCAACACAGGCCAAAGATATCAGTTCTTTGTTTTAAAGATATCAGGCATAAACAGATTACTTGTTCATAACTCAGCTGTCACTTTCCCCTCCCATGTTCGACTTCGATACCGGAGCGAAGAACGTTTGGTCATGTGACAGACAGGAACCGGCGCCTAAATCTCAATGTGCGGCAGGTTATTTACTCACTTGATTGGCCTTACTCTACCTCACGCAGAGAGTTTTTGAAAGGGGATTATGCAAAAGCTATGGATAAAGTACTTCTGAAAGCGAAAGTAGCATACGAAGCGGAACATACATGAACGCAGTCGCACGAAACGAAAGGGAGCAAACAAATTCAGAGCAAGGGTGGGGTGGGGAAAGAAACGAAATTGCCTGTCTGCTGACAAAAGGTATTTAACCTAGTGGCAATCGCGTTTGGTAAAATTTTTCCGCTCGACTGTAGATTTTCCATTCCTTTCTAAAACCTTTTTTTTTCTTTCTTTCCTTTTAGCTCCCTATCGCCCTTTGTCCTCTACCGTTAGCGCTCTATGAACAGCAGCTTTCTCCCCGCCTCTCTCGCTAAGCTAAAAAGGGGACGGGCAAAAACTGCTCCACAGCAGAAGTAATGGGGTGTTTTCCACTGTCTTGAAAAGAATGACAAGTAGTTCCGTGTTTATCGTGATTAGGTTATTTTGATATAAAAATGTCCTTAGGAGGGCCTAACAGTTTCCATTTTGACCTCAAGAGCCTATTTCCACTCCAAAACCGTTAGCGCTCGACCATTTCTTTCCAAAACCTACAGGTTCAACTCTATGGGGTTCTCGATAGAGGCCTTCTTAGGTAGAATTTTGTCTGAGAGACGAAAGTGGACTGTGCAATTTACAAAAGCTTCTGTACGAGTAAGTGGTTTTCGTTTAATTTTATTTTAGGGGTGACCGTCGTGAGAATGAACACCCCACGATGGTACAAATTCAGTCATTCCTCGAAGCTGCAGACCATTATGGTCATGGTCTTGAGTTTTTCTCGCCATTGACTGTCTTCTAAGGTGTAGAATAAAAGAAACTGCTCTGGAAAGATAGTCAAAGCCTTCATTGTGTCTGTGCGCATTTGGCAATATGCGATGAACTTTATGGCGAATCGCTGCTTCTTATTGAGTTGTCTGAAACCATAGATTTTGATAATGACTGTCTCTCTGTCTTTGTTTGATTTTTATTTTGGTCTAATTCGCAGCTGGTTCTTCTTTATCTCCTTCTCCCGGTGGTGCTATCTCTTCTTCTTTTACAGGAGCCGGCCCATCTCCATCCCCTGAGGCAGTTTTCTCTTCTCCCTCTTTAGCAGCCCCACCATTTCCTTCTTCTGATAGAGTGCTCCCCCCATCTGCTTCAAACGGAATCTCATCATTTCCCTCCACTGACGCCCCTTTATTTCCTTCTTCAGATGAGGCTCCTCCAACCTCTCCTTCTTCTACTGGAATTCGATCATCTCCTTTATTTGCACTCTCCTGTTTGCTGCTGCCTTCTTCTTGCATCAACACTTGTTCTTCATTGGTATCAGCCAAAGTAGATTCCCCTGCATCCTCACTAGCTGCCACAGTTTCTTCTACCTTGGCATCACCAGCTGCCTCCACTTTCTCCTCATGTGCATCACTTCCAGCCTCAGCCACCTCTTCTGTAGCATCAGTATTTCCTTCAATAGCCCCCTCTTCAGCATTAACACCTGCCTCAGCTTCCTGCTCTTGACCATCACTGCCTGCCTCAGCAATATCCTCCTTGACATTATCCCCTGCCTCTGCAACCTCTTCCTTAGAATTGTTCCCTGCTTCAGTTACCTCCTCCCTAGCCACACTGCCTGCTTCAGCATCCTCTACCTTTGCAGGAGTGTCTCCATCAGCCATCTCCTCCTTGGCATTATCCCCTGCCTCAGCAACCTCTTCCTTAGAATTGTTCCCTGCCTCAGTTACCTCCTCCCTAACCACAATGCCTGCTTCAGCATCCTCCGCCTTAGCAGGACTGTCTCCATCAGCCATTTCCTCCTTAGCATCACAGTTTGCCTCAGCTACCTCCACATTGGCATGGCCATCTGCCTCAGTTGCCTCTGCTGCCCCTTCCTGAGCATCATTAGCTCCCTCAACTACATCTTCACCAACAGCACTACCTCCTTCTACTTCCTCCTGCTCACAATTAATACCTGGCTCAGCTACTTCCTCCTTAGCATCACCAGCTACCTCAATTACCTCCTCCTTAGCACCACTTCCTCCCTCAGCCAGCTCCTTCTTAGCATCACCACTTTCCTCAGACACATCCTCGTTTGCAGCACTGCTTGCTTCAGCTATCTGCTCCATTGCATCACTATCTCCCTCAGCCACCTCCTTTGAATCACTACCTTCTTCAGCTACCTCCTCCTTAGCATCAGTGCCTGCCTCAGCTTCTTCCTGCTTGGCATCACAGCATTCTTCAGCTACCCCTTCCTCCGCATCACCACCCTCCTCAGTCATCCCCTCTTTGTCACCACAGCCTGCCTCAGCTACCTCCTCTTTAGCAACAAAGCCAGCATCCTCATTCTGCCTACTGTTGTCTTCCTTGGATCCCTCTACCTCTTCGGTGGCCGTGCCATAATCCTGAACAGGTTCCACCTGGATGGTATTTTGTTCCATAGCATCTCCTTCTAGCATCACAACTTCTCCTTGGGTTTCTCCCTCTTGAGATGTATTCTCATCCTCCCCAGCTAGTTTCTGGGCAGCAGAGCCCTCTTGCATTACTACTTCTTGGACAGCAACGTCATTTTTGGATACCTCTGCCAGAAAAGCACCCTCTTCTTGAGCTATTTCAACTTGTGTGGAACTAATTTGCAAATAAGTTGCACCATGGAAAGAGCTCTTGTCCTGACCAGCTCCTTCCTCCTCCTCGGCCTCATTTTCCTCCTTGCTACCCTCTGTTTCAGCTTTGCCAAAGTCCATCTCCTCTATTACAATCACTGGAGGTTGCTCAGATTCCCTTGAAGATGTAACCTCATTTGAGCCTTCCAAAGTTGCCTTATCATTGGCCCTTTCCATGAGCACTTCTGAAACACAGGACTATGATTAGAAAAACTGCATACTGATTAGTTTCTTCTGTTGTTTGTTAACAAGTTACAGTCCAGCCTGTAATACTTCTTCAACTAGGGTCACCAACTTCAATCATTCAGTTTGCCATTTTCCTCCCTGTCAGCTAGTAGTACACCAGCATGTTAATTAATTCACAAGCTTTCAGATCCCTAAGGATTGGCTATGGAATAACTGCTAGCCCAAGTTGAAAAATTTGACTGTAATCAAGAGATGGTTAATATTTCTTCAGGAGACACAAGTTTGAAGCACATAATTTTTTTTAGCACTTTTTAATCTCTGCAAAAATTTTCATGTCATTTTTCACCATATCTGTACAAAATTAATCACACCATGCACTCAAATAATTATAATTAGGAAATAAATTAAGTTAAGTGATACAGTCTGATGAGAACATCCTGAAAAAGTATATATTTGGCCAAAGTTAATAAACAAAATTAAATAATACTGCTTGAAATTAACATAAAGCAACTGGAATTGTAGAAAACATCTACCTCAACCCTTACACTCCCAGGAGTGACCAGACAGGAATTTCCCCTTACAAAATACATTTAAATTAAGGAGGTGTGAGAGGAAAGGAAAATGCAACATTTGGAGATCTAAAATGTAGAGAATTGACATCATATCTTCAAAGTAAAAGGGTTTAAGACCAAACCAAACCAGTTGTCTAACATCTCCCTTTGACATCATGATGGTTTCTTTTATTGACAAGGGTTACACTTCAAATTTCTTTATATTCCCTGGAGTTTCTTTGACAGGGTCAATATTTTGATTTTCTATTTTCTTAAAATGCAATGTTTCCACAAATGTGAGAGAAATGACAAAATAAGAGTTTGGCAAGATAGAAAAACAAGAAAATCGAGAGTTTGTTAATCCAAATTGAAGTGATGGAGATGAGTTATATGAATTGCAGCTGGGCAACTTTTAGTCTAAAGTTTTTAAGATACACAAGTGGTGATAGACATTGCATCTATTATTAAATCACTCTGTCTTAACTGATCAGTAGAACCAATGACAATAAATGTGAACAAAAAAACTTTATCAAAGAGACCATCATGAGGAAATTCAGCATTACAGTCTATAGATCATCTGTAAAACTTTCAACTGAATCTCTCGATTAAAAAAAAAGATTATTTTCTTCACCAAAATCTTTATATTTAAATGCAATTAATCTATTTGATCACAAAGCTTTTAAACTACCTTAACTACTTGGCTCTTTTTTTAAAGCAGTTATTATAATTATTTTTCCTTTTGATAAACATGCACTGATTGTTATCACACTAAGTATTGTAAGTTACATAAATTCTGAAGCGATGCTTTCTCGTAACATAATCTTCATCACCTTCCTGTAAGTAAAATTTCTCCTTGTTTATTGATAAATGCATTTAAAACATGTGTTTTGTTTGTATTTCTTTTTCCAAGGGTTGGGAAAAAACCTCAAGGAGATCACATGCACTATTACACAGATAAAATATTAAGTGTCACACAAAAAGTATTCAACAATAAACTTACAACAGCTTAGCACGTAAGCAGTTTTGTCCAATTTACACCCACAAACCAAACCTCTCAATTACTGATTTGGAGTTAATGGCCCCATATTGATCTTGTGAAAGCATTGTTCAATGAATTTCATGAAAACTGATCAATTATTCACATGAGAATCACTCTGACAGTTAATTAGTAAAAGATTCTATGTTAAGAATCCATTCTGTGATTTACACCAAATACATATTTAAAGACACTGACATGAATGGTTTATAATTATACATTATTGAGCATAGAGAAAAAAAATCCATGTTATTCACCAAAAAAGAATATAAATTATTGAGATCATATAATCATTAAACTGAAACAACATTACATTATCAACAATGAGGTTGTTTGTATAAATCTAAGACTCTGATTGATAAGATTACAGCCTAAATGATTGTTTACCCACACAAGAGTTGATTATAATCACCTAGACTAGCACTGGATAATATTTGTTTTTTTTTAATGCCTTCCATCAATTGTCTATAACTAACTCTCAAAATAACAAGCATATACACTGTACCTGTACATTGGTAAACTTACAAAATTAAGTTACGATGCACAAACCAAACATTGAATAAATATTATGTACAACAATACACTTTACGCTTCATTTCTTATAACCATCTTTAAGTTAGTATTCAATGCTTAGTAATCTAGTTTTAAGAAAAGCATTGAAAAAACTTCCATCTTGCTTTTGAACTAGATTGGAATTTATACATAAGGAAAGCTGCTCACATTTTTAAAGTAACTATAGATTAAGTTTAATCTTTTTAAAAGCAGAATATGTTATTTAGATATGAGTATATCTACAACAGAATTCATTTTAACCTAATCTTCTGAAGGCTTTGACTCATCAGCCTCCTCAGCAACTGATGGTTCAGCTTCCTCGGCAACTGATGGTTCAGCATCACCATCACCTTTATCTTCCTCCCCTGCTGGAGCTTCCTGTTTTTCATCTACTTCCCCTTTCTCCTCTGATGCTACCTCTTCATCACCTTGCGGTAAAGACTCCGAGCTTTTCAGCGCCTTTACCTGCTCCCTTGCCTTATGACCCCTGAAACTTGCCTGAATCTTAACTACAGCACCTTGCAGATCTGGATCATTCATATCAATATCTATCTGTTCTTCCTCACCTTCTACCTTTGCCTCATCTGCTGCACTAGCTTGCTCATCAGTAATTACCTCTCCCTCTTTCTCAACCTTATCTTCTTTATCAGCATCCTCGGCAACTTCATCAGCATCTTTGCCAATGGCTTCATCAACAGCTGCTTCTTCTGTTACAGCCTCTTCAACTTGAACGACTTCTGTCTTCTCCTTGTCAACTGCCTCTCCTCCTTCAGCACCATCAGGTTGTCCTTCCTGCTCCACAGGCTCCTGCACATCAGCTTCAGCATCTTCAGTTTTTGCAGCTGCCAAGTCATCAGGTTGTGTATCTGTGGCTTGCTCGTCAGTGGGTTGGTCCTCTGTAGCTTGCCCCTCAGTATCTTGCTCATCAATAGCATCTTCCTGCTTCACTGGTTTTTCAGCAGCTTCTGCCTCTCCTGCCTGGACAACCTCATTATCAGGTACCTCTATAGAGACAACTTCTTCTGGGGCGTCTTCAGCAGCATCTACACTCACTGATACTTGCACATCGCTTTTTGAAGCCTTTATCTCCTTTATCTGCTCACGTGCTTTGTGCCCGCGGAAACTTGCCTGAATTTTGACAGCTGCAGTTTCCTCATCTTTGTGCTTCTTCACGTCCTCCCGAGCTTTGTGTCCTCGGAAGCTTGCTTGAATTTTAGTCGCAGCTTTCTGCACATCAGGGTCATTCATATCAATGTCAACTTCCTCTCCTCTCTGCAGCTTTTCCATTTGATCACCCTTCTTTGCATTGTCTTTGCCAGTCTCTGGAAGTTTGTAAATCACACAAAAGAATGAGACATAAATATATTTCCAGAATAGAAACTCTATTTTAAGTTCTCAAAGTTGTGTTCGAGTGATCTTCTTCAATTTTATCATTGTGATACCAAAATTGTAAAACTACACATGAAAAATCTTTAAATTTACATTCCTTTCACAAGTTAAATTATTAACGCTTCCTTCCATAAAATGGAAAGTATATTAAAATTTATGGCAGTGAGTTTGTATCAGAATATAGTTTCCCACAATTTCAATATTATTCCACTTAGAAGTACATATTTAATTTTTTAAAGCTTTCAATAAAGATTTACTGCTTTGCAAATAGGTGGAAGGCAAGGAAAAGAAAAGGCCCTTAACATTAACGGGCGGAAGTTCTGCAAAATTTCCTTCAGAAGGAGGGAAATTAAAAACTAGGAAGAGCGATTAATAAACGAGTATTATCCTGTGTAATATTCCAAGTCAGGATGCAAATAGTTAGAACGGATCCGGCCGAAAAAAAAAACGGAGCACTGAATATTCAATTTAGCTTGCATTTTCAGCTAGCGTCTGGATTGTTTACACAGTCATCTAAATACTGTAGCCACCAAAAGCGAAAGCGTACCTTCACGGATTAGAAGCTGGTTTTTGAAATACTGTGCGGCAAAGTTGATGATGTCCTCTGGTTGCTCTCGCAAAACTTCCCTCGCCAAACCCTCCAATAAATTTTGGAAGCCCGGCGGAACACGCAGCTTCATAGGAGCGTATTGCACCGCCATGTTAATTGTTCAAATCCTTCGTAGAAACAGATGGAAACAAGGAAAGATCGATCAAATACAGTGCAATCTAATTGCACTAATGCGCTACATTAGAATTATGGCTAAGTCTCTATGACGACAGCAAATAATTATAATGTATTCGTTAATTGCAGCAAAGGGTCTGGAGGCTAGTTTGTTATTTAGTTCCCAGGGTTCAGCAACTTTGACTAACTCAATTTTAGAATCGAAACGTGGGAATATACTTCTCTGTTTTGGTGTGCTTGTGCATTAAAAAAATCTCTGCAGGAATTGCTGAAATTATCAAAAAGGGGAAAAATTTATATCCCAGTTAGCAATAGTTCTACAGTTTCAGTGCTAAGTACAAGAAAAAGATATTGATTTTGTTTTTTTGCCAGCAAAAGCAGTAAGAAACATAGGAGAGCAGAAGACAAACTGAACAAAGAACTCTCTCTTTTACGAATAAGTATACATCTTTCTACCTTAAGAATATTCCAGCGCTCACTCTCAAATAAAGTAAATATTGGAGGAAATCAATTGCACTGGATTCCTTCCTTCCTTTGATCCATAATTATAATTTGCAGCTAACTGCATTGTTTACAATTTTTAAATCAATTGGACTGAAAATTTATTTCCAAGGACATTTTTCAGTTAAATGGCACATGCGGTAAGTTTGAAGATCCCAGACTTTCTCTCCTAGACAACTTCTTCATCGCAAAAATTTTTTAAAACAAGAGAAAGTTGACATGAAACAGATTGTTTAATGTAATGCATAACTTGGATAACAATGTGTAAACTTATAGAACGACTAAAGTTTAAATTCAATGCCACTTTCTTTAATGAAAAATCTTTGGTGTCTTCTGCTCAAAGGAAAAGTCCTGTGAACTGAATAAGATATGTCACCTCCATTTTGAACACTATTTCTGTCAAATTCATAACGGTAATTTACCAATCTTTGCCAAGCCTGGCACAAATATTCACGATTTGTTGATTTTTCTGTGTTCACAAAGATTGATTGCTTAGTGGCGATCAGAACCACATGATACTGCTGCACATACTTTTGTAAAATGTTAACAAGTTTTCGCTGGTTTGATTCTTGATGACCCAGGCTCTCTCCACCAGCACTTCTGTCAAGCCAGTAAAATGCACTCAAACTGTCAATCATAAAGACACCCACTTCAGGTTTGGCAGCTAATAGATTTTCATGTGATAAAACAGTCGCCAGTAATTCTATGCTACTGTTGCAACGAACAATAAACAATAGACTAAGACAAGACTTGATAAAAACTTCATAATCACTGTATTTCTCTGGATAAACAAGAGGACTGCCTTCCGTAGTTTCTTTGTGGTGATTCGTTTTATCGTTTCGTAATGACGTCTCAGATTTATCAGCCTCTCTGATCGCTTTTAAAATCCTGTGTTCCAGTATTGTTACCAGTCGTAACAACTGGAAATGGAAATCAGTGTCTACAAACACTACTCCAACGGATCTTCCGTTCAGTTTGAGATCCTTCCATGACTTTGGGAGAATACAGTTTGCAATTAAATGAAGAAGCATCTCTGTTTTGCCACTTCCTTCCATGCCACAAAATTCAACAACGTTTCCTGGTTGAATACCGTCAGGAATATCTGAAAAGAGATCCAAATCCAGTCCATCCAGAGCCTGTTTTCCACCCAACCGCGCAAACAGCTGAAAATTGCAATGCAGAATTATATAACTTTAATTTTCAAGTGTTAATTGAGCTTGCTCCATAATTATCTTAAACTGGATAATTTTTTTGAAAGAATAACACAGATTCTGTTAAATTTTATGACCATTTCACATAGAAATAACTATTCATTCACCATCAACTACCTGAGCTGCCGACTCAGAAGCCATTTTTACCGGGAAATAGTATCAAAGGCTGGGCTCTACCGGAAATGGGATTAGTAAGCGGAAATGATGTTATAAATAGCTAATGCCCAAAAGCCTACTGGGAATTTGTAGTGACATCAAACATGGCGACTAAATCAGTTCTTTGGACTGTGTCGATATCTCTTGGACTTTTATTCGCTGGTAAGGGATTTATTGAGACTTACAACCTAATCTAATTTTCTTCATCTACATAAATGTGCCTTATGTTTCTAAATAATCATTATTTGCCACAAGATGGAAAACATCTCATCGAAAGTTAGGCATAATTTAAATTTTTTTCCGTTCAGAGTGAGGCAACCCCTCTTTTCCTGAACATGAGATAAATTTTGTAAGCACACAGTTTGCAAGTTTTTGAATTTTTTCAAGCACTTCTTCTATTCTGGCTTAAATACCGATGTGTGAATCGCGCCATCTCGACTTAATTTACATCGATCGAGACATTGACTCAACGCAAGTTCCTTGATATTAAAATAGATTCTCTTCCTTTCACACACATGCACACTGATGCTCACCCTTCTACTTTATCTTCTCTTCCAGCAAATGGAGATAAGGTCGCGCAGAAAATTTACCAACAATTATCAGGGGTGAATCCCTGTGTGCTTCTGACAAATGCTACACATCAAATTGGATGCACTTGTAAGTTATTGTCATGACTAAATGTACCTATTGGTTGGGTAGGAGGGCAGGATAAAAAGATAGTTGGCATATGGACAGAATTTACCAGCGGGAAAAACATGAGGGTGGATGCTCCTTCTCCACTAGCATCTGTTCCCCTACCTTTTTAGTTATTGTTCTCCCCAGTTGTAATCATTTTTTTTTTTGACATATTAAAATTATAGCAAAGATTGAATTTTTATCAGATCAGGGCGGATAATTTAATGTTTTGTTGTATTATAGTAGCTATGGATTTAGAAAGAATTAGCTGATGAAATACTTCAAAAGACCACAATGAAGAAATGCATTTTTTTTAACAGCCAGCATGAGTGGTCATGTTGGAGTCCTTCACTATATTAAAAGTGAAGCTGATGTTGATTGGATAATAAAGAATGGAAGCCATGCACCATATGTTCCATTGTTCAGATCTGATCTGTTCACACTGTAAGTATGATTATGGCATAGTTATTAGAAACTCTCTATTTTGGCACAATCTGTAGTTTAATTGAGACTTATTATATTACTGTATTATTGAAGCTTTAATTGACACAAAGGATATTCCTGTAGGAACAAGATCACCAGATGTGTATTTGACCCCCTAAGAGTGACAAGCATCTACTTTCTCCTTAAGTATCACCTATAAATCACACTTTAAGGTGATGAGAATGGGGTAAATGATCACCAATAAAAGAAGTTTTTGATTGTTAAAGAAATTCTCCCTGTCAGCATCTTAGGAAATGTATGGGGAACAGTTTGGAGAATATGCATACAATTGTTAGGGTGTTAAAGGTTAATGGCTGCTATTGTTATGAGACAAATGCACTCAAACTAAGCTGACAGCCATCATACAAGAAACTTATACACAGGGTTGGTTGTGATTGATGGCTGCCAACCATGACCTGTGAACCTTGTTGTGTCTGTCCTGGTTTACTCAGCTATGGCAGTCAAACCCAGGTGTATAGGTTGGAGGCTGTTCTGTGCCTGGTACACTCCTGCTAGTTGGTCACAATCTAACCTCTCTATCTTTTTGTGAGTCTTGGGTATCACTTAGGATTTGTTAACACCCAGTATTTTGTTATCATGAACTGTTTCTTTGCAGTGAAATTGTTGATCGTCTCATACAAAAGGAAAAAATAAACGGTGCTCTTGTCATAGCTGTTCCATCAGGAAAATACAGATATACTCCCAAAGCAGGTATTTGTTTTGAGGGGGCCATGGAGTGTTATCTTACATGTGGGATGTTAAATGGGAGAAGGGGGTACCCTCAGGGGAACCCATGGGGGTTACCCATGGGAGGGAGAAGCCATGAGAGGGGGAACTCATGGAGGGCAATCCATGGGAGGAAAACCCATGGGAGGGACCCATGTGGGAGATATCCATGGGAGGGGGAACCCATAAAAGGGGTCCTAGATAACTTGGAAAGTCCTGGAATTTTATTTTGACATTTCCCAGGACTGGAACATCCTGGAAAAAGATTTAATCTGCTTGACTCAGGCAATAAAGTTTTCAGAATTTACATTTGAAGAAATGTGTGTAGAATGTAAGTAGAATTGATTTTGAAATCTTGGGAATGAAAGGGTCAAAGGTGTAATTTGGAGTCCTGGAAAAATCATTCTGGGTCTTCTAAAAGTCCTTGAAATTTGTTTCTGAAAAAAGGTACAAACCCTAACTAATTAATCAAAACAATAATTATTGAAGTTTTTACTTTATCATCATTTATTTTTTGTCATATTTTTTGTATTGCAGATTCTCCTGACTATGAATGTCCTAAAGATAATTTTGGTAAGTCGTTAGAACACCACTCCATATGTTGAGCATGTTAAATGGGTGTGAAAGTCAAATATGCACTGTTGTCTCTTGCATACTTAAAGGTCATGTTTCATCGGGATCAACCATTCCAAATGCAGCTTGTCACTTTATTTTGTTATAAAGGGTGTCATCTGAAGCCCGCACTTGACTTGAATAAGCCTGAGTAATCCTTGTGAAACAAGAGCAGTAGCTATCAGTACTTTTACTACCATATCAAACTGGTGTGCTGCTGGTTGAAAAAGTTGGGCTACCAAATCAAACTAACCTTTTTTTTTTTTTTTTTTTTTTTTTTTTCAAAAGAACAGCTGAAAACACTATCAACCTAACCAATCTCAAAGAGTTGATCCAAATAGTATGAGACCTAGATCAATTATTTTCTGTTATGATGTTATCTTTTAGGAATCTACAGTGGAGACGAAAAATATGAAAACTGTAAAGAAGTGAAATGGAACCCAAAAGTAAGTAGCCACTGATTCTTTAACTCCCAGAATGTCAATATTAACTCTCCTCACTGTCTTTTATGTATTTCTTGGAAAATTCATCAACCTTTTAACTCCCATGCATGACCAAGAGAGAATTTCTCCTTACAATATCAATACAATACCAACCAGATAAGTCATGAGAATAGAGAAAAATATCAATTTGGGGATAATTAGTTGATCCAATACTAAATTCTCTGAACTAACATCATGAGAATTGTATGGTTGACAGTGAGGAGAATGACAAATTTGATCTGAGAGTTATAGGGTTAATAATTCAGGAGAATTATGACCAATCAATAGGCAGTATTTGAGTCACATGTTTACTTCTGTAAACCCCAATATAAATCAACTGTATGAAAGCACAGGGAGGGTTTGAAAAGGTAGCAGGAAAAGGCTGGGGTTAATGAATCATGAATCAGCAGAATTATTAATAGGATTAATTTTCATAAAGATTTCCAACTCCCCTACTTAATATGCTTAACTTGTATAAAGACAAACCCTAGAAATTTGTATAAAGTTTTTTAATCAATCACTGGTTTGACAAATGATGGTTGATCACAACAATTAACAATAGAGCAAATTGGGAGGATAACCTCTCCATTTTGCTCGGCCACTTCACAAGCAAACTTGCTCAACCAACAGTTTAGCGTATTTGGCAACATATGCTCTGGTGGAATGGTCAGATCTTGAACATCTTCGCATTTGAGGTCAGCCACTCCAACAACTTCAAACATTGCGCATGTATTTTGCTGCCACTGCTGCCATTCCTCAAAGACTTTTCTACCCCATTTAGTGTTGTATTCTGTTGCTTTCAGAGTGGCTCAGAAAGTAGACTGGTTTCTTCTTCTTTTCTCTTTGGACCATTTTTACTATTAGGTAAAGTCTTGAAAACACTTTGCTCTAACTTGTTGATCTGTTCTTTGCAGGGAACTGGAATGTCTTTCAAGTATTTTGATATTCCCATGTTTGCTTTGAATGACGAGGCAGAAGTGGATGATCTTCTCGAGGTATAAACTGGCATGTTGACCTTTACACTGCGCTTATTGACAAACTTTAAATTCCCCTAATTGCTCTCTTTAAATTTTTTGCAAAACAATTTTTGTGCGAGTTTGCTCAAGATCTGGGTGATACCTCTGTCTGGAGATCAGTAACAACACAACTATTGGTAGTTTTGCATCTTAACAAAATGATCTAATAGAAGATTCTAGAAAGTTTCATGTCATGACATTAGAAAGTTTGTGTAGACATGTCAGTATGATTAGGCACTCTAGAATTTTCTAGAAGCTTATCTGTACAGTTGTCCTAACATGAAAACCACTTTTTACTGACAGTGTTATAAGACGCACAATAGTCAAGAACACCCTGATTACCCACTGTGTGCTGTGCAGTTAAAGGATTTCATGTTTGCAGCCAAAGACACTCCAACCTGTGTGAGGAAAAGCAATATACCAAACCCTATTGAGGGTAAGTGATTATGAATGGTTTTTTTTACTAGAATATCATGGTATTACAGTATACCTGCAGTTTGATTGGTTCTTACTTATAATCTATTGGAGGACAGATGCGGAGATGACATCACCACCACCAACCTTTCACTTCTTTGTTTCACCCTTTACACCAGTAACATCAGTATGCATATTCTCCATACTGTTCTCTGTATATTTTCTGAGATAATGTCAGGGAGAACTTGTTTAACAATCAAGGGCTTCTCTGGTGGGTGATCATTTTCCTTATTCTCATGACTTAAATGTTTGAATCAACAGTGATACTGTGTAGGAAGAAATTAGAAGCCAATCACTCTTAGGGATTGAAGGTTTCATTATCAAAATAAAGAAAAAAGTTTCCTTGTTGCTGTGTTTCCCTTCAGTAATACATCACAGAAAATGTTAAAATGTGGGAAGAACATCAGTAACACACTTGGCTGTGCCTCATGTGCCACTTTTTCGTTCTTATCACATTGTGACATCATCTGTTATCTATTACTGAACTGCAGCACAGAAACATGGAATATCTTTGTTATACACTTCAGATAATAAGTAGGAGGAGAACTGGTGGTGTCATTTTGTTGTGTTCTTAGGCAACATGCTTTACTCTAACAAGGCTTATTGAAAATTTTGGTTAAAAATCATTACAATGAGTTGTTGGAAATAACTGAAATATAAACTTTTGCATGCGCAAGAACAACAGTATTAATACCATTTTGTGCTTCTTGTAGCCAACTTTTGTATGCCTCTTGGAGACAAGAATGTTTGGGGTACTCTTTATCCAATAAAGAAGAAAAAAAAGGTGGTAATGCTGGCCACTAAGGTAAATGAGTTGTGGAATACTAACTTAATACAGTTGAACCTTGATTATCTGAACTCTGGGGGTCTGGGCAGAAACATCCATATAACAGAGAGTCTGGATTATCAAAAATATGAATATCAATGAACCCAATAATAAAGGGACTTTCTCAAATCATTAAGCATCATTTCCAAAATTTGTCATTTGAAGTATTTACTTAAAGGTTTTGGACCTAAATGCTGGTATAAATCAGTCAAGCTACTAATTAAAAGTGTTTGCACATGGCTAATTCTATCATTCTTTGAAGCTGAACCAATGTAATAGTGTCAACATTGTTTCTTTAAATCTGTTTTGTTTGATGGGAAAAAGTTACAGATGTCAAATGTGACTGACTGATATTTGTGTAAAAGGGGCCTAAGAGGCAAGTCTGGATAATCAAAAATTCCAGACAATCGAGGTCTGGATAATTGAGGTTTGACTGTGTACACATTCTTTGGTGTTTTTGCTGCCATTAACAGTTTGAATTGTATCATCGTTACTTAGTTCCTTGTTTTTATTTGCAGTTGGATTCCAATTCATTCTTTCATGATCTGGTCCCTGGAGTAGATAACGATGGTTCCGGAATAGTGGTAGCTTTGGCTGTGGCCAAGGCGCTCGGAGCACTGAAAAGAAATGTGAGTCTTTTCCTTGTAAAGATCACTCAAACCTTCATATTCATTATTAGTTTCTGCAATAATGTGCAAATTACAGTGAAATCTGCTATGAGTGCATCCTGTAAAGGGTAGTTCACAATTTAAAGGGGCAATGCTTGAATACTATAATCATTACAATAATAGTACTGCTTTTTGAAATATTTTTTTGTGATTATCACACCAAATAATTTGTTTAGAGAAATATCAAAATTATTTTTAACTGCCAAGTTTGATATATTTTTAAGTAATCAGTTTGTAATCATTTTAACATGAAACCATTGAAAACTACAACATACAACTTGATTTTTACTTTGTAGGGTTCATTACCAGAAACCAAGAACCACATAATGTTTACATTTTTCCAAGGGGTAAGAATGTGATTGTTCTAGATATTTGTTTGCAAATTTTTTTCATTCACCAACCAGAGGTTTTAAGTGATTCAAAGGCTCTGAGGTGATTGTCAAGGCCAAATTCATTATCTTGTAGAGCTCATTTGATCATTATGGCATAGAAAATGGGTCTATATATCCATAGCATTTGTTGTTATTGTTGTTGTTGCTGTTGTTATAATTTACCCACTTACATTATTAATTATAGTCAATGTTTTACTTTATATTTCAGGAAGCATGGGATTATATTGGCTCTTCAAGAATGGTGTATGACATGGATAAAGATGAATTCCCTTCAGATCCTTGGAAGGTATAGGTTACATTCTATTACTCTACAGAATGTATGTGCTGTGGCTGAAAATCATGTGGTTTAAAGTGATTTCAATTCAGATAATTTTGGCATCATCAGCTGAGTTGATATTGTGAAGTGGTCACTGTAAAAAGTTTCAAAGTTATCATTTTGAGCAATAGCAAAGAGCTAAGGCTTAAATACCAGCTTTGAAACTCTCTTTGGCTGATCTAAATTATCAACTATGTTGATAAAATCAAATTACCTTGTTATACTCCCCCGCCCTCCCTCCCCCAATGCAGCACCACAGTTTCTCTAGAAACTTACCCCCCTGATTTCAAACTAGTCTGATCTATTAAGCCTTTAACTCTTAAGATCTGAAGTTTAATTCTTCCCTCTAGCTGCTTGATCTAACACCAAACTCTCCTAACTTATTTACAAGGAATTGTATAAAAGCTGGAGGAGAGAATTTATGATCAGATCTTGGGAGTTAAAGGGTTAATTCTCCCATCTAGCTGTTACACATTCCCTTGTAAATTAGTTAACAACTCTACCTAGCAAGTTTGAGTATTTTCGTTACCTGTTTGCTGGACAATATTTAATAATTTTTTTTTTTAAGTAGAGGTGCATAGTGGTGGATGTAGTAGTAGGAATAAAAAATGCTTGCTTGATGGCCATGCATACAAAAATGTTTGTTAATTTTTTTTGTTTGTTCAAGGTTGATGGCAAAGACCTTACTTTAAAAACTGGGGATATCAAATATTTCCTGGAGCTAAATCAAGTAGGACTCTCAAGGAACAAGTTGTGGGCACATTCTGATCCAGTTTCCACTAAAGATTCAGAAACCGAGGGAAAGGTAGGTCATATTCAGAAATTCATGGAAGTCTAGCTTTTGTTTTGTTTTCTCTAGTAAGTTTTCCTCTGACATTTCTGTTCAATGGGAAAGGGTGCAATGAGATCAACCCTTCTCATTGAGGAAGTCCAGATCACAACATTGCAAGCTGTGTTCTTTGATGTTCCCTGCTACCCTTAGCTGCGCAGACACAGAGAATGCTTCATTCCTTGTCGGTCGAAACTCAAAAAAATTTATCAAAAGGAAGTTGTAGATTGTTCTTGCTACCATGGTAACAAAACTTGTAGCAACTTGGATTGCTGTCAATATTTTTCAACCTCCATTTTTGAGATCTGATGAGATGTTCTCTCCTCCAGCTGTTGAGATTTCTGTTTTCTTCCCTATTTACCCCTTTCACAGCCAAGATCTCATTAGTAATTCTCCTTCCTGTCTGCTCTTCGATTCTTGTAATGTTAGTATGGTGAATTTGGAATTGGATCAACTAATAATCTCCTAATAGATGTTCTCCTTTATTCTCATCACTAGTCTGCTTGACATTGTTTTGATATTGTAAGGAGAAATTCTGTCTTGGTCTGTCATGGAAGAGCTTATGAGTTAAAGAAACTTAGTGATATTTCAATGTGATATAGACTAACTGATTGGTTTGCCAATTCTCAATATTTTTCTGCAAGATATCGTAATGAAATTGTTGGAAGAAGTTACATGTTAATGAACCCTGAAAGCAAAGGGGTTATACCAATCCTGCTATGAATCATTAATTACAATACACTTTTTCCATTTGACAGGTTAATAATATTGTGAAAGCTCTTGAAAACGCAGGAAAAAAATATAACCTGGACATCCAGGAACCCGCAGACAAACCACTGCCTCCATCATCTTTCCAGATGTTCTTGAAAAAAAACCGCTCAATACCTGGAATTGTGTTGACAGACCACAAGGAGGAATATTCCAACAAGTGAGAAACAGCAAAAATCTTCTATTCTCTTTCTTGCCATCTGTGAGCTTTTCCACCCTAACATTAGTATACACATTCTCTGTATTGTTTTCTATACATTTCCTTTGGTACTGACTAGGAGAATTTGTTTACCAATCAGGAGCCTCTCAAGTTGGTGATCATTTCCTTTATTCTCATAACCTAAGTGTTTGATTATGTAGTGATGTGGTGAGGAGAAACACTGTTTTATCTTTAGTTAAATGAATTTCTCTCTGATAATTAATTTTTTTTCATGATCCAGCCAATTCATTTTCTCAAAATTATTAGTTCCCTAACCCTGTAAACCCTAAGAGTGACCAGCTTCTAATTTCTCCTTACAATATCAGCCCTGAATCAAACATGAAACTCAAGAGAATAGAGAAGATGATTACCAACTAAAGCAGCTCTTGATTGTTAAACAAATTCTCCTTGTCAGCCTCTTTGGAAATGTATAGAGAACAGTATGGAGAATATGCATACTGATGTTAGTTTGTAAAGGGTTAATAAGAAGGTTGTTTCTTTTGTATGGTATCGTAAGTAATTTAGTTAACACTGTACTGAAACATTGTAATGTGCGTATTGCTAGGTATGTGCGTATTACTAGGTATGTAAAGTAATTCAATTAATGAAATTAAGAGATCCTCGCAGCTAAGAACACTACTGAAACGAGTAGTTGTAAATAGGACCTGAAAAAAATTCAGGCCCGTATGGGATTTGAACCCATGACCTCTGCGATACCGGTTTAGCTGCGAGGGTCTCTTAATTTCATCTCTCCACCGCAGTGCAAATATATGAATTTTCATATATCTAAAATCATAATTCAATTAATGTTAAACGTGTAAACTAAATGTTAGTATTTTATTGTCCCTGTGGTTAGAATAAAATTTGATGAGAAAAATAAGTTGGCGAAACAAGTGAAACTTAGATGAACCGATGTAGTGAATTTTGAAAAACTTTTGTTTTTGTCCTTCAGATTCTACAACAGCCATTTTGACGATCTTTACCAAGTTGGAGGAAATGTATCGATGGATAATGATACAGTTTATGTCATCACAGAATTCACAAAGGTACTCCTATTTTTATAGAGAACGACTGTAAGAGTGAGGTGTTTCAAATTTTTTACCCCAGGCTTAGGAAAATGTATGTTCCCGATGGCTGGGAAGGCGAATAATAACAGGAAGGGGTGTCTGGGGAGCTCCTCACCCTTGAGTGATAGTCACCCCTACACTGTGGGGCTCTCCTACACTTGGCAGCCTGTGTTCCTGGGGACTCTGAGTGTCGACAGGCGAGAGAGTCAAATGGGGACTGTACATAAGTCAGCAGTGCTGGTTAAGCAAACAGCTGAACCGGAAAAGTGAGGCACCTCATTTAAATTCATCATTGCGCGCATAAGGTTCTCTCAAACATCAGCCATCGACCCATCCCATTTTCTCTTCTGTCTCTAGAGACTGGAGTTACCATCGCACACTGTAACCATTTTTTTGCGTTTTCACCGCAATATTTACTCTGCCATGCACGTTAATTTGACGGATTTTGATTTTGGGGAAAGGGGACTCGAACTCGACAGGGGGCTCTTCAGAGAGGAGGAATTTAAACGTGCAGTTATCGAATCTTATTCTTGCTCCTCAGAAACTTTCCAACATCTCATCAACTGTAGCCACAGCTCTGTACACTCTTGCCAATGATGGAACTGCACCAGACTTTGACATCAAGGCTGATGAAGCCCTGGTGAGTAGATCGCCTCGAATCCTTTGACTCCCAAATGCTCTAGATGATGAGTTTTTTAAAATCTCATCACTATACACCTATTGTGGGGTTTTTCGTGAGAGTAGAAGAGTTAATTGTTGTCTCTCGCGGACAAGACTGGCTATGATGTGACTCTTTTTTGGTTTTAGGAATTACTCATAGGCCTTTTGCATATTGTAGCGTTTTTTAAGTGTTCAGTTAGGAAAACGAGGCGCGATAGTAAACGATGCAACAGGAGTGGCGGAGTGAAAAGCCCCACCCAGACCTCCCTCGTTTTTATTACTTATACACTACGTCAGTTACTACGTCAGTTACCAACAAACGTCAAAGACAAGGATGCAGCGAAGAACAGACAAGGAGCGGGGGAGAGACTGGCAGAAACCACATAACGAAACTGACTGAACACAAGCGGGCGGCGAGGAAAGGAGATCTCAACAATCACATTGCTGAACATCATCGACTTACGAACCGCACCATTGATTGGGACTCTGTGCAATGTCTAACTTACAGCACTGACTACTTTCAACGACTGACTCTGGAAAGCGGGCTTAATAACTTAGAACAGACTCCCTTCAACAGGTATCAACTACTACCGGCACCATACAAACGACTTATTCACGACATTAACATTTCAAACTAAACGAACAGAACGACCTAACTTTACCGAAGGATCAAAACCGACCGAAACCTCGCACTTTCCATTTGTAGTGTTTATTCCTTACCTTGAGCACGACTGCTAAGTTGAAGTTTCACTTTTACGATGGGAGAACAGGCTGTACTCTGCGAATCATTTTGGCCGTCAAGCAGTGGAGAAACGAAGCATTGCGTGATTGACATATCGGTCATTTTGCCACGAATGTGTGACCACCGCTTCTTATTCGAAGGAATGAAAGTGATCTTCGCATTAATGACACCACTTACGCTGCAGTGAAAATAAGCTTTAGGGATTTGAACCCATAACCTCTGCGGTACCTCGCGCTCTACTAACAGAGCTAACAAGCCAACTGGGAGTTGGTCATAATGTTGGCTCGTAATAAACCCGTGAAGTGATACATCAACGACTGTGAGTATGTGAAAGCTAATAACTGAATTCTCCAACAGGTTGGTCATCTTATTTTCTGTCTTTTCAACCGTTCCGACTGTCCCCTTTACAGACAGGCTTCTGACAGCAACAAAACTTGGACAAGCTTTAAAAAAAGTGAGTAAGCCGGATTTAAAGATTCAAATATGACCATGAGGATCTCGCGCGCCTCTGCACTACCCCTAAGCCACACAGAGAGTCGGTGGTAAGCAAGGGTGTCACAAGGGTCATATAAGAGACGCTACCTTTGTACAGCTACGATAAAAAATGACGAACTTATGTAAGTAAAAAGAAGAAGGAGGAGGAAGGAGAAGTGTTTGTTTTACAACGATTTGTTTTGTATTTCTTTTAGCCCCGGTCAGTTTAAAACCGTTTCCTCGTTATGTGAGTGTGAACAGCACAAGGAACGCTCTGACAAGAACTGTGAAGTATCTCCTCTTGTACTTCACTGGTTATCATTTTCCTCCGGGCAAATATGAAGAATGCAAGGCATCTGACGTACGTTCAGTATTGTGTTAGCTTTATTACTTAATTTTTTATACACTGAAATATAATTAATTAGCAATTACTAGCCCAAGCTCGGAAGTTAAAATTATATGATTCTTGTTTTGTACCTCTTGTTTTGATTTTGTTGTTCTTTTCTGTTTGTTTTTGTGTGAGTAGTGTGAATGTGACTGAGTGTGAGTGTGAATGTGATTAAGTGTGAGTGTGACTGAGTGTGAGAGTGAATGTGACTGGCTATGAGCGCGCGTGCGAGTATGTGTGAGTATGACTGTGAATGTGAATGTGAATATGCGTGAGAGTGAGTGTGTGCGGGTGCGAGTATGAGACCGTGTTCTCTGTGACAAGCTAGTAATAATAAAATGCCAGTAGGCTGGTAATTTAAAGTACTCATCTATTCAGGAAGCTTAACAGAAAATTAGGTAGTATAACAAACATTATGTACTACTGTGTGGATTTTGATAGATGAAGACCAAATGTCAAACAGTTGTACCGCTTAGTTTAACCCACCTTTGAAAACTTATGCATTTGCAGGGCGTCGAAAAAATCAAAGTCCTTGGCCAAAAACTGCAAGGTCTTTGTGTGACTGGTTCGGTGTTCGAGTCACCAGCTGTATCTCCTGCATTTGTTGAAGAAAACTACGATTCTACTGAATATTCTACATGGGCTGAGAGCACGTAAGGTTTTTTCCCGTTCGTTGCACTAAATGTGGATGAAATTGTCGTGCTACTGAAATTGTCGTGCTACTGAGAACTACCCTTTACCTTCATCTGGGACTGTTCATTATGTCTTCTTTTTAGTTAATGAGATTATAATTTTTTTCCTCTCCTGTTCCAAATAGATGGAACGACGATCTTACAGTTCAATTATTCCTTGTCGCAAGCCCCAAATTAGAGGTGAGTTATTTTGTCTCCTTCTTATGATGACAATATTAAAAATGAGAACAAATTACAGCTTTCTTTTGGAAAGCGCCGGGATAGGACGATTGTCGATTATGACTAGGGGCGTTAAAATCGGATGTTTTCCGACGCTTGTATCTTACTACTTTATTCAGCGCAAGTGTTAGTTTCTCGTTATATTCCAGCGCTCGATGTTGGAAACATTTCTCCGCGTATTTTAGACCAGATAAAAACGCCTGTCAGCTTGTCCGGGCGCTAGTGATCTCTTGACTTTCCGTACTTTCCATTGGTTACGTGTTTTCCCGCCCCTGTCATAAATGTCAACCTTTCCTGCGCTTGAAACAAGCCTCATATTTTCCCATTTACGCTTTTAAATTTCTCCCGCCTTTGTCTATGGGAAGTGGTTTCTTTTCGTTCCGTGGTAGCCACCGGTGACATGCATTCTCGCACTTAACACAAGTGTCATGTTTTCCCGCCTTTTTGTAGACATATTTTCCCGCCTTGTTGGATTTCAAGAGGCCACGCTTGCCACTTGTTGCACGTGTTCACGCACCTGACGCAAGTTACACGTGGTCCCGCGCTTAACACATGTCATGTTTTCCTGCCCATTAGTGGACATATTTACCCGCCTTGTTCGATGTCAAGACGCCACGCTTGCCACTTGTAACATGTTTTCCCACCTGTTTGTTAGCATACTTTCCCTACTTGTTCGTTGTTTTGTTTTGTTTTTTTTTTTTACTTTCCGCACTTTACAGTGGTTACGTGTTTTCCTGCCTGCTTCTTAGCATATTTTCCTTCCTTGTTTCCTGTTTTTCTTTTTTTTTACTTTCCGCGCTTTACAGCGGTTACATGTTTTCCCGCGCTTTGCACGCGCTTGCCACCGAGTTAGTGTTTAACCGCGCTTGTTGCGGTTCGTTTTCCAAATAGTTTAGTATCATTATTTCAACATTCTTTGTTTTGTTTTTGTTCTTGTTTGTTTATTGGTGTATTCTATTATTTTCATTAATTTTTTTGCAAGGCCAATTCATCTGTTTCCTTCATGTTTCAGGGCGTAACGCTGGGTGCTGGACTCACAATTACCTTCCTTTCTTTCCTACTTGTATACTTTATTAACAAGAAGGCTGATGTGATCTTCACTTCCACTGATCCTCTAAGTTCTGAACTCGACAATTAAAGCTTTTTTACAAGTCCAGCAATACAAGTTTAGAAATCCTCCCTATGACAGCGTAATAAATTCAAGTGACAGGTGGCGTGAAGTAAAGATCTGACAGGGTCTCGGCTAAAAAGGCAAATTCTCCCATGGAGGTTATAAAGAGTACGTTAAAACAGCATGGCGAATTTAAGTCGATCATGAGTTTGACAGAGTTCAGCAAATAAGTTCTCACGATACTAAACAACGGACCTGATTAGTGAAGAATGTCACGAAAGCAATTAATAGGACACAAGGCTGCCCTCTCTTAAGGAGTCGGAGGACACGAGTCGTCTAATCCTTGCAGCTGTAGTCTCCGATGACGAGCGAATCACCTCCGAGGATATTCCAAACCCGCGATGATGTGTCGACGAAAGCGGCTATCGGGCAACCTAGATCTTGTTAACGAGGATAGAAACTTCATTTTGTCAAACTGAGAATTGTGTTGATTATAAGAGACGATTTACTCTAGCCTTTTCTCTTTTTTTTGTTTTTTTATTTCCTTGGAGTAGATAGAAAATTATTTGTTGTTAGGAAAAGATTAATCGTCAGAAATCAACATCTCGAATGTATTTTAAAAATGGTCGAAATTCTTAAGAAGGCTTATGTCTGAAATAAGACACACTCATGACATCTATTTTTATATATCTTTTTTTTTTTAACCTCAGAACAGAGCGCTGGTAAAATCCGGTTTCTTTCGTAGCTATGAAAAGAAATGGTTGCACATTCCCACCCAAAGAAGTTCAAAATTGTCTTCAGCTGTTCAAGAGAAATAAATTTATGATTTATGAGTGGAAGAGATAAGCTTTCAGTAATTAGCTTTGGAGACGTGTCCTTTTTGTCTTTGCTCTTACCAGGTATTCAGGATCTCAATTATTTATGATTATTTGTTATTTGAAGGGAAATTTCAGTTTCTCATGCAGTTGTAAATACCGACCCAGTGTGCTTTCCTCTTTGTATCGAAACATATTTTTGTGATACGTTTTTTTTTTTAATAGGGAAATTTAGTTAAAAATCTCTCAAACGTACTATTGTTAAATACCATTTGTAGAATTTTCTTGAAGGCAAAGTATGATAAAACTACTCAAATGTTATTATGCCACTTAGTGTTTAGAAAAATTGTCGAAAAATATAAAGTTTTCTACAAAAAAGAAACTGATTAATGGCATCAGCTTTCCTTCTGTCCAGCTTAAAGCTTAAGAATTTTGCTTATAATAAAACTTGCCTCCTCAAACAAAGGCCAGAAGGTTCTAACAACAAAACACGGAGTGGCAAATGTATTGTGATTTCGTCTCTCTTTACAGAGTGCGTTTCGATTGACTGTAATAAAACCAAAACCAAAATAATAAGGGAGAGCGAAAAAAACTATCACAGGCAGCCAGTAAGAACTCAGGTTAAAAATGAGCAAACACCTGAAGCGCAGATTGATCCCAATATTCAACTAAAAATCGCTCTCTGTATAGTTGTATGCCTCTCAAACTTTCAGGAAGTTTGTTAGCAAATTGGAACATGACCAAGGGAAGTTGTTAAGTTTCAACGAGTTTGTTTTGTAATTTTTAAGCATTGTGGCAAGCGCTCAGACGGCCTGCAAGATTTTGCTCCTGTGTGATTCCAAGCTTGAGATCGTTCCCAAGATCTCGCTCTAGTCTCCTCTTGATGTAAACAAAAACATCAAAAACACCATAGCTGAGATTACCCACTCTCTCCACCTGGCCCTCCCAGCGGTCTTCACGATTATGCATATTAAATGACACATTTCAAACAGCATACATACAGCAAATAATAACAATCCAACATGGCGGAAAGAAATTGATAAATATTGTCTGCAACAACGATTTTGTATGTGTTTATGTCTCAGACAACATGGTAGTGGTGGCAGGAATGGGACTTGGAGTATTACTAGTGCTGATATTTTGGAGTCTTGGTATTATAGGATGTGTCGTTTTGTCAAGAGCCTCAGGGGGGTTGAAGTAAGTACTACAACAATCTTTGGAGAACGGTGCTCTAGTGTGTCTTTCCCCGATATTTTTCGTCCTAGTTCTCAGTTATGTTCATAACTGTGCTAAGAACAACGTGAGAGAGTAACTGTATTCACTTACATAATGTGTTCTGTAGAAATGTCTCTGAGTTGAGAAATTTCATCCATAAGTGCTGCTACGAGCAGTTTTTCCCGGCCAGCGTCTTTTCGTGGCCAATTAGCAAATGTGAACACCCCATCACATTAAATATCAGTGCACTGTAGAGAATTTCGTAAATTTCATAATATTTCAGAACATGAGTTAATAAACTCAGCAATATTGAAAATTTTGAATCTGTCAGCAAAAATTTTCCGACATTTCCTTGTAGCAACAACGAAAAAAAAATCAAACATGTTTATTGCGTGAATTCAATAGATGGCGCCATCATTGAGAGTTTTTTCTTCCTTATCAAATACATCAAATAGATTCTGTGTTGCTGTAGGTCTGTTCAGATCACAGACACAGGAGATGAACAAATGTGGTAAGAACAGAAGTGAAACACTCAGCTGGGCTTCCTGTGCCACTTTTTTATTCTTGCCACATTTTGAAGTCATCTGTGATCTATTACTGAACAAGACCCACAGCAACATGGAATCTATTTGTCAACCCTTTACACCCTAACATCAGTGTGCATATTCTCCATACTGTTCTCTATACATTTCCAAAGAGGCTGACAAGGAGAATTTGTTTCACAATCAAGAGCTGTTTTAGTTGGTGATCATCTCTTCTATTCTCATGACTTTCATGTTTGATTCAGGGGTGATATTGTAAGGAGAAATTGGATGCTAGTCATTCTTAAAAGCTAAAGGGTTTATTAGCTAATTTTCATAATGGTGTTTTTCTTGTTTTAGAAATGCAGTGGTAGGGATATTCTTTCTTCTTGTTCTTCTCACTGTGATTTTGGTTCTCTGGCCAAGAAAAACTCCTGAGGAAGAATTGGCAGGATCTACAGAAAAAAAGGTTGGTAAAACAGTGAAATAACCACAACTTATAGTTTGAACCTGCTGGTGATAGCTGATCATGTTGTTTGATCATCTTATTACAGGTAGTTCTGAAAAAGTCAAATGTCCTTGATAGTGGTTGATACTTAATCCTTTGCCCCCCCCCCCCCCCCAAGAGTGATAAGCATCTAATTTCTCATTACAATATCGCCCCTGAATAAAACATTAAGGTCACGAGAATAAAGGATATGATCACCAGCAAAGAAGCTCTTGATTGTTACAAAGATTCTCCTTGTCAGCACCTTAGGACATGAACAGGGATCAGTAAGGAGAATATGCATTCTGATGTTAGGATGTAAAGGGTTAACCCACTTAGTGGATCTTTAATTCTTCTATGTTTTTCCAACAGATTGAAGTTGATGAACTGATTATTCCAAAGACAGTCCTGTTTGTGTTCATCTGCATATTTTCATTAGTGGCTTTTGTTTTCCTTCTTTTGCACTGGATGGAACCAATTTATTCACCTGCCCTCACCTCCAGAAAAACCTATGCTTTCTAAATAGAAAATCATCATTAAAAGAGCCTTGCAGATGGAATCATAAGTTCTGCATGCTACAAACACCCAGTGATGTGCAATCCATATTAGGAAAGCCTGTGCCTTGCTCACTTATTGTCCAGGGCCCACTTTTATGAAGGTCCTATTCCAGTTAGCAAAAAAGGTTCCAAAGTTGAAAAGAGCTGGGCACTACAAGACTTGGCACTATTCATCATCACAGGGCCTCAGATGAAACAATGCTAAACTATCGGCATTTGGAGAGGAAGTACTATGATGCTGTTGAAGACTGTTTTAGAGTACCACAAAGGGTAAACAGACTGTGTGGTACAAAAATGGTACGGACTAGATGAACTCAAAAGCATAGAAATGAAAGGAAGTCTTTTGCCAAATCAAAGCAAAACAGGTCATAACAGATGATCAAAAAGTTTGTCAAGAGGAAACTCATGAGAGTAAAAACATTTTTTTTTTTAGCCAGAGTGCCTCTTTCTCTTTTCGTTGATTTACAAGATGTGTCAAGTACAGAAACCTTCTGTGAAAGGACGACTAAAGGTCAGCCAGTATTACGGCTGTTAATTTTTTAGAGGCTCGCAGACATAAGTTGCAAGCTCCTGTAGCACATGCAAGAGGAGCCTTAGGTGCGCGTAACTCGCCCTATGCGCAAGCTTCATGCCTCTTTCCCTTCCCTTGAAATGCAAGAGAAGGAGGCCAGTTTTAGCTTAATTAAGGGTCGGAACAGTTTAACTTTGTAAGTTTTGTTTTGTGTTGTTTCGCAAGCAATCACAAAACAAGCGTTACAGGCATCGATTTATTTTTCGCTCAACTGACCTCTATTTAATTGCGAACTAAGATTAAAAAAACAAACAAACAAATAAAAAACAAATGAACTCAAGTATAGTTGTCCCGCGTCCATTTTTCATTTACATTTGGTACCCCGTGGTTCCATAATTTTCGTCCGGGTCGCTATGTGGAAACTGGAACGACTTCTGGCAGAATTTGTGCTGGCAATCATGTGTTTTCCGTTTGGGAAGCACTCTTGATGAAGAGCTGACGAAGGCCGAATTATGAATCAACTCGTAAGTGATGTTGAAAATGCAATTCGTAGCAAATTTGAAGGAACATCAGCGCCATCCAGTGCCTGTAAATCGGGCAAAGAGGTAGTAAGACACCCCCAGACCCAAGCTGAAAGAATGGCAGTTCTTGGACAAAATGTTTGCTACATTGTGACTGCGGTTGTTATCAACGAGGGGCGCGTTCTGATGATGAGAGAAGCTAAGAGATCTTGTCGAGGAACATGGTATTTACCTGCTGGTAGAGTCGAAAAGAACGAGTCTCTCGAAGAAGGCGTAGTGAGAGAAGTATTAGAGGAAACTGGACTTGCTTTTCAACCAGTATCAATTATTTGCATCGACTCTCAAGGAACCTTCTGGTTTCGATTCACTTTCGTGGGCTGCATAACGGGAGGAAAGCTTAAAACTTTGGATGAACAGGACAAGGAGTCGATGGAAGCGGGCTGGTTTCCGGCTGAAGAAGTGTTTACTTCTCTGCCATTAAGAGCAAGGGACATTTGCCCGTTGATAGATCTTGGGCTGAAATGGTATGAAACTAAACAAGAACAGACCATTTGTAGACTGCTTCCTGCAAAGAATTCCCAGGGACAAGTTACTGTTCGCCTGTTGGCTGTTAAAAGAGTTGAAAAAGATGATGAAAAATCGCTTTTTTGTCTGGTGTGCCACAACTCTACTGGTGATGGTAACCACAACTGTCATCCTTATTTTCCAAGCAAGTCTGTGGGTATAGATGGCTCAAATATCACTCATGTTGTTGACCAGCTTATCAAAGATTTTGACAGTAACCTACACTACAAAAAACATGGCTACGTTACTGTTGAACACACCGGAAAGCCTCATGGAGAAGCAGATGGAGTATGTCTTACCGTTCTTGTAGAGGTGTTTCCAGCAGTTGAGGAGGGAAGTTTGAAAGGAAAATATCAGTGGTTTAAAGTAGAAGAAAAATCCTTGACAGAAAATATTTGGAAACTCATAGATGTTAAGGGTTTTGTTGAGTTTGTGGAATCTTAATTTACAGCCTTTGCTTGAAGGAGGGTCGGGGGGTGATTACAACAAAGGATCAGCAGATTCTGACAGTATTTTTGGATTCATAGCAAAAGCTTAACCCTGTAACTCCCATGAGTGACCAAGACAGAATTTCTCCTTACAATATCAATGAAACATTAACCAGATAGGTGATGAGAATAAAGAAAAATATCAATTTGGGGACAATTAGTTGATTGAATACTAAATTCTCTGAACTAATATTATAAGAATTATTTGGTAGATAGTGAGGAGAATTACAAATTTGATCTGGAAAAAAAGGGTTGAAGGATTTGTGGATCCTGAAATTATAGTGGTTGGCGGTTTTCATGGATTTTTCTGGGCCCAGATTTTCAATTTTGCTTTGGACAACAACTCTGAATAAACAACAGGTTTCTAATGTAAAAGTTGATCTTTTACAGTACAGCTCAGAAATATGTTAGCTGCGCAGATGTATTTTATATGCTCAGACACAGGTAGTCAGACAAGCATATATGCTTTTCATGCACAACGCATGTGTCATTGTTGTGTAAAACAAAGAAGTTTTGGGTTTGAAAAGGAAACAAATTGACAACAGAAAATTTAAATAATGAATGGCATGGCTTTGGGGATTTGTTGAATAGCAAGCAGTAGCAGTAGATTTGCTTGATTTGAGCTGTTGACAATTGAGAAAGAAAAGGGAAATGTCACTTACACAAGGCATTTAAGACGTAAATCATTAATTGAACAACAAAGTAAATACTCACTAATATGCTACCTGATTTATTCTGTTTTAGTTTGTTAAAGGTCCTATAAAAAGTGAAAACGATTTTTGGAAAATTGTTTAGTTAACACACAAAAGTTCAAGGTGCCTTTTCACAAATCCAGGTGTCAAGTAGCAAACAGATTCAGTGTTAACTTTTTTTGTATACAGATCTATGGATTTAGTTATTAAATTACAGTGGATCTGCAGATTTGCATATCCCTATTCACCTCCCTCTTGAGGAATGGATAAGAGAGCTGAGATGCAAATATCTCAAATTTTCAGACTTTTGCCTTCCCCATGACCAGATTTTTAGTCGTTGGCCAAACACATCTTCAAACAGAAACAGGGCAGATTGAAACTCAAACCTTTGGTGCACCAAGTTGAAATGTCTTTTGGGATCAGTCCCAGCAATCAAGTTCAACATTTGACTCAGACACTGAACTTGATCAGTCAAACTTATGCTTTAGTCAAAAAAGCAAATTATGTTATGCAAAACTAACTTTCTACTAGTTTGTGCTTAAGATTCAGGAAATTAAATTTTGCTGTTTGAATCAATTAGTTGCTCTTTACCAATAAACCTCCTAGGTATGCAAACTAATCTAAATTGGATGTTTCAAACTTATTTGTATTAAATGTGAGTGTATAGAAGAAGGAATTATGCTTGGTGCATTTAAGTACATGAAGAAGATAACATTTGAGTCAGTCTTTATTTTGGTCAATAACATGTTGCATGGTACCCAAGTTAATGTGCGATAAAGTTCTGTAATGTTAATAATTGTGTATTTTAGGATGTGATGTTTTTTGACAACTGATTTTTTTAAAACTGAATTAAGAATCATTACATGATGCAATAGTATTATCATTGGTATTATCATTAAGAGAACTTGTATAATTTTGGCAACAGGAAGCCAATACTTTTGATTTGATATTTTTCATCTGAAAGTGTATTATACATATGTATTTTTTTAAAGTCAATAGGTTATGCAAAGGCTATAAATTGTAATCAATTTTTTTTTCAGTAGAGCGAAAAGCTGCACTCCAGATCTAGTTCTGTTCCATTCTTGATTTGGATTTAGTTGATCCATTGTTGGATATTTTCACTTTTTTTAATCTGCCTAACTTTTTAACTCCAAGATCAAATTTGTAATTCTCCTTACTGTCAACCATACAATTCTTATAATGTTAGTTCAGAGAATTTAGTATTAGATCAACTAATTATCTCCAAATTGATATTTTTCTTCACTCTCATTACTTATCTGGTTGATATTGTATTGATATTTTAGGGAGAAATTCTGTCTTGGTCACTCATGGGAGTTACAGGGTTAATTCTACCCTTAAGCTGCTATACATTTCCTTGAAACTTAGTAACAAGAATTTGGTGATAGATCAAAATACAATGTAACAAATTCTATATGATTAGTTTGAGTATTCTTATCACCAGTTTGCAGGATATTGTATGGATATTATAGAGAGAACTTACCTGTTGATTTTTTCTAGGAGTTAACTGTTAATATTGAAAAGTATTTAATGATTATTATAGTTATCACTCAATGAGGTGTATTAATCGTCAATTTAATACATCAGTTTATTTTTTTAAAGAAATCGACATTATCTTGAATTAAGTTCATAAATATAATTTGATGATTATTAAAGTATGTTTTTGAATTATTTTTTTATGAAAAAAAACTATGTTAGCATGTAGAGTGGTATGTTACTTGCACCAATCAGATCACTACATTTGGGTATGTATCTCACACCAATCATATCACAGCATTAAATATCTTGTGCCAATCACAGCGTTTGGGTATTGTTTTCTTGTAAATGATGTCATGTAATCAGGGGGCCATGCACAAAGAATAACATTAACCAGTAATTTTGTGCTCATTTCACAAAAGCCTTGTCAATTAAGGTCAAGATTTATAGGGATATAAAAGGTTCGCATTATTTGATTCATTTTAAGTGAAAACATGTTTTTTCCATTCCTTTACACACAACTCACACACCAAACAACTTACATTCCATCATATACCATGAAAACAATGTCCAAAGTCCAATCAGAACATACCCAATCATTGCATTACATGAACATTAGGCAATTTTTCACATGCTTGAATTGTATTCCACCAATCAAATTTCATGTTGCCAAATTAGACTTTTCTCCATTGCATGCCATTTCCTTGTAAATAACCTGCATTTAATCACATATTCTAATTGCATTGTCCAACCCCACTGAAAAAATTCACATGGAACTAAAAGCTACTGATTGTGAATTTTTTTACACAGCTCTTCCACTTTTTACTTTTTCTACAAATAAAATTGACTTTTGGCTACATTAGACCTAATCCAATTGCATGTTAATTCCTTGTAAACAACCTACATTTTATTGCATATTTCACACACAGAGGGCAAAGTCCAGATAAGCAACAACCAATCAAGGAGCCCTCTTTGAAATATTATCCTTTTCTCTTGTTCAATGTATCTTCACTTATTTGAGATCGCAATATATCTTTGGTTAGGGTCTGTGGAAGATACAACAGAGTTTCAGTTTGCTTTTCATAGTAGAATTACACAATTATATTTTTCAGGTAACTAACTGTAGATGAATAATTTTTATTTATCTCTGTTCAAGGATAGCAGTAAGCATAGTCTCTTTCGCAGCTGTAATTTGGTCTCATTACACAATGCGCTCTCCCTCTCAATCTTTTTGTAACGAATAGCCAAATTCACAACTATGGTACCAGAACAGCTAGTAATTATCGAATGCATTCATTTGTGCTGCACAAATCTCAAGCAATTTACAATTCTTTACCAAGGTCCTAAAATTTGGAACTCTCTTCCTGTTTCAGTCACTCATTTGTCAAACCTTCTTAGTTTTAAGGCGAAAAATGCAAGAGTTTTTACTTAAATAATCCTTGAATTGGCCTAGCTGCACATTCGCAGCACTTTTTCTTTACTTTATTTATTAATGTAAGTGAGGTGGCTCTCCCATAAGCCCAGTGGCTTTCTGGGTCTCCTTGCCTTCTAGCTATAACCACTGTAAATAAATTTTTTTTGTATTGTGTAAATAAGGCAAATAAAAATATGATGATGATGAAGATCAAACAACTGTTGCAAAGGAGACAACAAAAAGTGTGGCAGCGAGGCATTTTACTTTTGCCTAGAAGTTTTTTTCTTTCTCTTAAGGTGACCTAATGCAATATTTTTGTCTGTTTGAAAATAATGCTTTTTTACTGTTACAGAAATGAAAATATTAGGTGCATAAAGTGCCCCATGCCAGTATTTTCAATTTTGAATCACATTCTGCCATCTTGGCTATTTCTTTTTTTGACTGAACACTATCAAGATTCTCTGAAAATATCAGATAGTAGGCTAGCTGTAGACTACAAGCAATTTTCATAATTTTGGCTTGCCAGCTTTCTCCTTTTGTGGGTACTTTGGTGAGCAAAGCATGTCTGTTTTATGTCAGTAATGAAAACTTCAACTAGTGAAATCATCAAAAATATTTCTTTAGTAATGTTGTCAAGGAACAAACTTCAAACTTCAAACTTTTTAACGCTTTTGACAGTTATTGTCAATGGATCGGCTAGCTACTCCTTAGCGATTTCCGGTTCCCACCGGAAGTGGAAATACCGGAAGTTTTGAATGTCCTAACTTATCACGTGACCCTTTCTACAGCTGTTGTCTCGTTCTTCTTAGTCATTCATCTGCAATCACTAATTTCGCTTCCTAAAGCTTTTAAGGTGTCCCTTGTTAATCGCATTTTAGCCAGGGGGTGTCGGTTGTAATGGTTACCACGCTATAAATATGGATGTTGTCCAAATTTTCGTTCTCTGAGGATTCGAAGGCGGCGGCGCTATCACACGACACTTAAGAAATTGATGACTTGCTAAGCGGTAAGTGCTACTTTAAAAGCAGTTATGATTTGTCACAGGGGCAGAGTAAGATCGTTTTCCTTACTCGTTTGCTCTGAGTACATTAAAAATTTCAGATAACACGAGAGTTTACAACTCAAAATATCGGTCAAGGCCGTCACAGACAATTAATTTAACACCTGGGAATTACCAGAGTAAAAGCTAGCTTTCTCCGTGAACATTAGACGTTGCATCCACTGTAACTTTTTCGCTGGATTTCCGTTATCAGTTGTATCAAATTCCAAACTAGTAGGCCAGTTTATTTACAAGAATAATCTCGGAAAGAAATTACGAGATTACCGACTCGGAGGTAAATGAATGAAAATAAATTATTGCTTTCGCGGGCTATGTTGTAGTTATAGATTTGGATGATGATAAATATTTGGAATTTTTTTCGAAATACTCATGTTTTGTTTATAAACTGTAACAGTGCAAACGAAGTTGCTGAAAAATTAGTGAAATATTTTCCTATTATTGTGGGATGTGAAGGACGCGAACGATCAATATCAACATCTATTCTCGGATGGATTATAGCGGCGTCCTCATAACTTTGTTTTATGAAAGCTCTGTGGATGTTAATCTTGAATTATTAAACCTTTTGCTTTTCTTTTTGTACTGGAATATGGAGGTCTGTAAGTTCGCAAAATTAACTTCGTTCCCGAAGAACTATTTCCTCATCTCGACCAAATTATCTGTGTTTAAATCATCGGCGGATTCGCTGTGAATACTTGATATTATCGCGAAATGTGCACAAGTCAATTTTTCAGGAAAGAATCACAGTGACTATCTTTTTGTAACAGGGGCTAGCGTAAAGTAACTTTTAAAGAAACAAGGTGAATTTTGACCTATGAGCGTAATTTTCACTGAATATTTGAACTAAGAGAAATGGCTTTTAGAGATCACCTCTTTTGCTGTCAGTCATACTCGTAAAGTTTTTTGATGGACGTACATTACTGCTTATATGGAATTTGATATTGGATCACGTACAAGTCTAATTTCCACAACGTTGACATAACAAAATGCGGAAAACAAAATTAAAAAAAGGGGATAAACCCAGATAGAATTTCATCTGCATACAAATTTTTTTTAAGATCTTTACAGTTCCAAAGGATATTCCTCAAAAAACTGAGATAAAATAGTCAACATCTTCCTGAGTAGTTTATTTTTGATCACAGATGTATCAATGATGAGGGTTTGCTATCAAGGGGAAATTTGGTTCTGTCACAGAGTTGATAATGTAAATTGAACACCATTAGCTGACATTTTGATCAGGACTCTGACAGTGATCAGGGCTCTGACAGTGGCCAATTTACATTATCAACCCAGTTGATAATACCAAATTATCTTGTTAATATTTTTAAGGTTTCCAGATAATGACAAAAAAAAAATTGAATATATGTGCACATGAAGCATAGACAGATGACCGTCATCACAGCCCTGATAGTAATGATAGTGATAAGTCATTGACTGTAGGAGACTTGGTGGCATGCAGTTATTCCTTTAACTCTCAGATCAAATTTGTAATTCTCCTTACTGTCAACCATACAATTCTTAAAATGTTAGTTCAGAGAATTTAATATTGGATCAACTAATTATCCCCAAATTGATAATTTTCTTTATTCTCATCACTTATCTGTTTGACATTGTATTGATATTGTAAGGAGAAATTCTGTCTTGGTCACTCATGGTTGTTAAAGGGTTATTCCACAAGACTTGGGATCAAGATGTCTAAGGGCAATACCTGGTCAGGCTGTTGTTTTATCCCGAAGAGAGATACCTTGATCTTACTGTCTCTTTCTCCACCCAGAGGTATAAATTGTGTAGTGCTGCGCTTTCAGGGTAATTGGCAGGTGGTGTAACTGGTAATGGTTGGCATTCTGTCTGTAGAGGCCAGCTACCCTTGGTGAAAATAAATACAACACATCAACTTGTATGAGTTCAGATCCCTGGTATTCTTGTAAAAAATGACCACAACCATTTATGTACAAGTATCCATCCAGCAATTCAAAGTTCTTGCTTCTTAAAAATATTTCGCTCAAAACTAAATGGGAAACTGCACTCTGGGTATATTATCAGTGTTTATGAATGCAGTAAATCATGTGCTGACCAGGGAGTGTAGCTGTACCCCTGGTCACCTCATGCCACAGAAATTGAGATAAGCTTTGTTTGTGCAGAGTTGTTGATGTGACTTACTTTTTGTGCTAGGAGTTGCAGTTTTGTGACTGTTAGACAAATTATATGCAAGATGTCAAATCCTGCTACTTTACCAACACCTGTGAAGGACGTCCAAGGTGATAACAGATGGATGAGCATGGTGAGAAAAATAGGGAAATGGAGCCTAGTCTCTAGGAACTTTGATTCTCCAAGTTTCCAGTCTCTCTCTTCATCCTTCCCTCCTGGAGTGAAAGAGGCTGTGTGAAGAGAGATCTAGGAAATAAGTTTGCTATAAAAAGCTTTCCCTGTGAAATTCTCAGTTATTTATGTCTTAATGATATAACTTTTAATTGCACTAAAACCGTAATTTTTTTTAAAGTTATTAATTCATTTGTTCCTTTTGCTAGCATGAGAGATTTTTACATGATGGCAAGTTTTCTCCATGTAATGTTTTATTCATTGGCGACTCACTGATTCGCAATATGAAGGAGACTGAGGTAATTGGTTAAGCTGGTAATAATATTGATCTGAAACATATCTTTTATATTGGCTAGTTTTAATTAACAATTGGTTCATATGTCAGCGTGTGTTCATTGAGACATGAAGCACACGGGAAGTTTGGAGAGCACAAAAGATGCGTAACTTCCCAAGTGCTTCATATCTCGATGAACGCACAGCTGATGTATGAACCAATTGTTTTATCACATTTTCAACCCAAAGGAAAATTTTTTTTCAAGGGACTCGTTTGCTGATGTCATGAGCATGCACAATAGGAATATGAAGCATGCTCGCACAATTGAATTAGATTAGACAAATTTACTAGCTATGTTATAAACTGAATTCTATCTCAATCAACTCCAGAGTGAAGATATAACCTTCATTTGAACTGTAGAAATGATAGCAGCTACAGTTTACCCACAATGGCTGGTATTGGCCAATATTAGCCCACATTAATTTGGATGAATCAGTGTAGTTGGTAGGGGGGGAGAACAAAAATGTACTCAAGGTATGGTGGGGGGGGGGAGGGAAAGAGGGCTAAAAGAGAAAAGCAGGTGCTGGTACTAGGGCATCTGGGGAGTTTCCAGGTTGAGACTGTAAGAAAGTGACTTTCCTTCCCTCTGCCAATTCTTTTCCCTTCTGCAATGGAAGGAGTCAGTTTCTTGTGGCTTCTCGTAGGTAAATCATGTCATTTTTTTTCTTTTCCTTTCATCCTACAGGCTTGGGATACTTACTTTGCACCCCTAAATTCTCTTAATTTTGGAATTGGAGGAGATTGTACAGAGCATGTGTTGTGGAGAATAGAAAATGGAGAACTGGATAATATTAATCCCAAGGTAAGGAGGCAGAGGTAGCAGCTACTTGCCAAGTCACCCAAAATTAACTAATATTATTTTCATTCTTTATAGCGAAGATTTTCAAGACAATACAAGATAATTTGGTTTTATCAACTGCATTAATACTGTAGATTGAAGATTGGAAACAGTTTCTAAAGCTGAGCATTACCTCTTCCCCAGCCATTCAGGTTAATCATTCATTCTGATCAGAGAGCTAATGCTGGAAATGTCAACTTCAGAAACTCTTCATGGACGCCAATTTCCATTACCAATGTAGTCGATAAAACCAAATTAATCTTATTAATTAAATTTTTTTGATTTGATCACAACTTTTTTTTCTTGATTTCAGGTTGTTGTATTATTGATTGGAACAAATAATCATCACAGTACAGCAGACCAAGTTGTAGAAGGAATTGAATCAGTTGTATGGAGTATAACAAGCAAGCTGCCTTCTGCAAAAATCATTGTACTGGTAAGATAAGATGGTTCTTTGCATTTTACAAAATGCCATGAAGTAGGATTGGTGGAATGCCATGCTTATTTAAGTGGGTTTGTAAGGAAATATTTAAAAACCACCTTAAGGAACATCCCATTTTGAAAGAAGGACATTTTGGGTGGGAAGCCTGTGTTCAATCACAGCGCCTGCACAGCTTAACCAACCTTAAAAAAGGAACTTATCTATATCTCCTCTCGTTCCAGGAATTTGTATCATCTTCCTTTTTCCAGCCTAAGGTTTTAATTTCCTTTCCTGATTAATAGGGTCTACTTCCACGAGGAAAACAACCAAACCCTCTCCGCGAAAAACATTTCCAGGTGAACCATTCACTCAAAGAACTGATTGAGGCCATACCAAACTCTCTATATCTGGACTCGGATCCAGGCTTTGTCAGAAGTGATGGAGTTATTAGTCACGAAGACATGTTCGACTATCTTCACATGACCAGAAAAGGATACAAGAAATTCTGCAAACACATCTCAGAAGTCATCGTTAAATTTCTGAAATATTAGGTATTAGTAAAGACAGTTTGTGCGTGACGTCTCGTTTACCATTGGTTGTGCGTAAAAATGGAAAAAAATGTATAAATCGCCCGTATTGGTAGTCTCCTTCGCAAAGGCTGTTTGATATTGTCACGCAATAGTGCGTTGCGATATCAGATATTACGTTACGAGATTTTGCGTTCCACGATATTGCGTCACAAGATTTTGCGTTACGAGATACTGCGTTACGACACTTAACGTTAGGAGATATTGCAAGATATTGCGTTGCGACATCTTGAAGTGCAAGAAATTAATTTCATCAATATGAGTGATTAAATAATGTGGTGGGGAATATGCTATTTTTATTCAAACTATTTCTCCTGGTTTGATTCCCTGTAAAAATTTGACTTTTATCCATGTGGGTAAAAGGCACCTGTGTTCGCCGCCTTTCTTCAATTCAAGAAATACCTTTAAAAATTATGTATTTAAAGACGAGGGTATGAAATTAAGTTTTCGAAAGTAAGAGGAATGGCTTAAATTATTTCTTCCCTCCGTGGAAACGAAACTAACTTAATATATGAATTAAGAGTAAAACTGCAGGTCAAAATTCAAAAAGGAATTTAATTTCTCAGCGTTATACATTATGGAACGACTTCGCTCGTCTTCTGGCATGAGCATGAAGTCGCGTCAAATTCAATTAGTGATATGACATCCCGAGACTGGATCTTCGCAGATCTTTGGTCGTTAAGTAGATACATTATAATACAATGAAAAATTAAAACTATTAAAAATAATTTAAAGGTCACTGCCAGAACAACCCATTCAACTTTAATATTTTAAAACATTTGGGAAACAACTGACTAGTTTCTTTTGTCGTTTATGGCTTAAAAATATATTTGCATTTTTTTTATAATTGCAAAAATTCGTGTTTACAGTACAATTCATCAAAAAACATCACACGTAAGTTCAGTGTGGGTAAGAATAGTTAGGAAGTGTGAAAAAATGTTAATTAGATTGAAAATAAAAGATGATAGCGGTGGATAATATCCAATAGGCTTATGTCGTGTTTTTTAAAACCATGGTTTTGTCGAGCACTTAAGAGAAAGTAATGTAATTGTTCTTTTGTTTCACCCTGTGATTGGTTTAGAAAATTTGCGCGACCGATCAAAAGAGGAGAAAAAGAGCCAATGAGAACTCATCAGGAAAACAAGCAAACTTCCTAAATCGCGGTAAAGGCGGGTGATCAAGTCACGAATAGATTTCAGTTTTGAATCTGATTGGTTGAGAAAGTGACGCGAGTTTTCTGTACCAGTCATAGGGAGAAATAAAGTAAAACAGACTCAATCTCAGATTACTTTTAAAACCAATCGCAACTTGATCACCCGCGTTTTCCCGCGCTTCAGGCAATTTTATTTTACCATAAGTCATCATTCATTGTGATATTTTCTGATGTTCTGATTGGCAGTTGTGAAAACTTTTGGTTTGATTTTTCATAACACTCATCTGGAATGCGCTCATTCTGACCGCACGCACACGAGACATCTAATGTGAAAAGTTGAAATTATTTAAACCGCGTTTAAATAAATAAGCACGAGCACCCTACTTGAGTAATTTTTAGTATCTCATATTCGGTATTTCGTGAAAGGGAAGTAACGTCTGTTTAGGAATCAAAAGTTACCATGGTTTTTTCACAGATGAAAAAGAGGGTTCCCAACCCCTTCCCCCCCCCCCCCAGCGAACTATATCTACCCACTTCCCTCCCCCCATAGATGGTTTCACCCTGTGAATGTTCGACTATGAACCCGTAGCCAGTGTTAATCTAATCTAATAAAGATTTGGATCGTTCTCTGCCACGCGGTGAGTGAATAATGACCAATTCTTCAAACTTGGTTACCATTTCAATGCGAAGACATGGCGATATCTGAGGCGAATGACCAAGGACGTTCTCAGGGGAACTGGAACCCACTTCAGACTCGTCACTTGATGGTAGCTTTAAGGAGAGGAAACTGGAACCGATCTCATCCCGATCACGTGTAGCGCGGCCACTAAATTTCTTTTCAAAACTGGAACCCATATTTGACTGGTCACGTGGTGATGGTCCTGGAGAGAGAACATCACCAAATTCATCTAGTGGAAGTGTTATCTGCGGAGCGCTGATTGTCTCTTGATCTTGAAAACTAGCAACCTCTGACAAAGTTATCTCCACAGGGCCACCTTTCTCAGTTTTAGATTCATTCAAACTGCGTTTTTCTCGTCTGCGTCGAAGAAGACTTGACTCTCTCACGTCAGTCAAGCAAAACCTGTTTCTCCGTTGATTCAGATTACGCAAAATGCCACTTTGTTCCTTGTTTCGACCAGTCGTTACTCCTTCTTCGTCGGCGTTCAATGAGCGCCTCTCTCCTCTTTGCCTCGCGTACGGAAATTCAGAAATATTCTTTGAATATTCATAGTTCTCTGCTAAAATCCTTGAAGTCACCAAAGTCAGCTGTATTTCCTTGCAGACCCCACTGATGGGATCAGCTTCTTCATTAGCCAGCATCGTCTGTGCGTCGACATAAGTAATCTTTTCTGTAATTTCACCACTCATCTTGAAAGTAACTTCGTTTCTGCTATAAAAAAGCGGATGAAAATTCTGCTCTTCGGTTCAGTTAATAACGTACTATCACGGGAAACAACCAAGTAGATTTCCAGAAAAAATGAGGAAACAAATAATTAGGCACGATTTATATATCGGTAATTAAGAGTCGTGTTGGGATTCTTTAATCAAAAATCAGCCGACACGACTTGCGCAACTTTTTGTGACGTCTAATATGTAAGACAGATCATTTCGCAATATGAATTCAGCTTAATTGTTATCTAAATTAGTTTTCTCTACTCTTGAAGTTTATTTCATGGAACAAAAATTATATTTAGTGACTGGTCATTTTTTATCCCCAGGGAGGGGAGAGAGGGATTCGGTGGATTTTTGCTGAGTCACGATAAAATTCACCTGGTCCCCTCTGGGGCTCTGCGATATTCTCACGATCCCCCCTCGTTGACAGTGAATTTTCTATAGTCTCTCCTTTAAACTACGTTGGCGACAACTGACCCCCTACGTTCCCCTGGAAACTAAGTGGTCCCCCCTAAAATTCTCCAACCCACCCTCCTACCCACCCACCCCTCCCCCGCGACAAATAATGACGAGTTTCTTACCTAAAAATATCTTTTAAATCCAAGTTTTCTCTCTGGTTTTCCACTTTTTTTCAGCGTTAAGACTTTGTCGGTGTTCAAATCAGTGACTGAAGTTCATTTATAAGTCCTTATTTGGCATAATTCTTTCACAATAACTTCTCTGAATAACCCAGCTCCTTAATTGGAAATCTGATCAAGCGAGAACGTTGCGCAATCTGGGTGTGCCAAACACCGTATTTTACATATAAATCTGCCATTTAAGTCTTAGAGAGATTTAACAGCAGCAATTTCGAAGAAAGACCTCTTACTGCCGTATGTTTAGCCTACGAGCAGGCTGTCATGTTTTGGTTTTGTCTTCTTCTGCTTACAATCCCTTCTCAACCATCTGTTTCACCATCGACAGCCGCTTACGGAAGAAAATTATTGGAGATAAAAAAAAGCTATATTTACATCCTTGATAAAGATCATTAACATTAGCAACTGTCGTCAAGAAAAAGGTGGGACTAAAATTTGATCTGTTTGATTTCTGCGGTGACATGAGGTGACCCACGCAACGACGTCAATCATCAAGATAGTTTATTCTAATTGACGACCACAAATCAAAAATATCTTCATGTTCTCCATGGTTTGCTACATATGAAGGATGTTCATACGCATCGGGGAAGTTTTGCAATCACAGTGGGTATACTACTTTTCCATATTTGGGTCTATTTTAAGATGTTCCTGTTTTTACCAGCCATTTCCTAAATTTTGCTTTGGACGGAGTGTTTACTACATGTAGTTCGTCAATAAATGGAAAAGTATTCTTTTAAATGACTTCTACGATTAACTAATTCCATATTTGGTCATGAGAAAACGCGGGTAGAAAAAAAATGCATCTCATTGGTTGAGAAAATGGTGCAAGTTTTCAGGACCAATCACAAAGCGTGGTGATATTAAAATGAAATTCCGGATTACGATCGACAATTTTCAATGGAAGCACTGTTCAAATGAGTGTGGAAAGTAATTCGGATTGCTTTGGCCTAAGTTTGCTTCGTGATTGGTCGCGAGAACTCGTGCGCTTCTTACTCGACCATTCGCATTCAAAACTAAAACCAATGAGTACTCATCGGCTCCTGGAGGTATTTACCCTTGTTCTAATAGGCTGCGAACGGGCAAGAAAACGCGCGCTTTTTTCCGACCAATCGGATTCAAACTAAAACCAATTGGCGTTTTCCCGCGCTTTGAGCTGTTGGCTTGTTTTTACTTTGAATTTTCATTGGCTCGTGTTAATAAAAATCGCGCGCTCACTTTGTTCAATCACATGCCACATTCCCATGACAGTTAATGTTTTTAATTTATGTTCCCATCGGCTCCTTGTGGTATCTTCCTTTTCATCTCACTGGCAGTTGTAATAACTTTTATTTTGATTTTTAGACACTTGCGCAAAATACGCTTTTCTTTTAAACCACAATTCAAAATTGCTTTGGATCAACGCAAAAAATTTTACCTGTGTCGTGCATGATGATAAAATAGCTTCAATATTTGACAACAACAGTTTCGGTAGTTTACATGGCGCCTACAGTTCAAATACTTGCTTCCTTTCCTTCAGGAAACATTATTTATCCTTGGTTTTGATGGATCAATTCATCCGAAGCACAAATAATTGTGTCAATAACAACCTTTGAACCGGATTTCTCTGCTGCTTTCCGCTGATGTGTTCGCAAATTTGATAACTGGTTAAAAAACTTGTCACAATGGTCACATTTATATGGCTTCTCTCCAGTATGAACTCGGAGGTGTGTCTGTAAATTTGACCCGCGATTAAAACACTTGTTACAAAAACTACACTGAAAGGGCTTTTCTCCTGAGTGTATTCGCTGATGTCTTCGCATTGTGGACCCGGTCTTGAAAGTCTTTTCACATTGATCGCACTTGTAAATTCTGCTTCCACGATGTTTCATTTCGTGCAGTTCCAAACTTCGCGAATTCTTAAAGCACTTGTTACAGCGTAGACATTGAAAGGGTTTCGCTCCGGTATGTATTTCCAAATGCCTGCGTAGGCTTGAAGACTGCGTGAACTGCCTGTTGCAATGGTGACACGAAAAAGGCTTCTCGCCGCTGTGAGTACGCAAGTGAACTCGCAAATTAAGCGATTGTGTGAAACGCTTGTCACACTGAGTACAATGATAGAGTTTTACTCCGCTGTGCATTCTTAAATGCCTTGTCAAACTCGACAAGCGGTTAAAAAGCTTATCGCACTGAGTACAACTGTATGGTTTCTCGCCGGTATGAACAACGATATGTCTTTGATAACCCGACTGAAGTTTGAACTCTTTGTCACAGTGTGGACATTTGAAGGGTTTTTCGTCGCTATGAACCACCAGGTGCCTTTTCAAGGTGGTTGAGTGTCTGAAGCGCTTTTCACACTGATTGCACTGGTACCGCTTCTCGCCAGTGTGAACCAACATATGCCTCTTCAACCCTTGCGAGTCTTTGAAAGACTTGTCGCATTGAATACAATTGTAGTTCTTCTTGTTATTTGACATTTTGTAATACTGGAAAGATAATCTGAAAAAAAAACATACAAGATGTTGCTACCAGGAGTCTTACCCTTTACACCCTAACATCAGTATTCATAATCTCCATACTTTTCTCCATACATTTCTTTAGGTGCTGTAAGGAGAATCTGAGAAACAATCAAGAACCTCTCTAGTTGGTGATCATTTCCTCCTTTCTCATGACCTTAATTTGTAATTCAAGGGTGATATTGTATGAAGAAATTAGATCCTAATCACTCTTAGGGGTCAGAGGACTTAAAAGTTCATAAGTGTAGCTGTCAACAATGTACTTGTAAGAATAGAAAGTCATAATATCTGGAAATTATTCAAACTGATTTAAGGATTTTCAGAAAAATGCAAAAAGAGGTTGAAATACGGCTATCTTGACTGGCTGAGCCTGAATGATTAAGATTTCTTATGTAACTAAGAAATGGCAACAAAATGGACAACCCCCAACAGGCATCATGGGTTCATTTTGTTCACTCAGGTAGTCAGTCAGAACTTGGGATTCACTTCACCTTACCAGCTTGTTGAGTCAACTTTACAAGCCAGATATAAAAGTCAGTTTGTGAGTTGAAAGCCCATTTGGCTTAAACCAATCCCTGTTTCAGTATTACAAGTACCTAGTAGCATGACTACAGCAGGTTACCCCTGCTCTTTTGGCAGGTGTTCTCTATTTTGCTAGTACTGATAAATACATTGGAAGAATAGGAGCACAAAGAGAGTGCAGAATATTGCCCAGGAACAAAACACAGACACTCAGCCAAGGATCAAATCTGAAACCTGCTAAAACAGTCCAGAAAGCAGTTGTAACCTTACTTAATACATTCTGAGTGGAAGAAAAGATCACCTGCAATGGATACTATAGCAAAGGGAATGAAATATCTGTGATCAGTGACTGTGATATGGGCCTTGCTCACTACAGAGTCCTTGTGGCTCAGTGGAAGAGCATCGGAGTGCAGAATCTAAAGGTCTTAGAATGGATTCTTCATGGGGACTCAGTATTTTTTCTTTGTCCCATGTTCATGACAAGACAAAAAAAACATCTTTCTCTATTTCTTTAGCAACCTCAAAAATTAGCATCTTTCTTATTCGATTTACAAGACAGTGATATTGTTCCTCAACAAAAATATGGTTACGTCTGATATGGATTACAAAGTTTCTATTGTGCACCTCAAGGCACCTTTAGGTGACAATGTCACACTTTTAACACAACCTTTTGGGGTTCAATCTGACGAAGGGCTAACACTCGAAATATGGCCAATTTACATTATCAACTCAATTAATAAGACTAAAGTACCCCGTTATACTCTCCCGTTGACGCAGCACAACAGTTATTTTGGAAACTTACCCCCTTAATCTTTAGGAGTAATGACTACAAATGGTAAGATGAACAGTAATCATGACCACAACCCCTTTTCACAATATCTGTGAACAAATACCTAAGTTTCATTAATTTCCTTTCCAACAAGCACAAGAGTGCCAGTTTTTCATGTCGAACATGTTAAAGCTCGTACGCGTGACAAGATACACCTCGTTACTCCTGCTTGCGAGTAGCCCAGAGGGACTGGGTACAAATAACAAAGCATAGCCAGAACTGCAAAAGCTCAGAGTGAAACGATTGCTTGGGGAAAAAAGAACCCGAAAAAATAACGTGTTAAGCAGATGTTGCAATTTTTACAGTACAAAGACTACACGATTATCAAATGTTCAATCGATTTCGACTGTATTACAGTTGATATCAACAGTGATTGTACGCCGATCAACAGTCGAAGCTAATCATTCAATAGTTCGCTTTGGTTGTCAGATCAGTCCAAATTAAGGTCGATTTCGTTCCGATCTGTTTCTTTTTCTCTCGCAAAGTAATAAAACATAAATAAAATACTCAACCGGCAAATAACGCACGGAAAACCATCAGACCTCAATTTCACATCTGACTGGCCCGTACATCTGAGCTCAAGCTCAAATTGTTACGTGATACCAAGAACGAACGAAAGTCAAAAACAGATTAAAGTTTACGTAATGGCCAAAATGAGACATTTGAGGCTGATTACTAACCTTACTCAACGCTCGAAAATCAGCTCAATCAAAACAGGAGCAAAACCTCTTCCACTGCTGAGCACGTGACCGAATCTCTGTCACGCGCATGCTTACACAGTAGAATTTCGATGATTCTCAAACGAGAGCCTGTCTCCGAGCATTACCTTTTTTTTTCCAGCGGAAGGGTCAAGATAAGACACCAATTTTCACAGAACACTTTGTTTAAGCAGAACAAGAAGGATGTTAAATTTTGTGCAAGGTAATGAAATGGAGAAAGATGATTTTTCGTCCTGTCACGAAAGAGGGACAAAGAAACAGTCCCAGACCCTCACGGGACTTGAACCCTCGTGGATTCGACCCCTCCTGAGGATTTTTTTCCTTGCCCACGCTCGTCACAAGACGAAAAAATGTCTTTCTCTGATTATTTTTGTTGTTGTTGTTGTTGCTTTATTTGTTTGTTTGTTCTTGTTTATGCAGAGAGGGATCGAAACAGCTCATATGCAAGTTTCCCGGCTCTAATAAACTGAATTTGTTTTTGTAAACTGTTAAAGAACGTAATTCAGCGAAAAAAGGTCGAAAGATGATAACAGTTTGAAGCAAGACACTCTACGAGCTTAAATACGATAAAATCTTTAGTAAATTTCCCTCGTCCGTACCAACGGGAATCAAGTATATCACAAATTTAAAACAAATACGAATTTAAACATGATATTTTAAGAATAGGTTGAGGTTACAGGGGGAGGAGTGAATTGTTATTGGGAAAGGCCGAAGTTTGGTTGGAGATTTGTTCACTAAGGAGATCCCTTGCTAACGAAGATTTCTATTTATCGGAAAAAAATTCCGAAACTGCCGTATAAACAATTTCAAATTGGCTAAATTCTCTTGCTAAAAGGCATTGCATCAAAAAACGTCTCCGAGTTTCATCAGTTCCTTAATGGAGCTACGAAAAGAAATGGCGCGGTAACTTTGTTCAACGACATTCAAAACATCTATTGAAAAAAAGAACAAAACAACCTCATTAACAGTTAGACATTTGGCTTTAGAGCTCGTTATTCCAATCAACCAAGCTGAAAAATACTTCGACGATTAAGAAACAATAAGGTCGCATATTTTCAGTTTTTTTCCCTTTTTTTCATTCTTTTTTCTGAGGGTGGGATTTTTCCTTCTCTTCACACAAATTAACTGAAAATACCATAGAGCGCTAAAACCTTCTTACAATCATCGTCATTCAATAAATCTAGGTGTCGTCTCTTCTAGAGTTCCAGCCATTGAAATTCTACTCAACGTTCCCGATGATTGACCAATTGATCAGTAATTGTGTTTTTTGTGGAAACGCTCGCAGTTTCCTCAAATTTCGATCCCAAAATACGTTTCTTTTTCGTCCGCTTTTCTTTCAGAAGTGCTGCAAGCTGTTTCGGATTACCTTGATTTGATGCCAGCTGCATTTGAAACTTGGGAATTGAAAAATCGCTGACTGAGATTCTGTTTGAGGAATTCCCATGATGGCCGGGCCAAACTTCATATTCCCCGCGTGGAGGGCTTAGGAACAGAACTGTCGACAAATTATCATCTCCTTGGAGAAGGTTCGAAGAGTCTGTCTGGTTGAAACTCCAAAAGCTATCTCCTGATATTTCATTCATTTTCCCAAATGCTGTTGTACGTGTTGTAAATATATATTTTTCGTTTAACAGTTCACAACACTTCCTGAACTGATGATCAAAACAGGATCTTCGATTAAGAAATTAATAATTTGACACATGTTCTTCTCATTTTCTTGCGTGTGATGACCAAAAATGGAATTATTTACTTCCTATAGCAGCTTAGAAAATAGGCGAGTTTTGACATCATCCTTCAACGTACGTCACTCAGCGAGTTGCCAGGTAACGGATCAGTACGTGGTGGTCTTTATCGGCGTAGAGGTGTTGCGTATTCCGAAAAAATCATAGAACGAAACTTGCCCAGTTTTTGGCAAGATTAAGGTCGTTACTCAATATTAGGGTCCTGGAAAGGAAGTGGGTTGGAGAAACGGAAGATGGGAAGGGGGAGGGGGAGAGGGGGAAAGGGGGTGGGGCAGGGGGGAGAGAGTAAACAAAGAAAAAAATTAGGAAGGTAAGTCTGCATACGAACTTGTGGCCTATTCTGTCAGAGCTTAAGAAGTGACAAAAGGTATTGCTACTCTCCCTGAAATGCTACTCTAACACAGGTTGCGCAGTACCCATTTGGACTCTAAGATAGGTCGATTCACCCCTCTGAATTGTGAGAATTAAGTATCTTGCCCAAGAACACAACACTACAGATTGGTTATTTACACCAGGTCTTACCCAAACCCCAGTTTTGGGCAAGCAGTGAACCTCAGGCTTTCTCTATGAGAGGGTGGATTTAATCAAATAAATTTCCTTCCACTGCAAGCTTTTGGCCTTCTTGACAATGCCAGTCACAAAAATAATTATTCAGATAAAGACTGAGCCAAACTGAAGATAGTTAGGAACATGGTTTTGTTAAACAACAGCTGAACTTTGTTTAAATAACTGGCCTATGACTCAACCAGGACTTGAACCTGCATTGCACAGGTCGAAAGCATCACTGGAAAAGAATGAAGGTCCATTCAAAAATTCCTTAACATTTATTTTACCTGAATATGCAATTCAATTCAGACAATTTGGGAAAAATTTTAGTCTAAAAAACCATGAAATCCTTGGTGATGTTTCACTCCCAATAACAGATAGGATATATGACAGGAAAAATACCAGGAGTTTGATGTTGACACCAAGGACTGTTCTTTGGACTTTTATAGTGGAAAAAAATATGGACCTGTTTCAGAATTTTCTCATAAATAATCCATTGTGTAAATGTAAGCTCTAACAAAAAGCTGCTCTCCAATGTGCTCTTGGTTCGACTTTCAGTCCTATTTGTGTTTTAAATGAAACAACAATAGATATTTAAATCAGATTTACATATTTGTAAAACTAGAAAGTCTATAATGTGGTCAGTGCAAAACTTAACCCTTTAACTCCCAAGATCTGATTGTTAATTCTCCCCTCTAGCTGCTACACATTTCCTTGTAAATGAGTCATGAGAATTTGGTGTTAGATCAAGGGTACTAACTTTTACCTGATAAGTTTGAGTATTCTTATAACATGTTAGCTGGATAATGTGTGGATGTTACAGGGAGAAGTTATCTGTTAATCACTAATGGGAGTTAAAGGGTTAACAAAGCAAAGAACATGTTTCTTAGAACTCCTCTGCTTCCCTGTATTTTATCAAGTCACAAAATTCAAGTTTGATTCACAGGAAATAAGCCAGAGCAGCAGCAGCACCCATGGAACCAATAAACACAAACCAACCAGTCTTGTAGAGAATATTCATGTCAAAGCCATGACCAAGATCCCATGCCTGAAAAATAAAACCAAACAAACAAACAAAACACAATAAGAATTGTTGTGTTAAGTTTCACCAACCCTCTTGGCCAGGGGGTTGTCCATGTAATCTGCTGTTTTGATTTGTAATACATACCAAATGTCTGATCCCATTGAATGAATGGTAACACAGTGGCCATGCCAAGGCAGTTTTTCCACTGAAGATTATAAAAGCAGGGATTTCTAAAGCTTTCACCAAATTTAAATAATGCTCAAAGTTCTCTGGCAGTCCGAGAGCAGCCAGGGCAAATCCAGTTGTCACTGAAAGCACAAACAATAATTGTTATGTAAATTTCATAGAACAGATTATGAAATCAGTACACTGACACTTCAAATTTCCCCCATCTTCCATGGGCGAGGAGAGAAAAAAGACCATACCCCATCATGGACATAATTCATCTCTATTCAGTTACCTGCTGTCATAGCAATTCCTGTTCCACGGTGAGTTATTGACAACATTGAAGTCAACTGTGGACTGAGTGAAATAAATGAACCAATAAATCACCTTCGTTAAAAATGGAAAAAAATTCACACATAACATCATCAAACACTAAGTCTCACACATAAAGCATATCAGTTGGTCTTCTCTACAATTTACTAAATCTCCAAGAATAAAAAAAAAATTGGAGAAGTTTCCTATAAAAAAGGGGATAAATCAAATTGGACTTCTATTTGACAAACAGCTGGATATTATTTTAAACTATCAGGTTTAGATCCAAAACCTTGCAAAAGGCGGGGGAGGGGGAGAAAAATTATGGCAAGAGAGCAAGCCCCCCCCCCCCCCCATTACATTTGACATTTAGTGCGGATTTTCGGGTTAAATTTTTGTCTATAGCTGTGAGCTTTCAATTACAAATTTTGATTGTTGTTTATATATTTTTGTTGACACAAACTGCACTTGATATTAAGAAAGTTCATTCTTGTCCATGAGAATGGGAACCAAAATTCAAACGTCTGCAGATTTCTAGGGATGGGCATTTCAGAATTTTTCTTTATTTTTCCTAGAATCAGTCAATACTTTTTTTTTGAGCATATAAGTTGTAAAATGAACATTGTACCTGTAGATTGTTAAGTGAGGTGACATTGGTCTATTCAAACGAGTGTTTTTGGACCAAAAGTCTTCCTGCTTTCGAGCCAAGGTCGAAGTAGTAATTGGAATACTGAAAAAAAATTGAAAAATAATGTTTGCATAACAATAATCAGATAAAAGAAACGAGTAGTAAAAGCAAAGTAAATTAAAGACGTGCTAAATGACACACTAACTGTCCAATCCACTTTACCTTCGCATTAGCGCAGATGATGGTCGATAGCATCCTTTGACTAACACTGAAGGAAGCCTGGATGAGTTCCTACGTAATTAAGAAACGATTTAGAAACAACAGTGACTGAAAATCGACAAACATTTAGCTCGTAGTTTGCCACAAACCTCAGAAGAGCCGCCATCTTGCAATACTACCGTAGTGTATTATGGGAAATATAGGAATGATGAAATTTTGTGAAAACGTTTTGGAGAAGAATCCAAGGAATTTGAAAGAAATTTGGAAGATACCAATAGCCTTCAAGTATTTTGCTTCATGACCCCTAGGAATATTTCCTTTTTTTTTCTTAAAAAAAGCAATAATGTTTTTATTTTGTGCATTATTGCGTGTTACCCATGAATCTTTTAGAGCCTCGAATCGTGAAAAGCCGCACGCGTTACGTAAGAGAGAGCTGGGACGGAATTAAATTAGCAAGATGGCGGCGATATTTTACTCTCGTCTTTGTATAAGAAACAGTAGTCGTTTAGGTCAGAACTTGCCATTCTTTGAATTTAAATATACAAAAGTGTTCGTAATTGATTCTTTGTTTTCTTATCAACAGCGAGTTCACTTGCACGGCCTGCTTTTGCTTCCTCGCCTATTTCTTGCTCACCGAGAGTTCAAAGTGGTAAGTTACACAATTTTGTCAGGGGTCTGAATGCTTAGAATAAGATCTTTACTCATTTTATTTGTACGATATTTTTGTTTTTTAGTGGTTTTCAAAAAGACAGTGCATTCCTCGGCAAATCGCAAAGCTGAGCTTGGTAAGTAAAAGAAAAGTTTACGTATACATTACGTAGTGAAAATTTAAGATTTAACTCTTGTACAATGTTGTTATCATAACAGAGGATAGGTAAGAAGTCTGAAATTGCTTCTTCAATAGCTAATTTTAAAAAATCTAAAAATATAGAGTAAAATAAGAGTTTATTCCCGATTTAAAAAAATGCTGCTGTATTGTATTAAAGTGGGTATTCTGAGTATCATGTCAATTAATTAATATTCACTGAGTGAAATAATTGTTTTAGTATTTACTAAGACGATTATTGTTACGACCACTGAGCTATCAGAGAAACCAGACAAAATGCGCAGAGACAATATTCTTTTTTTTACCCTTATCAGAAATTTCCCCATCACAGCCATCAGCCCATTGGAAGGGAGAGCGCTATGTCAGTGTGGCACTGCTGACATTGATTCCTGCAGGAATCATTTACCCATCAGCTGTTGTGGACTGGGCTCTAGCAGTTGTTGTTCCTCTTCATAACCACTGGTAAGTCATCTGATCAGTAGTTCCTGTTTCCATAGCTCACTCAAGGTGAATCAATCATAGCCTTTGAAACTTCTGATCAAGTATTGATATGTCCAAGCCTCTAGCACAGGAAATTTTTTATCACAAATTATTTGCTTTCAAAAATATTCCTTTCAATATGGAGTACTACAACAATTTACATTCTCCATTAATTTACTGGAAAACTCTGAAAATTGTGAACTCAGAGAATATTTATGAATAACAATCTGTCTCAAAAATACTGCCAATGTGGCCAGAGAGAACTAAACTGCAAACAGAAGTTGTACTAGCTTGTGGTCTGATGTTGGCTTGCTGCAGTGTCCTGAACGTGATTATGATTGGTCAGTAAGCAGTTGATGTTACAAAATAAAATCAAAGTGTTCATGGTTTATCAATTTTGTAGTGTCATGACAAGGAGTAGACTTTGAACTTTGAACAAGATCGGAAGACTTTTTGTAATAGACAGAATTCCTTTGTGCTGCAAAGAGTTTAAGTATATGTTTTGAGAAAAAAGTTAAAAAACTAAGAGATTGTGAGGTCCTTTGTTGATGTCAGCTAATTTCTGACAAAGATAAGAAATTGTAAACTATAGACATCTCCATTATTCTGGACCTTAGCATAATATTCTTCATCGATCCACAGGGGTGTAGGCCAAGTGTTAACAGACTACATTCATGGTTCATCTATGCCAAAAGTGGCCAAAGGAATATGGCTGGCTGTGTCAATCTTACAGTTTATTGGTCTGTGTTATTTCAATTATGCTGATGTTGGAATCTGCAAAGCTGTCAGTATGATTTGGCACATGTAACAACTGATATGGATTGTAAAGTTTGGATTAATGTCAGTATCTAAGTAACTGAACACCTACCCCTTCGTAACCCAATATTAACCTTAACTTTTCATCAGTTGACTATTTTAAGGTTATAGGGGAGGGGTAGGTGCACAATTCCTCAGTTAAATACATTGATCCTAAAGTTAAATATTTTTTCATTTGATCTGATATGGATGACATGGTTGAATTTCATGTTCATGGACACCCTTCCTTTTAGGAAGGGTATTAACCAAAATAAGTTGTTAAAATGCTGTTATGGTCACATCTTATGGTGATCCACTACTTACCAAGGTCTGTATCAGATTATCAAAATCCAGAATTGTACAATCCTTTTCTTTGTAACTAACAGCAGTCTAGGAGGATTTGAGGGAGTTCATCAAGCTTTAAAGATGGGAAATTCTTCAGCTTCTATAGAGAATTCTCTGGCTAAATTTTGAAGGCCTAAGCTGGTTTTTATTCAGACTTGGAGATCTTATTACCCTTTTAAACCCTAAGAATGACCAGAATCTTATTTCTCCTTACAGTCATACAGAGATAACTGTAAGCATTGACTGATTAGTCTGTTTGTGATAATCAAGTTTTATTCAAAGCCAGATAGCTGTTTTTTTTATGCAATGATACTTAAAGTCAATCAAAGTCATAACTACTGACTGTAAGATGCTGACCAAGATCCTTCATCTCTATCGCAAAAAATAGTTCTAAAAAGTCATCTCTATATTGCGGTATTAGCCAGAAAATGCATTCTCTATGGCTTTAGGTCTTGTTACAGCCCATAATATTCACACATGATTAGCACAGGCAAGTTGAAAATGGATAGCCTTTATCTACAGCTGGAGCTTTCCATAGAGTTATTGAATTTTCAGTAAGCTTAAATAAGTAACTCAGAGCAGCAAAATAAGGAGTGATTAATATTGGAGTGCAGCGATATTTAACAGAAATTAATAAATTCTGTAGTTTTGTCGTAATAATATCTGGGCAAGTATCTTGGAAAAAAAGGATAGCTCTTTTCAGGAATAGTACTCTTCTTTCAGTTAAGTGTAATATTCTGGTAACATTTTGTTGCACTCTCTTTGAAAAGTTATCAGTGAGTAAATATGTTGTTACATGATTGTTTGTTTCTGGTTTGTTAATGTAATTAAGTTTCACACCTTGATTATAGTGGCCTTTGTTGTGATGCATGTCATGAGAGCAGAGTGCTGAAAGTAATATGGGGTTGCTTTGATTTTGGTTTCTTTGCACAGTAATTGGTCCTGGAAATTTGGGACACTTCCTTGACCAAGTTGCTCTCCAGACAGCTCAGTCAATGGAGTACATGATTGTGATATTTCAACTTGCAAGGGCTCAAACCTCCTTGGTGACTCCACTCTGATTTTTTTCCCTGCTCCCACTTTCTCCACAAATGTTAAACTTTTTTCTCCTATATGACCAAGTTCAAAATTTAAGATCTTCTTCTTAATCAGAAATTTCAAAGGAAAAAGTCAAAGAAATTCATATCTTCCTAAAAAAAAAGTCAACGGGTTATCCCTCTCCGCGTCTTTCATTCGTCAGCTTCGTGGACCCCATAGTCGTAAAAAACGCTCCCGTCTCCCTCTCCTACAGTGGATTCTTTTATTTCCTTAGTCTCCAAGCCTGCTTGAAAATTACCTGGTTACCAAGACCTGCACCTGTTCTTCTCTGGCTCGTCATGTAAAAATTTACTTCCTTTAAAACAAAAGATCAAGTGATCAGACGGTAGCGAGGTTTTACTATGATATGGTTCTCAAGAATGAAAAGGAATTCCCGCGGTAGTATTGTTAAATTGTGGTGAAATCGAAGACGTAGAGGTAAAGAAAATTGTCGCTACGCGCGAACCTTGATCGAGTGGTGATTCTTCACATAACCGTGAAATGATCTATGTTACTGCATTGTGGCATAACTTCAAAAGGAATTCAAATAAGATAGACAAACTTCTGTGATAAACCAGCATGGAATTCGATCACGTTTTGCGGATAATTGGAGAATTTGGTCCACATCAAAGAAGGTTGTATGCGTTGCTTAATTTATCGCTTATTCCCGCCGCATTTCAACTGCTATTACAAGTGTTTGTTGGAGCCGAACCAAAATGGATTTGTTTGAATTCTTTGTCGAATGAAACATGCCCCAGGAATAAATCACACTGTTCGGAAGTCCAGTACACTTCAGAATTTACTTCAATCGTCACAGAGGTGAGATCAGTACTAATTTTTATTTTTAATCTTTATTCGATAATTTTTTTTTTGCACTGCACAGAGTGTAGTATAAATTAGCATTTTGGCTCCGATAAAACATTTAATGAACCAATTTTATGCATGAACGATAAAGCTTTCTTGACGAGTTTTTGTGTAACTTGTATTGACTTCTTTAGAGTCAAATGTTTTCCAAGTTGTGGATTCTCACACCATATATCGTGATTTTTTTTTTTTTTAATAACCTTGTCATAATTTTTATCGTTGCTAAGTTATGCACTTGCTCTAATAAAATTCCCTCCCGCTGAATATTTTTAGCGGATCACTTTTGCTCTGCAGTCCATTGTTTTTCATTTTTGGTACTGTCTATTTTCCAATTCGAACATGTTTGTAGCACAGAAAAAGTCAGGATTTTTTAAAATTTTTTATACTATTGGGTCTATCAACCCATTCATTTGCCGCTTTTACGGTCCATCGCACATTCAGCTCTTCAAAGGATCTTTACTATTGAATTACATAGAATAATTTAATTTAGAGAGGGTAAAACGCAGTATAGTTGTAAATTGGTATTAATATTTCGTCCTCTCTCGAATAACAAATAACTTATAAATAAAAAAAGGTTTTTTAAAAATGATTAAAACGCAAAAAAAAGTTATGATAAAAAATATTCCACATTAACCCTTTAACTCCCAAGATCTGATTGTTAATTCTCCCCTCCAGCTGCTACACATTTCCCTGTAAATTAGTGATAAGAATTTGGTGATAGATGATAACAACCTGATAAGTTTTAGTATTCTCATTACCCATTTGTTGGATAGTATATGGATATATTAGGGGGAAGTTACATGTTAATCACTTCTGTGAGTTAGAGGGTTCATGATCTAAAAAAATTGGGTTGAAAATATAAATTTATGGTATTATAAAATGATCAGAGTCTATTTACATCATTCTTGAAAAAATTAAAATAGTTTTGCTTAAAAAGCAAATGGTGAAGCTTGATCTTTTAATTACTGAATAAAAGTTTTGAAATGGGTATTACACATATTGCCTAATTTATTGATAATATTATCCACAGTTCATCCCTTTTGGAATGGGAATGGACAGGAAGATCCAACTTCTTACTTGCCCCTTCCCTCGGCCACAGACACACTGTAACTACAATATTATTATCAATTGAAAATGAATTAACTTCTTCAAGATAAATAAGTCAACCCTTTAACCCCTAAGAGTGACTGGCATCTAATTTCTCCTTACAATATCCCCCCTGAATAAAACATTACAGTCATGAGAATAATGGAAATGATCAACAGCTAAAGAAGCTCTTGATTGTTAAACAAATTCTCCTTTTCAGAACTGAAAGAAAAGTTCAGAGAACGTATGGAGAATATATATACTGATGACAAATTTGATCTGGGAGTTAAAGGGTTAAACCAACAACATGACGCATTAGACCCAATTAACTCTTACAGAAAAGAGAGTAATATTATTCGAATAATTCACTGTGATAAATTATTTTAAATATGTGAATTTTTTTAATTTTCAGTGGAACCTGATATGTGAAAATTCATACAAAGTGGATTTAGTTCAATCTGTTCTCATGGCTGGGACTTTAGTAGGTGCTGTTATCCTTGGAGCCTTGGCCGATAAATGTGGAAGAAGGAAAATTTGGTACATTTCATTCACCGGGCTTGTTTTATTTGGCTTTGCAAGTTCATTTGCTCCAACGTACAGAATATATGCTTTATTGCGATTTTTGACTGGATTTTGCATTGGTGGTGAAATATTATCTGCCTTTGTGTTGGCAACAGAACTGATTGGTCCGTCTTACAGAGGGTTTGCTGGCACTATGGCACAATGTTTCTTTACTTGTGGGCTTTTAATTCTCCCAATTGTTGCATATTTAATTCGTGACTGGAGGACATTGTCTGTTCTGCTGTCTTTGCCATTTTGTGTTTTTATATTATTTTTTAGGTAAGTTAATTTGTCTTTTACTGTGACCTTAACTTGACTTAATTTATTTATGGTCTCACTCATTTGGTCATGGGAAAGCAAATATTTTTGGATAATCTCTTGAGTTAATTCAAGCTTGAACTTTGAAAAAAACAATGAGAATCTTATGACTTTTATATCACATGTTGAAGTCTGAAAATAACTTCTTTAAAAGTGTTGAGGTAAGGTGAAGCTTTAAATCCCAGAAGTGATTTACATGTAATTTCTCCCTACAATATCCATACATTATCTAGCAGGCAGGTAATGAGAATACTCAAACTAATCAGGTGGAGGTTTTTATCTTGATCTAACACCAAATTCTTATAACTAATTTACAAGGAAATTTGTAGAAACCAGAAAGGAGAATTACCAAACAGATCTTGGTAGTTAAGAAATGGGCCATTAACTGGCTGAGTTTTGAAAATGTAATATTGTTATTATCACAGAATTGTTCCTGAATCAGCTCGCTGGCTTATAATCCGTGGTCGCCTGGCAGAAGCTGAGGATATCTTATCCAGTATAGCAAGAAAAAATGGTATAGCTGTCCCGAAGATTCTGTTACAAGTTAGTCGTCCACTGTCTGTTGTTGGAAACAGATATGGTTGCTTAGACCTTCTTTCCAATATGAAGATTGCTAAAATCACAATAGTTTTGTTCTACTTATGGTGAGTGTCTTTGATGTTTAGAATTCGTGTTATAGTCACTTGTAGTCTGTAATATAGCTTTGTTTATAGCTTAGCACGTGATACCTAGAAGAGTTTGATCAGCTCTTCTTACATAGAAATACTTAACAATCTAGAACATTCTATATACTATTACATCATGTTCTATTTATAAATTAGGGACAGCTTGACTAAGCATGATAAATCATAACAGACAATGGAACATGTTAATATTCTGGAGCATTCAAAAATATCAATCTAGACATGCATCTTGTGTACTTTAAATAAGATAGCCTTGGTCAGTATGTTAAGTGAGTTTCAATTGGTATCTCAGCTAGTAGATGATCACTATATCAGTTGATAGTTGGTGGACAGTTAGTCAATGGGTGTTTCAAGGGTTGACTGATAGAATCCTAATGAGAGTCTCAATGTCCCTATAGTTACCTGACATCCTACTTGATACATTAGCACAAGAGTCAGTTGATCATCTGCTGGCTGCCTGCCAGTTTGACCCTCTGCAAACTCTGGACCAAATACTTAACAACCAATATTTTGTGCTGCATATATTAATGAACTTTGGTTAGTCTCTTTACTCCAAAATTTTTTCTGTTTTAGGTTTGTGAATACACTGGTTTATTACGGCTTATCACTAAACACAAAGCATTTGGGTGGTGACATTTACAAAAACTTTTTTTTATCAAGCCTCATGGAAGTTCCTGCATACTTGACAAGTGTTTGTCTTATCAACTGGTGAGGAGTTCTTAAATTAATTTTAAATAACATCATTTACAATAATAATTATTGTAGATGGTTTTGTCGGTTTTTTTGGTACCAGAAATTTGGAGGAAAAGTAATTGAAGAGAAGTCTTTACTGGAGCCAAGTCACCCAACCAGTCAGAGCTTATCCTGATTTTCCTTACCATGGGGTGACTAGGAGTATCACTACTCCCCCCTGGATGGAATGTTAGTCCATCACAAGGTTACCCCTCGGCATTTCATCAGGCTTCCCTGACGATGCCCTAGTGCTCATTTATACTCCTGGGTTTAGAGAGGCTCTGTGGGAGTAAACTATTTTGCCTAAGAACACAACACAATGACCCATCCAGGTCTTGAACCTAGACCTCGTAACCCAGAGTCCAGGGCACTGAACATAAAAAGGCCACCAGGTGCCCTTAAAGGGAAAGAATTGGGGGTGTTTAAAAGCAAATGTTTTATCATTTTACTCCCATGGGTTGCCAAGAGAGAATTTCTCCTTACAATGTCAATACAATATCTAGAAGACAAGTGAGGAGAACACAGAAAAACGTCAATTTGGAGATTATTAGTTGATCCAATACCAAATTCTCAGACACAACGTCACAAGAATTGTATGACAGACAATAAGGAGAAGAACTAACTGTGAGGGATGAGGACAAGGAGTCAAACTAAAAGTCCTTTGTGGGGATGTTCTGGAATAATATATAGAATACACAAATATATAATATATTGAATAATATTTCATGTGTATGTTTATTGGGGATGATGCTGTCTTTGTAGTTTTTGGGAAACGTTAAAAGGATTCCTGGAAACTTTCAGCAGAAGAAATCTGAATGAATAGAAAAGATCAGTTTGGTGAAATTTTTTGTCTATGAATCTGTTTCAGGGTGGGGCGTCGCCGGAGTCTGTGTTACTACATGATGATTGGAGGAGCTGCATGCTTGACCTGCTTATTTTTTCAAACAGGTAACCATCATTTTTTTGTGTTTTTCAAAAGTTCAAATATTATTGATATGAAAAAAAGTATGTTTTTTCATTGCTGGGTTTTTTTATTTAATAGGCACTCAACCTGTCTATAGGGTGTTAACAACAATCTTTGCTATGATTGGAAAGTTTGGAATCTCAGCATCATTTGCTGTTATTTACATTTATTCAGCGGAACTTCTTCCAACAGTAGTCAGGTAAAAATTTAGTTTTGCTAGGTATTCTGCTAAATATTTTGTTAGTCAGAGCTCATGAAAGCTTTTATCAGTATTGTCTTTTCATTCCTCAGTAGAAATAATACGCACTCACCTGCGATAACATGTGATATGTCAGCTAACAAACTCTAATTTTTTTAATAATTTCATTTTAGGAATGTTGGAATGGGGGTGTGTTCCATGGCATCTAGAATAGGGGGCATTTGCTCTCCGTTTGTGGTATTTTTGGTAAGTTAGACTGTGATTTAATGTTTTGAACTAACCGGGCTTTGACCAAAGTTTAAACTAGTAGTAGATGTTAGAAAGTGAGAGTCTGGAAAGACTGATTTTTGTAGAAAATGTTTGTTGCAGATTACTTGAATCTTGTGTCTGTCAGACTCGCAAACTCACTGTTCTAAACCCTGGGAGCTTGCTGTCATTAAAAATACTGTTGATATAAATAATCAGATGCTATCACATTGTGTCTAATTTTGAACTTTTCAGGGTATTTACACTCGCCCTCTTCCCATGATGATCTTTGGAATGTGCTCCTTTGCAGCTGGGCTTCTAAGCCTTGTGTTGCCAGAGACTTTGAATAAACCACTTCCTGAGAGCTTGGAGGAGACTGGGTTTGAAGGTGTGGATGGATTGTTGTATGAACAGCTGGAAATGGAACAATTTACACACGAAATGGAATTTAACAATGACGCATTTCAAGCTAATGATTCAGACTTTGATGATGATATTATTAGTGAAAAGACAACATTTATCTAGAATGATGCAGAGGAAATATTCCTGTTTCTGTTGAGGTGTAGATCAAATCTGTAGATCAAATCTTTCTTATTTAAAGAGTAGGATATAATATGGAATTAGAGATGGACCTTTTTAGGCCTTAACAGACATGATTAACCCTTTAACTCCCAAGATCTGATTGTTAATTCTCCCCTCTAGCTGCTACACATTTCCTTGTAAATTGGTTATGAGAATTTGGTGCTTGATCAAGGTAATATCTTTTACCCGATGAGTTTGAGTTTTCTCGCTACCTGTTTGCTGGGTATTGTATGGATATTATAGGGAGAAGTTACTTGTCAATCACTTCTGGGAGTTAAGAGTTAATTATTACTCACAAATTATTTATAAAGAAGATATTTTGCGAGGCTTAGTTGGCAACGTAACTTATTTATAATGACTCCGAGGTGAATTTTTCTTAGTGTCGAAGCATCGCAGGTGTTTTGGACTTTAAAACCTTTATGTGTAGCATTAGTTCTGAAGAACTAAGACCTCACAAGACAAAGCTAGTTTATAGTATTACAATAACCTTCTGAAGTAAATTTACCATTTTTGCCAATTGAAGGTAACCAAAATTTGTACATAAAGAAAATACAGCGATATTAAGGGTTTAAGTTTAGTTTAGAAGTTGTAACAAGTAGGATTCTATGCTGGGATTTTCCATTCATTCGGTGTGTGAAACAGCACAGGGAAAGTATTGGGGAATAGCGATCATAACGATAATCAACGGCGATGGATCCGTATTCTGAGCCCAACGTAAATCGAGCGTGGAACGTGATATTCGGGATCGCCTTGCAGTTCCTAAACAAAAAGTAGTTGTTTGGATTGTATAGGTTCTCTCTTTGTTTAATTTTTGAAAAATATCAGACTGCCGAAAACTTTGGCAGGGTGTTACTGACCGCGGAAACTTCGGAACCCATGTTTCTTTTTGAAAGAAAAGTAATCAGATAAAATTAACACTGAAAAGGACCTTAACACTGACTGAAAGTTGGTTTTCGGGAATAAAGAAGAATACCTTAAAAAGAGAAGTATGTTGTAACTGTCCTTGACGTCCCAACTTTAATTGTGGCGACATTCACAGTACTAGTAAAAGGGTATGTAACATCATTAAGAGCAATCTGCAGTCACCTACCCCGAGTGTTAACAAATAAACAATCATTTGAAAGCTCTAACGGTTTGAGTACCGCGGTATCCGAATAACGCCTCATTTAGAGGCTCGCAGCAAACCTTTAGGCTGGAATTCATTGTACATGACCCTGGAATGAAACACGAGCGTAAAGTAACATCGCCCGTGAAGCTTGTAGAATTTCGGGGGTGATCGGGGCGTCCGGAGCGAATCTACAGCGTTTTGCTTCCAAAGGATTCGTTTGGTTGGCGTTACTCACAGAGGTTTAATCTTGGAAAGGATTACGTACAGAGCAAGGCAGATGAACTAAAACCGAGCCGAACCTGCCCTGAATAAGCTCCAAAAATACACACAATGCAAAAGAACAACCTCTTCAGTGGAGTAAATTTGTTCTTATTCGAGACTTGTCAAGATCTTTTTAAGGTTACAACCAGGACTGTTTATTGCCCTACAAATCCTTAGATTTCACACATTGCACAACATGAATACATTTGCATATTCACAGATGGTCACTGTGTGAGTTTGGGCTTCCTGTGGTTGGACGTCAAGGAAGATTAAAACAAAAAAAACCTGTTTATGCCTCAACACGAAATCTCGATCAGTGCTAGGGTATTTTTAGTTTTTATTTCATTTCATTATTATTATTTTTTTTTACAAAAACTTAAAGGTTCCGCAGGTTCCGCGGTTCCAGAGGTTCCGCGGTCACCCAATTCTCAGTTTAGTAACACCCAACCTTGACGGGCCGCCTGACATATAGCCACAGCGAAACCGAAAACCAAATGCTAAAAAAAACGGAAAATCTGTAAACCAAAATAAACACCAAAACTGAAAAACCCAAGTTTTTTGGCACAAAAACCGATCTAAAAAAAAGCTTAAACCTTAAAGGGGAAATCTCAGTGGGTGGCCCAAGCTCCAGCTGTGAGATGATCACCTTGCGAAGTAAGAGTCGTGGCGAAATTATAAGGGGACTTCTCTTATGTAGTAAACCGAGAAATGGAAAACTTGCTAAAATGGGTTCTTTTCAACATCAGTAAGCGTCCAGATAACAAGCGATGCACTGTGGAAGTAAGGTGAGGTATTTTTTTTGAGAATTTGACTGAATTTTTGTTTTCCCTAAGAGCTGTCGTTGTTACGGTATAATCTAACCGAAAGAAAAACACTACAATCCCACAAACTCAACTACTTAATTGAACAGCGAGTAATTTTCGTAACAAGGAGCTACTCCTAAAAGCAGTACAGTACTTATCGTTGATAAACTTAATTAAGCCCATCACAGTCTATATCCTAGCTCACCACTGACACAATCTCACTGCTGTCTCCAAAGTTCCTTGAAATGAACAATCTTCAGCAGTAACTCTCTCTCGGTATAACTTTCAAAACAGTCGTCGCTCCGACAACAAGTACTCTTTCTACTACATAAGTGAGTCTTTATATAAATTCACAAAGTGTTCTGGAATATTCCAGAAGCTTACATAAGAACTATTTTAATAATGCGTGACTGGTATCCGGTTAGATCGCTCCATGGTTAGATCGCTCCAAGTCAGATCGCTCCATACGGAAGTCAGATCGCTCCACTCAAAAGTTAGTTCGCTCCATCAAATAAGTTACTTCGCTCCATACATAAGTTACTTCGCTCCATGTAGAAACCTAATACACTAACTTACTTCTGATCTTTATAGTTTATAGTTGATGATGTTGCTTGCGATCAAGTTGCTGAAATATAAAGTGATCGACGATTCGTTCACAAATAAAATAAAAGAAATGACCAACAATGAATATGATTAATAAATATTGCTTTCAAAGAATCGCCATTTTTAAAAGTTGTCAAATCCAGCCGTGAGTGAGACTGGGTTCGACTCCGGTTAAAATGGCGAGTCTTTAGTCGCGTTACAATACTCTTTCTTTTCTTTTCCCTTATCCTTCTGTCTTTTATCAACCTTCCACGTTAGTTTTCTTCATGGAGCGAAGTAACTTATGTATGGAGCGAAGTAACTTATATGATGGCGCGAACTAACTTTCGAGTGGAGCGATCTGACTTCGGTATGGAGCGATCTGACTTGGAGCGATCTAACCATGGAGCGATCTAACCGTAAACCTGCGTGACTTGATGAAATGTTCTGGAAAGGTATGCAAGGCAGTGTGACTCAGCAGACTGGAGATTTCTGGGAGCAACAACAATTACCCATAACATCGTAAATATTCCCATACAAACTCTTATAATTTCGCCATGACTCTTATTTTGCAAGGTGATCAGCTCACAGCTGGGGCTTGGGCCGTCTTTGATGTACACTGCCTCGCATGGCCTCAAGTGTTTCTTCCCTTTCCTTTCGTACAAGTAATGAGTTTTGCATTATGTCACCCAGCAGCTTTCTTCCTATTGTAAACAAAACTAGCTTCAGATCTGAAACAAGGATCCAGTAGATTTTGCACTGGACAATGCATAATCTCCATTCATAAAAATTAATGATTAACGGCAGTGTTAATTTACATGAAGAACGCATCACGAAACTTGATCTTGGACGATAAGTGGAAATCATGGCTGTGAAGCAGTTTGTTTCAGCGCTTCTGTTTATTTTATTTCTTGTGCCAAAAAGCAGCGCCTATCTCGATGAAGGTGAGAATTGTTTTGTTCTTAATTTATTTGCCTTGCTTTTGCAAGAGGAGCGATATTGAGGTGCGCGACTAAAAAAGAGAACATTTGGGGAAATAAGCCTTCTGAATTCTCGGAATTGCAAACAGTTACAAATGATGCGCGAGGTAATTCTTGCATTGCAATATCTATAGGTACCTTAAGCAATCGCAATCAGGACAGCGACGCCAAGGAATACATCGATTAAAAACCGAATATATGTTTTTGCTAGTATTTCCCGTAGTGCTGAATATGTTTACCGTCTGTTCCGGCGCCATGCATCAACTTCCGCATATGACACGTTTAGTGAGCAGTGTCGAAATTCGAATGGAGATTGAAATGAGACTAGGCAAATTTTGGCGATTTCACGTTGTGTTTGGTAGAGGACTGGTAGAAATGCGTTTCAAAACGCACGAGTAGAGGTATCGTCCTGCTCAGAGTTACACCATTTCACGAGTCAACTTCGAGCCCGAGTCACATCCGAGTCACGAATCAGGTTCTAGTCAACTTAAATTTTTCCTCTCTTGTAAAGTAACATCGTAAGGCAATACACTATTATTGTAGCCATTAAAAAATTAAAACGAATCAAACAAACTCGCTCATTTAATTAAGTTTTTCACCTTTTACTTCAGCTGAAACAGCCGAATTCATCACTTTCGATTTCACAGGCCACAGACAACAATTTCTGCATTGTAAATTGTTACTAAGTGCACCTCTCTCCATCTCACAGAATTATCGCAAAGTTTACAAAACGTTCCAAAGGCTGCTATTTTCCGTTGAGATTGGTGATAACCACAACTGATGCTCAGGCTACGAAAAAATTTAGCTCGTCAACCTTCAATTTCTCGTTTCTTCTTACGACTCAGCGCGTATCATACGTTATGCACTCCATACGTTATGAAACATGGCTCGCCTCGAAAATTTTGGACAATGAACACTCGTATATCACGAGAAAACCAAGAAGTGTTAAACATGATCATTCTAATGAAACAAACGTTTACAGAGGAATAATGAACGTTCTGCCTCCGGTGTGTGTAATAAAAAAGAAGTCGGAATCTTTCGGGGAAACTCAGACACCATGGAATGTTCACTTCTGCGAACGCAACTGTGAATGTGTGCAGATTTGACCCTCGCAAACGGCCGTGAAAAACGTTGAAGTTTAAAACTAGACGTTTTTGTACTCCTGCTACATGATTTTGACACCGAAATAAAAAAAGAGGAAAAAACTAAAAACAAGAAAAAAGGAAAAATTTTAATCGCACTTGACTCGTGATATTGTATAACTTGTTTTGCTCATTAGATCTTTTGTTTTGTTAAGTCCTCGTTACCGTCGCTGTCGTGATTTTCTCAAACTATTTAACGCTGCGTCTACTTCATCAAGAAGAATATAACTTTACCTCGAAATCACCGGGTTTAAGAGCATTTTACTGAGTAGATAGTTGAACGATCCACTTTATAACAACGTAGTTGTTATGTAACCCCTCAACTCCCAAGATCTCATTAGTAATTCTCCTTACTGTCTGCCATATAGTTCTTATGATGTCAGTTTGGAGAATTTGGTATTGGATCAACTAATAATCCCCTAATTGATATTTTACTTTATTCTTATCACTTCTACGCATGATGTTGTATTGATATTGTAAGGAGAAATTCTCTCTTGGTCACTCAGGGGAGATAAAGGGTTAAACTCGAAATTTTTAATTGAGAAGGAGAAGTAACCACATCAAATATAATTCGAGCTGAATTTTACCAGTTTTTGACTTCTGCCCTGCGGTGATGTGGAACTTTATCTCGCCACAACAAAGTATAATGAATCCGCCAACGAAATACCACCTTGAGGAGCCAGCTGGTCTGAGAATAGGTGTGGATTTAAGGGCACCTATGGGGCCAGTTTCTCCAGAGTCATCTTGCATGGTTTTTCGAAAGTCTTAACTTAAAGGGCCCGAGGGCATATTTTAGAACAAAAAAAATTAAAGAATAGAGAAGCAGGTTCTAGCACCCTAACCTGTCCATTTTGTTTCCTTAGCTGACAGTTTTGTTGCAAAATTTTAAAAAAATTGAAACCCTCATTTTGAATGAAAACAGAACAGTTTTGCGTCTTTTACGGGCCTTCTAACCCATTAACTCCCAGGATCTCAATAGTAGTTCTCCTTACTGACAGCCATTTAGCTCTTGTGATGTTAATTTGGAGAATCTGGTATTGGATCAACTAATAATCCCCTAAATAATATTTTTCTTAATTCTCACCACCTGTCTACTTGATATTGTATTGATATTGTGAGGAGAAATTCTGTCTTGTTCACTCATGGGGTTCAAGGGTTCATGATGATGATGATGATAACTTTATTTATGTTTTGTGAAACCGGAATGTAATCTATTTACAAAATGAACAATAACAACCACTTCCAATTATATCTTCGAGGTTTAGCTCTCTTACAGATCTCTTAAAAAGTTAAGTTGATGAGATATTCGAGAGACGGGTCCCTGTCCGTAAACGAGCCAAAATTTCAGAAGAATACCCTCATACGGGAGTGGCTCCTCACATAGAAACCTGCAGCCTGCAGCCAGGCAATGACATCTTCTCGTATAAGAATGATTAATAGTGTTTTTTTTTTCCAGAATCTTCCACCAGGATAATAGATGGGCTTATTGTTAGGTTCGCGGATGGGTTGGCTGGAAAAGACAAGTGTGGGTCAATAGATCTCCCAGAAAGCTGCACCATAACAGGCGACTGTTCTCAGATCACGTGTTCCTCGTCCTTTGGCGGGGAAAGTAGTTCTCTGACAGTTAATATTAACAGGTACGATACCAGCAAATATAGGTTGTGTCACAATACCTGATCCCCTATAAGGCTCTTTATATTCATACGACCCCCCCCCTTAATTGGGGGCGCGGAGAGGGGGGGTAGTCTTTAAAGGTAAGGACAAGAATAAGCGATAAAGTCAATCAGCGTGTGACGTCAGGATCGAGAGTCAGGCCCAGGTCACGACGGTCGGTGGGGAGCGTTCTCGCTATCGCACTATCCAAAAAATTGAAGAGACAAGAAAACCAGCTGTAGTAGTTCAATTTTATTTTCCCATCTCACGCCTGTCACTGGCTATGAAATGAATAACTTTTTCACAGATGCGATGAACCAGTCACCGTGACCATCAATGTGAAGGTCAGAGAAGAAGATATCGATTGGACCCATGTCTTCACTTCCGGTGATGAGCTTCCTGTCCCAGGGCTGAGAGAAGCAAAGATCTTCGGAGCAGAATTGTACATCAAGGCTTCCATAGAACCAAAAGACAGCACGTTAACTTTGAAGGTTTAACTAACATTAACACTTATTTTCTCTGCACTGTTCTGGTGACATTTCTGATGGTACTGACAAGGAGAATTGTTTTGAAAATGTAGGGCTTCTTAAATTGGTGATTATTTCTCTTTATATTGGTTCAAGGAAGATTCTGTTAGGAGAAACTAAACTAGAAGCCAGTCACTCTTAAGAGTTAAAAGATTAAACGATTTTGTGAGAGAGGACAAAAAGAGTGTAACATTCAAGGCAAATTCTATCACAAATATTTGTGGTTTTTTAAAGCTCGAATAAGTTTATAGCACCAAATTTTTAAGTTCAAGATGTTGCAGTAGAACTGTGTAAGTGCCTTAGTTCTTTAAGAATTAAGAACTCTTAAGCTACTACGATCGGATTTTCAACATCAATGATTTTTAAACACTTTGTTCTGTTTAGGTGACACTACGAGGAGGAACAATGAACATAGATCTGATCGATCAAAAGCTGCCAATTTCCACAGATTACTGCGGTAAGTTTTCGTTTAATCGTAGATTAATTTGCAGTTTTATGTGTGATAAACACAATGTGTTTTAACACATTTTTTTGGAATAAAGGGAGAGGAAGGCAGACGCCTAAAAAGAGTCTTAACTTTCTTTTGCATTTTCAGGAGAGTAGAGACAAATGCGAGTCTTAATCCTTAAGAAATAATTTATCGCTTTCTTTCGTTAACCTGCAAACAAAACAAGAAACACAACAGCAACAACAATAATCACAAAAACGCGTATGCTGTGCCAGATTAGAGACCTTTTTCTTTAAATCAAACATCGTGGCTCGTTGAGACATCACAAGCTTACCAAGTTGCTAACCTGTGTCATTTTTGTTCCCTAACAGGTTTTGTTCGCTGGTGGGAGAGCCGTGACAACGCTGGACGCATCGCGCTGCTCGTGGCGTCTGCATTTGTGGCCTTGTCAATCGTTTCTTGTTGTTTCTGTTGCGGATGTTGTTGTTGCTGCCGTTGTTGCCGCAAGAAGAACTCTGGAATTGTTTGATCCTTCCCCCTCCCCCCCCCCCCCCCCCAGTCAGAGATGGTAAGGATGTAACAAAACCCCCCTGAACTCCCACAGTGACTAAGGCATAATTTCTCCTTACAATATCACTACAATGTCAAACAGACAAGTGATGAGAATTACAAAAATATTAATTAGGGGATTATTAATTGATCCAATGCCAAATTCTCCGAACTAGGGTCACAATAACTGTATGGCAGATAGTAAGGAGAATTACCAAGAAGATCTTAGAGATGAAAGGGTTACGAGCGCATTTCTATAGAGCGCCTCAACTCTTCTTAAGTTTCCGGAGTTTACTGCGATTGTATGCAGTGTACAAATTAAAAAAAAAAAAGATAGAATGTTATTTAACACTTCCCTCTGATTCCTCTAACACAGGTTTTAACTCTGACTTTTCCCGCAGGTTCTAAACTGCTCTACCTGGTCTTCAGTAAAACAAGTTTGCCGCTTTTAGATACGCGTAGTGGTTACGTGACTATACACTCCTTTGTTATTCGCTACCGTGAATTTACAGTCAAAACGCAATCATGATACTATAACCTGATTATAAAGATGGCCACTAAATGTCGTAGTACCTAGTAAAAGTCGGTTCCATGCTAAGTCGTAACTCTCTCAGTCTCAGTCACGTTGTGCAAATATATTAGAATGTTAGCTTGGCTCTAAGAGTAAGCGTGATTTTTTTACCTCTTTTTTACGTTTTCATTCGGGCGAACGCAAGCGTTAGGCGAGTGCAAAGAGGGGATCACGCGTGGGATGAATTTGCGGTTTTTTTGCGTTCATCCTCTCGCGCGTGACTTGCCATTCGTGGTCGCTCCGCGCGTGCTTCTGCTCGTCTGAAAATGCAAAACGTCAATAATAATGATAGTAACGATAGGTTCAAGATTTATGTAGATAAAAAATGATAATGATAACTTTGATTTAATAACTTAACAATGTCAAAAGTACCTTTTTTCGATAAGACTGTTGGTAGGATTTTAATTTTGATGAAACTATAACCAAGAGAAAGTAAAGAGTATTTTTGGAGTCAACTTTTCAGTGAGTTAACAGTTAATGTGGATTGCTTAAAACGTACTGTAAGACGTTCTTCATTTTTTTTTATTAAAAAACCTTTCTACAGAATAAAACTTTGTAGACACTTATTATCGTAAGGTCCTGCGTCAGTTTCTCTGCAAATTAAATATGCGCCTTCTTTTTTTTCACTTTGGTTTTAGCCACCCCTCCCTCGTCCTCACCTTGCCCTTCCCCCTCCTTCGCCCCCACTACACCCCCCTTTCCTTCCCTCGCCCCCACCTCCCCCTCCTTCTTGTAGATCAGGAGCACATATGTAAGACCTGACATAAGTTTGCATAAGCTCTTATAAAATTCGGTTACTCGTCTCCCCCCTTTCCCGTAATTCCGCCAGTTGCAATTTCTAACTCGCAGGCTAAATCTTAAATCCCCACGGTGTAGGGTGTATATTGTATAGAACTGCTGTGGATATTGTGTAGCACTGCTCGCTCTCTCCAAGCAAGCCATATTAATTATGGTTTGTTGTCCTTTGGAAGTGCGCCTTTACGAATTCGAGTGATCCTTTTCGTCTTAAAGTTGTTGAAAACCAGGGCAAATATGAATAATTTACCCACATGAAGCGGTCAACTTCCACTGCCGAACGCACTCTTTCTTTATTTTTACTCCGACTTTGATACGCGTTCCATTCTGAGGTTTTCGAATTCGCCCTGATTAAAAATAAACATGACGGAAATGAAACGACATGAATATTCAAAGTTGATAGTTTGCATATATTAGGCAGATCACATGAACTCACATTATGGCGGTCAACTTTTGTACCGTCTTGGCCTCTGTTTGCCTTCTGTGTGCTGTTATGGGTAAGTGACGAGAGGTTACGACACGAAAGTACAAAATTGGCAATGTTATGCAGCGATTGCAGTGTTCAAAGCTCTGTTAGATTACAGTGCGATCTAATTTCTGGGGCACTGACTCACGCTACAAATCTATCGGGCGAGCATCACAACAATTCCATAAATGTTGTCATTCCAGCGAAAGATTAATCGTTTTACGAGGAATATTTCTAAAGAGTTGTTCGATTATTTTTCGTAATTTTCCGTTGACTTCATACGCATCGATGGCTTTGGAGTTTGTGCAATGTCATGTTGTGACGGCGTGTGTAAAATCTTCAGTTCAACAATAACAAATCCTATTTACTATTCAGAAAGATGATGGCGGAAACATTATAAGTTTTTAAGCCCTTGATATCAATATTTCCGCTTTGACATAGAATACAAATGTGAGTTAAGTAGTAAAGGGAAGGTTTTGAATTTATTTTTTACTCTGCAAGCTCTTTCAAATGAAAGGGTCGGGTTGAGCCATATGGCACTTCGCAAGGTTGAATTGCAATATTCTGCTAAAAAACTGGTAATTTTGAATGACGCTTTGCCGACATTCTGAACCTAAACGTGCGTTGCCCGAACAGATTATTTGAAAATATCTAGTTGAGTGTGCACGTTCAACTTCATGCCCAGAAAAGTGAATTGTTGTCCATAATTTCTGTTTGTTATCACTCTTGTTTGCGGCAGCAACATCGAATTCTGTCACAATGTTGGGTGAGACACCATATTATGAAGACAGCGAAAATATTCCCCCTTCAGATGCTATCTATTATTTTCGAAAGTGAAACTTTCATGTGCTTAGTTAGCGAAAATAAGTCGCTCAAAATAGAATGTTGGTGATGCATTCGTGACACAATTTAAATACTTCATTATTCCTCTCATTATCCAACGGGCTACGTTGGTGGTAAACTTTAATCATGGCAGTTTAGTAAGATTTGCGACCGGACGCTGCTCCACCCGCTCCTTTCATACCTATGGATTTTTTAATACTTGACCAACATTAACATTTTTGCAACAACAGTGTTGCATCTTGCTATTAAAGTGTCTGACCGCGCAAGCGAAGGTGGGAGGGGGGGAGGGGCGGGTGGAGTGGTTTGAGTATCAAAAATTCTCGGATCCGCCCCTGAAATCATAGCTACTTGAAACTCCATTTCTTTTCTCCTAGTGGAAGGAAACGATGAAGACCGTGATTACAGAGACTTTTATGAGTATGATGACGACGATAATGGCATCAAAAAAGCTGAAAAATGCCCCGATATTAACTTACCCAGAGGTCTTGGCGGCCCTTGCAAAGTCAGTGATTTTTGCAGCAATATTACTTGCGAGGTGAAGGTGGGGGAGAAGAGTGCCACCTTAATTTTCAAAATAAACCAGTGTGATGATCCCATCACTGCCACAGTCACTGTCAAGATACAAGGTTATGCAGTTGATTGGTCGCATACATTTAAAGATGGTGAAAAGATCAAGTTTCCGCTTGGGAAGGAATCCGGTGTAATGGCACAAGGATCAGTTTCACTTTTGGTTGTGTTGAAAAGAGAAGGGAAAAAGTTGCATTTTAAGGTAACATGTTTATTGTATATAACTTTACTTCATTGCAGGGGGGGAGTAACCAGTGAAAAAAGGGTTAAGGGGTAGGGAAAAATCAATCACCGGAAGAAAAGGGCCTTGAGATGGGAAAACAAAAACAACTCTTGGCAGTGAACGGTTATTTTGAAATACGTACGTCACCATTAATTACCGAAAGTGTAAATATTTGCAGCAAGGATGGATAAGAGATTCAGACTTGCCAGTTCCCCACCCACCCCCCCCCCCACCAACAAATTTTATTATTATTATCACCATCATCTTAAAGAAATACCAGCGGGTTTACTGATTTAAAAGATTGATTTATTTCAGCTTCAGTTGTTGGGAAAAGTTGAAGTACCATTATATCACAAACTGGACGGTCCCATCGATAAAACTCTGATCGACGGAAAAATTTCGCTGTCAGATAAACATTGCGGTGAGTAAAGAATTATGTGTTTATTATGGCTGCAAGTCTTCTCCTTCATTTAGAATCCCCTGAAAATCACTCAGCTGTGAATTTAGAAACACAACCTTCTTTCACCATGACAGGAGCCCATTACTTCCCAACCATGATGAGGATATCTGTCACTTTCCTCCCTCTTTTAAAGCGATAAAAAATGACTGGTCTCTGAAGGATCATGATTTCTGGCCGCTTCCTTAATGCTTCGTAGAAGTTGTTGACACGTTTTGTGATTACGTCATCAGGTTTCAGCGCTTGGTTCAACAAACAGCCGCGTTACATAAAGATTTTGGTGATTGCGGGCCCTATCTTGGTCTTTATCCTTCTGCTCGTGCTCACAGTGTACTGTCGTATGAGATGTAAGCACCGTGCGCCCACACGCCTTCATGTGGAGATGCCGAGTCATCGTGTCCGGATCACCACGACCAGAAGTAAAGTTCCTATGCAACGGCTGATAAATCAGGAATAAATATGTGTGCATATACCCTGAAAACTCAGGGCGGGAAGCACGAGATGGAAAAATCAGTGAAAACTGAAGAAACCACTTCAAGTACAAAACAAATTAATGACCATAAAAGACAATTAAACTACGCGGAAATCTGCGAAAACTGCAGAAATTACCAAAAAGTAAATTTGATAAAGTATTGGAAACCGTACGATACGTTAATTATTCTTAATTTGATTGACATTTATAAATAATTTCGTTTATCTATGCATAAGCAAACAAACATGTATGCGGCACGTGTTTCATCGCTCCATATATGGCACTGTTCCACGTGCCTACAACGGGACGTTGAGTGTTTTTTTCTTTCGAATAAGCCGAGAGTTAACCCGAAGCGTTGCAGTAAAATCTTCAAATTAAGTGAATAAACCGTGAGTTAATAAGGAAGCGTGGTACAGCTCTTTCACGTTTTCAACAAAAGGAGTTAAATATATACTTTTCATAAGTGATCAATTTGAACTGAACTTATATCAAATTTTAGTGTTAAGTTGGATTCTGTCGAGAAAACAAACATGATATATGATTCATTATATTATTATACAATGAAAACGATAATATTCAGTTCAAAAGCGATCGTAAGATAAAGTTTAAGTCAGTGCAGATTTAGGACAATTTATCGAGTTGGTGGGCATTGTATGCTTTTCAAGCTTAAATAAGAAATGTATAACCGTAGAATTCTGCTTTGTTGTTAGCAGTATAAACAAACATTTCCATTATATCAGAGGAAACTGAATATCATTAACCTTTTAATATAGTTATAAGGAATTCGAAAATAAAAGTCAGTTGTAAAGTATGAATCCAGTTTTAAATATACCATCAATATAACAATCTATGCAGTGAGTGCAGTCAGTCAGTGATTCAGTAAGTGAGTCGGTGAGTAAGTCTGTCTGTCAGTGGGTCAGCATGCCAGTCAGTGACTCAGTCAGTTGGTCAGTCAGTGAGTCAATCTCCTGTCACTGTCGGTCAGGGAGTCGTCAGTGAGTTAATGAGTCATTCAGTCATTGAGTCATTGAGTCAAGTTCCGTGCGTGGAGTTTGCACGTGGAGTTTCCCGCGAGGGAAACTTACGACATATATGTATCAAGCAAGACGTTTCGACAATCCCTCGCGCGCTTCTTCACCTCACGTCCTATAATTCCTTAGGTTGGCGAACTCCCCACTTCTTCATGTGTCTCATTTTCTAGAGGCGGTGACTTAATGTGTCAAAATGTACGATGTTAGACCACATTAGGATTGTGTTTCTCTTCGACGCAATTTTGCCAGCCTGCCTTACCTGTGAAAGCGGAAACTGAGACTGATACAATCTTCAGTTCCGGTGTGCCCAGTCCTCTAGACGACGAACCACTTAGTATTGAGGTAACTTCTTCCTCCGAGACATTGCAAATTTGAAAATGAACTTAAAAATAAAAAATTTTAAGACCAAACAGGTCATGACTCTGGTAATGTCATCTTCAAAAAAACCAAAAGTACTCTGATTAGTGCTACTTTTAAGAAGAGCGCAAACATTATGCTCCTTTTTCCAAATATGCCAAAAATGATGCTAGCATAAACATATTCAAGAGGATGAAATAGTTCCGGTCAATCAGGTAATGACGTCACGTCCGTGTCCCGGCTCCCAACTCGTTCCCAGTCGCCTCGTAAGTATGTGCTTCTCTGAAAGGAAGAGAAGAGTAATATATCTTACTTTCTCCAGACCCATCACATCTCGCGCTCTTATCTAACCCGCACCAGTTGCTTCTGCTTAGAGGAGGACAGAGTATTGTCTTACATTGTTTTTGCTTTAAGAACAAAGTTCGCTGAGCTTAAATTAGTAAAGGGAAAAAAATTCGTGGAAAACAGGATTCATTTACAAGGAAAAATGATTTAATTATATCCGGATTACTTCCACTTCAAATGGAAATTCGCCAGTATACGTGAGATAATTTGCATCCGGGATGCGCCACAGGCTTCCCAAGCTTACGTTTCGAGAACACCTCACGCATTCTGTAAACAAACGAATGATCAATTTTGGCAGAGAGCTTTTACTTCCAAAACACAATTTAGAAATAACTTGTAGACACCTTCAAGAGTTTCATAATGAGTTACACCGCTGAAAATCACATTGCGTGCATTACTGTGAATAAGGAAAAAAGTTTGGTCACGTGTCCCGCCCACGAGAACGAACGTCATACTCAGAAGAACTAACAAGGTTTTGGACGCAGAGTTCAAATCCACGAGTATCTCTAGCATACTGCTGAGGTCAAATGGCTGGGTTACAGCTTCTGACAGCATTTCTCTTGGCAGTCGTTTCTACTGTGCAAGGTAAACTTCCATACGAGTAGACAGCTTTAACGAAGTGTCCGTGAAATTTTTCATTTGCCTATTGAATTTTTAGAACTAAGCTATCACAACCTGTGATTTCCATACATTTTACACGCGACTGCAGATCTGTTCAGCTGTGCGTCTGTTCCATGAATCGAGAAAAATTTTTGGAAGTAGTTTTTTCCTGAGAAGAACAAGTTTGGAAATATACTGAGGAAAGAAGCAAGCGCTGTTACATGTTTTTGTGCACTGGAAAGCGCCTTGCTAGCATGCGGAAAAACGTTTTAGGTTTTTTTAACATGCTAGTTGCGGGTTCCGAAAAAAAAATTCGCGAAAAGGTGTTCAAAATTATGAAATACAATGCGATACACATGAGAAAACTGGTTCTAAAATTTCGTTGTAAGTAATCGCTTTGAGTTAAAGGTAGAATTTAATAAATATTTAATGAATCAGTCTTGCTGTTTAAACAGAAACAATTGGTACGCACAGGTTAGAACGGATGTATGTTAAAGCACATGTTTTTTATTCGTACGATTTTATTCCACGAGATAGCTTTCTCTCTTAAAAAACGTATGGGCTCACTGAAGTGAGATCACTTTGAAATTACGGTATCAAATATGTATATTCGGCTTACCTTTGATGACAGAATTATTTGGGACTGAATTTCGACTGAATCATTTGGGACTGAAAGTTTTGCATAATTCTTTTTTCCGTAAGAGCTCATAAAAGCAATATCACTCGTTTAAAATATTATAGAGTTTACAAGACAAAGAATAATTTGTGGAAACTAAAAATGTCTCTTAATAAAATTGAAAGAAAGAAAATTTGCAGGGCTATGAATTCTTCAACAAGCTATGGACATGACTAGTGTCAGACGATTATGCCGGCATAATTTTTAGGCATAATGCTATAGTTTAGAGCATCGAAAATAATGTGTTTACTCAATTAAATGCCACCCTCAAATTAATGCTGCCCTCAAATAAATGCTGCATTTAAGAGCAGAAATATTAATAAGCGCCACCCTCAAATAAACGCCTCATTATGATGCAGCATTTACTCAAATATTAGATTAAAATAGCACACAGCCATGGATGCTTCAATTGCAGTAGGAAATTTTGAGGGAGCCAGACACAAATCCTTTTGAACGTATCAGTTCTGCGGTCCAACATATGATCTTTATTTACTTTATGTATTGCAGTAGTATTAACGTGCAAATTGTGAAATTGAGAACGATATAAAAAATGACTTTTTAGATGAGAAAATAGGTTTCTTTTTTTTTAATTCAGATAGTAATTTGCTAGACTTTCGTTTGCAAGAAATAAATTAGATTTTAACTAAAAGGCCACCCTTGTGTAAATGCTGCCCTTATATGAAAACAGCAAGAAAATCATGAAGAATTTAATGAATGCCATGGCATTTAAACAAATAAATATGGCAATGCTGGCATAATGTTTAAATTTCTGAGAAATTCTCTTTGTGTTACCATGCAACATGAGGTAAATTCTGTAGCCTGATGACTGTCAATAGCGAGCTTGCTCTCTAGCTTACAATTCAGAAGTTGATCCAGTAAAATGCATATTCTCTATACTGTTCTCTATATATTTCCAAAGAGGCTGACAAGGAGAATTTGTTCTAAAATCAAGAGCAGCATTTGATCCAGTAAAATGTTGTCTTCTGAACTTTGAAAAGCTCTACCTGTTCACTGTTGGAATGGGGGGAGAGGTGGCAGTTTTTTTATTCATTAAATTAAGCATAAAGATAAATTTTTAAGAGCTTGATTTCTGGCATTGTGATGCCATATTTTCAGTGGTGATGCTTAAAAAGACAATGCTCAAAATTTTCAGGGTTATGATTATTAATCCTTTGACTCCCAGATCAAATTTGTAATTCTCCTTGCTGTCAACCATACAATTCTTATAATATTAGTTCAGAGAATTTAGTACTGGATCAACCAATTATCCCCAAACTGATATTTTTCTTTATTCTCATCACTTGTCTGGTTGATGTTGTATGGATATTGTAAAGAGAAATTATGTCTTGGTCACTCTTGGGAGTTAGAGAGTTAATCTGACTTGAGACATGACCTGTCTGAAATGTTGAAAAACTAATTGCAATAAAAAATAATAGCATATGTTTAACTTGTTTGAACTGACCCTTATTCAGGAGCAAATCATCAAGGGAATTGTCCAGAAATTCAGTTACCCAATAACAGTAATGGAACATGTCTTCTAAATGACCAATGTAGCCAAGTAACATGTACGTCACCAAAAGATAGTGATAACCCGTTTGGACGCATGGTTTTGACTGTACGAGTGACCAAATGTCAGAATAAATTGAAGGCCGCTGTTTCTATTGACTCAAATGACCATGTGTGGGCACGTTTGCTTGGAGATGGTGATAAAGCAGAACTTCCTTCTCCACCTGGCATGCCTGGCCCAAAGCCTTACTTGAAGGTTAATCTTAAGGAAAATGGTGACAAAGTCCACTTCAAGGTATACATTCTATTGTAGCCATGTTAATTAAAAAAACTACTGTATTATGATGTTTTTGCTATTAACAAATATATTGCTTGTTTTTATCATGTATATAACTTATATTCTTCTCATCATGAGTCATCCTGTTTTATTGAATAGTGTCAGTTTTGATGATAATTGTGAACATCCTTATTACTATGATGTGAAATATCACCATCAAAAAGCAATCATCCTTGCAGATGAGCTGCAATTTAACCCTTTACCCCCTAACATCAGTATCTATAATCTCCTTACTATTCACTATACATTTCCCAAGGTGCTGACAAAGAGAATTTGTTCAATAATCAAAAGCTGCTTTAGTTGGTGATCATCTCGTCTATTCTCATGACTTTCATGTTTGATTCAAGGGTGATATTGTAAGGAGAAATTAGATGCTTTAAACACTCTTAGGAGTTAAAGGGTTAAGCAATTGCAGAAAAGAAGCCTGAAAAAATTCAGGCTTTCATGGGATTAGAACCCATGCCTTCCAGGAATTAGCTGGGTGCTACTAGCAACTGAGCTACAAAGCTATATGTTGGATGTGGGGCACATTTTAGGAGGGTTCCTCTTTCCCATTATTAATGTGTCATATGATATCTAAACAATGATTTTTGTTAATTTAGTTACTGATGCTGATGGAGCCAGGAAATTTCAGTGTTACACTTCTTGAAGGAGAATTACGTGCTCTTGAGTGCACAATTGGTGAAGGTAGGTGACTGATAAGAAAGCAGACAGACCTCTTTGTTACTTTTTTTAAAGGGTTTTAGACCTGATTATAATGCACAAAATTCTGTTGAATAATCCATCCATTTTGAAAATATATATTCCCTAAGAGCTCATTTAAAGAGATAATTTTGAATTCTTAGTATTGTTCAAAAGGTGAGATATTTTCACTTGATAAAGAATACTTTGTTTGAACTAAAACTGCCTTTTAATGAAATGAAAAAAAAAAAAATGATTGTGTGCTAGTGGATTTTTCAATAAAGCTATGCACAAGACCTGCCTATAAGATTAATGAACTTTTCAATTAACCCTGTTACTCCCATAACTGACCAAGACAGAATTTCTCTTTACAATATCGATACAATATCAAGCAGGCAAGTCACGAGAATAAAGAAAAATGTAAATTAGGGGATTATTAATTGATCCAATACCAAATTCCTCAAACGAACATCATAAGAATTATGTGGCAGATAGTAAGGAGAATTACTGATGAGATCATGAAGGTGAAGGGTCAAAAGAGCAGCTGATATCTTGTATTCTGTGACCCTTTTTCAGAAGCAAATCATGATGAAAGTTGTCCAGGAATTCAGTTACCCAAGGAAAGTAATGGAACATGTGCGTTAAGTGAAAAATGCAGTAAGGTGACTTGCACTTCGCCAGAAGATGAGACTAAACCGTTTGGTAAAGCAGTATTGACGGTAAAAGTTGAGGAATGCCAAGGAAAATTAAAAGCCATAGTTTCTATTCAATCTCCTGGTCAAATGTGGTTGCATGAGTTTGAAGATGGTGACAAAGCAGTTATGCCTACTCCACCTGGGATGCAAGGCAGCCCAGAACTAAACATGATGGTTGATCTGAAGGAAAATGGCGACAAAGTCCACTTCAAGGTATACATGCTACAAATGTCTTGTTAATCATTTTTTATTACTGCATTAGAGTTTGTGTTCTTTTTTTCACAAGCTTTATATTCATATATTATCCTGCAAACAGGTATTGAGAAAACTCCAACTTATTAGGTAGAAGTTGCTATCTTGATCCAACACTAAATTCTCATTACTGATTTGCAAGGAAATGTGCAGCAGCTAGAGGGGAGAGTTAACAATCAAATCTTGGGAGTTAAAGGGTTAAAGGCTTAACAAACTTTCTGTTTTATGGTGAAATTTAAGTGATGAAATTCAGTTACCATGAGCAAATGAATCTTTATTTTGTCCTTATTTTAGTAGTTGTTATACATTTTATCATCATCTTTTCTATCATTGGCTTCAATATCATAGTGTTATTTTGATATAAATAACCATTGTTATTACTATTATTATCCTATATAATCATAACTGATATTATTAATAGTGGTAATTGAACTTAGTGGAGTGCAGTTTGGGCTGAAATCATACGCGTGATTTCAAAATCGAATGAGCGTGCCGCACGAGTTCGATTTGAAATCACAAGTATGACACGAGGTTCAATTACCACTTTACTACATCCATTTTGAAATCGCCCAAATACAGGACCTGGTCAGTTCAAATATTTTATTGATGCAGTACTGAGCTGGTCTGAAATTAATTTTTTGGGGGGGGAAAAGTAAGAGTTTTGGAAACAAAAGTTGCAAAATTTGCCACATGACACTCTTTGTCTTTCATTTTCCTGTAATTTGATTGGTTACTTTAAACAAGCCTTGAAATCTGATTGGTTGTTTTGTTTTTAGTGTAGCCTCCTCATTGGCTGGGAAAAAGATGCGATTTAAAGCAAAAAATGGTGCAATTTGTGAGTAAATCGCAACAATTAGAGCCAGTCAGATTACAGGGACCACCAGTGATTTCAAAATTGTTGTAATAAATATCAGTATTTATTACACTTTTTTGGGGTTTCATGATGTTATTAACAGTTATATGTTTTGCAATTTAGTTAGTGGTGTTGGTGACAAATTACGATTTCACACTTCTTGAGGGAGAACTACATGCTTCCAAGTGCGGTGAGTTAGGTTTTATGATGGTTGATTGTTGTTGAAATTGAAATAAATTCATGGATTTCTGCCATGGAGGAATTTAATTCATATAGGCCAAGTTTTCTTTCCATTTTGTATGCTTCACCTTTACGCAAGTGTGCTGTATATAATATTTTATTTAGTAAACATGATGAGATCCACTATCCATTCAGAGGATTTTAACAGCAAGACTGAGGGGAAAAAATGTTAAAATTACAAAAAAGTCTCTGTTTCTAAAGTTACTTGTTTTAGGTTATAGCTCAAGGCTAGCATAGTTAGTAGAGGTATGTGACTGATTAGCAAGCCAACAGATTTCTTTCTTATTAGTTATTTCCCTTTTACTCCCATCAGTGACCAGGAGAGAATTTCTCCTTACAACTGTCAATGCAATATCAAGCAGATAAGTGAGGTGAATAAAGAAGAGAACTCAATTAGGGGACTACAAGTTGATCCAATACCAAATTCTCCAAACTAACATCATAAGAATTATGTGGCAGATAGTAAGGAGAATTACTGATGAGATCTTGGGAGTGAAAGGGTTAATTTACGGTTTTTTGACCCAACTGATGCTAATAGTTCTGTAGTTCCACATCTTATTATGAGAAAAAACAGGAAAGATTTTCTTTGTCCCAGGCTAGTGACAAGATGAAAAAAAGTCTTTCTCCATCTCATTCCTAGCTCAACATCTATCATCTTTCTTGGGAATATTAACAAGTAGAGCAATAAAATTTTTCTGCAGATGGTGAGGGTGGCTCCAAGCAAACCAAACAATGCCCAGCTGTTGAGTTTATTCCAGACGAGCCTGGTGCAGGCAAATGTTCCTTTAGTCAACAATGCAGTAAGCTTGAATGTGTTGCAGAGGGAGATGGCCATAAATTAATTGCTGATTTTAAAGTGAGCAGATGTGGTAAATCTCTTGTTGCATCAGTCAAATTACAGCAGCCAGAGGAGGACCTAGACTGGTCTGAGAGGCTGAAAGATGGTGAAAAAGCTAAATTGCCTATTAAAGCCAGTAGTTTTACTGGAGGATTAGCAGTTTCTGATGCCAAATTGTTTGTCCAAGTTCATTTGAAGGAGATGCAGGACAACAGAGTAAATTTTACAGTAAGTATTCCCAGAAAGATTAGGTTTAATATTTGCCTTCTCAACTACATGCATCCTACGGAATAGACCATTTCTGAATTCCAAAAGCCTCCCTTTTGAAATGAGGCCCAGTATGAGAACCCTCTTGCGACAACAAATTACATTTGCATGAGAATAATTTTTTTTTCGCTTCAAAAGCTTTGCACTTAGGTGCCTTTTAAAACAGAAGTTTTCTGTAGCCAAAAAATGGCCTGTTGAAACCACAAAGTGGGTATGTTTATTTTGTTAGGTCAGGATGACTGGGCATCTGACAGCCCTAGGTGAGACTGTGCAGGTGAATACTGTGCTGATACAAGGACAGATAGCTGTATCATCTGTTGCGGACTGTGGTGAGTATCTTGACCACAACTCCTCCCCCTCCTCTCCTCCCAGGGGCAGCAGTCTTTAGTTTAACCTTAATGGGTATGTGCTACTAATCCAAGGGTGGATAAAGTATTTTTTAAATTGGAGGTGGGGTGGATTTTGTCACCCCTAGGATACCTACTTGATGGTAATGTTAACATCCATATGTGGTTTACTAAAAGTGACATTTTTTTTTGTGGTGTGCATTGTATTGACTTTTCAGAAAATTTTGTTAGGGGGCATCTTAGATGGACCCTTTTTAAGTCTAACAGGGTGTGGTTTTTGGGTCTTTATACCCTAACATCAGTATGCATATTCCCCATACCGTTCTTTACACATTTCCTTAGGTGCTGACAAGGAGAATTTGTTTAACAATCAGGAGCTCTTCTTTAGTTGGTGATCATTTCCTTTATTCTTGTCATCTTGATGTGTGGTTCAGGGGTGAAATTGTAAGGAGAAAGTAGATGTTAATCACTCTTTGGAGTCCAAGAGTTAAGACAATCTTCTCTTCTGAGAAATTGATATTAATTTAATATTCATCTTGCAGCGAGGATTTTACTGTTAAAATGAGCGTGAACTCAACTCAGTTCCAATTTAATTAATTTTTTATATCTCTCTTGTTGCTTCAGGTTCGTGGTTTAGTGAACAGTCAACAGCCGTGAAAGTTCTGGTGATTTTGGTCCCAGTAACCGCAGGGATTTTGCTGACTCTCACTGTTGTCTTTTGCTGTTGTAAAAGACGTCGTGATGGCACTCGTCTGTATGTCAACATATTTAAGCCCCGCAATGATGACTATGGAATGCGTCGTTTGTCTAATGAACTCTGAATTTTTTTCCAACAACAAAACCATTAATTGTCCGTGAAGACAAGTTGTAGAACTTAAAACTATCTTGTAGTTGTTTCGAGTGCATTTTTATTGAGTGTCTCGAAACAAAAATCAAAGAGATCACATTGACCGAGCAGAAAAAGGTGAATCTCATGAGCCAGTGAAAATAAAATGTGTTCTGCAGCGCAGAAGAACGCGCCTGACCGAGTTGCGACTGGCTTTAGTTTTGCTTCTGATTGGTTGAGAATTTTTTTAACCAATCAGTGAAAAGTGAAACTGATGCTATCATGAGTTACTTCCGACACTTATTTGAACTTGTCGAAGCTAGAGCTCCGTTGACTTAATTACTGAGAATAAAACAGGTAGTGGTTATTTAAATATTTATCTCCATTGTACCGTAATATCATGAGTTTGACACCGAGAAATTTCCCAGGGTTTTTTTAAGGAGCCGGCAAAAGGGGGGGGGCGGGGCATTATGATGGGGGAGTTTTTTGCAGCACTTGCTGAGAGTGAAGTGTCTGGTAATAAGCTTATTTACTGGCTTTAACTAAAATAAAATAAAGTAAAGCAGAGCTTTAAAAGAAACATTAGTGGTCTCTGTCTATTACCCAAAGGAAGAACACAGAGTAAAAGTATCAACACAGCACAAATTTAACTTGAATTGAATGTATCAACCTTAAACAGTCTCAGACCCTTTTTTGTGGGAGCGATCTGATAAATGGATGGCCTTTAAAAGAAGGGGGGGGAGAGAGAGAGCCTCCCCCAGCGAGTTTGCAATTAAGACACGTACGTCGCGCGTGACAGTCTAAATTACACGCACGTGGTTTACTTCAGCGTCTGTTGTGTAAACTATAGATGGGCTTGTGTCACTATAGAGGAAATGATCTCGGTCACTGAAATAAGTGCATGCGCAAAGCGAAGGAGATAAGGTAAACCAAAATTAAGAGCGCAAATTAAATTTCTTTAGTTATACGATGTTACCAAGCAATGTTTACTATTTTTAAATACGAAAAATTAACACATGCTGTGGAACGAAGGGAATTCATTCATCGCGCGCACACATTTTTTTCGCTACATCGAGCTTGTTTAGCTTCACAAATGTGTCTAACTGAAAACCTGAGAACGAAGAAGTTTAACACATTAGGCAAAAATCCTCAAAGACAGACTCTCACTAATTATGCGTATATTAGAACGTTTACTGTGCACGCTTTTGAACTACGACGTTATTTAAAGTCTTGTCGACAAGGGTACAGTCGAACGCGAGAATGACATGTCTTGAGATTCAGTTCACTGAAAGAGGATTTTTTTCTAACTATATTCCAGTAAATAGAAAATTCTAACTATATATGGCTTATGTTTAGTTTCTTGTCGGAAACCTACCCGACGCAGCAAAGAAGAGGCCCAAACATATCTGTTGTGGCTCGCAGTCTGTACAGTGGTCGAATGATGACATTACCTTCGAAGCTGATTAATATACAGACTTATTAACACGTGTACTATTGCAACTACGACTTCCTCAACTGCTGTTGCATGACGCAACCGTAGAAATAACTTGTGAAGTATTCTTCAACAAACATTTAACTGTCCTGATTAGTATTAGAATATTCGTTCCCTAGTAGCTGGAAATGATCGAGACATGGCTTAGAGAGGGCTTCACTAAACAAGAACAAACTTTTCCTCCATTTTGAATAAATTGTGACAAATTGAAAAAATTGTAATTTTGAGAGCCAGAAAAGTTTCACCATTTTTCTTTAAGTTAAGCTGTGTCGTAAAACATTTAGAACGACAACAGTTCTTTTTTTTTTCACCGTTAAATATTCCATAGTTAGATTTATCGAAAGGCAACGATTCACGAGGGCGAAAATGTAATTTCAAACTGCAGCCCGTATTCGCGATAATGCCATGAATTTTCGTTTCACACTATTGCAAAACATTTTCATTTAACAAAAGAAGCTCTTTCGAGGGGGGAAAATAGGGAGAGCTACCGTGCTATAAGAAATATGGAAAATAAATCTTACTATGGTGAGGGCTGGGCACGGACGTAAATTCATCCGAAGGGAAGGACCAATTTTGTAGAACTTCTCAACAGAATCTCTCTGACACGTTTGTTTGGTATTACGCCTGTGTTGATGTCAAAGCCGTCATTCGAGATGAAGCAGTTTCTCCATGAATTGTTCTTGAATAATTGCATCAGAATCAATCAGTTAGAATATTTTGACCAGAAATAAACTTTTGTTTGCTTTGTTTACAGCTTGACTTGACAAAGATCAATCTATGGCAAAGCGTTGATTCCCGGATACGGAATGTTTCGCTGCGATAAAAACGCAAGAAAACAAAAGACAGAATGGGTTTCTTTGTTTTACTGTACCATAAAGCTGATGTGTGAGACTTGTAATCCACAGAAAAGAAACAACTCGCAAGAATTGTGCTCTTAAGTCGTTGCTATGCAACGACGTTTAATCATTTAGGTAACAAAGCACTACATCACACACTGAACGACATACAGACTCAACGTATTGTAATAAAAAATGTGCCAAATCAAAATAAAAGTTACAGCTCTCTTGAGTTCACGCTGTGAACTCATCACATTATCAAACTACTAAAAACGTGCACTGTAAATCAACCAGATCTCCGGGAAGTTCGAAGTTAACCCTTATCTCTGTCACCAATTTTACATTTCGTCTTCATCTGCATGAACACACATGATAACAGCTAACTTGAAACTATCGAAGACAATTTCTATGATTTACACGAAAAGTTAACTAAGTCTACTGAGAGCTGAAACGGGGTGCGGAACTTGAGTACTACTCCTCGTTGACAAGCGGTTCCATGGGAACCTTGGACTTGACCTCGCTTGTGGCCTCGTCATAGGATGGAGGCTTCACCTTCAGGGCGCCAATGGGTGTGGCTCGGCGCTTCTTGCAGCAGTAAACTATACCAGAAATCAACAAGGACAAGCCTAAGATGGCGCTGATGACAACAGCAGCCTTAACGGCTCCAGGTTGGCGTTTAAACCAGGCATAAGCCCCTGAAAAAGAAAACAACGGTATTACTTACGACAAGAGGTTATAAACTGTTCTCTCTCTTTTATAATCTCTTACTTACGATGATTGCGTTATGATAGCAGACCGCTCCACTAGAGGCGCGGTTACCTAATGCTTAGCGCGCCCTTCTCTCGATCGAAAGGTTTGAGTCACTCTGCTTTGTTAACAGGAAATATACTTTTCGTCACCAACTCTTTATCTTGGAGCTCTCTCCTTTTAACTGCACCCAAACGCCCACCCCTCTCTCCCCCACAAATTTTCTTTTCTTGTCCCTAGACTCCAAAGAGAAACAGGCAGTGCTAACGATGGAGTTGATTACTTACTGCTGCATCGTCCCTTATGATGACCTTTGTGCCCATCATGGTGTCCCTCGTCATCATAATCTCCCCCCATTGGCAGTTTTCCTTGTAACACTGGCTCGTCCAGCTCTATACCATCCACAGACAAGTCCAGCTGAAGAGCAAATAGTGAAACAAGATAAAACGGATTGTATCACCTTCATCCCTCGATATTCAGAATAAAAAATTGAATGCTGGACAAGACAAGACAAGATTAACAACAATATTTTTCCATTGATTGGCACGAGAAAAATTGTAAAGAGAAAAACGGAGCTTGGATGAAAAATCGCTGCTTAGTATAAAAAAATGTTTCTATTCGTTTCCTTTCACACGATCCTTAAAATATTTTTTTGTTGGAACAACCTCTCAAAGATAATCGATACAATACTCTGTCAGCATATTTACCTTGAAAGCAATTCCTTTCGCGGTTTTTTCCATTGTCAAGGACACAAACATGCCCTTCACTGGAGAACCTTCCACCTCATACTTGTCCCCACTCTGGAAGGTGTGTGACCAGTCGAACTTAGGCGACGGAACGTATACTTTGATCTCCGCGCTCAGTGGTTCTTTGGACCTGTCAATCATTAGGACAACCTTCACAGTTTTACCCAAAATTTCACGATGGCAGGAGAAGGTGTCGCACTTCCCAGATACGGTGCATTGGAAAGGCAATTTGTTGGATGTGATCGGTTCAGGGCATTTAGGATGCTCTTCACCCTTTCCCTTTCTGTGACGATCTTTATCACCACGGCTATGGTGTCCACCTTTAGCTGAGATGAATTAAAATTATTCTTGTTAGATTTGGGATGGCAGGTTGTTCTGAAGCCTGAGATAAGCGCCTTAACTTGTTCTAAGCATAATAATCACAACAAAATGTGGCTAAATCCTAATGTTTCTTACAACTTTCTAAACAACGAGCACACAAAGAAACACACAGGAGATTTGCACTAACTCTTCACCCTAAATTCGTGACGCGTTAAATACTGTCTAGAGAACACGTGACGCGTGAATTTTTCTTAATTTTGTGCGTGGAATGGTATCAGGACCCCCCCTCCTTGCCACCCTTTTCGTAATTGTTTGATTACTTGAACTCTTCTCAAAACAGAAGGATTTAACGAAAGAAAAAATCAGCTTAAGGGCTGTTTCAGTCAGCTTCCTAAGAAAAGCACGCAAATTTTTCTGATGAAAGTTATTTTAGGCCGGAATATCTAACTTCTAGCTCTAGTAACGGACCGCTGGTTTGACAGATGGTTCCTGTACTAAAATCTATTGAATTTCGATAAATATCTTTCTTCGAGCGCTCGGTTTTCTGAATGAATTTGAGTATTTTTTTTTCCTCTAGCTCTGCTCGCTAGGCGAACTTGATGGTTTTTCTTCGGTAGTCCAACTCTTGCCTCTGGCGACAAACATGCAAAGAATTTCTCGAATTATGGCGACTTCGCGGATAATTACATCGAGGGAAACCTGCAATTTCTTTCAAAACATTGCAGAGTAATACAAAGTTGGTTTTGATTCTGCCCATACAAGGAAAGTCACAAATTCTTCTAGTAACCTGATTGCAAGAAATATATTGTGTCGCCTGTTCTTAAACGAAATTGCACGAAGCTTGATCCACGACCAGCGCTGTTCGGGTGCGAAAACCGGACTCGCGCGAGGAAAAGCGCAAAGCAAGCTGAGGCCAGTTGCAGCCGGTAATGTTACATTATACTTGCATTGTTAACGCCCTCTAATATGACAAATTCACTAATACGACAGTTTCCTAAGAAAGGAGGAAGGTTTCTAAATTAAGTAACAATCGAGTCGGCAGCTTGTTTTGGTTAAGCTAATGTTTCTTACACAGCTGAAAGTCGGACGACATAAATTACTTGAGCTAAAATGAAAAAAGGAAGGAGGCACATAAAAATTAACTTCTTTCAATTTACGAGCCGGAAAACCTTTATCAATGTGGAGAGAATAATTCGCGGGAATCCATTCGTTACCGCTACTGTTATGTAGTTGTAGCTTGTGGACGAAGTAGGGTCCAAGTAAATGTGATGTAAGGAAATAGGGGTGGGTAAGTGAGGCTGTTTTTTAGTTGAAGACATTTTCTTCGCTCTTTACAGAGCAAAACTGCATCCTATTTAAGGCTAGGAGCCGACGAAAATCGAAATACAGCAATGAGTTTTTCAACAGTCATTACAGAGGTTCCGAGCAGGTCAAGCGGAACCAAGTTGGAGTGGAAACCGAATGACGCAGCAACTTTCGAATCAATTTTTTCATCGGGAAACCAAAATAACATCGTAGATCTAGAAAAACGCTCAGATAGAAGAATAGATTTTGAAGAAATAAATAACAACCCACGGTGCAAGCACATAGGACAATAATTTTCGATGAATTAAGAAATTTTATGCATGCAAAGTCTGCAGCATTAACATTACGTCACAGGACAAAAACAGCTGCCATGTACCGTGTTTTGCAGCTTAAAACGACATGCACGAATTTCTACAAAGTAGTTCGATTGAAAGTTAAAGGCTAGCTACAAAAGTTATGAGAGACGTCGACATAGTGCAGAAATTCTAGCCGCGAGCACCATTAACCACAACATGCGTATAGCCTAATAAGCTCTCCAAATGCTTACAGGGCCGAATGAAGAAGCTTGCTTCGTTTCACTGCAGATTTTAGTCTGAAAAATTTTAACGCAAAAATTTTTCTTAGCCTAAATGCACATATCCTTTATGTAATAGGATAAAATCATTGCAAGGTGACGCCAATCCAAGAGGTTTTGCACAGAATATTACATAACTGCTTTGTTGTTCAAGTTTCAAATCGCCTTCAGCAATACAGCTTATCGAAAATACCACGAAAATGTGAGACTAAGCTCAGTATTTTCTCATAAACCTAAATTCAAATAATTTGCTTTCAACTTCCTGTTTCATCTATAAAAAAAACTCACCCAAAACAGTGGAAACCAGGCCCAAAATAAACAATGCAATGCAAAGTTTCATCTCCATCTTTTCGCCTTCGCCACACACTGACACCTGATAATAAATATTCATCACTAGACCTCTCACGGATTTCCGTCATACGGTTACCAGGCAACCAAAGCAAAATAAATAAGGGAACAAAAGAGGTACTCATTTTCTTAGAACACCTGAACCAATGAGTGACTGCAATAAACAAAGAGAAGGCTAAATTGATCAAAACAACTGAACGTAATGCACTTAAATTAAGATTTCGCGAACGTTGGAGGAATTATTGACACGCAACTGCACATCACGTGAAAATACTTACATAGGGGGTAACCGCTATATTTATTGATACAGAAAAAGTAAATATTACGATTGGTTATATCATACGAAGAACCCTCGGGCGCTTCTGTTGAGAAAGAGATTAAGTGGGAGGAGAGGTTTTGTGAGTGTAGATAGACGCAAAAAGGGATTTTAGGGGTTTTAAGGAGCGGTAACAGAGAAGTAGGATAGAGTTTAATTCTGGTTCATCCGTCTGTTTTGTGTCTTGTGTTAAAATTCAATTCACCTCGTCTGATGCAATGCTACTGTAAACCATTAGAAGATGGTAAATTGACATATTTAATATTCTAAAAAAAAAAATACTCTCCTTCACAGACACTTTTCAACAGAGCAAATATTTATGAATATAAATGAAATATTAACAAGATGTTAAGTCAGAGACAACATGGTATTTCTGACGAATGAGTCTGCGAATAAGGCAGAAATAAATATTTTGTCGGCACGAGATACGACAAGGCCTGGGCCTTAGGCCCGAGCATCATGGGTAATGATGCAGTGGTATATAAGGGAAAGTATAGCACGTGGTGTCCATCTAGGCCTCAGAACCAACCGTTCACCTCTGGCTGATGACAAATTTAGTTTAGTTTGAAAACATATTTTCTTTAGCTGTGAAGCCTCGTAGGATGGGCTGCCAACTGCTCTGAGTTTGGGCCATGGTTCCTACCCAGATTTCCTGTCATGTTTTTTCCCCAAAGGGGTTTTTTTCTGGTAGTTTTTTTCTGGCCTCTGTATAACCGTAGTTATGTCCTTGTAAGCGGTTACCCATCTCTGTTAATCCAGACTTGGTGAAGTTTGCATGTTAGTAATGTATACCTTTTTTTTTAATGTGTAAGGAATTGACTGTATATCAGGATTGTATATGGTATATCAGTTGCGAATATATGTATGTATGCATGCCCCGGGCTATATATGCCTCGGGTTGGTTCTCGGCAGGCTTCCCTAAATAAACTTATTTGGTGTACACTACTGCGTTATTTGTTGCGTAGTGGAGACAAAATTTGGTGTTTTTAACACTTCGTTTATTGTCCAGCGGTAGAATATCAAAGTGGATCCTTGTCTATGATCCTATCAAAAGTTTTTGATTAAAATGACTTCCTCGTTTGAAATACATTGATGAGAATAACATTTCTACGACTTGAAAACGGACCCTAAGGATCCAAAACTGCATAAGTAACATAGAATAAAACCAACAACAGTTAAAATAGAACGATATTAGAAAAAACTAAGTAACTACAAGTAAATACTCGGTGTTAATGTTATAACTCGTTTAAGGTCGCTCTTGCTCTCACTTGTGACTTAAATTTCGTTGACCAGCGGCTGCATCGGGACTTTGGTTTTGGTAGAGGTAGCCTCGTCATAGGATGGCGGCATGACCTTAACATGGCCAGTGGTAGTGGCTCGCTTCCTCCTGCAGCAATAAGCCACGGTGATTGAAAACAAAACCAAGAACGCCACGGCACTTGATATTATCAGCGCCTTATACGGTGCGGGCAATTTTTTAAACCTGTTGATATGCCCTGAAAAATAAAAGAAAAAAGAAATTAATATACTAAGGAAAAACCCCCTTGCCTCTTCGCGCAACGGTATCTTCATAGCGCGGAAGGCCAACAAGAATGAGACTGGAACGCATGGTTTCCTTCCCATCATCCCTTTCCATATACACCTTTTACGCGCTGTGTGCACTAGGCAGACGACTGGGAACAAGCCATGTGCCCGATTGAAACAAAACAACTTGTTTGGTTATGAGAAACTTACGTTTGTTACAGAAGTAAATCTGACGCTTTTCTGCAGCAAAAAGGAGACTTTGGGGGTATGCCGAGGTTTACATGCTGCGAAAGTCAGAACGGTCGAATTTTCTTGAAATATTTGTGCAAATGATAAGTTTCAGCGCGCCTTTCAAGTAAACCTCTTCAGTAAATAAGTAAGATCCCTTTTTTAAACACGATGAGAATAAAGGCATTTCATGCTTAAGGGGTTGTCTGTAACTAGCTACTAACCTAAATAACCTATAAGTAAAAGTGGATAAAATATATCAAACGAATAATCAGACTTAGAAGTACTTAATAAATGACTTTGATAATACGTCGTGAGAGATTGAGCGCCCTCGCTCATGTTAAGAATTTGCGAGCGCAGTTCAATGCTGGGGAATTCCTTTCGCAAAGTTGAAGAGTAACAAAAAATTTTGGACTCAAATTTAACTCAGGGGATAAGAAAGAGGACACAATAACAGTGTGGGCGTGGTTCTACTTTACCGGATAACAGGAATCTAACTTACACTCGCACACTACTATTTGAGGCTCCTCAACGACTGGAATTTTTCCTTCAATGAGTGTTACTGTGTAAGGCTTCTTTGTCAATTCTGCCCGGCCTACCAGGTCAATCTAGTTGTAAAACAAGAATTATTGAACCTTGAAAATTTCACTCGAGATATATAAACAATAACCTCCATTTGGCGCGAAAATATTTTCGGATATTTGTCCGCGGACATCATATGATCCGAGATGCGAAGAGTTTCCGAGAGTGAAGCTCGAGAAAAACTGCGAGCTTCGAGGAAAAGATAATGTTCAAGAACAACTACACGAGCACATTTTTGTGCCAAATGGAGACTAAATTAAATGTTTTTATCATCCTTTTTTCACCTGCAATGCGGGTGTAAAACGTAAGCAAACAGCTTTCTGTTTGTTCGTTGGATGTTTACTTTTCAGTGTTCTGTGGTAGGACTTAATTAACAAACAAACATGTCGCTTGTTCTGTGACAATAGCTTAACGCTCTCTCATTTTATATTGAAATTTAATGAATGCTTTTATCGAAGTAGACGTATGCTTTGAAAACTGGGGAATATCACTTGGGGATATCCTCAGGTATTCTTAGCGTTAGCTCGGGCATATTCAATCACATGATGCGTTTATATCAATCGCGCGCGAGAAAAAATATCAGATGAATTTTAAAAATCAATGTACTTGACTTTAATATCAACTAAAAGAGAACTTTTTAAGGGAGATGGGGCTGAAACAGTTCTTCAAATGGAAATGAGAGTGCAGTTTACCTTGAAACTTAGGGTGCCATTATCTTTTGTCATTGCAACTCGAATGGAAGCATCAACTTTTCCGAATGGTAATCCTTTAATATCCAGTGGGAATCCGGGAACCTCAATTTCCTCTCCATTTTTTACCCTGGCCGACCAATCAAATCCAAGCTTCGGAACTGACATGGTGACGTCAGCACTCATGGGATCATCCCATGTGTCAAAGTTCACAGTCACTGTGATATCCTCGCGACTGAAGGGAATTGAACACGTGATTTGGTCGCAGTTGTAAGACGTGGCGTTACATTTGATAGGAAGAGGAAGATTGGGCACCAGTTCGAGACGACATTCGTCTTGCCAACCTGCGAAAAAAAAAATCAGTTGATTGTGAATAATCAATGATAATCATTATTAAATATATGAAATTGTTTGAGAGCAAATAGGAAGAAGAGCATATGTGTTGCTTTGTTTTTTTTTAACTATTTCAGCTTCTTTTAGATTGGAAACAGGGAAACAGGGAAACAGGGAAACAGGGAAACAGGGAAACAGGGAAACAGGGAAACAGGGAAACAGGGAAACAGGGAAACAGGGAAACAGGGAAACAGGGAAACAGGGAAACAGGGAAACAGGGAAACAGGGAAACAGGGAAACAGGGAAACAGGGAAACAGGGAAACAGGGAAACAGGGAAACAGGGAAACAGGGAAACAGGGAAACAGGGAAACAGGGAAACAGGGAAACAGGGAAACAGGGAAACAGGGAAACAGGGAAACAGGGAAACAGGGAAACAGGGAAACAGGGAAACAGGGAAACAGGGAAACAGGGAAACAGGGAAACAGGGAAACAGGGAAACAGGGAAACAGGGAAACAGGGAAACAGGGAAACAGGGAAACAGGGAAACAGGGAAACAGGGAAACAGGGAAACAGGGAAACAGGGAAACAGGGAAACAGGGAAACAGGGAAACAGGGAAACAGGGAAACAGGGAAACAGGGAAACAGGGAAACAGGGAAACAGGGAAACAGGGAAACAGGGAAACAGGGAAACAGGGAAACAGGGAAACAGGGAAACAGGGAAACAGGGAAACAGGGAAACAGGGAAACAGGGAAACAGGGAAACAGGGAAACAGGGAAACAGGGAAACAGGGAAACAGGGAAACAGGGAAACAGGGAAACAGGGAAACAGGGAAACAGGGAAACAGGGAAACAGGGAAACAGGGAAACAGGGAAACAGGGAAACAGGGAAACAGGGAAACAGGGAAACAAGGAATTAGGGAAACAAAGAATTATGGCCTTTCGAATTTTTTTTCCGCCGGCGTTTATATTAGAGACCTCGTTAAGCAAACAGCAACGAAGGTATGACAAAACAAAAAAATCTAATGGACAGAAAAATAGCTCTACTCGAGCGTTTAAAAACTTTGAGCCACCCTCTGCAAAACGACAAAAATTTCTCCTCTTCCCGTGAAACTTCTGTGGCAGTTGGAGTTCCTTCAGTGTTAATTAAATATATTTGGTAATAAAGTTAAGTGAAGTACAAGAACCCTACCTCGATATCGGCCCCGCAATAATTAAAATAAAACTACCCACTATAAGTAACAAGGTAACAATATCGATTCGTTTGACCAAAAAGGTATCCCGTTTACAACGTTTCATTTGCAGCAGACAGCAAAATTAAAACTACGATTTTTCCGTCCATAGCATTCGGTTGGTACTGAACCTAAATTATACTTTCATTTAATTTGCATCGATTAAAATTCTGCCCGTGAATGCAGGTTTAAACGAACAACAACTTTTCTATATTATATCACGTTTGATCGTTTCGATCATCATGTGATTTCAAACTGAAAAAAAAAATGTTCGTTTTATCGGAGAGGTATTTGCTTACTGTAAGTCGCCTCAAATTGAATTGCCTAACGCCGCTGGCTTTGATCGAATATTAGAAATTCACCAATTTCCGTATGAACCGTTGAAATCAATTGTCGTTCATGTCTCCTAGTTTATCGGCCTGGTTCAGAAAGACGCCAAGTTCATCCAAGGATAATTGGTTACATGTACAGATGAATAATTGCAGATTTTGTAAATTTAGATTCTGATGAAGCTAGAGAAGCGACCGCGTCATCAATGAATTACAAGAAACGGAAAAATAGTCAAACAACGAAGCTTCGATTACAATCAATCAATGACGCAAAGGGACTTTTCAGACGCACTACCGAAATTTTTTACCGAGATCACCCAAATTTCCTTGGACTACTTATGAAAGAACACCTCACTAATAAAGCTCTTGATTATAACCTCAGCGTTTTTTCAACATTCTATAGCCTAAAAAAAAATTAAACGTCAAAAGTGTGGCGCTGAACAAGATGTTATGGTCAATTCTCTTCTCCACGGCCTTGATGTAAACACTGTGAATGCGAGTAAACTTGAAAGATAAAACGCACTTTTGCATCACACAGATGAATGAATACTGGTAAAGACATGAATTCATCTCCTACAATCGAAGACGAAACGATCTTTCCTTGCTCTGTGACTCTGAAATGATTCTCCTTCGAGTTATCAACACTAGCTACGTTGGTGCGATTCGTGATGGCAGAAGTAGTTATATAATCTTGAAGCGAATGAAAATCATATCACCTTGTTGAAGGTCTTACCTAATGTTGTCGATAAAAGACTAAACACCAACAGGGAGAGGAAAATCTTTGTCATCATCCTTTGGCCTATAGTTTAACTGGGGAACAATCGGATGTGTTCTTGTTTTTATAAAGATCTACCCGCTCACTACGCTATTACGAAATTTAAATTGGAAATTTATTCAGTATGACGTTATAATCCCAGAGTCACGCGACCCTACGCCGCACCCAAAACCTTTTCTAAGAGACTAGAGAGGTAATCAACTTCTTCTTTTTCATGTGCAGTGATTGATAGAATGATGAGAGAGTCTTCGTAACTTGCTTCCAAACGCTGATGAAGCAGTTTGCATCAAATGCCATTCTTCGAGTTCGTTGTTTTGGTGTGATTTTTTCATATTTTTCTTTATTCACATACATATATATATATTTGTAAAAAATTTTTTTTAATATTTTTGCTGCGGGAAAGATCGAGTCACGTCCTAAATACGACGTGTCCACAAAATCTCCGGAAGTGGCAAGGGTAAGTCTATTTTTAAATTTCTGCCCACGACCTTGTTCATTTTGCATGTGAAGGTCTTGACAATATCGCGATAATTGAAAGGGGTGTTTAACTAAAAATAATCTCAAAACGTGAGTTTTGCGCGAAAGAGTTGTGGCAAAAGAGAAACTCGGAAAGGAAGGTAATTTAGATGTGATATGAAAGGCTGCGTTACTTAACAAAAGAGACTGTACAATATTTCGTATTCAAGATGTTATAATACGTAAAATTAGACAAAATGTATTTTTATTTTAGAGCGTTGCCTCGCTTCAACTTTATTTTAAAATCGAAATTTCGAGCCGTATGTCCGTAATCATTCTAATTTCACGTGCATGTGTTTTTCAGTCTATCTGAGTCGGTCACACAAGAAAAGTCACAAAACTTATCTATTTTGGGGTCAGGGGGCTGGAGAAGATCAACTGATATTCTCTTGCTTATAGGAATGTTTCATTATTTATCGCCTGTGTGGGAAGATGGAGGATTTTGGGGGGGGGGGGGGTCACACCAGATCAATCGTCGCCATTCGTCGGCCAAAACGACAACGATTTCCGCTGACGAAAAACGCATTTGCAAACAAGAGTTGTAATCTTTGTAACCACTTAGGACTGGGAACTAGTATGGTCTAGCGTTTGAGTCCACAGGTGTATAAAATATGCAAATGCATTTTATTCAATTACAACACAATTCCACGAAAAGAGAATGTACTTCCGGGAACACTGTGAAACCGGTTAAACCGGAAAATTCTAGAATCTTTGCTTTTTTAAGCCAAACCGACGTTGAGATTGAACGCCAAACAAAGAAGACTCCACACCATGGTTGCTTTTGGTAACGGTTTTCAACAAGGTTTATGCGTTCTTATTTTAAGCCAACTCATTTGCTCAGCGTCAGGTATATTTTTTTCGTTTCTTGATCTGTTTTTATTTTTAACTTTTTATCTTCTTCTTGTTTTTCCAATTCGTTGTGGTCCATTGATAATCACTATTCATGAAAACGAAACACTAAATTAGTCTAAAATGAATGGCACTTCCCTGAGGTAAAACAATTTTTGGTAGGTATAGTTTGGTATTTGTGGGATGTCGAAATAAATTATGGATTTACAATGACGAATGTGATTTATAAAAATATTCTCGAGCTCGATAAATCATGCTGTTAAGATACTGAAGATGGAGCGCATAAACTGAGTGTCAATACTGCAGCAGCGCTCGGCGCCTCCGCAACTCTTTACGTTACCTCGGCCTGAGCCCAAAATTTTGCCATTACGGACCTTTGGTGGTAGGTGCTCAAGCTCCGCCCCCTAAAAGTTGCTAATGGTTAAAAATAATATTAAAATTGCGATGAAAAATTGTCAAATGCTTGTGAAAAATTCGTGGCTGGCGTGACGCGGCGTTTCGTCTCGGCCAAGAGACTCATCAGATACCTTTCGTAAAGAGAACTCGTCGAGCATCGCGCTCAATTCCCGTTCGCGAAGTCAAGATGTTACCAGTCTGGTCCTTTATCGCTGAAGGATTCCCTTCTAAAATTTCGCTTAGAGAATCGAAACTTTTCTATAATAATGCAAGGACATATTTGGAGAAATAACTAACAAAACAAACGAACCAAAAGTTGCAAAGCAAAAAAAGGAAGATTAACAAACGAGGCTTTTGTTTTGTACAAGACATAATTCTCTTTGCCCAACACAGAAAGATTCACTTAGGACTCCATGATAAACAAGTATTTTCCTGCCAACTGAATATTTACACAACTAGACGGATGTAAATTTCTATCGTAAAGCCAGTGATTTGAATACTTGCTCGAGCGCAAACAGCGATCAGAGCTAGTAAACCGTAACGAAGAGTTACATTCAGAAACCCGTACAAGACTTGAGCAATTATGAAAAGGTAATGTTAAAATTTTCAAGATAAAACTGATAAAACCAAAATGCATTGTTAAGTTTGTTTTCTCAGTTGGGGTTGGATGTTATGTGATGAAAACAATCTAACTTTAGCTGTTTTCAAATCTGTCTGCAAAGCGAAAAGGAGCTTTACTTGTGGCTCCAATACACTCGATGATGGCTGCAGTGTCGGTGATGACTGCGACACAGTCAGCTGCAAAATGAAGTTTGTCGACGAACCAATAACATACAAGTTGGAGGTATTTGTGTTCATAGATTTTCAAGTTTCTTCATCAGTTTTGTTACTCATTGAAAGAAAAAAAATATTGTGAGTGATCTGAAAGACCTATAAATTAACCCCAAAATGATTGAAATAAAACCTGAGTGCCTAATCTATCTAGTTTCCCATTGTCACCGAATTAAATCTGATATTTTATCCTGCCCACAAGGTCAATAGTTGTGATGACCCGGTCAGTGTAACAGCTTCAATAGATGTACCTGATCTACATATCTCTTGGTCTCATACTTACACCAGTGACGATACCGTAGAAGTCCCAGGATTCACCGCGTCGTTACCCGGTTCTTTATTGTCTGCCGGTGTGTACCTTCAAGTCTCTCTCACTCCGGACGGCGAAAGACTACGTTTAACGGTCAGCGTTTTTCTAACCTCATATAAGACATTTTATGAGAAAACGCAATCGCAAGGGAGGAAATGCTCACCTGAGCTAATTTTACCACGTGAAATCTGTTAGTTTAGAGCTTACGGGAAATGCATGAGACAGAGAACAAAATGGAAATAATATGAAAAGGACCTCTTCGAGGAAAAAGCCTAGCTATATATCCCGAGAAGTCTACTGATCTCGTGCACAGTATTTGCGCTGTGTGTCCACAACATGCGGCTACCCAACGTCTCGACGTCGTTCTCGCGGATCTCTTTATCCGAGTGACACTGAGAGCGATATAAAGCAGAGAGCTAAGTGTACTTTTTAATCTTTCAACAGATAAAACTGTTGGCTGGAGGAAAGTTCTTCGGTAAAGGCGTTTATCCTATTAAAGCGACAGTGTTGGAGGGGGGTCTACCGATTAAGACAGACAAATGTGGTAAGTCCTTAACTCTGAATCTCGTCACTCATCCGTTTACACTTTCTAGACCAAGATCATAGTTTCAAATTTTATACATTCTTCTCTGTTGCCAAAATCAGTATGAAAATTTCTTTATTATATCCATTTTGAAATCACTGGTGTACTTTCGGTCTGATTCGTTCTCAGTAGTGCGATTTATTCAGGAATCGCACCAATTTGTTCTCTTAATTCCACCTTTTTCCCAGCCAACGAGAAAGCATCACTAAAACCAACCAATCAGACTTCAAGGGCTGTTTGAAGTATCCAATCAAATTTCAGGAAAATAAAAAACAAAGAAGCCTTTGTATTGCGAATTTTGTAAATTTTGCCATTAAAACTCTTCTTTTTTACAAAAAATTGCAATCTCCAATTAAATAGATGTAATGTAGTAATAATTGGACATGAATTATGTTCTGAAATCACATTTGTGATTCAAATCGTGTACGATTTCAGACCAAAGTGCAGTCCAATTAGTTTATTTATTATTGTTTGTATTTTAATCGAGGTGTCTTCGGTTGGTGGCACGAGCTGAGTGACGTCACTAAGGCGTTAGTGATCGGTGGCTGGGTAATAATCATCATCTTGATGGTCTCAAGCTGTTGTTGTTGCTGTTGCTGTAATTGCTGTAACTGTCGTTCATCCGGTCAAAATACCGTTGTGGTGCGACCTGCCCCTGCGGTGGCACCTGCTGTTATGGCAACAACTTCAATGACCACCAACGTTACTATTCCAATGCAACCAATGGTGCACAGATTTTGAGTTGATTATTCAACGTGTTTAAATGTTTGTTTTATCAAAGTAATGGCCAGACGGCTGGCACAGCGATTTGACTAGTGTCTACATTAGATGAATAAGAGATTCTGCCGCTTTTAGCACAAAAGATAACAACTTTAATAAGCGGAAGCACCTGAACTTCTCGTCGCAATTTAGTTTTCTGCTGTCCGAGTCGAGGTAGTCTAGTACCCAGTCTTCACCTGCGCGTGATTATTAACCGCAACTGCTGAGTTAGAAAAACCCTATGTTCTTTTGAAACCTGAAAAGTGATTTAAGCCAGCAAAGTAAAATACTTTTTTTGTTTTTATGAAAATTTCTCGTCTATTGTTTCCGTTTCTGGGTTAGTCACCAGTCTTTCACTTCAAGCTCAATGTTCACTTCTCAAGGTGCGAGAGCATTTTTTCAGAATTGGGGTACCTCGTGAATTATGCTAAATTCATCGATGGCAGAAAATATGGCTGTCACACACGTTGTTACGCAAACTTGATCTGTGATTACCCGAGTAGTCCACATCATTCTGTTAAATATTCCTATATATAAGTTGCCGTTTTCAACGGTCCGCATCGCTCGATTCATTCGTTCAGTAAAGAGGATTACATTGATCACAATTTATGGCAGATATTATTGAGTTTTACAAAAGGAGCAACTGCCAAAGCAACCTTGTTCCTGGGGTCCTATCTCGGAGGAAAGGAGAGAACCCTGGGAACGCAGTTGTTGCCATAACACGAACAATCCCCAGAGACTGGAACCTTGCTTCTAGAAACAACGCCCAAACTAACCGGTCTCACAAAAGCCCGTCTGACCAAAGCCTGACTAACTGTCACGGCAAATTAGACAAACATTTTACACCGAAGCTCTACGTTTGCTGAATTCTTCATGGTATAAAATGACTGTGCTTAGAAACGTTCTTGTCAACATTTTTCTCGTTGCTCTTTTCCTCAACTGCAGGTAGGTGTTTGATTTGTTGACCAATCTTTAGCCGCTCAAAACTACGTCTGTTGTTTACGTCTTCGACTAGAAACAGTCGGTTCTTTAATCTACCAGAAAACTAAAGAGCTTATCTGTTTCCGAGTCGAGTCGCTATTCTTTAACTGCAGTCGAAGATAAGCTGCGAGTTTTATACCGAAACCTCCTAAGCGAAAGTTAATTTTCACTTTGAATACGCCGCCGCGGAGATAGATCTTCAATCTTTCCGAAACATATTGTCATGCTAATATAATTGTCAGTATTTTGTGACCAAAGCAGGCGAATAAAATAACATTCACTTTCACCAATTACTATCACTATTTCTGTATTTCCGTCAAGAGGAACAATTTCAGTTTTCTGTATTCTTTACCCGCATTCTAAGAATTACGACACTTGACCTTCACCCGATTCTCGGAATCGATGCGACATAGAACTGAGATATGACCGCATGCCACATTAAATCTTCGTCTCTATAAGAGTAACAACAGCAGAAATAAAAAGTATTTTTAAAGCGTTTGTTAGTTGGTTCAGTATGATTCACCGTAGTTAATCGGCTATGAGCCGAGCGATTTTTTCAGAAAATTTCCTGAAGTCTTACCAAAGTTTTAGCCGAAAAAGGGTTTCGCGTTATGGCATTTTCTCAGAAGAGATGTACCTCATAAATTATGCGCAACTCGTCAATCACAGAAAATATGGTTGTCACGTACGTTCATACGCAAACCTGTTCTGTGCTTACCTGAGTAGCCCACATTATTCTGTTAAATATTCTTACATATAAGTTTCCATTTTTGTCTCACTAGTTTAGTTTAGAAGATCGGCACCCGTTTGTCTAAGTTTTGTCCCGCAGAATTCTTTATATTTCCTTTTTTTAAATTTCTTTTACGTGGCAGTGGTTTTCCGTTCGCTACCATGCGATCTTGGGAGTTTACCTCGATTCAGTGTTTAGTGTTATCTCGAAGAAAGAAAATGTTGAAGATATGAAATCCTACATTTTTTTACGTGGGGGGGTGAGGGTGGGGTTCCAGCGTAATAGGAAACGTGTGGACGAAGTGACCCATAACCTACATCCTGATATAGGCTTGAACACCGATCATCAAAAATCTTCCATACTCTTTTCCAGATCACTACGCCGTAGTATTTCCTTCCATTCCAACAACCCGACGAAACAATCTGAAAAAATGAAGACCGTACAAATAGTCTCCGTTCGTTAAAGGGAAAATTTCTTTGGCAATATTAATACTACATATTAGCGATTTTTAGTTATTGACATTTTTGTTTTATTGTTTACGACAAAGCGAAGGTGATCTTATATTGTGATCTCGGCATTACACTCCATAATGGTGCAGCATCAGCGAGGATCGTGGCACAGTCACGTGCAACATGACGTTTGTCGATCATCCAATAACAATGGATTTGAAGGTGACTGCCTGCTTTAGATTTGTGATTTTCGTCGAGTGTTTTGTTTTGAATTCATTCTCTGCAGAACCTGGCCAGTGGCACTTAATTGAGACTTCTCACGCACCTGTATATACTCAATTCAAGCCGTTTATATCCATAAACAGGTGCTCGATTAAACAAATCGACAGGTTTTCTGCGTGGTCTCTACTTTTATCGACAACGATGTTCGTAATTAAAGTGGTCAAAATGTTGTAACAAATTTTTACCACTGCGATGACGAACTTCATTGTCGACAAGAGTATTGACCATGCACTGTCGATTTGTTTTTTACCACAATATCGACGTCAAATAAAAAATTCTTTTAGTGCGTGACCATATTTGAGAGTTGAGAAAGGTATTGCGCGACACGCTGACACGAGCGGCGTTGTCTGTCTGTCTGTCTTCATATCGACACTGACGGCAAATTGGCCGATAAGATTGCAATATTACTGCCAATTGTGGTAAAAAATCAGATGATCAGTCTACGAAGTAACTAAAAGAACTACAAACAAAAAATACACACGATCAGAGAATGAGTTCCTGACACGACAGAGGAAGAACAACAAGAACGAAGGCAATGGTTAATTAATAGTCTTTCCTCCTTTATAAATAAACTAAACATGATCTTATCGCCCGTTAGGTCAATAAGTATGATGACCCAATCAGTATAACAGCCTCAATGGACGTACCTGATCTGCAAATCTCATGGTCATATACTTTCTCCTTCAGCGACACCCAGGAAGTCTCCGGTCGTAACTAATCGGGTGTCTATGTTCAAGTGCGACTCACTCAAAAGAGCGATAACCTCCGTTTAAATGTAAGTGCTCGTTGAGGGGTCATCATGAACGGTAATAGAGTGTAGCCAATCAGAGAAGCATATTTCGCCTATAATGAACCCTTAAAATTACTTTAAATTTTAATTACTGACGACTATACACTTTACTTATATTTATACCCGCCCCAGTTTTACAGGAAGTTGAGAATAAAAAATATCTAGATAGTTTTCTTTCGATCCCAAAAGTTACAGAAATCTTAACCTGGGTAAATTCACTATTTTGCTAAGGCAAACGCCCACATAAGCTGCTTCCGAACCCTCTCCCAGAGACTCAATTCTACCGAGTCGAGTTTCGTCATTTATTGATCATAAATAGAGCGGGTGTAAACTGAGAATAAGTTTCGTGCAATATTCTCACGCTGTGCAACTGTACAACACGTGTTACCGCCAGAAGTAACACTATTCGTGCCTCTTAGAGCCGCTGATTTCATAGTTTTTACCTTCAATAGGTAAAGCTGTTAGCCAGGGGTAAGACCTCTGGTCAAGATCTTCATCCTACAGAAATGACCATTATAGAGGGAAACTTTCTGTTAAAGTCAACTTAAAGTTAACTCCTTCAGAAGCCCCGCCACAATCTGTTCCTGGGAAAAACCATACCTAGGTTTTTTATGTTTTATATGAAGTTATCCCACATTTTAAGAACCTACTTTGAAATATTAAAACAATTTACTACACATTTGAAAATTCAGAGCCACTGAATTTGCGAGTTAAATTTTACTCTCAGTGGTAATCGACTTTGCTTTTCTCCTATGAAAGTTTCACACGGGGCCACCGATGACTGGATCAGAATATCCCGTATTTATAGCCTTCATGACCTTGACGGAATGTATTATGGATAATTCGGTGTTAACTGGGTAGATAGTCAAGATTATCGATATTGGAGACACTTTTTACTCTTTGTGGTTGACTCCGTCGAAAGAAATCCATTTGCCATTAACCTGTATTTATAGTCTTCATGACCTTGACGGAATGTATTATGGATTATTCAGTGTTAACTGGGTAGATAGTCAAGATTATCGATATTGGAGACACTTTTTACTCTTTGTGGTTGACTCCGTCGAAAGAAATCCATTTGCCATTAAAAAAAATTCAGAAAATCGACCATCTAGGGGAAAACACCATGAGAAATCCGTAACCTCATCACTGTGAGGAATCAGTAATTATATATTATCCGGGGGGGTTAGGGCTCGGAGGATTTTACTTGTGTCACCATAACATTTAACTCGTAAGGCTCCGTACTGAACATTTTTCTGACCTCCCCACTCCATTGGCAGTTAACGGGTGGTCAATTTCTAAAGTTCCCCCTTCATACTCTGTTTACGACGACTGATATCCTCTCCGTTCCCCCCTGAAAACCACGTAATCCCCCAGAATCCTGCACTTGTTCCCTTCCCCCCCCCCTTCCCGGGCGATAGAAAATGACTGGTTCTTCAAATAGGAGAAGTTGACGAAATAACGGCTCAGAAAACTTTATAATGACAGGAAAAAAAAGAAAAGAAAGAAAGAAAGTGGAAACGAGTCTGCCTCAAACGGTCCCTCACTGTGTCTCGGTTTTTGTCGCAGGAAACTTCGAATGGTGGCATAAGCTGACCGAAACTGAAAAAGGGGCGGTAATTGGTGGCCCCCTCTTCGTCATTTTGTTTATTATTTCAATCAGCTGCTGTTGCTGCTGCAAGCGATCCAACTGTTGCAGCTGCCGCTGCCGCTGCCGGTGAGGCTACAGTTGTGACATCAGCAGTTGATGCCTATCCGGCGAAAGAACCATTGTGTGTAGTTTGTTGAAGGCATGAAAACTAACAATAAATAAATCTTATAGTCTCGGTCCTCTGCTTAAGTTATTCCTGGAACGACTTCTTCTGATATCTTTCCTCTGACTCACTCAAACGGTTTAAGGTCGGTTCAGGTATCAAAAGTTCAGTTTGAGGAGTAATAGCGTAGTTTGATTAAAATGATTATCAATCAATGGTGAACCGCTGTCTTGATTTACGACTGTTGTTGGATTTTTTTTCCTCTTTTCTGCGGGAATCACCAGCGGAATTCTGCTGCGAGTTGGACGATAATTAGAAACTGATCATTCATTATTTATCGTCAGGGGAGTAGGGCAAGGTGGATTTCGGTTAGTTCACAATAAAATTTACCCAATCCCCCATAGGCCCATAAGGCTTTGTGGTCTTCTAATGATCTTCCCTCATTGGCAGTCAATTCTTAATAGTCCTCCTTTAAATTCTGTCAGAGACAACCAAGAGACTAAAATCTCTTGAGACAACTGATTCCCACTCCACTCCCGCCGAAAATCATGTGATTCCCCAAAATCCTTCTAACCCCCTCCCCCCGGGCAATAAATAATGAGTGGTCTTTTCGGTAGATAACCATTTATAGCTGATGTTAATGAACTGGCAAAGGAGTAACTGCCATAGCAACCTGGTTCCCAGGTTCCTCTCTTGTGGAGGAGAAAGGACCTTGGGAACGAGGATGCTGCCATAGTATTATCATAACCGGAAGTAAGGCTTTGGATTACGACACAATTCCGAGAAAAGGGATTAAGCTTCCGGGAACACTGACCAAACAAGTCGAATGGAAATTTCGAAGTTACTGTTAATAATACAATTTAAAGTTGGACGAACACTGTATATCAAATTGTTACATTTGCTAAATTCTTCTCTGTACAAAACGGTTGCACATGGAACTGTTTTGGCCCAAATATTTCTCGTTCTTCTTTTCATCCGGCCGGCTTCTTCGACTGAAGAGGAAATTTTTTATGCGCAGGTAGTTATTGGGTTTTTGTCGAGGAAAATGCTGTGAAATTCGACGAATTAGAAGAACAATTTTACTTTTGGAAGTTTTTTAAATTGCAGCCAAGGAAAATAAATGTGTTCGAAACATTACCTACTGTCTTTTTCTTTGAGAGTAATCTATAGCCCGTACCCGATTGTGAGCGACATTATCGCGCGGGTTATGGAAGTATACAGTTCTCCCACAATCAGGCAGAAGTCGATCTTGGCACGATGCCTTTGTATTCCCAAATTCCGAGAAACACAACCTCGCTTCTACGAGCAATAAAAAACCGGTCCTACTGGAAAATACCAGAATTGCTGTCAATCAAACTGTCGCTAAGCCGAAGCGTGGGTACCGAAAAGACACGCCATTTAGAAACATTGAAGCTTTCTATCTATTCGTCGTTCAAAATGATTGCGTCTGGAACTATTCTGACCAAAGGTTTTCTTATTCTTCTTTTCAGTCAGCTGATTTTCACAACTGCAGGTAATTATTCAATGTTCAATGTGATCTTTTTTTTTGGTCGTTTATATGTTTACTGTGGAAGCTCTGCTATATTTTTTCTTCTTCAATGATAAAAAGTGGTTGATTCTCAATTTAGAGAAAAATTTGAATGAAATTGTGTAAGTAGCGAGGGGCCAAACAAGTCGAATAAGGTGGGAAAAGCCACGAGATCAGTGTTATTATGTATTTTAATAACAGCACATTTCGTGGAAACGCCACGCTGAATCTTTTCGAAAGTTGAAGTGTTATAAATCAGAAGGTCTATAGCTGGTTACATTTACGTATGTATAGTCTTAATGTGATAGAAGACCAAATGAAAACAGGGAAAATATTCCTAACGCAAAACTTAACGTCAGTTCAAAGTCCTGTGTTAGGGGCGAAACATCTGTGGTCGGGTCAGCCATTATTATTTATTGACCAGTATTTTTTTTAACTTATCGAGAAACGTTTGCGCATGAAAACACATGATTTTCATCCTATTAAACGTAGAAACCTTCAAAGCAGCGGGTCAACTTATATATATTTCGAATTCAATCGAGGACCATTGACAAATTTCCGCAAACTCCTAACGAATTCGAGGAATTTCAAGAGTGTTCGAATTCTCGGAATTGATGCGTCATATCGGTCTGACGGCATACATGCATGCTTCTTAATAGAGTGTATTCCTCAAAACTGTTGTCCCCGAATAAAAGAATGGCCGTCCAAACTATTCTCTGTATAGAGTAAACTTCATTTTTAATCGTTCGAGTGACTCGTTAGAAAACTGGAGCGGGATTAGAAAAGAACAGAGCGAGAATATTAATTATGCACGTTGCCGATCAGGGTTCGCCGACCGAATCGTCGTTGAACACGGTCTAGAAAGAACGGTCTTTTCCAGATCCATATTGCGCGACAAAGAAGTTTTGAGAAATGAAAAGCAAAATTAATTTTATCGCCAAATTTTTAAGTACCTGCATTATACATGAAACCCTACAGAGGTAAGATAAATAAAATGAGAAAGATTTGAAAGGAAATAGATCGACGTCAGTGGACTTAATCTAACTTTTCTACCTACCACTGTGACCATTCATTGGAATTCAGTACTATATTGCGACACCTCAATCAAGCGAATTTATTGAGGACCGCAAATCACTAATGTTTTGTCGATATTAGGAGTAGAAACCTTATATAATGTCATTCAAAAGTTAATTGGTGCGACCGTCTCAGTTTCCTTGTGTCCTAGAACAAACTAGAGATTACATCCGTTGAACTCGAATACTGGTCTTCGTAAACCGATTGTTTTGAAAAAGTGCTTGGCGGAATAGTAAAACAACCACTCAGTTCAAAGCCTTTTCAAATCATCTTGATCACATCGGAACATTTCATTCTTTTGCATATCAGTCGCGCTAGTTTGTTTGCAGCGCTTAGTACCAGGATGTATCAGCGTTAGCGAAAATTTTTTTGCACGAACCCTCTAGTCGGTCGTAATTGATCAATGAATTGATGTTGCCTGCCCGCACTGCATCGTAAAAGATCAGCAATCATAAAATACCTAGTGAATCATGAATTTTTTATTGTTTGTTTATTGTCATTCCCTGTCTGATGATTTAAACTCTGAATAAATTTAATTTTACCTCAGAAGACCTTGCACATCGAAGAAATCGCTGCAGTTGTAATGATAAAATCTGTATGTCATCCGTAATATGTTTCTTGACAAAAATGCGACGGGAAAAAATCTGATTTTTAGAAAACTGAATTTTAGTATATTCCTGAAGACCTTTGTAATAATGTTATAAGAATCCCGAAGTCACAATCACAAGTTTTCTTTCTGTAGACACAACCGTTTTTAATTCCTCAGGAAAACACTCCCTCAAAAGCAACACGCATGACTGCACTTATGTGCAGTGTCAATCAAAACTCGACTACATTCAGGCCCAGTCTCCGTCATACGTATTTTGATTTACAAAGTTAGAAGGAAGAGTTAGTTTGTGAGTAGGTTGGCATGGGTTAGCGAATTAAAAAAGGTTAATAACGAAACAAAAAGGGATCCAGCGGTTGGTTTACAGTAAGAGTTAGAAAGGGAATGAAAACTTATAACCTCATTAAGACAATTGGTAAAATCTATAGTCTTATACAGCTTCAGAAAGGAGTTTTGCTTAATAGAAATATTATTATTTTTAGCTGACTTCTCAGATCAGGACAGCGACAGTGATTGGGGTGACCAAACCATTCAGGGTAGCGATTCCTGTGGCACCTCCACACTTGATGATGGTTGCAGCATGAGTGATGATTGCAGCACAATCACGTGCAAAACAAATTTCGTCGAAAAGCCGATCACACTGAAGTTAAAGGTAAGTTTGTGCTTCCCTTACAAACGAAACGTCATTAAAAAGATCTAGAATTTCTGCTGTTAAGTAATTCTTTATTGGAAAGCTAAATTAGCAATTTAATCTACGACAAACAATTCGTGTTTGTTTGTTTGTTTGTTTCCACTTGCTCATCTGTTTTTTTTTAAGTTGATGAGTTGAGATCCTGTTTTCATCCCAGTCCCTCTCGCGGGAGTATTCCGAAGGGAATTGATGTAAGCCAAACTCTAACAGGAAAAGTAATGCGTGCCGTTACAAAAAAAAAGGAAAACGGCATATACCATGTGAAACAGATTGAGACAATTCGTAATTTATCAGGGTGAAAGTCAGATAAATGAAAAAGCACGAAAAAAAGCTGAATTCGCGGTGAGAAATCGAACCTCAGACACAACAAATTGGCTCTTTGATGCTCTGCTTTAACCCTTAATAGTGACAAGTATATAATTTCTCCTCACAATATCACCCCTGAATCACACATTAAGGTCATGAGAATAAAAAAATGATCACCGACTTAAGCAGCTCTTGATTATTAAACAAATTCCCCTTTCAGCACCCTAGAAAATATATAGGGATTAGTAAGGAGAGTATGCATACTGATTTTAGGGTGTAAATGGTTAAGCAACAGAGAACTCGTTGGTGAACCACACCAATGTGAAGTTCAAATTTAACAAGCGTCTTTCTATAACTTCAGGGGAAGCGACTGACAACTTTCTTTCTCTAACGGCCCCAATCGACCCGCTTTGATCTGAAAATCACGAAAAAGCGCAAAATTAACTTATTTAACTGCCCATTAGGTCAACAAGTGCGATGACCCAATCAGTGTAACAGCCTCAATGGATGTACCTGATCTATATATCTCCTGGTCTCATACTTACACCAGTGACGACATCATAAAAGTCCCAGGATTCACTGCGTCGGTACCAGTTCTCCCAATTTCCGCTGGTGTGTACGTTCAAGTCTCTCTCACTCCAAACGGCGATGAATTGAAACTTACGGTCAGTACTGGATTGACGATATCATGGTGACTGACATGAGACAATTTATTCCCAGTCTAAGTTCTGCAACTTTCATCCTAGCCCTTTGATCTAAGAGTGACTAGCGTCTAATTTCTCCTCACAATATCACGAGTGAATCACACATTTTGGGGCAAGAGAGGTTAATTTGGTAAATGTAAAGAATCTAACAATTGTTGTTTCTATTTGCAGGTGAAGCTCCTCGCTGGGGGCCAGGTTGGGGATGAAGGAGTTTATCCTGTGAAACTACCTGTGATAGACGGTAACCTGCCCATTAACACCAACGCCTGCGGTAAGTGATGATGTATGTAAACTGTCAAGAGCATTCCTAACAAATGGATTTCTTTCACCACTCGATAGGACACTTTCGACAAGTGTTAAACCTTTCTTGTTATTCAGTAATAGTTGTTATTCAGTGAAAGGGCAAGGGAATCTCGTGAATGGCCTGGTTGATTTAAAAGGGAGGAGGACGGGCGTTCATTGGGGGCCTGGGAGAGCAAGAGGTGGGAGCCAAAGAGAATTGGGGATGGTGCCGTGGACAATAAGGGGGGTGCTCAGGGGAAGCCCGGGAGAAGAGGTGATGGCAATCCGCCTCAAGAATCGGGTGCGGAAGGAGACAGAAGGAAGAAGGAAATAAAAACAAATGCGGGCAATCGTCATCATTAATCTACAATGCCTGTTATTAGAGGTGGGGGGGGGGGGATAAGGGGGAAGACAGGAGTTAAAGATGGACGAAGGGTAGGGTGCGAGGAGCGGAAGATTCTTGCCTCACCTTCCCCTTACCCATTTCTTGTGTCTGATCAAAGCTGAACGTGTATTATCTTCCTCTGGTTCAGGTATTCTCGCCTTGTGGTACAATATGAACGATATGGAAAGAGGAGCTGTGGTCGGAGGCTCCATTCTTGTACTCATCATCCTCATCTCTACCTGTTGCTGCTGCTGCGGCTGCTGCGGCTGTTGCAAACCTGCTCGGCCCAATCATGGAACCGTGTTTATCCAGCCTCCTGTTAGTGTGGGGCCTCCTGTCATGGCAACCAGCACCAAGACTACTGTCCCCATGCAACCGTTTGTTAACGAGGCTTAAGTCTTTGCCGTCTTCACTGTGCATGCTTTGAAAACGTGACCACCTTTTCAGATAAAAACTAAAATTGTGTGTGAATTTTTGCCTAGCAGTTAAAAAGGATCATACAGAAGGGGTGGGGGGTGGGGAGAGGAAACAAGGGAAGGGGTTACTCAACATTCAAGTGTCAATTTTCCTCTTTAAACAAAGAAGAATTCCTAATCATATTCTTCCAAAAAAGGCCCCTTAGCTGGGTGACAACATATTGTTCATTTTATTTCTCTCTTATTTTTTTTTGAATGGTCTATTGTTTAGCAAAGGCTACACGATCGTGATTTAGCACGCAGGTCAGTTTTGAAACCAGTGATGTCCATTCTAAGGAATCATAATCGAACATATCTTAGCGTTTTCATGGAGTTCGTGAAGAGGTCCTCTCAGTTTCCGAGATATACTGTTCATTCCATGAAGCATAGAAATTTAATGAGCTTTTTCGCATGTGGATTTTGCAGATATTCCTCAATTCACAAAGAATTTAAAAATTTCCTGAAATAGAATCCCGCGAATCAAGACGCAAAACCTTACTTCCGTAAGTCCATTAAAGAATTTTCAGTAGTTTTTAAGTAGCTAGTATTGCATTTTAAGGGTTTTTTTAAATGTTTTGACCCAATAGAGTGTGCCGTAACTGAAGTTGTAAAGGATGATGGTTCTTTTACTTCCTAACTAAATTATTGTGAACTTGAGAGGAAAATTGCAAAAAGGGTTTCCGTTCCGCAAACTTTTTTATCGCATAAAATAGGATGCCGATCAGCGCAAGCCAACGGTGTCGATTTTTTTTGTATAATTATGGAATTGCGCTTACAGAATATCTAATAGAGAATTCATGAAGTTCTTTACATTTTGTTTGATGTTTTTCCTAAGTAAAACTCTCCTCCCATGAATTTTGCTTTTCATGATAATACTTTGTATATTGATTAAAATTGTTAGAATTAGTCATGGGTGACTATATTTGATACAGGGAATTTTTTCACAGATCACAAGTATTTCAACACATATCAGATTGTGCGCGCAGTTTTGTTATATATTTCCTTTTATTGCTCTTACGTCACCACGTGCAGGAGACCTCAGCTTATGGTTATTATTAGCATTTGATAGGCAGGCTGTTTACATATCAATGATCATTAATGGTTACTAATTTGTTGATTGTCACTAGTCTAGTAATTTCTACAAATAAATGATACTCACACTTTGACTTTTGGACAATTATAAGAAACGAAATAATCCTAAAGGATGAACCGCAGTTGAGACAATTGCAGAAAAAGCTGAGACGAAAAGATCAGGCTACGATGAGATTGGAACCCATGCCCTTTAGGTACTTGTTTGGCGTTATCATCAATCGTCTCTGGGAGGCATGGATTCAAATTTTGTGGAAGCCTAAAGTTTTTAGGATTCTCTTCTGGAATTTTTTCAGATTGCAGCTCATTATATTTTAAATCTAACGTTCCCAACTTTGATGAGAAATCTCGATATTCTCTTGTAAGATATCAAATGGCTACTAAAATTTTTCTGGTCCTTTGTGAAGATTACTACTCTAGACACGATTTAGTTTTCATTCACCAAAATCACCCTGAGATCATCTCTGTAGATGTGAGCTGCTCCAGTAGGGAACTGGGGCGGTGAAGGTAAAGTAGCCAGGTAGCGGGCGTGCTGCACACGTAAGCTTCGGTTGTGGCACCTGTAGCATGCGTAGGTCAACAAAAGGACTCCTAGCATACCGGTTCCTCCAATCACCGTGTAGATTACCGGTGATAATGTCTGGCTGAGAGTATCAACGTCATCGGGTAAACAGAACTCGTCAGACCAGTTGCCACTGGCAGCTCTTTCATTTGACAGTTGGCCACTGCTTGATGTAAATTCTGTTAACACGAAATTGCAAAGTGTCTTAAAAAGTATCTCGACAGAATACAAGAATTGGAAGTTTTTCATCATCCTGACGGTTTAATTTTAAATAACTTGAAAAAAAAAAAAACCAACAATGACAAAATATAAAATGTATCGTCATCAACCTTCCTACCACGAATGTTTAATGGCTGGGTAAGCTCGAGTCTCCTAAAAGACTGGGCACTATTTAACAGTAGCTCCCTCCAACGAGGCCCTTAAGTAAATTACCGCTTAAAGCGATAAGCGCAGGACCAAATTTGTGTTCAGCGGATATCTACTCAAGAGGGGAGAAGCAATCGGTGGCCTGAAGTTTTCGCCTATGCGGAAGATGTAATGGCGAAGAAAAGTGTATTTACAGGCTTTCACGACTAACTTTTCTCCCAGGAGTTATAAAAAACCACTCGTCAAAAGTCGTACGGTTTTTGAACGAAGCTCAAGACAAAGTGGTAAATTGACCCAGAGCAAATTGTTTTTAAGTGAAATCTAATGCTGCTTTATTCTTCAGTTAAAAGCAAATCAAGTTTGTTGTTCTGTTTAGACAGAGAGAGGCAACATGATGCAAAAAGCTTTATTTTCCAGCTAGAATTTTCCAAACTCTGTAAGACGCGCTTCCGCTTATCTTCACCAAAGTTGACGAATAAAAAGCAACACAGAATAGAGTAAACTCATTCTATACTCTCTTCTCTGTTAAAGTTAAAGCTATTTATCAGTGTTCTGAACCTAAAGTCATCAGCATTTGAACATTTTCTGTATCGTTATGGCGATTTTTAGAAGATAAAAATATTTCATATTTTACTCACCTTCTCCCGCAGATTCATTGACGAACAGAAAGGTAAGGCCAAAAACAAGCCTGACAATAACTATCCCAACTGCGAGAATTACCGATTTTCTCGCTAACATACTCCTTATAATGAACTTAACAAGCCTCTTTCCTTGGAGATGAAGAAAAATTGCGACGAAATTAGATAAACGTCTTCTTCGAATCAATAACTCTCCCAAAAGATATTTTAAGTGCTGTTTTATTATCACTTGATTGTCATCTCGCTAAAATGTTCGGGTAAGTTTTCTGTTTGCTTTGTTTTAAAATAATGAAGTTCGCTGAAATCTTAGACTGGGGTTGTTGCAGCTGGTTACACAATGTTCACTGCACTCAAAAATCGGTTTGAGATTGATTGGCGCACCGTCCAAGCAAAAAGAAAATAATAATAATAATAATAAAAAAAAAAACTTAACGAATTTTAACCATGTCCGGTTGTGTTAGATTTTAAAGTCAGTTAGCATTTCGCAATGCCATTAGTAGGAAAATCATTTAATGCGCAAAAAATGGAGCAGGCACATGCGAAGGCAGCAAATGTCTTGACCAATGTGTTTGGGATTAAACTATGAGCAGTGGCTCCTTTTTAGTAAAGTCCATCCCACGAGTCAAACGAAATCAGTGGGAAAATGATTGAAGTTGGCATGCTGCACAGAACTCTGGGAGTGAGGTACACAAGAAGCAGGCCTTACTGATATCTTTCGTTTAACTCGCATGAAAGACTTCACCAAAGAGGAAGAACTGCATGTAGTCCAGTCTAGGACTGTAGCTACACTCCTTGCAATCTAATTTTGGACCTCAGAAGGGCAACAAGGAACCAACAGTGGCTTGACACAATGAAGACTTCTTTGTCTTTTTTGACTCCATAGACAGGACTCTGACAGTAATCTCAGGGAGGGATGGTATAGTGGTATAGTACATGCTTCCCTAACACCACGGTTAACTTTGGACCTTGGCAGTACAAGCCTGTCCTTACAAGAGATTGACAGTATTTTATGATAATAGGAGAAAAATCCTTTGTAAACCAAGCTTCAGCATCTTATTTCACCTTACAGAACCACTACTGAATCACACATTAAGGTCATGAAAGCTCTGGATTGTTCAACAAATTCTCCTTGTCAGCACCTTGGGAAATGCATAGAGAACAGTATGGAGTATACTTACATTGATGCTAGGACGTAAAGGGTTAATCTGGAATCCTCTGTGAGACTTTGAACTCACCCATGGGTCCTTGTACTTGCACAAACTGCTTTTGTGACCAGAGTTCTTCAGCCTTTACTCCCTAACATCAGTATGCATAGTCTCCATACTACTCTCTACACATTTCCTAAGATGCTGATAAGGAGAATTTGTTCAACAATCAAGAGATTCTTTAGTTGGTGATCATCTCCTTCATTCTCATGACCTTAATGTTTGATTTATGAGTAATTTTGTAAGGAGAAATTAGATGTTAGTCACTCTTAGGGGTTAAGGGTTCAAGCACTTATTTGACATTCTTCATCTGAGCCATTGCTATCTTGAGATTGGAAGGAAAAATTACATTCTAAAAGTCATAAAAAATTGAAAAAAACATCCTTGAAAGATGATGGAAGTGTCCAATTACCCATATTAGAGGCAGATACATCACTTCATCAAAATGTTTTCATGACAGTCCTATTGGCTTCTGTAAACCACATAACGTTTGACTCCCTTCAGAGTTACATTTTCCATGCAGACCATTTCAGGGCTCAACGCATTTCTCCAAACCAGTTCACTCCTTCAAGCCTTTTCATTCTTCACAATGGTGAATCATTTTTCTTCTGCATAAAATTCTTGCATGGACTTTCTTCTTCTTCTTGACTCTTCCAAGTTTTTTCTTCGTCTTCTCAAATCCTGTTAGGAAAATTTTTTTTGGTTGAAAAAACTCCAGTCGAACATAAGGTTTATTCACAAACATACTAACACTTTAACTCCCATAAGTGACCAAGACAGAATTTCTCCTTACAATATCAATACAGTATCAAGCAGGCAGGTGATGAGAATAGAGAAGAATATCAGTTAGGGGATTATAAGTTGATCCTACACCAAATTCTACAAACTAACATCACAAGAACTGTATGGGAGACAGTAAGGAGAAATACTGATGAGATCTTGGGAGTTAAAGGGTTAAGGTAACAGAGTAACTACACACTACAGGGGCACTTTTACAGGAGCATATATCTAAATGCTCATTTGGGTCAGCAATAGATAAAAAAAAAAAAAAAAAAAAAAAAAAAGAAAGGAATACTGAATTTATGCCTTAATTCTTAGGGTTATGTATTTTGTAGCTTGTTTGGCTCATTTGGCTCAGCAGCGGATGAAAGAATGGGGAACAGTTTGATTGAGTTATGTGTAAGGTCTATATTTGTAGTGGCTCCTTTTGCGTTTTTGGCTTGTTTGGCTCAACAGTCAATGAAAGAACAAGGAATAATTTTTATGCAAGTTATGTCTAAGTCATTTACATGTAGTGGATTATTTGGCTAGAGGCAGCACATGAAAGGACAAATAATCAACATGCACATTACATCTAAGGTCTATAAATATAGTGGCTTGTTTGACTTGTGTGACTTGTTTGGCTTGGCAGTGAATGAAATGACATGGAATAATTTATACGCATGTTATGTCTAAGGCAGGGTTTGAGCTAGTATTTGATCACTGGGGGACAATTTGTCCCCTTAGCAAAAATTTTGGAGGACATTTTCATTTTTAGAGGGGCAGACATATTAATTTTTATTTGACATTTTCTTTTTTTACATTCATACAGGCAAGCCGACAAAAACATTTTTTTACCTGATCCTTGTAAGACTTGTAATACAAGAAAAGTGATGCAAAAAAGAAAAGTTGTTATTGATGTCAAATTTCTTTTTCTCGCCATATTTAAACAGAGGATCAATGACTATGCTTTATACTTCAAAACATTACACAGCAGAATCTCATCCCGGCATCGCCTTGTAAACTTCAATTCCTTTCTTAATCACTGGTAAACGTAAATGTACTAATTCTTCAGTTGGTTCTAGCTCAAACATCAAGGGCTGTAGGAAAGAGTTGCTGCAGAGTTGAGGTTCTAAAATTTGTACACCCTTCTGCTGTTGCAAAGGGGTTTGTCTTCTTAGATTTCTGACAAAAATAGCAGAACATCGCCTCTTTTTCACAGCGCAACCATGTGTGATCTTGCAACCAAGTTTTCAGGAAAGTTCGTGATTTTTTCGGTTTCCTTCGATCCTCATTCATTTCTTCCCGATTAATACACTGTTCTTCTTCTGTATCATTTTTCTCTGATTCACTCTGGCTTTGATTCCGAGCAAAAAAGCTTTCTAATGTTCGCACACGTTTTCGATGTGACATGTTACTGCGCTTTTCACAAACATGCGAATTTTGAAGTTCAAAAGCCAACTGACGATTGCGTTTTTCGCTACCGTCAATCATCTTAACGGAACTCTTAGGAAACAAAACTTTACTTTCACGGGTTCAAAAGGTCATGGTTTGTGATTTGTGATTGGTGGATTTCAATCCGTTTCGTGTGTTTCTGTGTTTCAAGGTTCGTTGCTTGTGATCATAATTATGATTGAGGGCAGTGAAAAACGTAATTGTGAAGGCGGCTTTTGAACTTTTGAGTTTGCATGTTTGTGAAAAGCGTAGTAAAGATTGCCACGTGCGTTCACCATGCTTGGTTGAGCATGAGACGTACGTGTTCAGTAAAGTGTGAATGAAACGTGACTTTAGAATGAACTTTAAATGTGCAAGAAAATATACTTTCTACGTTCTGTTTTAGCTTGCAATTTCTGTACCGAGATAAAACTCTTCGTGTGTGCTTCCTTTTGAGTTTTTTCCCTAAATTTTGAAGGGGACAAATTGTCCCCTTGACCATTTTTTTAAGGGACAATTTCAATTGCAGTGCGGGATTGGCGCAATGGCGCGGCCTGGCTCAAACCCTGTCTAAGGTCTATATATGTAGTGGCTTGTTTGATTTGTGTGGTTTGTTTGGCAGTGGATGAAAGAATGAGGAATGATTTATGTGCACATTGTGTCTAAGATCTCTATATGTAGTGGCTTGTTTGGCTGGGCAGTGAATGAAAGGACGATGAATAAACAGTGTGCCTTTTTCTGTTAACAAAGAAGCAAACAAGCCAAACGAATTGACTCGTTTAGTAGATAGTTAAAAGTGGGCTTGTAATCTGTAGTCTAGCCATGGTAACTACGACACTGATTAAACTAATCTCATAGTCTGTACCACACAAAAATACACATTACTGAAGTTCAATTTATTCCTGGACAGAAAACTTATCACTTAAGTTTGTGGGCATGGCAGCCAAGAGAACTCGCAAAAATCTGAAGGAAGTATAAAACAGAAACACAAAACATTGCACGTTTGTACAAAATTACCAGTGTAACCTCACCTCTTCTTTCAAGCACGCATTAAGAGTCCGTTTAATATCGTTACACATTCCGACGAACTTTCGAAAGGGATGCTGCAAAATAGAGATAAATATATAGGAGTAAATGAAATATATATTTTTGATTTTACACACAAAAAAATATCAACAATATGTATGCCTGTTATGTAATTCATTTTAAGTTTTCATGGGAAAAGGAGGACGTACCTCTTCGTGACAACGATGCAGCTCTTCTATAATTTGTAAGCAATCGCTGTGCAGGTGAGGAGCTAAAGACGGATGCATAACTTGGAAAAGGTCTTTATAAGTGATGCAGCAAGACCTATGATTCCAGATAACTTTCCTTGGACATACAGCTTAGCCACCTGGCATCGAAAGACTACTGTTATGTAAGGAACAACGAAATGTCAGGTGATGTGAAGTGTAGCTATTTTGAGGGGATAACGCATTCAATCCTTTAACTCCCAAGATCTGATTGTTAATTCTCCCCTGTAGCTGCTACACATTTCCTTGTAAATTAGTTATGAGAACTTGGTGCTAGATCAAGATAGCAGCTTCTACCTGATAAGTTTGAATATTCTCATTACCTGTTTGCTGAAGAATGTATGGATATTGTTGGGAGAAGTTTTATGTTAATCACTTCTAGGAGTTAAAGGTTGATGCAATTTTTAATGCATAAATTAATCGTCTAACAAATCAATGCAGTGTAATGAAGGTTCCAATGTCTTTGTGATGTGTTTGAACTTCAAGGGTCGGATTCCCTATTCATATCTCGCCTTTGCAAACTTTTATGTCCAAGAATGTAATTTCTAATGTAGATTTATCAGCCGTGAATTTGTTCATCTGCCTGTTGTTTATTTGACTTGTTCCTGGTGTGTTGCCAGCATCCTCCTTCCTTTGTCTCTGTTTTCCTTTGCGATTTTTAAACCGCTCCTTTTTCTTATTTGGGTTAGGTTTCGCCTTCGTTGTTCGTTTCTGAAGAGACAGAGAATGCGGAAGTACAAGATTAAACTTCTCTACTGCCTGTTTGTTCTCTCAAATTTACAAGAAGCTTGTCGACTTCGTTCGGTTTAGCTTTCGATTCCGAGGCTAGTTTGTTTACATTAATTTGTTTCAATTTGAAATGGACTGAATCCATGGCCAATGATTCTTACGTTCTTTGATAGTTCTACAACATTTTTCTTTCTAGTTTTTCCTTGCTTCAGTTTTCTGAGCTTTTTTGTAAGTCTCTCAACGCGTCTCATGGTGGTAAAATTTCACAAGCGCTCCCATAAGGTCATGCTCTGCTTTCTTTTTAATCGATCTTAGGTCTGATTTATAATCTTCAATAATCGCGATGTTCGCCCTTATCTGGTAGCTTAGGCCTTTTGGTCATGTGCCCTGCTCTAAATAAGCTTGTAAGAGTCCGAATTAGTTCTTTCTCAGTATTGTCAGGGATTTCTTGACTCCATTCCATTCAGGCCTCGCTGGCAACCGATTTTCTCCATCTCCGCTTCATATTCTAATAGACTAGAAGCTTCGAATGCCTCGGAGTCATAATCACTGTCCGAGTTTGAATCTTTGGATGACATGGCTTTCTTTAGATACCCTATGGAGCGTCTTCGATTTTCAAAGAATGGAAAAATGCCCAAAGCATTTCTTGTCTCGGCAATGCACCGTCGGGTTTTTCATTGTAGCGACCCTGTTTGTTCAAGTGCGTTGTGTCCCTCGTGCCAACGGGATAAAAGTCTATTTTTTGACCTTCAATACTCTTTGCAATGGACTTAAAATGTCCCTCAAGGCTGTAAAAAAAAAAAAAATTTTGCCTTAACTGGCGTGAAATTATACAATCCTGGGTTGTGGTAAGTTTTGTCACAGACCCTTGCACCGTAAAATTTCTCTCTCGATTATTAAATCTATATAAAAATTCTTCTTCCATTAATTACGCTGTCTTTCGGTTGCCTCATAAACATTGTCTCAAGTTGGTGTCCCTCTGTCCCGTGACACCCACAAGACAAGCTGTAAAAACACCTACTACTTTTCTCAAGAGCAACTCTCTTATGCAAACCATTATTGACAACTTGATTGCACATAATGGAGAAACGATGGGTTTCTTTGCTATTTTTACTGAGTGGACTATGCTTGGAAGGTAAATAAAGTTTTAATGTAATTCCATTTGTATCATCAGTGTCACAGATTAAAATCTACCATATGTAAAGGCAGTAGGATAAATTAACCACGATGTCGCTGTAATTCGTAATTGTCAATTTCTGTCAAAAGTGTTTCGCTAAATGATTGAAGACAAACTATTATATCGAAAAACTTTAAAATGTTTCGGGTTTTAGTTTCTCTTGCTTATCCTCAATCCGCAAAAAATTTTTCCCGCATAACACAGACAATCGTTGATCGATCTGCATAATAAAACGATTGCAGAATTTCATGTCGCAGGGTGAGTGGGTACAGAGTCTTAGCTTCGGCGAATGGTATTTTCCCCGGGAAAGTGATGTGTCTTGAGTCACAAGACGGCAATGTGTTCTTCAAACAACAGGACAGGGCGAACAGGACATGTTATTACACTTGCCATGAGTTTTGTATCGATCAGAGTCAAAATCATAAACATGGCCTATAATGTAATTATTTAGTTATAAAATAATTCAAATAGGATGCGCGCTCTGATTGGCCATAAAACCATTTTACATGAGCGCATGTAAACACGGTTTTCCTTCCTCTTTCATTAGTTATTTTATAAAAGAAATGTAAAATGGTTTCCGTGTTTACATAGCCTGATGTAAACACTTGGGAGGTTGGGAGAACACTCGATAAGCTGGAAACCACTCCGCTACGCGTCGAGGTTTCCTACGCTTATCTCGTGTTCTCCCAACCTCCCGCGTGTTTAAATCAGGCTATGTAAACACGGAAACCATTTTACATTTCTTCATTATTGACAAGAAAAGTTTACTTCATTTTTGGTGAACACTCTGTCATTAATTCGTCAACCTGACTCGTCAACCTGACAGAGTGGCGCAAAGGGCGAGTGTCGTGTCTGCAGTTGATTGGCGATATCAAACACAAGAAAAAGGCATCGTGTATAGTTACGTCTTTTCTCTGGACTGGACATCCTTGAAAAATACAGTTTAAACTATAATCTCTATTTATTCATATTGTTCTTATTTATTAGAAACTATCCATGCCAAGCAGTGGTTTGTCTCAAGATACGATGGGACCTTTGAAAATAACTGCGGGCTCAATGCCTCATCGCCATGTAAAACTCTTCAGCAAGTTACTGTGCATGCGTATAATGGCGATATAATCAATATAGACGGTACAGGAACGTCACGTGACCCTTATCCGTGCCAAAACGAGAAAGGATTGGATCTAGCTGGTTTAGTTCTGCGCAGCTACAAGAGTCGAGCATTTATTTCTTGTAGGACGAATGGATTTCGGTTTTTTTGCGGCATGGCTTCTCAAGGGGTCATTTTAGAAGAAATCACCTTCGTTAACACTTCAATTCATCTCTTTGAATGTTCTTTAAACGTGGTCGCCTGCAGCTTCAAAAACAGCTCTGTTCCTACACTCACCTTGAAATATTATGAATACTTTCTGATGAGAAATGTTCAACTGAATGGATGCACCTTTCAGAACAACAGTGCTTGTAGTGTTACAATTTATGGAAATTCTTCCGTTGATTTGAACGTTTTAAATTCTACATTCGTCAGCAATAAGATACGCAGTGAAGGAGACGCCATACTTAACATGTCTATTCAAAACTTACAAGCAAATCAGAGCAGTATCAAAGCTAATTTTACTGATCTAAGAGTGTCACACAATTACTGTTCAGGTCAAGCATGCTTTCGAGTTTTTGCTGGCATAAACGGAACTGACTTAGTCCTCGTTATGGAGAGAGTACTTTTTGAAAACAATGTGGCTGAAGTAAATATCTTGGACGTTCATGGCTTTTCAAACGGTTACACTGATTTTAAGTCGACACAATTTCTAGAAAATACAGGCAGAGCAGTCAAAATCCACAATGGCGACTCAATTGACCTGAAAATCGAAAGATCGATTTTTTGTGGGAATGGAATACCTGATTCCAGAATAAAACCTGAGTGGAACTACGATGAAAGCAATGGAGGAGCAGTTTTAGTCGATGGATTCACACAGGACGCCTTGGTTTCCCTGCACGGTTCAAAGTTCAATTCGAACAAAGGCGGAAGTGGCGGAGCATGCGCATTTGTCAACATATTGCGGTCGCTCTTAGTGGACATAAAGAACTGTCAGTTTGTGCGAAACGAAGGAAGGTTTTCAGGTGGAGCTGTAGCTGTGGGAAGTTTTTCCAAACTACTCGATTATTCTGACTCGATATGTATTCATGACTCAGACTTCAGTGGTAATAAACTGTTGATGGATTCTTGTGGGGAACTTGATTGTGGAGGTGGCGCAGTAGCTCTGTACGTGTTACACATGGGTAACTTATCAATAGTCAATGACGCTTTCACAGATAACCGAGCGGAAGGAAAGACTAGCGGAGCCATTCATGCTGAAGTAGTCCGTCTGGATTCGGACGTGGAAATCCTGAACTGTGAATTTCTCCGTAATTGGGCCACGGAGTTAACCAGCACCCTTGCACTGTACTTTCCTGATTCATCCCAGCCACGAGTAACTTTACAAAACCTGACATTTATTAACAATAGTGGTGACGTAAACAATTCTCTCATTACCAGTGTCACGTCTGACATTTTGATTAATCCTGGCAATGGCTACGTCGTGTTACGCTCATCTAAAATACAAAAAAATTCCGGCGGTGGGTTTCAAGTGGCCTTCGCATCCCATGAGCGAAATTTGGGTGGCAATGTGAGTTTTGTTATGGAGAACACTTTGATAAGTGAAAATATCCACTTTTTAATGTTGATCCGCATTGATGGGCCAGCATTTCAACCGGTGTACCACTTAAAAAATGTTTCATTTGTGAATAATAACTGCAATACGGGTTATGGATGGAGCTGTATTCATTTAGCGGCCTTGAATAGTAATTGCTCGTTTCACTTGGAACAGAGCACATTCCTAAACAATCTAGGCCCTTCAGGAGTAATACGTATTGTTTCGTCGCCACTCGCCATATCCAATACAAAATTTCGGACGATCATCAACAACACTGAATTTCGCAACAATTCTGGAGGTGATACATGCATCCTTGAACTACTCGACGTTTACGCCACTGAAATTCAAAACTGTAATTTTACCGATAACTTTGGAGGCGTGGTTAGTTCGCACATACGCATTTTTCCAGGGAAGTTGACATTCTGGAATAACACCTTTTATCAGTCGGCAGAATCTCAAGTGCTTTATGATGTGGGCGGAAAGTCAAAAGATTTAGTGGCATTCAGTGGATTTTTGGCAGTAACACAATCTGAAAGCGTCGAAATTCGTAACAGCTCCTTTATTTTGGATCCTTTTAGTGCAGAAGGCAAAGCTATCGTTGTTGTTGAAGGAGCGGGAGAGGGTATCTTGGACGACTCTGTGCAAATTGCGTCACCAATCAACACCAAGCTTAATATGCGGAGACTACAAACGTATACTCATCACGAAGGAGTGACCAAAGAATTGGTTTGGATCAGTACCGAGCGTTGTCCTGTGGGAACTTACAGTATCCGTAGAGGCAAACAGGGTGGCTACAGTGCCAAGGAACTGGTGAATTGTTATCGTTGTCCAGTTGGCGGCAACTGTTCATCTTCTCTCGCTGCTCAGCCCAACTTTTGGGGTTATCCTGTAAATAAGGACAGCGTTTCCTATCAGCTTTGTCCAGAAGGTTACTGCTGTTTGCCATCTGTTGATAACAAATGCTCTTATGACAACAATAGCTATCTGCATTCCGGTTGCCAAGGCAACAGGACAGGTATTCTTTGCGGACAATGTAAACAGAATTTCTCTGAAGGTTTGTTTACAACAGAGTGTGTTCGAGCGAAAGACTGTACCCATAGTTGGTATTTGGTTGTTTTTTTGGCACTCACGTTCTTGTTTGCCTTGTATCTCGTTGGAAAACCCCCAGTGTTTGAGTGTGTGGGAAAACAATTAACATGGTTAATTCCGAGACGCGCAGAGGAAAATGACCAAGAAAGTGTTTCTCCAAACTATGGCTTTTTAAAAATTATCTTTTACTTTTATCAAGTGGCTGGAGTTTTGACCGTGTCCTCATATGGGGTAGAACATCTATTGAGAAATGAGATTGTCTTGCCCGTTACTAATCTTTTGAACCTAAAACTATATGCCAATACTAACTGGAAGATCTGTCCTTGGCCGATTTTCACACCACTTTTAAAAACAGTGTTCCACTTGGTGACAGTGATGACCATTTTCTTCTGGATTCCAGTTCTTTACCTTCTGCACAGCGGTCTAAACAAATTATGCAAGCGCAGGCCAACTTTTCCGCCAGCAGGTCCTTACCTTGGAGCTGTCCTGGAAATAATGTTGCTAAGTTACTCAGCAGTGACTGGCACAATAGCGCGATTACTCCACTGCGTAAGCATTCAAGAAGTGGACCGCTGGTATTACGATGCCCAGTACGTTTGCTGGCACCAATGGTGGCAGATAGTTGCTTTTGTCGTCATTGCCCTGTACTTGTTTCCGTTTATGTTCACGTTGTCTATTGGTTCGTTGCAACTCTATCGGGCCAAGATTTCAGAGAAGAAATTTCTGCTGGCCATCATCCTACCTTTACCTTATCTTCTCTTTGTTTTGTATGACTGCGTTCACGACGAAGAACATGACACAAATTCTTCCACAAGTATCAGAGCGTCACTTCTTGAGGTTCTATGCGGTCCATTTACAAAGCCACAAGACGACCAATCAAAGGGAAAGATCTATTGGGAGGGCGTTCTCATTGGTCGACGATTCTTAATAATTGCGAGTGGTTGCTTGCTGTCGGAACATGCGCTTTTGCGTTCCGTGTTTCTGACAATCCTTTGCCTCATTTTCTTGGTGGTTCACATATACTTGAAGCCCTTCGCCCAGCGTTGTGCCAACATCACCGAAATCGTCTCCTTGGCAACCTTGGTCGTTATAGGAGTACTAAACGTGGGCCTTGCATCGGCAGGAAGTGACGTCAGCGGTATCAATCAACGGTATTTCTCCATTCTTTTGATGTCAGAGGCAGTATTACTGGGTGTTATACCTCTTGTTTCCGTTATTTTCTTCATCTCGTGCCTGGTGATCTTCTTATGGAAAGCTACTCGAGCAAGATGGTTAATTTTTAAAAGAAGGTATGGCACACGGTTGTCCGTCCAGGGTGGAGATGAGAGTCAGCTTCTTTCTGCGTGATCGTTACAGAACTCTACGTAAGCTACTTTCAAATTTTGAGTTAAAGCTAATAAGAGTGAAAGTACTTTCATGAGAATGCTTGGAAAGGCTTATCTAAATATATTTCATGATTTTTGTTTTAGTACAGATCACGGGGTATCGCAATTTGAAGATCGTCTAACTGTACAAACTACATTAGCCATGTTACATTGTGATGTGTGTGTATGTGGGGGTGGGGGGAGCTTTGCGTCGGTTATGTCCATTGTAGGCGACTACCCCGTGTTGATAAATGCGCATGCTCCGTCATTCCGCCTTTATTTGAACTTTAAACCGTAGAGAAAAACCACGGCGTTCTGCGTGAATCCATCAACCTCAAATTCTGGATCGATAAGTTTTAAAAAGAAGTCTTAAAAATACTGAAATGTCCGACGGCTCATTGGCCTCGAACAGTATTTTTATCAAAGCGCGTCAAATGCCCAATAAGAGCGCAAACCAAATCCACACAGTCTTAATTTCAGCCCATTTTTCATCCATCAGTGAAATTTACTGCTCTCAGATCTCAGCAGTCAGTTGAATACGCGTTCTTTTTTTATCAGCAGTCTGTTCAAGTTTTGACAGAGTCTCAACCTTCAGTTGAGCCTCACCTAGAAACTTCACATGCAAAATGCTTATGCGCTGGTCAGCGCACTTACCGAAGAGAGGAGTGACGGAGTGTGTTACGGATACTAACTGATTTTACTGATTAGTAATTACCTTGATAACGTTTTTCCTCTTAGTTACGATCTTCGTTACAATGTTTATTAATGTTTATTAATGTTTATTTGCTCATCTATTATTCTTGAAACCCGACGCTTTAGCGTCCTTTTTGCGTCCCACGCGCATATAAAAGACGACCTTGGCGTCCTTTCTTCAGTTTATTTAGAAATTCGAAGGATCTTGACCTTTGCTCCCCTTGTAATTTTGTAACCTTTGGCGCAAGGGGAACCGCTATGTAAGTTTATTCTTTTATTTTACTAAGGTTTAGTTTTCTTTTATTTTGATTAGATAAAGACTATTGTACTGTGTACCTTTTTAATTGCTTTGTGATGAGTGGCGAAAATCCAGCCTGGCGTTTACGACTGAATGCCCAACTTTTAGTTTGACAACGCTTGGGCTATTGACTGTTTGCGTAAATCTCTTAACGTAGTTTTTTTTTACCTTTTATATTTTTATCGCGATTTTGAGTTGTAATTAAGTTAGATTTGTTTTACAAGCCTTTATCTTATATTTCGGAAGTTTTCGCCTCGATTGATAGGAATTCACCGTATTATTTCAGTTTACGGTCGCTTTTAGCCACTTGGTTGTTTTAGCTTGTAGTATTCTGATTTTCATCGACAATAAAACTCCGTTAATTAACCGTCACTTTGGTTCTCGTGATTGCGAACCGTAAAATAGTCCCAAACACCTTGGTAGCCAATAGCCGACCTGTAACCGTACCCTTCCCCCGCAAGATGAAACGGAAGCGAGGGAATCTTCCCTCCATTTCACCTTGGGGGGGGGGGGTGGGGAGGGTACGGCTGCACGTAGGCTAGGTGGCCACACGCCCAAAGCGATACCTCGTTTGAATTTTGTTTCAGTCGCCGCAAGTTTAACAGAGTGACTGAGTGATGAAAGGGCTTTTGAGCCATAACAACAACTAGGAAATGCCTTTCATCCATGTTCTGAGTTAGAAACGAAACTATCAATAATAGATAGAATATTTTAAAAATTTTTGGGAAGAGTTACACCAAGAATAAATGATCTTTCCACAAAAATAAATTGAACGGATGGTTACCACATTACCTTGAATAAAACGGGGAACGTATAGGAAAACTAAAACGAATTTGATACCGATGAAATATTGAACTATACAAAGACAGGAATATTAAACAGTTCATATTGATTGTTTAGGAAACGCTAACTTTGTAAGCTTAACATGTTTTGACCAAAAAATAACAATATTGGCCGTGTTTATAATTTTGACTCTGATCGACACAAAGGTCGTAGCGAATGGAATAACACGAAAACTCCGTCAATTACAGTGATACGGGGAAATAATTTTTAAGCGGAAGTTTTTAAAAAAAATTAAATGTCTAACCTGAGATGAGAATTTCCAAGTCCGAGTTTCTTTCATTTTAATAACACAATCAATTGGTATTCGCCACACACTCTCATGGCCTGTTTGCGTGACACAGTTCCGACACTACAAAAAGACATCCAATATGTTTCTTGCACGTTTGCATTACCTGTTTGCGTGACAACGAACGGCCACTCTGACAAGATATCTTTGTCATACATGTCACGAAATCTTTACCTGATGATTTCTTGGACTCCAGCCACAATACAGCCGTTCACTTGATTAATACACAGAGCTGAAACAGCTCCTTGAGCAGTCAGCACCACGTCGCAACCCATTCCATCTCCTCTCTGCGATTAGCAACAATATCAAAAGTACAAATACATCTGAGCGGTTTTTGATGAACTATGATAATCTCACAACCAGAGTAATTGCAATAGCTAACCAGCACAAAGGAATATATCACAAGTAGCCAATGAGAACTCAAAGTAAAAACATTTAAAAGCCCTCACAAGCAGTTGCCGAGTCGCCATTGGTTTAATTTCGCGCCTTATTGATTGGGAGAGAGAGTGGGGCGAGTTTTCAAGATCAGTCATACCCCTGGTTTATTATATGGCAAGGTAATCCTGAGGTAAATATGAGCGTTCTGATTGGTTCTTAGCTGGTCGGGATTTTGCCATACGGACCTTTTCCACGGAAATGGTCATAAGCCGTGTATTTTTGCTCCAAAAAGCCGGCAATTTCAAATCAAACAAGGTTTTTTTTGCGAGTGCCATATATCAAACTACTTCCGATCTCCAATCGCCTAAACACTTAGTCGCTCAATCTGCTCGTCTGTCAAAACGTGGAAGGAACGATCCGTTTACCTCTAAATTGAGCTATCAGACTCCCTAGATGGAGTTCAATCAAAATGTCCTCCATTTCGGGACGGTCGGAACGGGGAAAAGCATTCTCTGTTTTTCAGGCCTTCCTAGACTTCCTCTAAATTATACGGCCCCTCTTAGAGATTGGTGATGACTGGTAACGACAAAAGCACCGAACATAATGAAGAAAGCATCGACTATAATGGTCTTTGAACCGAATGTAATAATGGAAAAATCATCGAATATAAGAGTGTTTGAACCGAATATGATAGAGAAAGTACCGAATATAACGGTGTATAAACCGAAAACAATGGAAAAAGTATCAAATATAATGGTGTTAGAACCCAATTTAATGGTAAAAGCATCGAATATAATGGTGTTTAAACCGAATATAAAGGAAAAAGCACTGAATATAACGGTGTTTGAACCAAATATAATGAGCTTTGCTCCTCATATCATGAAAAGAGCATTGAATATAAAGACAGAGGCACAGAGTATAATGGAACACATGCCATATATAATACAAAAAAGTACCATAAGGCAGTTCTGGCTTTCCAAACTATGTTTCGCGTATCCACGACTAAGAATGCCACCCTTAACTTCTGATCAATTATTTATTCACCCCGTATGTCTCGTGACATTCCAACGAGGAATAAAAATCTCGAAATATCGCGTGAATCTTGTTTTTAAAAAGCAGCTGTAAAGAGCAATTGATCGGTGTTCTCTTGATGTCTTGACGGCTCACATATTCTTGCATATTCTGTCCCCCTAACAATAGTCGTTTCTACGCTTCGCGTATCGAAGACTAAAAATGCTACTCTTAAGTTCGTATCAATAATTTATTCATCATATATGTCTCGTGACACCAGTTCCAATGAGGAATCAAAATCTCGAAATCATGAATCTTGTTTTTGAAAAGCAGCCGTTAAAAACAGTTAATTGGTGTTCTTGATGTCTTGCCGGCTCACATAATGGAGCTAACAACGTTTTTTTTTTAATTCTCTTTCGGAGTGGAATATGTTCGGGAGGTATGTGAAATCTCTTTGTGCTTTGCAATCATATCTACTCCACATATCGCCTTTAAACATAGCCTCTTGTTGATGCAAAGATACCCTATCCAACAGCATCGATAAAGTTTGGCTAAACTGTCTATACCAAGAGCTGAAAGACTCGTAGGAGGCCTTGTTTCCACTGATGTTGTTTTGTTTCACTGTACATGTCTTGGCAGATCGCTGTTGTTGACTCAAATAGACACTGTATTCAACTCGCAGAGTTCAAGCTCTTCGAGCATTTAGCAAACTTCCTCTGTTATGAAAATAAGTGGCAAGGTTGTAGTTTGCGCCTCTCAACTTGATTCTTGCGCAAATAGATTGACTTATTTCTAATTTAAAGGAAATTAGCTCTCTTAGAACTGAAATTCAAGTATAATAGTTTCCTTTCCATTCGGGGGTAAAGATGAACGTAAATGAAAAAAAATTTTTAATAGCAAATTCCATGAGAATGTTTGCATTCGAAAAAAGTCAAATTTGTGAAGTTGGTTGAAAATTGCACACGCATGGCTTTTATTTTGTTGAGAGTTGGTCTAACATTTTTAACGACCAGGAGAGTAACTTAATGACAAAGTTGACATCCATCGTTGAGTACGTCAGCTTTAACGAAAACAGGAAGTGGAGGGACTTTCCCCAGGAAACTCGTCATGTATCACAAAGCAGTCTCGTGATTTCTCAGAATAGCCACATAATGGTCGTAACCATAACGAGTGATGAATAGAAGGTGCGGTCTTCTACTGCATCAATCGTTTGACAGCTAATCTGTAACAAATTGCGTGACGTGGGTTTGTTAATTTTAATTTCAAAGACAGTCGCGTTGAACAACATGACGGTAGTCGGAAAGTTGCTATTTTACTTTCCGCCTTAGTTAGCGCTCTTCTTGTCAAAATAATCAGAATCTTGTTATATAAGCAACATAGGCCTTTATTGACAAGGAAAGTTGACTTCATTATTGGTAAACGCTTTGTCGTTCATTCATCAACCTGAGAGAGTGGCGCAAAGGGCGAGTGATGTGTCTGCAGTTGATTGGCGATATCAAACAAAAGACGTCGTTATTTTAGACGTGTATAGTTACGTCTTTTCTCTGGGCTGGAAATCCTTGAAAAATGAAGTTTAAACCATAATCTCTATTTATTCATATTGTTCTTATTTATTAGAAACTATCCATGCCAAGCAGTGGTTTGTCTCAAGATACGATGGGACCTTTAAAAATAATTGCGGGCTCAATGCCTCATCGCCATGTAAAACCCTTCAGCAAGTTACTGTGCATGCAAGTGAAGGTGATATAATCAATATAGACGGCACAGGAACATCACGCGACCCTTATCCGTGCCAAAACGAGAAAGGATTGGATCTAGCTGGTTTAGTTCTGCGCAGCTACAATAGTCGAGCATTTATTTCCTGTCGGGACCAATGGATTTCGGTTTTTTTGCGGCATGGCTTCTCGAGGAGTCTTTTTGAAGAAATCACCTTCCTTAACACTTCAATTCATCTCTTTGAATGTTCTTTAAACGTGGTCGCCTGCAGCTTTGTAAACAGCTCTGTTTCTACACTCACCTTGAAATTTGATGAATTCTTTGTGGTGGGAAATGTTCAACTAAATGGATGCACCTTTCGAAACAACAGTGCTTGTAGTGTTACAATTTATGGAAATTCTTCCGTTGATTTGAACGTTTTAAATTCTACATTCGTCAGCAATAAGATACGTAGTGGAGGAGAAGCTATACTTAAGATGTCTATTCAAAACTTACAAGCAAGTCAGAGCGGTATCAAAGCTAATTTTACTGATCTAAGAGTGTCACATAATAACTGTTCAGGTCAAGCATGCTTTCGAGAACTCGAAGAGGACTTAGAGACAAGCATGTAAATTGTTATCCCTGCCCGGTTGGTGGAAATTGCTCTTTACCTCTCGCTGCTCAGCCCAACTTTTGGGGTTATCCTGAAAACGAAGACATCGTTTCCTTTCAGCTTTGTCCAGAAGGTTACTGCTGTTTGCCATCTGCCCATAACAAATGCTTTTATGACAACAACAGCTACAATCTTTCCGGTTGCCAAGGCAATAGGACAGGCATCCTTTGCGGACAATGTAAACAAAATTTCACTGAAGGTTTGTTTACAACAGAGTGTGTTCGAGCGAAAGACTGCACCCATAGTTGGTATTTGGTTGTTTTTTTCGCACTCACGTCATTATTTGCCTTGTATCTCGTTAGAAAACCCCCAGTGTTTGAGGAAGTGGGAAAACAATTAACATGGTTCATTCCGAGACGCAAAGAGGGCAATAACCAAGTTATTTGCAGCCTAGACAGCACGGCCAGAAAAAGTGTTTCTCCGAATTATGGCTTTTTGAAAATTATCTTTTACTTTTATCAGGTGGCTGGAGTTTTGACTGTGTCG